TGAGTTTAGAACTCATTAAAGTCGAAATGGAAGGGCAGCTTTTCAATAATCCTATTATTTGAGAGACAACAGCTCCCTTTGGCGTATTGGTGTCCTTACACCTTGTAATCAAATTGAGAAAAAAAGAGTTACCGTCAATAAATGACAAATTGAAAACTTTTTTTTTAAGCACCTTGGGAAGAAGAAACTTAGTCTACAAAATTGCACTTGATTTATTTTGCTAAGAACTACTGTATTGGCAAGCAAGCTGTTACAAGTGAACAAATGTAAAACATCACACACATGAAAATAAAAGTATAATAAACAAATAACTTGGAATATGAAATGAGCATACTCCAAAAAATCAGAGAAAGATGTTCATAACTTGGAAAATTTCAACAACTTCTCGTAGCAAATTTCATTGGCTGCAGTGACTTTCAGATAGGTGTTTATTATTATTTTGATTTTTTTTTGGGGGGGGCTTTTCAATTTTTTCAAGGTCACGGACCATTTCATTTGACCATTTTTGCATTAACTAATTTGGGCAAATTAGAGCTTTTATGGTGCAGTTAAAACTTTGAAAATATATTTCAGGTTTTTACCAAAAAAAACCTCCAATAATCAGAATAATCATCAATACTTCATGAGTTGTATCAAAAACAGTTAAAATTTCATTTTTGTGCTCCAACATTCAAGTGACAGTAATGTTTTTCAAGAAGTAATGCATTTGTGAAGAAATGCATTTAATGATGGGCTTACCCAACAAAATGAGCTCCAAGTTGACAAAGCTACCTTTGAAATAGACTCGGCTAAGTAAAACTTGCAAAATGGAAGTTTATCCGAACAATCGATGTTCTGATACATGTTGTTGTGATGCCTGCTCTATTTCTAAAGATACAGAGCAAACATCATCCTTAAATAACTTATTTTCTAGGAAGCAGTCACTTTTTTTAATCTATGGAGATAATTTTAGTACTTGTACTCCAGCAGACAAAGTACCTTTGGTATGTTCTTAGTCTTTGTACTCATCAACACGTACTTAAAGTACTAAAATAAGTGCTAAAATGCTCAGTTTGCCACAGTGTACATGGTTTAACAAATAAACATTACCCAAGTGCAGGCTGTTACTGGTTTAACCAGTGAACCCAACTTCAAAGCTGGTTTAGGGAAGTACAATATGGTTCAACCAGTGTAACTTGATTACAAAACTGGTTAAGCATGGTTTACATGGTTTAACCGGTAAAACCAAGCTGGAATTCCAAGAAACATTAAATGCACCGTAGAAATAAACATACAAAAACACTCTTTTCACTGATAACCAAACGCATGCGAGGTTTAACCTCCAAAACATGCAAGGCAACCAGTGAAGTAGGTGAATAAAGTTTTGGAAAATTGAAATACACTTATATTGGAATAGAAATTGCAATAAAAAAGTGTGATTATATGTAACAAAACATTTCCCTCAGTAATTCCCTTCTCCCTGCCTTCTACTTTTTGGTTTAGCCTGCCCCTCAAACCCACCACCTCACACCCCTAATAATGGATGTTTCAGTCCAGCTATAGCCAGTTACATAATGCTTTTTGTTGTGCCCATGTGCAAGGAATTTTGAAATGGCCATGTGCTTCAGTCTGTTGGGTGCTGTGCAACAGTAAAGTGTGCAGGTTTTGACTGGGCGTAGCCAGTAGGTTTTCAACTGAAGTCAAGTCCCCTGGATTTTGGAGTAAAAGATGGAATTAACTTCTTAGATTTTCCTCTGGAAATTACATGGGAACTAGACATCTGGGAATGTCCAACTTGATGTTTCTCTGTCAGCAAGCAGGTAAGTACATTCGTATGCTTCTAAACCAGGAATCAAGTTGCAGAACAGTTCCCAAATAGCCTCCCAAATAAAAAGTAAATTTTGTACATTTTTCTTCACTGGAAGGGAACCCAAGAATACATTGGCAGTCCAGCATCTGGGACCCATTAATGGGTTAAGAAATACATGAATAGTTCTGTACCACAAGTACATGTACCCATGGACATGATGGAGGAAATAAGAACGGGTGTTTTTTAGTTCTTCTATCCGAAGTGATATCCACTTCTTAAAGCTATAGTCCATCATTTGCAGCAATCCGAAAAGTAACTGGCGTAATTATTGTTGAAATAAATACTTGGTTGAAAGATAGTAAGTGGACTAAACTCCCTGTGAAATTATTCTTTCTGGCAAGCTGTCATCTTGAAGTAACCAACGAAAGAAGGCCTTTCCAACGGTGCGTCTTAAGACGCACCGTAGGAAAATTTAATTAGTAGTTCGTTGTTATTCGGCGAAGCGCGCGCAAGCATTGGCTGTTGCTATAATTCGTCGGATTAGTGCGCGACATTGCGTATAGCTGCAATCGGCTCAGTGAGAACGTGTCTTGGACGCTGAATTCAGGCCCATTTCAAAACATGATTCAGCACTTTTGATTTGAAATTGAGATCCTAGAATGCTGTTTTTCTCGGAATATACAGCTGAAGATGAGCTGAAACTTCATCAGGTTAGTTGTTCAGTATCCTTCATTAGATTTTGAACACTTTTGTTGCTTCAAACGAACAAAATGCACAAATTACAAATGATGGACTACATGTATATCTTTATATCGTGGGTGTATCAGCTGCTGTTCCTCGAGTAACAACGAATGCACAAAAGGGTTTACTCATACCTATCCACGCGATACAAAACCACTGCCCTCTATTAAACTCCGCCTTCATGAATAAGGTCTATTGTCTAATCAGTACAACAATTAATACATCTTTACGTCTGATACAATTGATTTCATAAATGATTTCATCGCCCAATATGGCAGCCTCATGATGCCCCTTGACTTACAATGGATTTAGAAACACTAATTGATCCTAAATGTTTAAATTCATGAGGTACTTAAACTTGTATACCATGATTTAAACTTGTACACCATTTAAATAATTTGTGACGGGTGATACCTACGAGATTGGTGGGAGGGGGCAGGCTGAACAAACTAGAAGGCGGGGAGGAAGGAACTGCCGAGGGGCATTTTGTACACACTGCTTTTAAAAAACACTTACATGTTGTACATGTTCATGCACAGAGTAATAATTGCAGGAATATAAATTTTAAAATTCCTTTGGTACGATTGGCGAACATATTTAAGATAAAAAAAGTACAGAGAAAAGGCTGGTAAATGAAAATTTCCATTTTATGGCAAAAAAGTGGCAAAGTGAATTGAAATGTTATTAAACAAGATTTACATTTTGCTCCCAAAATAGTGGAAGTAGATTATGTCATCAGAATATAATAAAGTGGTTCAGTGTTCTGTATATTGTCTGAACTCCAAATTTGTTGCAAAAACTTTTGAGCAACAGTTACAGCACCGTCCCCCCAAACAAAACAAAATAAAAAACTAAATAAATAAATTGCATTGCGAGTGGAGAATGTGTATTCATTTAGCACTTGTGAATTTCCCCAAACCATTCACCCAATGTAGAAATGTGCTGGGCGTAAATATGAATGGAAACACCGTGGAGTTTATATGGAAATCCAAAGATGGGCAAACTTGTGATCTAAAAACCTTTTGGGAACCGTAACAAATTGCATTCACAAATTTTTAACCTCTTCCTAACTTGCTTCCTAACAGGCTTACAAGTCTTGTGATAAATACACTGTTTCCTTGGCAACACGAAGCCCGCATACAATCGTTATACATCAGCGGCAACATACAGGCAGTCTTACTGTCTATTCATAACATTTTGGCGGAAAGATTTCCATATAAGAAGTTCACTAATTTTCCTCTGTATTGACTAACAAGCCCCCAGATAGCAATTTCATGTCATCAAAGTCAATTTGAGCAGTGAGAAAATACAAGCATTTTCTTAGAAAACACTTAGAATTTTTCAGTCCACTCTCATAGGGTTTGTACACAGGGTGTTGAGTGAACTTCTTATATGGAAATTTTTCCATTTTGGCAAGCATGTACAGCAAGTTTATTGGATGGATGCGATTGTCAAACACACCTGGTTTAAACGTGTAAGCTGAGTCTTTTAACAAAACCCTAAATTAATCTGGGGGGAAAAATTGGCAGACATTATTGGTTTGACTGGAAATGTGTATCCACAATATACCTTAAAAGGTTTTCAGTAAAAAACCGAATGTTTAATAATAATAATAATAATAATAATAATTTGGGAGGCTAATCATCCTTACTCGCAGCTGGTATGCTGAATTGCGAAGGACGCAGCTACAACGTGGTCGGGCCGCTGGCACGTAAAGGCGCCTATGGCTGCCGGCCACATCGACCCATATATGACCACGGAGCACAGCCTGAGATCGAAAGTGTTTGATTTTTCCGGAGGGAGGAAAACCGTAGGGCCCGGAGAAAAACCCTCGTGGCATAGGAGAGAACCAACGCACAACTCTACTCACATGTGATCCACGGCCAGGATTCGAACCGTGGTCACCTTGGTGAGAGGCGAGCGCTTTACGCACAAGCCACCCATGCCACCTTTATATGCCATGCCATGGCATTATATGCCATGGAAGAATTTTTTTTAAAAGAAAATCATAAAATATTCTGTAAAAACTCACTTAAAAACTACCCTTGTACTTTGGATTACATCCGGGAAAAATTGATGTCAAGAAGCTAAGAGCTCTTGGAATAAAATGCAAAGGAGGCAATTTACAGATTTAAACCAGTTTGTCTGACCTTCACTAAAAACAGGTGGATACAATGGACAATGGTTAAACACACAAAGCACGGTACCCGAGAGAGAGAGCGGGGCAAATTTGTTAGAGCAATGGCCAAAGTCACGATGAGACTAGAATCGTTTACAGCATCAAATTTGCCTCATTCTCACGTGAGGCATGAACCAGCGTACACAGTTGGACTGCTAAGACATGTACAAAAAACACATTTATAATATCTTATATAGTTACAATAAAATTACAATGGATACATACATGTACATTACTTCTACATATGTGTAACTAATACAAGTTTTACTTGCAAATTGTTCTGTTTTTTTTTAACATCTCTACATACGTTCCATCCCAACACAGTTACTTCCTATGGCAAGCATGTTGTACCCTTGATCTAACTGAAGTGCCTTAAGAATGTCAGGCTTGTGTCTTCAAGCATAGAGCAAGGACCCAAGCAAGACATTGTACGACAATCTCCGAATTTCTATTTACTTACGTCAGACACATCCACAGAACTACATTGTACCATTAGATTTGTTCTCCAATCACCAAGACAAGTTTAACCTCAATAATGTTGCCGACTTCGTCACATCAACAATTAATCTTGTGACTACAACAATTTGAAAAATGGAAATCACACTTCTGGAACATTCCGTTAATCGTCTTTTTTGCATATTTTACAAGCAAAGAATATAAGTTTAGAGTGCACTACAGTCATACATGCACATAATACATAATATTTAATTCATGTCAAACATGAATAAAACTTTGGTTAACTGTTGGTTAGGGTTAGACCCAAATTTTAAGAATAAAAAAAATAAATGAAAAGGTTTTGCTAAATTCTAGTTAATGCTATTGCCTACTTCTGTGCCATCACTTATATATGATCAGAGCTACAATGAAAGAATCACTGTAACGTCACATGACTCAATCACTATGAAGTCACGTGACTCAATCACTGTGAAGTCACGTGACTCAATCACTATGTCCAATGACCTAATCGCTGTGATGTCAAATGACAGAATCTGCGACGTCACATAACGCGTATCCACAGAAGCCATCTTGACTAAACATCTGCAAACATGTTTCTATCCCTCAATCAAAATTCGATAAAATCTACATACATGTCGGTACAAAAATGTACAAGCGTAACATCCCTGGTACGAGCATGTACATGTATATTTTATGCAATGTACAGATTTTGTCTCCAAATTTTGTTTTTCATACACATATGGCTAAAAGTCACCACTTCTGAAGACGAATACATGCATTTGCAACCTGCTCCAAAAACAGAGCATAAAAATATCCCATTTTAACAGATTTTAAAATCGGATCGAGATGAAAAAAGTATCTTACTATGACAATAACTGGTGTGTGAAAAGTTGGATACATTTTAAAACATTCAAGAGTTTTAAGAAAATTGTAACTCTCAAAAGAGCTGCACGTTGTCGCAAATAGTTTTGGTGTCAATTTCTCGTTTTTTGTGTGCGAGCAGGTTACATTTCACCATTCAGTGCAACCATCAACAAGCATTAACTACAATCAGCAGGAATCCATCTGAATTTGATTCAGACAAACATTCCCTCTAAACGTTTTTAATAATTAATATTTTTAAAAATTTACTAGCACAAACGGACCTTTGGTATGGTCCAAGTTAATACATTTCACTCCACGCCTACTTTCTGATCACGAGTCTCACGGCAGTTACAATACAAGTTTGAATTCGTTTTTTTTTTTACATTCCTTTGCTATACACATTTCGTATTTCTTGCTATACGAACTATCTTATGTACCACTGTCAAAACGTCTTTAAAGACGAGCAGCGTTGACATTGAAGCCTCTCCACCATAGGTCAAAGGTCGAACTTGAAGCTTTGCTTTCAGCTCAACAGCCAATAGTTTCTTTTACACTGTCTTCCTCTTGAACCAGCTCACACGTTGAACGTCACTACGCCTGCAATAAAACTTTCTTTCAACTTAGAAAATGCATTGTGAAAGGGAAAAAATGCAATGTTTAAATGCACATACCTTTTAGGCTTTAAATGGAAGACACCTTTAAAATATAAGGCTGGTATTCATAGTCTGAATGTTTCATTTGCGCATGCCATTCTAAAATTTGGTAAATTTTCCGAAAGTTGGTGGTGAATTCTCTCAACTTTTCAATTGGAAATCATGTTTGACATGCACACCCAGACCTATATCTCAAAGCTATTTTTCTTATGTTGCAAGACATCAGATGCCTATTTTTTTGGGTACTTTTAGTACATAGTGGAATTAAACTTAGCTTCGCCAGGATGGTGGCTGCATAGGCTGAGAACCAGATGAGTTGCTCCTCTGGATGTAAGCTGAATGGGCGTAACTCCCAACGAGGTTCACATGCTCTTGGGTTTGTGGGTTCAACATACCCAAGGCCTGGGAGACCGGGTGCATCATAGTGGGTGTGACCGCCCTCAAGCCTTGCATAAGCTGGGCGTGGGATACCCCCCTGGACATCCAGGATAGGGCCTCCGAGTTGCGCTGGTGCCACTGCTCAACCTTCTCATGTCTGGAAGAGTAATCGGAGTGGGCGTTAGGGGAGTGCAGAAGTGGGCCAAACGGGGAACTGGGCTTGTCCAATCTCAGCGGGTGCTCGCCGGGGGAGTGCATTGCTTGGTTGTGGAGGATGTGGGTGTAGGGTTGGTCGATGCTGCTGGTTATCGATGAATTTGGGGTTTGGGAGCGGCTGGCTTGGTGCTGCTCCAAGGAGGAGTGCTCGGGGAACGCTTGCGAAATGGGAGTCAACTGTTCACGAACTTCGTGGGTCTGTTCTTGATATGACTGTGGGATGGGGGTCATCTGTTCCCGAACGTCGTGGGATGGTTCGGTGTATGCCTGTGGAATTGGGGTTAGTTGTTCACGCACTTCACGTGTAGGGTGATCATGTTTGTGGAACTGCTGTGGTCCTCTTGATAGATGTTCATTCAGTTCTTGGCTTCGCTCATGGTATTGTTGGGTCAAGGGAAGAATTTGCTTTATAATTTCGGGGTTGGTGGTCTGCGGATGGCTGAAATCTTGGTGGTTGTCATGAGAATGCATCTCATGAGGGGGTTCTCGTCTGCAAGTCAGAAGCTGCTCATGGAGTGGTTTTTGCTCTGATGTTGCGTGGCTATCTTGAAGTTGGTGGTGGCCGTCGTTGGCCAAGTGGTGATCATGAGATGAATGGTGGTCATGTGATGGTCGGTGGTCATGTGATGAACGACGGTCTTGAACTGGCTGATGGTCATGGGAAGGGCGTCTTTCGTGGGCTTGTTGGTGCTCGTGGTGGTTATGTGTTGGGTGGTGATCTAGGACTGTTTTGATATTAGGGGGTGTATTATGAGCATCGGTTGAGCTGCCAGGACTTGGCGTTTCATCCTCGCTCTCTGATGGACTATGAACCGCTGGTATCTGCTCCACAGGGGAACTATGAATCGCTGGAATCTGTGGGACTGTAGGGAATGCAAGGGGTGCTAGTCTCTCACGGGCAAACTCCACAGCCGCCTGGTAGAGATCAGACTGTATCTGCATCTCAGCAGCAGCTGCCCGGGATTTCAAGCGGATCTTTGCTGGGGGTTTCTTCTTGGGCTCTCCTTTGGGACGTCCCAGGGCCACGACGGGTTTGGTCTTGTCGTTCTGCCACATGTCGATGCCGTGAGCGGTCTTCTTGTGCGTCTTCAGGCTGACGTTGTGAGCGAAAGCCTTCTCGCACAGGTCACACTGGTAGGGCTTTTCACCAGTGTGCGTCCTCATGTGAATGGCCATGTTGGAGTGCTGAGTGAAGCCGCGGCCGCAGTTGCTGCACGTGTACGGCTTCTCCTCCTGGTGGATGATCTTGTGGCGGTCCAGGTAGAACTTCTGCTTGAACTTCTTGTCGCACTGGTTGCAGGAGAACACCTTCTCGCCCCGGTGACGCCCCATGTGGTGCTGATAGGATTTAGGGGTGAAGAACTCCTTAAAACAGGTTTGACACTTGTAAGGTGTCTTACCGGCCTTGACGTTCTGATGGCGGATTAGGTGATCCTGTAGCGTCACCTTGTAGGCAAACACCTTACCGCACTCCTCACAGGAGTAGGTCTTTGGTTGAGAGTGTTTGATGATGTGACGCGACAGCAGGTCGCGCCGGTGGAATGTCAGCCCGCAGAGATCGCACAAGTAGCGCCGGAAGTTGCTGTGGAGGTCCATGTGAGAAGTCAGATGGGCTGTGGTGCGGAACTTCTTATTACACGTCGGGCAGGCGAAGGGTTTGATGCCCTTGTGGCCCCGCATGTGCTCCTTCAACTGATACTTGCGGGGGAACGTCATGTCGCAATGTTCGCAAGCTAAAGTCTTGTTGCTGTGTTGGACTTTCCGGTGAACCCACATGGCAGACTTGGAGTTGAACGTCATCTGGCAGTCGCGACATGTCAGGTTGTCTACAGCGTGGACCGCTTGATGACTGCGTAGGGCCTGGCGGTCTGCAAAGATACGACAGCATTTCTTGCAGGAGTAGCCAGCTGACTTTTCCTTCATGGTTGGTTTCTTTGGTGACCTTGTCTGTGATTTCCTCCGACCCCGTTTCTGCTTCACCACCTTGAATACAAAACACACAGAATATGCATTACGCATCTGCAAAACTAGTTCAAATTTCACACAACATGAGTAAGCTATTCATGAGATAGATTACATCGGGGTGATGTAAATCAATATTGCCCTTCACAGACTTATAAACACTGTATACTCAGTGTGTTTTACCTCCAGAGTGAAAATTGGAAAAAATCACTCGGGTGGGACTCAAACCAACAACCTCCTCATTTCTAGTGCAGACGTCTTACCACTCAACCACCGAGCTTGCGGGATCGGTTGGCTGGTTAAAATCTGATGTACATGTAGCAGCGGGTACCGCAATTGAACTATTCATGCGTAAGTCTATATGCATTTCTTGAAGGTGTGTGATAACACAGATTATCCTAGGAATAAAAACAATACCCCTCGAGCCTCTCGGCTGATGGGTAACAAATGGGATAATCCTTACGTCCAGGCAATTTTTCCTGTACAGTATGCATCCTATTTTTCTATTTTTCATCCCATCGTCCATAATCCAAAAAATTGTGCAGCAAACCAACATCACAGTCTTTGTAAGTGAACAAAATTAACCACCAAGCCAAATTTGTATGTATAGATCCTGGGCTCTCTATAGTCCTGACCCAAAATAAACCCAAATCACTCTTTGCCTTTTGGCAGATTTGGCTAGGGGTTAACGGATATCCACAATGTTAGTCAACATGAAACACTACTTACAGGTGGCTCTATTTTGAGTGGTTTCAACTTCAGCTTGAGTCGTGGTCGTAGCTGGCGGGGTGCGTCTAGATCAAAGCATATGATGGGAGCAACATCCTTGATGGCTACCTTTGGAGACTCCAGTTTCCTGCTGCGACCTCTCACCGCCTCCCCACCCTCATTCCGTGATAGCTCCTCCCCTTTGATGGTGATCACCTGGGCGTGACTGTCGGGGCGTGATGATGATGATGATGTTGATTTTGTTGTGGTGTGCCTTGGGACTTCCTTGCTTTGCTGTTCTGTGTCATCGTCATTGTCATCCTCAATGTCACCATCGTCGTCATCGTCGTCGTCATCGTCACTTTCTTCGGACTCGTCACTGGTGTGGGAATCTTCTCCTGCATTGCCCTCAGCTTGATAATCTGAAGAGTTGATTCTGTAGGGATTATAATTTTTATGCAAAATTTATACATTGGTCAAATTCAAAAATTGGAAATGTTTCTCAGTCCCAGATTCATGTCTTTTCAACATTTTTGCAAAGAATGACCTTCACTGAGATTATAAGTAATGCAACATTCTTTCCAAATATTTTACCTTTATCTTGCAAGAGCCATTATTCTTCACATACAAGTTATTGTAGCTGGGCTCTCTCTTCCTAAATCCTACAAATACCCCCCAGAACCTTCTGGTGGATTCTGAAGGATCTGGGAAGCCACTGGCAAAGCGATGATCCTACCTGAGATGTTGTTCAGCAATTTCAATCAGCCAGTGGATGAAGTCAGGGCTCTTGGTGTATCCGGACTTCTCCCGGATGACATTCCAGCGAGGTACGTCTTCCTTCTTGATGTATATGCGATGCTGGATGCCTGCCGATGCATAGCCTCTGGCCGACATGGGCTTGAAACCCCTCTTCCCAATCCGAGGCATGGCCACACTGACTCTGACGAACTACAATAGAAAAAACAAGTGACTGAAATGAGACTGTCACTCTGCATAAAGACAGTATCCCTGTGATTGTTCAACTTTTCTACTTTTTTTCCGACTGAGTTTTCACGAATGTGATGTCCTTTAACTTATTCTTGGTTGTTAAAGGGAATATACAACATTTGCAAACATTGGAAAACAAAACTACCAAATTTTACGAAATACCTTACTAGGATGTTGGTAAATGAAAGTCTAAAGCATCCTGTAAAATTATGGCACCCGGTGTGAAGTCATTTCAAGAAAAGTGGTATTTTGTATAAATTTCCAACGGTGGTCGGCCGACCACTGTTGGAAAAACCTAACTATTTTTCAACTACTGCTCCAAATTTACCTCTTTTTTTTTCAGTCCAAATTTTGTTTGCTATTGGTTACATGTTCATGAACGGGTGCAGGCCAGCTAGACTGGTTTCCTTACCTTTCAATTTTTGTGGAGTCAGGGAACCAGACTACTTGAAAATTTTTGTTTTTCTTGGTTTTTCCAGCATTTTTGAACACAAAACTTCAATTTTGGCAGTGTAACAATATTTGATCTATTATACTAACCCCTCAAATAGTTCAGTTCTGAAAATTACAGCAAAATCCAATGATGTACATTCCCTTTAAGCATTTAGAGACTATGATTCCTTTTTTAAAAAGCTTTGTAATTGTGCTTATTGCACACTCTGGCTGAACTTGGACATGGCCTGAGTCAGGTGTTGTGCTTGGTCTGTGTAGTATATGTACATGCACACACACTGAAGTGGTGCGCATATTAAAATGGCACTTGTTACACTTCTAGCACGACGTTGATGATGGAATTCAGGGCTGCATGGCTGGGTTGATATGACAGCTAGTGTGCTCAGACTTGAGTCAAGTCTAAGCTGAATAAGGGGCACCCCTTTCCTACTCCAAAAGCTGAATGTGAAGAAACTGATAATTTAACATGGACTTCTTTTTTTTTATTTTGCTCAATGTCTCATGGGAAAGTTCATAACTTGTGTAATGCTAACAAATCATCATTTCAATTTTTAAATTTATTTTTAGGGCACCACACCCCCAAAGCACGGGACCCTCCCTTTACGCCAACCTAGTAATCCCTGGGTTTAAATTGGTAAACTACAATATTTTCCTTTGTGAATTTAAAAGAGTTCATGTTAATTCGGAGTGGAGAGGAGGAATTCAATATGAAGACATACATGTGTGCATACGTGTGCATGTATGATCATCACAACTCAAGTCAAAATTAACTCTGCCCTTGCTAAATCCAGCATGCAACATTACAGCTGGCAATATGGGTGGACCATAATATGCAGCTACAGTATGACGTCCACAAACTATAGGTAGCTCTACTGAGTGGAGCGTTGAACTACGGTACCCTCCATACAAACATGACAAACGCTCCACCGATTTGGCATACTTTGGTGACATGTACACAATGTACACAGTATGCATTTTTGTGCATGCCCTCGCAAGGACAAAAGGCCCCCCAAAAAAACTGGTAAAGAGAATACAAATGAGAAAGACAGTATTAAACCCTGGATAGATCCACACATTCATGACATTCCATAAGACCACTTAAATTGTTCCAAACAACCGGTAATTTTGAAAAAAGAACAAAATAGTCTGAACTTACCGCTCACAATTACATGTGTCTGCCGAGTTGCAAAGTCCATTTCACTGACATGACTGTAACATAATTCACCGGTTGTTTGGAACAATTTAAGGGGTCTTATGGAATGTCATGAACATGATGAATGTGTGGATCTATCCAGGGTTACTGTCTTTCTCATTTGTATTCTCTTAACCAGTTTTTTTGGGGGGCCTTTTGTCCTCGCGAGGGCATGCACAAAAATGCATACCGTGTACATGTCACCAAAGTATGCCAAATTGGTGGAGCGTTTGTACGGAGGGTACCGTAGTTCAACGCTCCACTCAGTAGAACTAGGTAGCCACACCATACATTTCATTCAGCACAATCAAACATCGCTTTCAGAATTCACGGACATAAATTATGGGCAGTGGATATTTTGCCGGAGACGGCAAACCTTTAGTAAACGTTAGTTTGCCGGATATGCACTGAACATGCGTAGTTACTGTTTTTTTGTACTTAAACATTTTCCGCTGACAAATTTTAGTCTGGCTCCATGCCAATATTATCGTTGTAACCTCGTATTCACAAGATGGGATTCAGACCATTTTATAATTTCGGACTTTATTTCCCTTTTTAAAAAAATCCTCCAAGAGCCACAAATCTGAAAAAGAAAATGTAATACTCTGCAATAAAATGTTTGAGACATATTAAAATAATAAAAGAAGAATATTCTTATTTATTTGGGGATGGGAAAAAAAAACTTTAAAATGTGGCGGCGATCGGATTCGAACTCGAGTCATCCCGCTCACTAAAGCCTTTGCTTAACCACTACACCAAACGTGCTACACAACTTTCAGTGGGAATTTAATACATCTTATAATTCAGCCCTATCTTAAAGAATACAGCGCCCTCTGTTGATATGGATTGCCGCCGGCAAACCTTTAGTAAACGTTAGTTTGCCGTCATTACCTCCGGCAAAATATCCACTATCTAAATTATGCAAATACGCCAACTGGCGTACGACACCACTCATTACGTGACGCCACACTGGCGCGGAAGAAACCAACTGTAAGTTACGAACTGTATGTGTTAACAATAACAGGGCAAAGCGAGCAAGACCGACAAACAGGCAATGACAGGGAAAAGCTGCAGGGAAAGTTTAAAGGGTCAACCTCTAATTCTACCTGTCGTGATAAATTGCAAGCTTGCTTTTTGTGGGTCCCTGGCCCTGCATCTCTTGGTATTAATACTACTAGTACATTGTTTCTTATCTTATTTGTTTTACCATACCTTATTTATTTTGAAGAATTATATTTTTGCATTGTAGTTGTACCACGAGGTGGAATAAAGTAAACTAAATTATGTGTAAATTAAACCCCCCAAAATGGAAACGTCTTGTACTCGGCGCAACCGCTTATCCTTTCGTCCTGCATGCATGTTTTTCTGGAATGGCAAACTTACCAACCGAGACTACACTGGAAAACGGGAGCTACATGATCAGGAAAACTGCATGACGTTTGCAATGGCCGTTTCGTGCTCAGATTGGAAGGTTTTGAGCCTGCAAAAATCCGTCACGCCTATTCTCGAATTCCCATGTTTTCCACTAGAACACGTACACATCAGACATGTATGGCTGGTAACCGTCATCACTCCTGCATTGCTAAACGGTACACGTCACCGCGGAAAGGGCTACCAGATTACCAGTGAACAAGGTCGGGGGTTTTAAAGCATAGACTCGCCACAAGTTCTTGCATTGTTTTGGGATATTACAAAATGACACATGTTGTGACCGTTTTAGCCGATTTTCGGCTAACTTTGACAGATTTTTTGTTAAAAAACGAGCTTGACAGAAAATTTGACAGAATGGATTTGTGGCAGAATTCTGCAAAATGGTTACTTAACAGAAAAACAGCAAATTTGCAAAAAAAATGGTACATTTGGTTACAAAAGCTTCAATCTTTTCAAGCAAACCCTTGCAAAATAGGACAGGTTGCCTGGTCTAGGTGCTGAGGTTCACTGGGAACCGGAGTTCGTCGTGACGCAACCGCGTTTTGCCTGAAATTTACGCAATTTCATACAATCTTTTATGTGGCTATAGATAGTTTATAATGTAATTTGAAGATTAATTAAGGCAATATTACAACATCTGCATGTGATTTAAAGTGTTTTTAGTGTATTTCAAGTAATTCTGGGGAATTTGGCAGGTTTTTGATAAATCTGACAGATTTTTGAAGAGTATTTAGCAGAATTTAGTCATGACCTTACAGTCACCCTGAAGACACAGCAAGTCAAATAAAAGGAAGGAACCAATAATTCATGAAAGAAAAATTATACCCACTGGAAATCTAGAGCAAAATTGCTTTTCTATCTTACACAATTCTTTATTCCTTTTAAAAGTTACATGTTTATTGTGTAGTGCTCATTTACATATTTACAAAGTGGCTCACAAAATAGACAAAATGTACATAGGAAATTTGAAAATATTCTGTATATTCTTAATATCACTTAAATAAGATATCTGTGAACAATATGCTTTATACTGATTTCAACACTGCACGCAAATAAATATATCATACAAAATCTTCCTTAATCTAACTTAGCCATGCAGTCTGCAGATCATTATGTGAAGATATTTCATGAAAATTTCTGCACAACTGTACTTTTTACAAGAAGAAACTCACAGTTCATATTAAGTACCAAATTATAAGCAATTGAATATACATGTATATCAATAATTGTTTGCTTGGTAAATTTAATGAAATTTGGCCCACAATCTAAAATCCATCACCAGTCAGCCATATTAATAACTTCAGCAGCTCCAATACATTCCAAGAGTATCAAAATGAAATCATTGAAAAGAAAATAATTTCCATAGTCATTATTTTATAGCTGCCAACTTCAGGGTTGCCAACTTTGAGTAAGACTAAGAACTGAGCGTGAGAATTCGGCGATGGAGCTTGATCAGAACGAATGCGAGCCCGAAGCGCAAAGCCCTAACGGCATGGGGTTCGCTTAGGGTCCCGAAAAATGATGTATTCTAGACGCTCTGTGGTTCGATCTGAGGCAGTTTTTGACCACTTTAACCTTTTTTTTTAGCAAAACATATCATTTAAACATCATTTTCGAGTTTGAGTCAATTATTTTTTTTATTTTTTTGCGTGAGAAATCCTGTGTGGGCGTAAGTCTCACGCTCAATGCGTGAGAGTTGGCAGGCCTGCAACTTTCTAAGCTATATGACATTATGTTGCCTTGTTTGGCACCTCATGGATATATTTTGCTTACAGTAAATAACACTTCTGGAATCCGTACACAACTACCCCCTCAACAGTCAAAATGGGAGAGCTGGGGGCCTGGGAGGGTCGACGTTCAAATACAATGCCAACGGAGCATGACATTCTGGGCAAACCCGACCAGAAACGGAAACCGACCCGACCCGAAACCAACTTCAGGTCGTTTTTTCCCATCATTTTAGTAGGGTCGGGTCAGTTTCGGTTTTGTGTTTGCGATTATTGGGTCGGGTCGGGTCGGGTAAGCTATCTTGTAAAATCTCAGAAAAAAAGGCAATATTTCGGAAATTCATGTGGTACAATATCATTGCAGAGACATTACTGTGCCCAGTATGACCAAAGTCAACCCACCTTGCCAATGTGCATGTGGTTTGCCGTCCATCACGCAGTATACAAATATAACATGGTTTGTGGGTGGACAGTCGATATTCGCTCCCCGAGGTATTGGAAGTTGACAAACTTGCCTCGGGAACTAGTTTGTCAACTTCCAATACCGAGGGGAGCTAATATCGACTGTCCACCCGAAATAAACCATGTTATATTTGATTTACTATACCTCATACATATTTACGGTAGTTGCCAATTTTTTTTTTTATATGCACCTAAAACAAACTTCGGGGAAACTTGTACAGCTCACCAAAAGAATGTTTTGGTTGCTCAACTTCAATTACTATAGTTCAGTTTGTTTACAATATAATACAGTTACTACTAGTTGTAAATACAGTTGTTTGTGTATAACTTTCTTTTGTAAGTCTTCTCCAGCACGGCATCATTGAGCTCCGGAAATTAACATTAACGCGAACCGTGCAACTATGCATCTCTCCTGGGCGATGTCCGCGCGTGCGTACTGCACCCGTGCGACAGTTCCTCGATTGCTCTGTAAAGTGCATGCGTAGTAGACTGTCGCACGGGTAACCCATGCGACAGTCTACTACGCATGCGTATTTTCCCTGTGCGTGAATCCTCACGCGCGCGTTTGGTAAACAGCAAGAATAGCATCTGGCACGTGATGGTGAAGTGACCAGTGAGAGTTCTGCTCTCGATCATGAATATGTATGAGGTATAGTAATCTATAATGTATACATGTAGGCCCACCGGCCGCAGTAGGTTAATGTACGAGTCTTCATCGTACAGTGCGGTACGATTCTTTACTGAGAGACGACGATTTTCACATACACGATGCGGCGTCACGCAGGTTAAGTTCGGGCACAAAAAGCGGACACAGTTGCCCAAGCCACATATTCAGGGGTTTTTCTTGGATCGGTTCGGTTTCAGTTTGGATCGGGTCAGCAGCGACAGTACGTGTTTGTGGACAACTTTCTTTGAGGGGATCAAATCAAAGTGCATTCAAAAGATCAAGTTGGTTATAAATTGCCCCGGATATGACTTGAGACAGGCCCTTACTAAGATATGATACCAACTGTTAGTTACCCAACTAAACATAAATGTGATGCGACCAAGCTAAATGAGTTTGTTTGTCGGGAATTTGTATTTGGAGATACAGGCCAAAATAGGGCCACTTCATCACATCACTTCATCACATCTCTTGGTGTTCCGACTTCCATAACTTTTGAACTAAAGATGGTATCAGCATGTGGTTTTCACAGCAGTAATGCTGAGATTGTGCTCTTTTCAAATCTGTAATAAACACATTTTTTACCAGGGTTGACAAACGACTCGTGTAGCTTGATCGCATCACAAATGTTGCTGTATAGCATTGCCAGTCGTGTAACGATGAAAAGAAAAGCAGATATTTATACGAGTGCATGTGCGATATGACTGTTGAGCTTTTGGTGTTCATGCCACCTTCATCACGGCTGAACAAAAATGTACATAAACGTCTGATTTTAAATGAAATCACCCAAACAACTTGCTGAATTGTTTCAAAGAGGCAGTACATGTTTCTCCCGTATTCAGAAAGTTTGGAATTTTTCCATTTTTCCATATCTGAATATTTCCACATTCGGTATGTCCTGACAAGTTGTAGGGCAACACAGCTCATGCTGATTGTAATACAGTGTTTACACTGAAAACAATTTGGAAAAGGATGATTTTCTCACAATGCAACACATGCCTATTGTAAATAGCTTGTTTTCATTGTAACTAAAAACACTGAGTACTGCCTTTTGCTGATGCTGTGGTTTCACAACAACGGTACAGTCCATGCAGTCAAAAAACTTGTACATGTGCACGTATGAAAGAATCACAAGCTAACTTGGTTGGACTCCAATTCCGTGGCTCATTGTGCAAGCATGTTGACAACCACCTCAGCAATTTCTCTTTCTGTGGGTACGCATGATGACATATTGAAAACCTGGTTTTGGTTCAAAGCGCTACACGTTGCCAATTGTAGCTTCATTTCTTCCAGGGTCCCGCAGCGCAAACCGGCCTCCAGTGTCATGTTCGGGAGCGGCTGTTGGTGCGATTTTCGGATATGGGCGTCCAGCATGTGATCCTGGGGGAAGTTCTTCCCGCAGAAATGGCATACATGTATGTCGGGCTGCTTCAGATTAGTAGGTATCGTGATAGGCTCAGTACATGGTGTATTCATAATGCTTAGGTTTGATGCCAGATTGGGATTGAGGGAATTAGTCAGCTGACTGTGTTTGCTTTTGATATGCGCATTGAGCGTTCCACTTTGAGTGAATCCCTTCCCGCACTGGTGACACAGATGAGGTTTCTTGCCCGTGTGGACAGTCTGGTGCCGGGCCATATCCGACGGGTTTGTGAACCCCTTGGGACAATTCGGACACTTGAACGGCCGTTCGCCAGTGTGGATTCGCTCGTGATACTCGAGCCCCGTGTGCCATCTGAAAGCCTTGGGGCAGTACTTGCACAGAAACGGCTTGTCACCATCGTGGATACGCATGTGTTTGGTCATGCTGATGCTCGTTTGTAATTGGATGCCACAGATGTGGCAGATGACGGGCCGCTCTCTGGCTGGAGCAGATATCAGGTCGGGATGCTTAGCCGCGATATGCTGCTTCAGTTTGCACAAGTAGGTGAACGTGGCACTGCAGTGCGAGCATTTGTTCTCGGCTGCCTTGCCCCGAAGCTCTTGTAGATGACGATCGTACGTTGCCTTGTGGACAAATCTTATCCCGCATCCTTCACAGAGGTAGCGACGCTCAAGGGTTGATTTGGTGCTCCTACGAGTCAGAACCTTTTGCTGTTTGGGCTTCCTGCATGCAGAAGGCTTGTCTGCTTTCCGGCGCTTCTTGTCTTTCCTCTTCATATCTTTACAGCTGTGTTTGAGCAACAGTTTTGGGGTCGCGATAGCGAGCAGGTCTTTGTCTTGGTCTGTTTTTCCTGCATTAGCCTCACCATCATTTGAAAGCCCATGCTCAGGATTTTCTTGAAAGTGAACATCGTTGTTAAGAATATCAATGTTATCAACTTGGGCTACTGAGTTAATGTCTTCCGGATTACAGCCCCGATGTGCACAGCAACATAAGTTGACTTGGACTCCAACGGAAGCGGTCGACTTCTGGACAAAGTTACCGCTTTGCTCAGCGCTGCCCGAGAGTACACTGGTGCCCTGGGTGATATCAGCCTGGCTCAATGCCGGTAATCCAATGGTTCCCAGCAAGTCATGCGGGCTGGTCATGGGGATGCCGTTGGGCGTGGGAATAATGTTGCTGTTTGTGTAATCGTCTGGGAACACAAGCACGTGTCCATCACTGGTTCCTGACAAACCATCTGCTGAGACGGCAATGGGCGTGGCACTGCTCATTCCAGTGGGGGTATGCATTTCCATATTCATGACTGTTGATGCTGATGTCATCAATGACATCCCGATAAGCAGGTTGATTCAATCACAGCTGAGAACCTGGAGACTTAAATGAAAGAGAATAGCAAAAATAAAAGGCTGTGTTTATTTTCACATACTTTTTGCAGGTTCAACTTTGCCTAGCGACGTACACATAAGGCCAAAAAAAATAATAGTTTTGCTTCCGGTTTCTCTACCTACCCTATTCTGACAGCCCCTACCCTAATTTTTTATGGGAAAAATGAGAAAAACACCCAAAACCATCAATTTTTACCTTTTACCCTTGACTGCACGCAGACGCCTCCATATGATCGTACACAAAAAAAATTGGAAAAAAAAAAAAATTCCCTACCTACCTACCCTATTTTCGAATGCCATGTAATTGGAAGCAGAAGAATTTTTTTTTTGGCCTAACCATGTAACATGTGCCTTGAAACTTTTCAGTAAGCCACGATACAACCAAGTCTAAAATCAAAAAGGTTATACGTGTAAGTTGGCACAGACATGCAGGAACTTTCACAAAACTTAATGTTTATATTTTTAGTCTGGAGTGGTAAATGGTAACATAACATCTACCAGTAGCAACCGATGAAAACACATGTATGCTAATGAAATGTGTTTTCACCAACTGATGTAAAGCTGTCAATATGTGTATGCTGTGTGTCTCTGTCTTCCACTGAAGGTCTCAAAAGAGGTCCAAAAGCGCCACCTATGGGTCATGCACAGATTCCATAAATTAGGGGAGAAAATTGCTCAACCCTGCTCTTGAAAATATTGGATTTTTTTCTCCGGATGAATTTTCAATTTGTATGTTTCATTTGAACAAGAAAAAAAAATGTGACGATCAGCTGGTTAGTTGATCGTCACATTGATTTTGATAGGACATATGAAACAGCCGTCAATCGATCAGGTGAACCGTCTAATCGTATGCGCGCATGCGTTCTGCAGAGCAGCATGTACACTTAACAGGTACTCAATGTGCCCCTATCATTTTGCCCGTACAGCTGGTCCGGGTACCAGCGACCCAGGTGATCATGAAAAGTTGCTAATGTTCAGATCAGCCTCCATAATGATAACTGTCACTCCAAAAACGTGGAGGAAAGATTCCCATATCTGGCCATCACTTGTCACCCTGTGCACAAACCCTATGACTATGAGACTGGTCTGAAAATTTCTGTTTTCTCAGTAAATACTTCAATAATTTTCCTGCTAAATTTGACTTTTTAAGCCATATTATCACTTTCTGATGGCTGATACCGGTAGGCGATAGGTCACTGAAGGGAAAAACTAGATAGAATTGCCAGAATTAGATGATGGCCAGATATGGGAATCTTTCCAAAGTGGAATTTATTGGGCATGCTGACTGATGCGTTGATTGGAATATTCACTGTATTCTTCACGTGTAAGTACTTAATATAATGGGACAAATGACCTTCACTCAGCGGGCTTCAGGTTGAATATTTTGAACACGTCGAAGGTTTTTTTATCACAATTACGAGTGGCGATGTTAATGACGCCACATCCACGGGTCTACTTTTTGGGTACACGTTCCAAGTGTGGCCCTTATTTACGGAGGTAGTTAAGTAAATTGGCCACATTTATGGGGCTATAAAAGTCATGTTTGCTAAATAGTAAAACTACTGTACACAATTATATAATTTATACCATTGAGATTATGATCATGAACAGATGGAGGAAGGAATTCCTCCACACATGACAACAGAATTAGAAAGAATGTTGCAAACTTGCAACCTTGGCCTTGCTTCATATAGGCCTATGTTAGGAAATACACAAAATACATGTGTAAATTCTTGACCCTACATCGTCTTTTGTATTTGTCACAGTCAATGACAACCGCTGAAGTGGTGTATGGATACTTTCTTTCCCAAATGTCTACTCATGATGTTAGTACCTGGCGGTAATTGCTGATTTCAAGGCAGCCGGCCCTATAGCCTTCTAGTTCTACTTTCTAGCAAGCATTCATCAGCCATCCACTTCCCGTCACGTTTGCTGCGAGTTGAGGAAAACGAATATCGGAGCGAGTATAGTAGAAACCAAACCGTGCTTCCTGGCTATGCAGCCTGCGCAGCTAGCTAGCTAGCTGCATGCGCATGCATTGCATTGCATGCAATGTATTTGCCGAATGTAACTTGATCAATAGAGGGCGCCATGCAGAATGTCTGGACGATAACTTGAGCAATTTCAGTTTAATCAAACTTGTCTAAATTCGCGTGAGACCATTTTAAAACAAAATAGAGAAAAAAGCTCCCTAACCCGTGCTCTTTAACATATTCGATTTGTTTTCTCCGAATGAATTCTCAATATGTATGTTTCATTTAACGAAAAATAAACTCTGCACCCCCCCCCCCCCCAATAAGGAGCATACATGCAGCTCACCATAGCGCAGTAATCAATTCGGCGGGACGGTTTTTCACCCATCATGTGGACAATGTGTTCTGTCTATCTATCCTGAGCCTTCTGCAGCAACATGTAAATGCTTGATATGTTGGCCCTTAAAGTTTGTCTGCCATGTCTGCTGTACCTGTGACGTTTCACAGCCATAACGGAGAGTTGTAGTGCTGTACAATTTTTAGTTGGGCTGAATTCTCTGTGGTCCTACACCTAAGGCTTCACACGAAGTTTACCAAGGGTAGAACTGGCTTTGGATATCTTATTGCTACCCCATTATCGATGTTGACTGTTTTTGACAGGATGCTACCTAGGTACATGTATGTGAAGCTGACTAAGTCAGCTGCTTGTGGGCCCCGACCTTAATAATCATCGGCAAAAAGGATGATGACGGTCTTCTCTTTACTTTCGTTACAGCTCACAGCCTTCTGAGGTTGAACAGTTACACCGTCAGTATCTGATGTCGATGGGGATACCGTCATTGCTACTTGGAAAGCATCTGTAAGCACTGCGATGAACACAATGCTGAATGGTGTAGGGGCAAGCACTCGAAGCCTTGCCTGACGCCGTTTGTGACTGGGAAGGCTTCTGACGAGCCCAATACATGGGCCATCAGGTCATCACACTGCCGCTGGAACAAACTTTTGCCAGGGGGGTGCTGGAATTTCGCAAAGCCCTTACGTCGTGGCTTAATTTGGAATATGGATGCTCTGTGGTGCAATCTGAGGCGCTTCCTGGCCACTTTCATTTGACTTTTTTAGCAAAAGTGTTTTGAGATTACAAAGACAATTTATTTCATTATTTTGTTTAGAATATACTGTTGCTCTTAAAACGTTGAACTGTTCGGAAAAGTGGAGAACCCTGTATGTTTATGTCCATATTTGGTTCCATTTAATTCTAGAAAAAGAATTGTATCATTATGCATGACATCGCATGTAAATATTATTGTTGCAAGGCTGCTTTCTTACATTTATATAATTACCTTCGTGCATGTTTTGTTTTATTTTCCGAGCCCTTACGGCGTGGGGCCACAGGGCCAGGGGCCCGCTTTAAGGTCCAAAATGTTGGATGTTTTGGATGCACTGTGATGAAATATACTGAAGTATACTGAAACTTATAAAACCCGAAAGGATGTTTTTTGGTTCAAGTTAAAACAAATGGTTCCACTGGAAGTGGATGAATTTCTGTTCATAAATATATTCAAATATTTCTAACTCACCAAACGATGTAGCTCTCGATATATTTGCAGTGTTATTTGTTTGTTACAGGGAATGGCAAATATAAAAGACTAAAAGACCAAATGCATCTTTTTTGTTTATGATCGGTAGACGGCAAGTTTGGGACTAGGCAAGGATTTATCGGTCTTATTCTACTGAGTTTTTATGAGGAAAAACTTGCAGAGGGTAAAACATAAATAGCTTTTTTATTGAAACGAAACTGTAACACTGGAATCGGCGTAATGCATGACTAGTTTCAATGAAAGCCCGTCCCACTCCTAGGTTGGGGATGTGTGTGAACCTTGCTATTTGTTAATGTTGAGTACAGAATGCTAGCAACGTGAAGGAAACTTTTAAATGAAAAGAAAAACCTTCGGGGGAAAGGTATGAATATTTGCCCCTATTGAAAGATCGAATGAAAAAAATCCTGGCAAGCATAATCAACTTTGACACCATTGTCATGGCCGAGGTTATTGCTTTCGGGTCAAACTTCCATAATGGCGGAAATATCATGTCATGATTTTAGATACCTTGAGAGAAATATCGATTCTGCACTGCCTAAAGATTTAGAAAATACCTCCTCTTGATATTTTACAGTGTCCGTGCACGACGTTCGAAGCGCCGCGCTTAGCCGCAGCAAAACTAGAAAGAAACAAAACAAAGATGTAGAGCAAGCATAATGTATAGCGTAGCGGCGCAATTTCATCGTCGTAGAACACTGCTGGCTGTAACACATTTTTGCCCGCAGGAGTAGGGGGTGCTGAAGCATATTCCAGCACCCCAATCCAAAAAGTTGGGGGTGCTGCAGCACCCACAGCACCCCCCCCCCTTCCCGCGGGCTTTTAATTGGGTCATCATCAGTGGCGTAGCCAGGAATTTTTCAGTGGGGAGGGGGGGGGGGGCGCTGGGGGGGGGGGGGCTGGAACATTTCATGGGGGGGGAGGGCGTCATGTAGATCAATGATAATTTTTTTAGAAACTCAAAATCTCAGTGGGGGGGGGTGACTGGGGGGGGGGGCGACAAGGTTTTCATGGGGGGGGGGGCGGTCGCCCCCCCCCCCCCCCCCCTCCCGATGGCTACGCCACTGGTCATCATGAAACTGGCGAACGGCTTGAATGACCTGTCTTGCAGCGAAAATCATATCGACTGTTCCCTCGGCGCGGCCAGCTCGAAAGTCACACTGGCTCTCTGGGAGAAGGTCTCAGATGTAAAATCAAACGATTGAGCAAGACAGGAGACAGTATCTTGCCGGCAACTGACAAGAAGAAGATTCCTCTGTGGTTGTCACAAGACTGGCGATTGCCCTTATAGAGGTGGACTATGGAAGCATTTTTAAGTTGATGTGGAACCAATCTGGATTGCTTAAAAGGGGTCCTTCAGCTTCTGTTTCAGCGTTATTCCGTCTATACTTTATACACCTCGGCAGGGACAGACCCTCAGCTTCGCTGGAGGACAACTGGCTAATTACATTTTTGACTTCCTCCACAGTTGGTGGAGTGTCAAGCCCTCCATATATTTCGACTTGAGGCATGCGAGTTGTGTCTTCATCGTTAACGGATTATTGACGAACGCGGCATTGACTCGAAGTGCTCAGCCCATCGATCCAAGATCATGGCCTTGTCCAGGCTAAGCAGACTCCCTCTGCGCTGAGGAGGGAGAGGTTACAAAAAACAGTAAACATCTTTTAAGAGCATCATAAAAACGCTTTAGCTTTTATGATGCTCGTTCCTGACTGCTAGTGCTACTGAGCCAGGAGTCTTTTATCTTGCGGAGCAGTGTTTTGCGCATGCTGGTGAAGGCTATACTTGATGCGTTTTTGGCAGTTGGGTATCCAGCTTTGGATGTCAGGGGGGCAACCGCACATCAGCACCGAAATGTAGACATGTTTTTTTTCTCCGGACACTTGGCCTCCTTGGGGTAACCACCTTCCCAATGGGGCGCTCTTCAAAACTGACCATTATTATGCATACTGCAAATTATATACCCAGTTTCACGGCGCATTGAAATGGCTTTTGAGCGTTTTTTTTTTTTGGGGGGGGGGATTGATGTCGGAACTCTCTAACCATTTATTGAAATAATTTCTGAACAAAACAATTTGTGAAAAAAATCCTCCCGGGGAGGGCAGAGTTCCATCATTTCATCATTTTTTCGTCATTCTCACCCGACCTTAAGTCGTCCAGCTTGTCCACATCTCTGGAGAGGATATCAACAGTAAGCCTGCTATTCAGCATGAAATGTTGACAGAAATATTTTTGTGCAGTAAAAGGACAAATAAAATATAGGCTAAGGCAGACACAGTATGCAATTCTATTAATTTTTTTATTATTTCAAAATGATAAAAATTATAAAAGTTATTATCATTGAAAGTTAGAGTGCATCTTGTGCAGGGGCGTATATTCCGGGGGATGGGGCCCGGGGGTATATATCCCCCACACTTTTTAACCGGGGGATGGGCTATTGAATCATCCCCTCCCCCCCCCCCCCAACACCTTTCCGTGAAAAATACGGATTGCGAGTATTATTTTATCGAACATGCCAACAACCAAAATGTATTCAACATAGCACTGAACAGTGGAAAAGGAAAGTACAAAAGATATTAAAATGCGCCGTTTTGATGTAAGTGCGAGTATACATAATTGATAAACATCTATATTCTGAAAATCGCCCCTAGTGTAATGTGGTGTCCCCCCTCCCCCCCCCCCCCCCCCCCCCCCCCCCCCCACTCGCCGGCCCCGATTTACGCCGCTGATTTTGGGTCGATCGTGAAAATAAACGCAAAGTCATCCATTTGCATTTGCGTATCATGTCGTGCGATGTTCTAGTGCTCCTGAACCAGCAGGTCTTGTTTTCTTTTACATCGATCCCGCCCACTGAGTCATAACTGATAAACACAAATCCAAAGAGAGCAGTTAAATATTTCCAGTAGAACTTTCACGCCACAGTGAACATTTATTGTCGCTGCTGTGCGGATACCACATTGAATATTGCTGCCCAGTTAAAGCACTGCCCCCTTTTTTACATTTTTTAAACAACGTGTTTACTTTGTTTAGTTCCACTTCATCCGGCCGTAAACCTAATCAAAATTTAGGATTCTTGTGAGCCAAAGCTTGAAGTTCCTTTGTCATGTCATGCCCCGTTGCTGTCATTCTGGACTGTGGGTCATTATGTTTATCATGGATGAACATGCACTTTTAATGTTCTGTAGATTTGAAAACTATACTCTATTGCCCAATTCCTTGTTGTTTTGATTGTTTGTATGTCCCTGTTTCGTAATTAGCAAGGTTTCTATTTCATCTTATCAGTGAATGCGCGCTGTCGAAGGCCTATACTTATACGAGGCTATCGCCGCAACAACAGGTCCCTGTGTGTATTATTCCAAGCGTCAGCAATACACAACCAGTACCATGGCTCACTGGTATAAAATCACGGGCAGTATTTCATAAAAGAATGGTTTACCATAAAAATAGTCCAGCCCTTTTTGGGAGAATGTGTTTGTCCCGCGAATTTGTAAGAAGCTTTTGTTCGGGGGTAAAAAAGCAAGAGAGCGAACCAGCCAATGGGACGATTATAATATGCGTGTTCAAGGCTGCGCCCATTTTTTTTTGGATGAAGGCATGCAGTGTACACCCATGCTGAACTTGCCTCTCCATTTGTAAAACCAATACTGACGAAAACGCAGTTATGAAATTACTGTGCTTCGTCATTGGGCGTTTTCAACCATCAGGAAACGGAACAACTTTCCAAAACTGATTTTTGTCTAAACTCCAAGCAGTTACTTTATGACCGTTTTCTCGCCAAAAAATAACGATATTTGCCAACTCTGTACCCTGGAAACAGTTCGCATGATTTTGATTTAGTCGGGAGAAGAGATTCATCCGAATATTCCTGGGAGTTTTTGAGGCATTTTGTGGCCAGGTTAGGGCCACTGCCGGCCTCAGCCATGGGGGACAGAAACTTGGCGTGTTTCTGCTTGATACTCGCAACACTTCTGTTCAAGGTAAGTTATTGAGACTGAACGATTTGTAAAAACAAAAATACGTTCAATGCGGAAAAATGATTTTTAGTATGGGTGTCCGCATTGTTGGCGATAACGCAAGACACAGCACTTTATATGCTCTCATTATAATGTAACACAAATCTGAAACCGAATGTGAGTAATGTCAGACAGTTATTAAAACTTGAGGGGAGGAAATGGAAAACGAAAATCATGTTCGTCTGCATGATCATGATAATGAAGCCTGTAAGAAGATGACAATTAGTCCTTTCAAATGTTCACGGTATAATTTATTATCATTCCCCAAAGTTATTCTGCCCGTGGTCTTCAACATAACTCTTCGTTTTTTCCTCTCATATAATGAATTTTAAATTTGTATGTTTCATTCAAACGGAAAGGGCTTTTTGTTCAACGTTTTCAACTCTCTTTACATACGCTATATTTTCCTAATTTTGTGACCATAATGCCCCCAAAAAGATAAGCGTGATAATAATAATAGGTGGCCGCAAATAAATCGAAACTTGTTAAGTAAATATTCCACAATTAATCGATTTCTTTTTTTTTTAGACTTTTCATTCAAAAGTGAATAACTTTTTGTCTTAAAAAAAAAAGGAATTTAAAATCAAAATCTATTTTTCGGGATGAAACCCGAAAACAGTACAAGGAGAGCAACCTGGCGAATTGTGCTTTCAAAATTACATGTGTAATTTTTGAGAACTTTCAGACAAAATATTGAAGCGAAACGTATTCGTATATGTTTCTGTGTTTTCTTGGTCGAGTTGAGTATGGTTAATTGTGATGCATGTTTTGAAACAATTTATAAATGGCCAAAATCAGTTTGGTTCGCGCCGTTTTCAGTTTGTACATCGAAAAATGTTAACAGATGAAATTTGATATTTGTTCATGCAACATTTGTGTTTCATGAGTCGTGTCCCATGAAAGCAAAAGTGTAAACATTTTTTTGGTAGGCCTAATTGATTCGTCTCCAGCAATTGTCTGTACTTGTTATTTCTGAAATAAATCATGGGTATCATTTTTTTTGGGGGGGGGGTGTAATTTGCCGTCTTTTTTTTTCTATAATAGGAAAATAACAAAATCGTGAAATTTATATTCACGTTGCAATGTTGTAACACTATTTTTCTGCGTAAAGGGTGACGCCCTGAACAGTCCATGGTTTCGTTTCGGCGTGGCAATTTTGATTGGTTTCTTCTCCCGAAGCTATTACTGTGGAAGTGCAGAACTTATTAATCAAACTAATAAACTTCTTTTGATTATTTTTTTCAATGACATTTTCCCCACTTTTGGACTTTTTAGACATCGCTCGAAATTTAATTTGCATTATCGTCCATGAGGTGGAAGTTATGTACTGCTTGATTTACCGCATTTATGTGTACTCTTGCAAAGTCACAACAAAATAAAACACAACTGGTTGTGAAATTGTATGTCCGTATTTAATTCTATTATAAATACCGACCAATAAACTAGCAGCAAATGAGATATTTTATTATTTTTTTCTCTGGTTAAACAGTGTGTACGATGTTTGAGCTATATTTTAATAAAGGTTGAAAGGGCCGAAACACCGCCACTGTGAAAAAAAAACACTAGCTTCTAGAAATTCAAACAAAATTGGAAGGAAACTAAAGGAGAATCTTTGAAATGAACTAAAATGAAGTAGAGAATCACTTTTGCAGTTAAATCAATTCAGAACGCTATGATGGCGTTATAGAACCGTTTGACAACATACTTCTTCCTTTTCTTTACTCTTCAATGACTGATGTGCACACTCAAAAAGTGCTATCCAAAGCCCGCAAGGAACATGAGCAATTAAAACCAGCGTTATTTGTCGTTTATTTACATATCCTTGGAAGTAAAAGTTATTTTAATACCAACTATTCACATGTAAAACTTGGAAAGCTTTATCCGAGCAAACTCAAACGGAATTGATATTGGGGCATTCAGCGGTCAAGCGTCCCATTGTGTACGAGGATTGACCGATCCTTGGAAGCTGGCTGATTAATCCCGCACAGTGAACAGTCGTCAAGGTCAACTTTTTTGAGGTCATCAGAAGAAGGGACTTTTTGCTCGCGTTAAAACCTTCCCACCCCTTCGCACGGGGGTGAAGGGCGACCAGATTCTGAGAGCATGGAGTGGAATTATTTCAAAGTTGTTTATTAATCTCCGCAAATCTGGAATCGGCAGGATATTTTATACTCTCAAAATTGGATTCTCAAACGGACTGGTAAAATAAGTGCAGTAGTCTTGTGGTACAAGGTTCGTCGCACACCGTAGACGATTGCTACTTACTTTTTGTTCATTAAGAATACTTAATTAGGTTTTAGGCCTCTATTGGTTTGGACCTATAGTAAGTCTTTTTATCTAAAGACTATGATTTATAATGTCCCCAAGCAAAACGGTTTTTTTTTGGGGGGGGGGGTTCAAAAACAAGTTGAAATTTGACCGAAAATTTGAGTCGAAAACAACGTGACTCGCATTAATGATTTTTTCCCCTAAAGATGCAATTAAATTTAACACACCAACGAAACATATATTTAACAAGTATGTTCTTCCGCTCATTTGAAAAAGGAATTACTGAAATTGATGCATGCTATGAGTTATGCACATTTTACTTTAAAAAAAATCCATTTTTATAGCTGTCCGTGGAATTAATGTCATTGGAAGCTAGTGAGTTGAGTGGGAACCAGAGATTACACACAGGCATTCAGATACAAATGAGATTTTCATAATTTTTGTCAAGACTGAAACATTATTTTTCTACTGTCACATTTTGTGTTTTGAATATGGGGACTTTTTATTTTTGAAAATGATGGTGATTTTTGTCTGTTTTCCTGTGCACAGTTTCGTTCATTCATGAAAGCAGGAAAACACCCTTGTTTAATGATCATTGGTGGACAGCTGAATTGTGTGATGCTTGTGTTAAAACAGACATAACTCGTGAAAATATGCAAATTGCGTGCCATCTTCCCCAGATACTATACAATAGTGTACTTATCCCTACGTTACTTTTATTACACGGAGCAAGCAATACATTATTTAATAATTTTTTTTTTCTCATTATGTCACTTTCTTTTTGACAATTCGGAAAGATGTTTATGAAAATGAAGGCACAATAATGTGCAGCAATGTTATAGTCACGTGGTATTTATCACAAATCGCTATAAATCTAGGTAGACACCTAAAGTATGGTGTTCCATCGGCGTCGCATTTTTGGGCGTCGCATTTTAAAGCTCTGGCAGGGATCATTTTGATAAATTTCATGCAAGACTTTCATACAATACGGCCAGCAGAGCTCATGCACACTCGCACTCGTTTTTCTTACATTTAAAAAGACACACGAGCAACTCTTGACAGGTTTTGGTCATGTCATTAATTTTGCATTTTTGTATGCAGTGTTTTTCCCCTTCTAGGTAGGCCTAGCTGTTAAGGGAATAATAATTGAAGGGAATACTGTATTTATCGGGTAGAAAAAAACGCCTTTGGCGACTAACACAGTGTATACACGTCATATCTTTACTCCGTCAATAAATTATGGTTATAAAAGTATTTCTGCAGTGGACCGAATCGCCTGGCCTCACTACGCCTCGGCCTTTGATGCAAAAATTTGCATATGTTTGACTCCATTCATGGGAAATTCCTGAGTTGAAAAGATCGTTCGCTTCATGCACATACCAAGCATTAATAATACAGCCATGTAGGCACTATTTAATCCTACCTAACCCCACGCTATAGTATAAGCTAGTCGTGCTTTCGAAATGCCATCATGTTTTTCAATCAGGTCTCTGGCAGTAACCCAACATTCCTATTTTTTTTAATTTCAAACTTTTGACCTGCTTTTCATATTTGTTTTTTCATTTTATATTATATGGGGGAAAAATAAGAAAGAAAAGCATAGCAACTTGAAACGCAAAAAAAAAGAGTTATGGCAGCAAATAAACGGGATGCATATGCCCCATGTTAGCCTACACGGCGACTTGACATTTTGTTTTCCTCTTACTTTCGAAGAAAGACTCCAATGTTCGCCGAAGTTTTTTTTTTTTTACACAAAGTCTAATTTTCCACAATGATTCTTTGGGAAAGTCCCCCGACATTCCCCATATACTTGGGGAATGTCGGGGGACTTTCCCAAAGAATCATTGTGGAAAATTAGCCTTTGTGTAAAAAAAAAAAAAAAACTTCAGCGAACATTGGAGTCTTTCTTCGAAAGTTTACAACAATCCCCAAATTAGCATTAATTATGCATAAAGCCGCCCTCTTTAAAACTTATCATCCAATCAAAGTGCTCGGTCGGCCAATTTCTTTTCATTGAAATAGCCCCCTCTCTTGGCGAGGTGTGGTTAGGAAAGTGGTGGCGCTAATTTGAAGAAACGAAAAAAAGCAAGCAAAAACATTGAAAATTGCTTGAATGATGTTTCATAACTAGAAATGTTTTACAAAGGTTGTGGTAAGTCTTTGGGTAGAAAATGCGAATGTGGTATCCAGACGACAATTCTTTGGTGTGGCCTCGGTATTGCTGCGCTGTACGTTCGGCCACACGCCTGGTTTTCCAACAGTGATGATACTACTCTAGTCCAAAGCCTGGCGCACTTTTTTTGGCATTTTTTTTTATACATGTATACCATGGCATACGGTTGTATTCTATGATAACTTATCTTTTGTCCTCCTGGTAGATAAAGTAATCTTTCTTATAATTTTGAGAGAAATTTAGACATCTTTCTGGAGTCCTCATGTGCAAATTTCGGACTAAACTCCTCCGTACTAGATTGGGAAACCAAACGTGTGGCCTATAAGTATAACGTATACTGCGCAGCAATACAGAGGCCAGTGGGGCTAATGAGTCGAGTGCAAGTCATAAAGTACATGAAGTAGGGCTGGCCCATCGCCGGGGGCGATGACTGACCTTCGTAGAGTTAGTACTACTTATAGTAGGCCCTATATGACTAAAAAAGTGGCATCTTGATACAACATTCTTTCCGAAATGTATTTTCTGACAAGAATGGGAAAACGTTGACAATTGATTGTCATGATTGTTCATATCTTATTTCATTGTATTTATTCAAATATTTGCAATGATTGACCATCATTAAGACTAGCCTCATAAATGTGGCCAATTTACTGGACTACCTCCATGTAAATAAAGGCCACACTTCATGTACAGAAACATGTCGAACTTTGTCAAATTTTGATTTTCACGTTTAGGCTTAGTTTGATCAGAAAGTGCTTAATTACTGATCAGAAAGTGCTGCCTTTTTCAGATGCTTATTTTCGTGAAATTTCATGTTGAAATTGTGATACGCAAACGTGTGCAAACGAATCTGGAAATTTCACGAAAAATAGACATCTGAAAGAAGCCGCACTTTCTGGTTAGCTTATAAAGAGGGTGAGTATGCTTCTAAAGTAGCTTGAGTAACTCCAGCTGACATGCTCCATATTCATTCACATGTGAATGAATATGGAGCATGTCAGCTGGAGTTACTCAAGCTACTTCTAAAGCAAAAATAAACTACAAACTAAGCCTAAATGTGAAAATCAAAATTTGACAAAGTTCGACATGTTTTTGTACAGGGTGGAAGTGTGGCCTTTATTTACGGAGGTAGTCCAGTACATTGGCCACATTTATGGGGCTACATCAAGACTAGCCCAGGTTGGATGATGTTTTCTTTGCATTAAGACTGATGTCTAGGGTATGAACTTTGCTGCCATAGCTAAAAAAAATTCAACAAATTTTGTTTATACTTTTACCTGATGAAGGAAGCTGAAATTTTGCTTACATATTCCTTGTGTCCAGAATTACAAACAAAGATGCTTGGTTTAGAAAAAGTAATTATGTCCGTGTAATTATGACATGTTAATCAAAAATATATATCGTAGATACTCTGTTTCATCAAAACCATCTTCAGTACGAACTTCCCGTGCGCTTGCGTAAGTCTTCACATGATAAGTTACCCACAATCCCCAGAAACCTAGCTTTTACTTTTCAAACTTTTAAATTTTGAATTTGTTTTTGCAGCCAGCGGAAGGACAGCTGGGAACAGCCAATGAGACGGTAACCCCTTTCAGCTACAAGCTGCAGTGGGCAAACCCTGTAACGGTGCAGACGGTTGAAGTCACAGAGGTTGACACTGGTACCCAGACCGAAGACTCCCCATTTGATATTGGTCCGAATCCCATCAGCGAGTTTATCGTTTACCACCTGAAGCCGCTCACCAATTACAGGATCAGACTCACTGATGCCTCGTCTGTCGAGTACACTGAATTAACATTAGGTAAAGATAATCTTATCTTTTTTTTTTTTTACATTTAATAGTCGGAAAACTGTAGTACTGTGAATTTGTGAATGCTAGTCAACAGCATGCTTTCGCATCCCTCGTCATATTTTAGGGAGTCAGGTTGGCGTGGCGGTACTTTCCTCGCCTTCCACCGCTATGACCGGGGTTCCAATCCCGCCTCGGCCAATATGTGCATTGGGTTTTCAGGCCCTACCTGATTCCGTGGGTTTTCCCCAGAATATTCTTCTGGGGTATTCGATTCCTCCCACCTCTAAAACTGGAATTTCTTCTCGTTGTCTCCTCTCTACAGGTTTCTTCAGGCTTGCGAGCTACAGTGCCTAGGGCGCTTTTGAGGAATCTTTTGGTTTCATTACCAGAAATAAAAAATATATTTTTAATAGTGCTGGAGTTTTTCATTATTTCCATTCAGAAGGAAACATTTGTGTCATTAATGTTAATTCTACAACTTTCCTTATTCTCCCACATTGTTAATGTGCTTTTGAGTTTATCAGATCTAAAATGAAAAAAAAACAAAAACAAAACAACGTTATTTATACCTGCATTTAAATTTTGGATGAAGTCTGAAGAGTTTTTTTTTTAGACTGATGATAAACTTGTAAGAAATGTCTTAAGAGCAGTGACAAATATTAGCGTCAACATGCAGTGACGTGGATCCAGGATTTTCCCAACAAGGGCGGTTAATTTAAGTCCAAAATTTGTCAGGGGGGGGGGGGGGCTGGGGAGTGGGGGCATTATTCGGATGAAAACTTAAAAGAAATTTGGGATTTTTTAAGTTAGTAATGAGCATTGTTCAATCGGAGTTGGGGGAGGGGGAGGGTTTATAGTGGCTAGGGTGGTTAGGACCCCCCTCCCACGCAAGGGCGGATCTAGAACACAATTTTTTGGGGGGCCCAAAAAAATGTTGGTCCCCCCCAAAAAGTGGGTCAAAAATTTTTTTTTGGATTCTAGATGCTCTGTGGTGCGATCTGAGGCAATTTCTGACCACTTTAACCAATGTTTTTTTGAGGAAAAGATGGTGGTGTACTCATTGCCTGCCTTTATTGCGATGTCACATAAAAAAAAAAAAAAATTGGTTTCGTTTTTTGGGGGGCCATGGCCCCCTTTGGCCCCCCCCCCTGGATCCGCCCTTGCGGGGGCAGTCCCACACCCCTTTCCGTGGACCCGCCCTGGACATGTTTCACCAATTTCAAATCCCGTCCTAATGCCCCCAAGTATTCGTATTCATAACATTCCCACTTGTACCTTGCAGCTAATGTGCTCACTCGGATCGGCACCAACACCCCGGGTATGATGGCCATCGAGTTACCCAACCTAGCCATTCCGGACGGAAACTCAGCTGTCCTGGTTCAAATCGAGGACCCCATCAACAACAACTCGCCGGTGATCACAACCAAAGCTGTAGTTGGTAGCAATAGGATCCTCACGTTTGATAATCTAACACCGGGAACACTCTACCAGTATGAGCTGCGCATTCTGTCTTCAACCAATCAGATTGTCAGTGTGGAGGGCGTGTCACAGTTTCGAAATGGTTGGTGCATCACATTTAGTTTCTTTCATTATTACTGTTATGTCAATAAAAGCCTGGTTTTTTACTTCATGTGAAATGGCCAATGATTATCCTCACAATTGAAATTCTGTTTTAGGTGTTTTTTTTTATTTTTATAATTTCCAGCTCCACGTCCACCCAGCGCCTTCAGCTTCTCCAACCGACAGGGCTCCAGCCTCACCATCACCGTCACTCCCTCCCAACAACAGAACAACGTGGACTACTACAAGGTCACCTACGTGGAGAGGAACACCCAGACTTCTAATAGTGTACAAACCGTGGCGAATACCGTGACGCTGACCGGACTGAATCCCAACTCCCCGTACGACGTGACCGTGAGGTCGGTGGCTGGCATCGGGGGTGACCTGGAAGAGAGCAGCAGCATCTCCAATGCGTTTACTCTAAGTACTGCCCCCAGATTTCAAGCATTTCCCACAAATTCCATCCTCTTAAGACCAAATGAGCATCCAGAAAACCTCAATTATGGGGTTGACACTAGACTCTACTGTGGGAGTGAGGGGGGGGGGGCAAGGGAGAGATGAAGAAAAACGCATTGGGGACTTGGTAAACATGTCCCAAAAGTTTACCTAGCTGGCATCTGAAAATGCTTTCCCACTTGATTTCTGTTCCTGATTTGAAGAATGACTGACTTGGCATCTTAAACGTGTGGCATTTTTCACTCTTGGCACTTTTGAGCATCTCAACGCAATGACTTTGGGACATTTTGAAGTCACAAATTCAGCCGAGTCCAAGTCTGTCCCAAAGATTTGAATCTGGGGCCAAATTTCATATTGAGCTGCTAAGCAGAAAATCCTGCTTAGCAAAATTATGTGCTAAGCACAAATTTGCTGAAAACCAGTCATTGATGATATACATTGTATGTTTTTTTTTAAGCTGGTAACCTGTTTTTGCTAAGCAACAGTTTTCTGTGCTTAGCAGATTTATGTGCTAAGCATAGTAGCTCCATAAACCAGAGTTACAAAATTGGGACTCTGGTCCAAGTCTGAGTCACTAGTACATTCAACCCTCGAAAAAATCCCTTCTGCTATCTGAACAGCAACGGAAATCAAAAAAATTAATCCTCTTCCCCTGCCATGCCTTTTACACAGACTAGTCACCAGCAGTCAGATCATATTTCACACAAGCACTGTGACTAGTCAAATTCAGCCAACTGATCAAAACAGGCCAGTGCTGGGCACAGCTGGCTTATCAATCACTTACAGTCAACGCATAGCTGTATCAAGTTACATAAACAGTCACAGCCAGTCAATCCTGCTTTTATATAGGCTGGAAGCTCTGAACTGTTGAAAACAGTCACTTGATTGATTTTGACTGAAAGGACAACTTGGCGCAGAATGTGTGTTTGTATAGGAGGGTTACAGAACTCTGAAGAATGTCTGTTGAACATTGGTTGGGTAACACTGAGGGAAACAAACCCAGGTTATGTAATTTGTGGGAGATACTGTTATTTGAAGGCAGTCCCTAAGTAAACGCATCAATAAATAAAATAGACAAGGTTTAAACGAGCAAAGTTTTACCCTACCGAGGTAAGACAAGCTTAAGGCACAAGGAAAATCTGTAATTGTTTTGAGCTTGTGGGTGAGTATGCAGTAAGCAAGAAGGCAAGCTAGCATGAATGAAAATAGGACACAGACAGATTCGATATGAGTATATATGTGAGCACTATTTTAGAAAGTTGCCTATTTGTGAATGACTTATACAATGACAGTGCAAACAAGTGCAGCCATACGTGCTGAAAGTATCTGCGCCAGTTTGCAATGAGGCTTGCCAGTAAGTAGTTGGGGCTGTGAGTTTGTACGAGGGGAGTATAAATCAAGAATATTATCAAAGAGGCATGCAAGTTACACATCAAGCAGAGAATGAAGCCCCCCCCCCCCCAAAAAAAAAGGCAAACTGAACAGACAAATTAGGTTTGAGGGGTCCCCAGTTTCCCAGTGTGTCAATAGAAATGTAGCAGTCAATCCATAAATTTTAAAAATACCAGCACTCTCTTTTTGGAAAACTTATGTATCGAGTCTGAAGGTGTACTAAATGCTCTACACAGTGGGTTTTATCCCATCTCGCTTGGACACCCCATTTCAGAGATACAGCTAAAATGAAAGGACTTGAATTCCAAGTTGGGCCACTTTTCAGATTATCTGGTACCTAACGAAAGCCATTCACAAACCAAGAAGGTGGTGTGGACATGATAAGAAAACGGCTCAAACAGATCTTACAAGCTTTGCCGCCACTTTTCAACAAGAGGTCCAAATCACACACAACAGAAATCCTGGCAAGGGTAAAGAAACGCTCTATGGTCTCATGGTAATTCTTTTACGAAAAGAAAAGATTTAGTTTCCACAGAAAAAAAATAAATATTGTTTGACTGCTACATTTGCTTTTGAGGCACGCCATATATCTTACCGAAGGATAACATGTAAGTAAATGAAAGAGTTATGGGCACTTGTCACCATATTTTTTTGTGTCCATCTCTTGCAGCTTCCTTGGATGTAGAGGTTCGCCGGGCCACATTCCTGGGCTTGACGTGGGAGAGCGTGGGCAACGATATCCAGCAGTATGAGCTGGAGTACAGTCCTAACGGGGGATCTCCACTGTCTCCCATCACGGGGGTCGCCACCCGGCAGGTTTTTCTTGGGGGGTTGACTCCCGGCACAGAGTATACCTTTGACTTGTACGCCTCTGCCAGCGGGATCCGAGGGGATCTGATCACCTCCCAAGTTGTGCAGACATGTGAGTAGCTGTTTACCTATAGACTCTGCGCGCAACCAGTAGGTGGCGCTTTTCAGAACCCTATTGGAAGGACATGTACTGCGCAACTTGCACGTGTTGCGCAAAGTATCTTTGACTTATTTCATTCTAAACCCATAGGGTCTATGCTTGAGCGTCAGGCGCCGTTGTCATTGCGTTTGAAAACAAAATAAACTGATAAAAACATAATGCGAAAAAGCCTAAGTTCCGTTCATCGAACAGACATAGAGGTTTGTAATGTTTGTACATTACCGATGTTTTAAGACATTGTGAATTGCAAACTGTCTGATTTCATATAGTATGTGTACAAACATCTTCAGCAAAAAAACAGAAGAATGTAGCAGCAAGGCCCCCAAAAATAATAGTTCTGCTTCCGGTTACCCTACCTACCCTATTTTGACAGCCCCTACCCTAATTGTTTTGGGGGAAAAATGAGGGAAAACCCCAAAAGCATCAATTACTACCTTTTACCCTTTATTACACGCAGACGCCTCCATACACACAAAAATTTGCCCCCCAAAAATATATTCCCTACCTACCTACCTTATTTTTAAATGCCATATAATCGGAAGCAGAACTGTTTTTTTTTGTTTTTTTTGCCTAACCCTTATTTTGTTTGCGACCTCAAACTTACGCAGTAATTGCACCTGGCATTAGTGGCATATAAGAATATATACCTCTCCCATATAAAACAATTTTGAAAAGAAAATATCCGTTTTGGAGTGTGCATTAAATTTATGCGTTTTCATCATGCAGTTATGATTTAAATTTACACCTCGAAAGCAAGTGTTGTGATATATATTCCATTTTTTAAATGTTATGTTTAAGCATGTTAGCACATTAGGGACTGAGGAAATTTAGTAATTTAAGTGTTAAACTAACACTCTGCAAAAAAAAAAGAAAAAAGAAGAATACCCCTGTTTTTCGGAAACCAAAATCTTTCTCTTACCAACTCCAAAAATGGCAGCGTCTTTTTTCTTTCACATCCAAATACAATCCAGTGCCTGATGATGTGGAATTCTTTGAAATTACCATGACGGAGACCACCATAGACATCTCATGGCAAAAACCTGGGGGTCAAGTCGACTCTTACGCTATCTCCTACACCCCTGGAGGTACCGAGGACGTCACTGTCACCGATACTCAGTACACCCTCATGTGCCTGGAGCCAGGCACAACCTACCAGATCACTGTCAGAAGCAAGCGAGGTGCCTTCTTCAACTTGGATGGCGACACCAATGTCCAAACGGCTACAACAAGTGAGTTGGGCAGTTTCTATCCTCCTGGTTCTTGCTGGACCAGGGCCCATTCCTTGGCTCTGCTAACCACAGAAATCTGCGCTGGCAGTCTCCATTCTGTGCCAAGGCCGTGTCCCGGTTACTTGGCTACGACTTGAAATTACACGCGCGCCTATGGTAGCGGCTACAGCCACTTCACATAGACATGTGTGCTATTTCAAACCGTAGCCAAGTCATTGGGATGCGCTACCATAGGCACACCTACGATAGTGGCTGCAGCTACTTCCCATAGACATGTGTGTTATTTCAAGCCGTAGCCAAGTCATTGGGATGTGCTACCATAGGCGCACCTACGATAGTGGCTGCAGCCACTTCCCATAGACATGTGTGCTATTTCAAGCCGTAGCCAAGTCATTGGGATGCGCTACCATAGGCGCACCTACGATAGTGGCTGCAGCCACTTCCCATAGACATGTGTGCTATTTCAAGCCGTAGCCAAGTCATTGGGATGCGCTACCATAGGCGCACCTACGATAGTGGCTGCAGCCACTTCCCATAGACATGTGTGCTATTTCAAGCCGTAGCCAAGTCATTGGGATGCGCTACCATAGGCGCACCAACGATAGTGGCTGCAGCTACTTCGCATAGACATGTGTGTTATTTCAAGCCGTAGCCAAGTCATTGGGATGCGCTACCATAGGCGCACCTACGATAGTGGCTGCAGCTACTTCCCATAGACATGTGTGTTATTTCAAGCCGTAGCCAAGTCATTGGGATACGGCTTTACAGAGCCAGCACAAAATTCTGTGCTAACCACGCAAGCACCAAATGCTTAATTACAGTTAAAGGCATGTAGGATCTTTCTCTTGTTATGCATTTTGTTCTTTTCCAATAATAGCATCACCACAACACCAACCTAAACTGAAGTTCCGGCTCAGTGGATGATACACTTTTCGGAAAAACAGTGATAAACCATGCACACCCTAGTAAATAGGCCTGAAATTGCCTACGCTGGCCAAATCATGATTTGTTTGCCCTCAAATTCTGCAGTAAATTCTCCTCCATTTTTGAGGGCCGTGAACTTGAGGATTTGTTAAAACAGAAGGGTGGAAGCCATGCAGAGGACTGCAAGCTTGTATTAGTGTGAAATGTGGATGACAATGGAGTGTAGGCGTCCGTTTTCAAAATGGCGATGCCCTCCAGGCCTGCTCTTAGGGGAGATCATCTTTGGATGGAATTTTCTCCCAAAAGTCAACCCCCAAAAATGGAACGGAAAATGAAAGATGACGAAATAAGCCTTAGTTTGATGTGTGTCTCAAACACCTTGGAGAGTTATGAGTATTTTTAACAAATTTTGGAAGTGCATGTAATTATCACTGAGGTCTAATACTGGTCTGCAACCTCATTAAGTATACGGTTTCATCAATAAGACTCTTTATAGGACAATTCTACATTTCTTGATTTCTTAAATGACAGCAAGCCAGCTGGCTGTTTAGTACCAGCCACATCTTTAATCCTAAAAAGCTTTTTGATAATAATTCACCAGCTGACTTTTGGGATGAATGCAAATGAACCTGTAAGTGAGCAAGTCAGAACATTTTTAAAAAAAATTTAAAAATTTTTTGATTGTGGGTAAGAAGTTTGCCCTATTTATTCATCGGTTATTTTCGCCCCGATCTTTATAAAAAAAAGTCATTCAGAAAGATTGAATATTGAGTCACAATCTGTCTTTCAGATGCTGGTACTCCGGGCTTAGTCAACATCAAAGCCATTGGATCCACTTCTGTCACCTTCACATGGAACCCCGTAGATGGTGCTACGTCCTACACTGTCACCTTGTTACTGAACGGTCAGACACAGGATGTGAGGACTGTGACGGCACGATCCCTAACATTGCCAATTCAGAGCGGCGTTCGGTCATACACAATCAGGGTGGTAGCGGCGTCGACACCGAGTGTAACAACCATGAAAACATTTACGTCACGTGAGTTTTTGATTGAAAGCCTTTCCAAAACCCTCTTTCATTCTGTCTTTATTCTGCCCCTCCGTTCGGCAGTTGTTTCATTTGAAAGGAAAGAGTCAGACATGACATTTTAGTTTGTGCAAACGGCAAACTGTTTAAGCCGTGTTCTCTAAAGGGCCATTCTTTGGTCACTGTGTGACATAAAATTTGACTCGCCTGATTTTTGAAGCTTCATCAGGTTTATAGTACTTTTCACTCCCTACCTCAGAGTATAGTTTCTACTTTCACAATTTGTGTCAAAATATTTAGGAGGGCTCATCAAATTTTGGTCACCTGTGTGACATCAGACGTAAAAGTTTTATTGGGCCAATATCGGAAATTATCTTTCTTCTCCAAAGTTCTTAGGACACACACGCCCATACTAATTTTGGAGTAAGACTAGTCTATTGTGATTTACAGAATGCATAAACAATGTACACCCTCTGCTTTAGTCTTACAATATGGGAATTGTTCTGTGGTCATGTGTGTGGCATTTTGATTGGTCACATTTGTGACTCTTTGTAATCAAATTTATGCTAATTTATGCACAGAAAGACCAACTTAGGAAACATCTTAGGAAATTTGTGTCTTTACTTACATGTACTAGCAACTCTTTAGTGAACAATAGTCATTTGTAATACATCACATAAAAACGTTTTGCCCCCCCCCTAAAATTATGAAGTTTTAATTTCTGAAGAATCTCCCTAAATGGGACTGATGAGGAGAAATTTATTTAAAGGCCCGATGAGAAGGGATAATAATAATAATATAGCACCTTAGCAATATGTGAAGCAATATGTCATTGTATGTTGCACTTTCTTGGCAGTTTGCACCATTTGAATGTGGGTTTTATGTTCCGCAATGCACAGACTTATCCATAATGCAGTGCAACTTGCACTTTCCAGAAATTCTAGAAAAAGAGTCGATTTTTTAAGCACATACCTCCCTGATGGTTTCTTATACTTCTCATTCTATTGCTTTGTCAAAATGTCACGAGGTATGCATTTTATGTTTGTATTTCAGCCCCCATTACACCAGGAACTATAACCCCCAATTATGTAACTTCTAAGGACATCTCCTTCTCATGGGGTGCTTCATCAGGAGCATCTGATTATGTTATCACCTACTACCCAACAGGTAAGTCTTAGTTCAAAAGTCCTAAATCCTGAGTCCTAAGCATGGGTCTTGTTTACGTTATCACCTGCTATTTCAAACAAGCTCTACCTCAACGTTGCGTACTTGAGTCCTAAAACATAGGTCTTAATTACGGTTTCATGTGCAAATTAGGTACTACTTCAAAGTTGTAATCACCTACTATTACAAACTGGTGCTAACTCAAAGTTGAAATCTTGAGTCCTAAAACATATGCCTTGATTACATTATCACCTACTTTGTTAAACAGGTGCTACATCAAAGTTAAAATCTTGAGTCCTAAAATGCCCTTTGTCCTAAATCATGAGTCTCAAACCTTAGGTCCTGATTATTTCATCACCACCTACAAGACAGGTCAGCCTGATCCAAAGTCCTAATCTTAAGTCCCAAACTTGAACAGATTGCTAATCTTGAACAGATGAGTCCTTATCTTGAACAGATAAGTCCTAATCTTGAACGGATTAGTCCTAATCTTGAACAGATTAGTCCTTATCTTGAACAAATTAGTCCTTGAAACAGGCTAGTCGTTATCTTGAACAGATTAGTCCTAATCTTGAACGGATAAGTCCTAATCTTGAACGGATTAGTCCTAATCTTCAGCAGATTAATCCTAATCTTGAACAGATTAGTCCTAATCTCAAACAGATTAGTCCTTATCTTGAGTACAGATTAGTCCTTATCATGAATAGTTATCACAATCCCAAAAGCTAAGTGCAACTTAAAGGTGAATTAATACCGCATTAGTCAGACTTTTGCAAAATCTGCATCAGTTCTGTCTACCCTGCAGAATTTGGTGCCGTTTGATTCAAGTTATTTGACTTTTTACTTTCACCCACCCTTTACGTTTTACGCAGGGAATAGTGACGGTGCCGTGTCAGTTCAAGTCCCCAGCTCAACCACCCAGTATGAGATATCCGGCCTGACTCCTGAAACCCAGTACACGGTTGAGGTCAGGGCACTCCTGTCGAGTGCTAGCGATGAGTGTGTGACTGTACAGAGCCAGCCTGTTTCTACACAGTACACCACAGGTATGTCCATTCTTCATTCGCGATTTTCTCTTTGTTGTTCAGGGCCCAATTTCGTGGAACCGCTAAGCTGATTTTTTTGGCTTATAGCCTATTGATGTGCTAAGCATGAATGGGCAGAGGACTAGTCAGAAGCAATAGGTATTGCAGGACAGTTTGGCTGGTAACCCGATATTGCTTAGCATATAATTTCCATGCTTAGCAAACTTAGGTGCTTAGCAGCTCCATAGAATTGGCCCCGGGCCCATGTACAATAAGCAAGTTCGGTATTTCAATGACCCGAGGTCATTCGGGATAACATCGCTGAAATACCGAACTAGCTTATTGGCAGCAATTTCCAGAGAAGAGAGAAAGTGTGGCTTATTCTGAAGTAAAAAATCAACAAAAAAACACCAAAATAACCAGACAAAAATGTTAGATGGAGTGGATTGAAACATCTAGGTTCACTGATTTTTCATTTCAAAAGTGTCCATTTTCCATTGCAGGACATTGCATATTCCAGTCTAACCATAAAACTGTGTTGGACAAACGTGCTTCCTGCTTCGCGATGTGGGCGATCTATGCATTTAGTGTCCAAAGTGTGGCATTTTTTTCCTGTCTAGCCCTGTTCACCTCTAAACTTTGTAATTTGCCATTCAAGAATAATTAAGAATGACATCAAACGTTTGTTTAAGTTGTTGGGTAGGTAGTCTGCTATTCGTAATCACTCTTGGAGGATGACTGCGTTAAGGAGTGCACCCAGAATTATACAATCATAGATGTCAGATGCAACAGGGACAGGAAAAAAAGTGCTACAGCATTTGAATAAAAAAAAAAACCAATCCAAAATCTGTACAGAAATTATTTCATTTCTAATGTTTATAGCATTGAAAAAAAAAAATCTATTTCAAGTAGTGAACTCTGGTAATTCAGTTTCTGACCCTAAACATCAATCCAAATTTTAGATTTAAAAGATGTAGATTGATAAAATATATTAAATGATGAAATATATCATATAAGTATGCATTTGTAAAAGAATTTGTGCTTTTTTAAATGTAATTGGAGAAGTGTGAACCAAAACAAAATTAAAAAAAGAAAGATGTTATTTTCACCTGAATATGAATTCAATCAATCCAAGTTCAATTGTGTTTTTCTGAGCATTATATTTTAATGTTCAGGATGTTCTTTTTGTCCACAGTACTCACCCAACTCCAGATTGTGAGTTTTACGGAAAACCTGATCACAGTCACCGGGTTTGTCGTTGGGCAGACTCTGAACTACTCACCTGGGGGAACGCCCATCGTTACTGACACAACTAACGAAGTGATTTCTGGGCTGACTCCTGGAGTCGTGTATACGATTCAACTCTTGAACGGTGCAACTGTGCTTGATCAAATCAAACAACAGACACGTAAGTTCATTCAGCTGTAGTCATTAGGGCTGTTCAGTTTGGGAACTGGAACTGGAACCGAAAGCAGTCTCCAAACCGCAGAGGATCCAGAACTCGGAACGAATGTTGCATGGTGATGCCACTTCTTTCATCATTGCAAAAATGTTGAAACAACATGAATCGGGGACTGAGAAGTTTACTCTAATTTGCAATTTCACTGACTGTTTATTTCAGTTCCCGCCAGGCCCACTATTGTCAGCGTCACCAGTGGTTTCCCGCCAGAGACCACACTCGTTGTAGTCGTCGACAACGAGGGTAGTGATTACGACAACGTGGAACTGGTCTACTCTCCGAACGATGGTTACAAGCCCTCGCCGGTCATCCAGAACGACTTGACCTTTGTCCTTGATGGTTTGACCCCCGGCCTGAGCTACAGTATCGAAGCGACGACCATCAGCGGAGATCTTCGAAGCGGAACCACAGTTGGACAAGGAAGCACACGTTAGTTTCTTTATTTTTTTTGTCCGATTCACAGAACAACTTCAATATTCAACTTATTCAACCTATAGTCATAGTAATATATTATTCATAACACACTTTCATGTGAAATTCACCTCTCAACTTGACGTGTACAAATGTATTAATAATAGATATTATAGACTTTAGAGTTACCGACAGGTATTTAATCTAGAGGTAAAAGGTACTCAAATAAAAAAATCTTTTAACAATTTGATTTTCCAACATTCCTTTTAGGCTAAGAAAAAAAAATAGAACCTGTATTTCCAGTTACCCCACGAAACCTAGAAAATCATTCGGAACCTAAAGTTCTTTTTCAAATAAAATGAAACAAAAACTTTTGTGGCACCCTCCTTCCTTTTTTGCGGACATCGTCTTGCATTTCAATTTTTTCATCTGAATTTTTTTTGCAAGTTGGTCGGCAGTGTGGCCCTCTCCATGCCTTACAGCCTAAATGCAGAATGAACAGATAATTCATATGTTGACTGTTACGCATGCATGCATGCAAAAACAAAACAAGCCAAAACGAAACAACACAAAAATATTAATCAACTGTCATCCCATCCAATTTTTGTCTGGCTATATATAATTTACAATTTTTTCGTACCAACTCACCTGTCCAATTTTGTTGTCAGTGTAATAGGAAACACAACACATTTCTTTGCCTAATTAACTTTCCTGTTTTTTAATTCTCCTCAGTTGCGGGTGATCGAGGCCGCATCTACCCACACCTCGTGACAACCACATCTATAGCCCTCAAATTCGGCGCCGTGTCCGGCTCCTCGGGTTACACCCTGACCCTGAGACTGGACTCTGAGGTCCAGCAGGTTCCCTTGACGGCCCTGGAGCGTTACCATGAGTTCACTGGCTTGTTGCCCGGCACTCTCTACGATATCACCCTCACGACGGTGGGGCGCAATCCGCCAGTCACAACGACGGCACAGATACGAACTCGTAAGATGTGGCATTCATTATGAAAACCCGCCTTTGAAATTTTTTTCATTTTTTGTTGAGGTATTGTTGATGGACAAATTTTATCAGTTTATAGCAAAAATCTACCCCAAATTTCTTTTACGATTATTGTTCCACACAGAGGAAAATGGAATCACTCAAAAGATTAATTTTGTTATTATCGTTAGGCTGATTTGAACCGTTGATATTTTAGCTTCAAGAACAGGTTTTTCATGTTTTTTGTTGGACCTGTCCGCTTGAAAAGTCAAAGTTGTAGAATTTGCCTCGTTATTAAGGAAAGGCTCTGGACCTACAGCATTTAACATTCACACTGAGAAAAGTTTTTTGAATTTCTGTTTCATCAACTAGTGGTGGATGTCCCAGCATTACTGACTGTGACGCCAGTGTCACGCTCTATCACTGTGACATGGTCGCCTGCTGCTGGCTTTGTCACCCTCTATGAGCTCAGCATTCGGAAAACCAGTGAAACCACGCCAGTGTTAGCGGGCACGGTCGCGGCCGATGACGAGAAAACATTCACCTTCGAACATCTGGAGCCGGAGACGGACTACATCGTATCAGTCGCGTCGGTTGTCAAGGAACTGGACGGTGTGTTCCGAAGCAGTGATTCGGCGACCCGGACAGTGCGAACTCGTAAGTTGAACAAGATTTGTGACCATGTAGGAGAACTGAATCAAGGCCATAGCTGTATTACTCACCTGTGAGCATTTTAGAATAGTTCACAATATACATTCATCGAGTCCTTTAAACATGTATTTCAAAGTCCATTCGTCCAATTTTTAGAGTTTTGACTCTTGTGAACTGGTGGCAGACGCGTTGACGAGTCCATCGCAAGTCCATCACAACTGCATCACTATTCCAATCCAGGACATATATATCAAATTACAAGTCCTTTACAAGAAAAATATGACCAGTCAAGTACAGTCTCAAGAAACGACCAGGAGGAGCAATAACCAAAGAATGCCTTTGTTGGAGTTCACAATATACATTTGTTGTAGTTCATTCAATTCGATTCAGTTGACGTATATTTAGCACTCTCCAATAAACCAATACAAAGTTGGATAATGTAAGTGCAATACAGTTATATTTAAACAAGCAATTCATTAGAATAGCTTGTGACTTGTCTTGAGACTGACAGACTTAAGATTGACTGGTGCTTGACTTGTGATTGACACGTGACTAACTTGCGATCAACCTTCGATCAAATTCTGAGAACTTGACCAAAAATCTATGCTGGGCTCTAATGAGCAGTTCATGTATTCGTAGCATTTGCCCTACTGAAAAAAAAAAATCTAATTGATTGATGAGACTTTCTTTTATAACAATTATCACAAACGTTTGTGTGTCCTCTTCACAGTGTCCTCAGCAGTGCGCTTGCTCTCCAGGACTCAAAACGTCTTGACGATACAGTGGGATGCCCAAGTGGGAGCCGATACCTACAGCGTCATCTTCTCACCGGAGGATGGCAACCAGCAATCTCCCAGCGCCGTGCTCGGATCGACGTCCCTCGCCTTGGAAAATCTGAGATCTGGGTTCCGGTACGACATCAGCGTGCAGGCTTTAATCTCAGGGACTGCCACACCGATTGGATCTCTCGCTGCTTGGACTGGTAATATTATTTTTTGGGGAAAAATGTCTCTTGCTACGATATTAGTCTCTCTAATAAAGCTTTTTTTAATATGAACTCTCTGTTGGGACTCTAGGTTGAGATGTATAACTGATTATTGAAAGCCAGTTAGGAGACAATTTTCTACGTGGTCACATGAGTGTGCAAAGTGGCACTCAAGTTTTTTTTTATAACTGTGATGCTTTGAATAAGCACTTCTCCCGAGTTTGCATTCTCCCGACCAAAGAGACTGTTACTATATCACGTGATTCGGGGCAACCCTTACACTAGCAACCCCCAGCTCCGGCATGGTCTAATGTCTTTGTGCCATTCTCACCCATTGTGACACAATGTATTGGTGCTGAGCGTCTCTTACGTAACTATGCAAGAGCTTGCCCCTAATCATGTGATTAGCAACAGCGTCTTTACTCAGGAGAATTCAAATTTAAAATGTGCAAAGCATTTTGAGCAAGTCAGCGTACCAGATGCTTTTCAAATGTAAACCCCTAAGGGTATAGGTTACTCGCAAATTATTATGACCTTTCAAGAAATGGTGTTCAGGCTCTTTAATACAGGGTGAGTAACAAAAAAAGGAAACCCAAATGTGAATTTTTCTCACAATCACACAGGAGAACATATACAGTGTTAGTAAAAATATGTCAGGAAGGGGGAAAACCCAATTTTGAAGTTTCTATTGATTGGATTTTTTTTACCACTATAGTTCCACCACCACCAGCTTCCATTACAGTAGTTGACGTCATCAGCGTCCACATCATCGTGACCTGGGAAGCTCCAACCGAGCCCGGTGATTACCAAGGCTACCGCGTCACCGCTGTCTCCGAGGGCGGCTCGGAGTTTCAGATGATACGCAAAGGCCGGTACGAGGAGAGACGGGCGACGTTTTACATCTCGGCGCAAACCACCTACGAGCTCTCTGTGTACACGACCACCGGCACGGCTGTGCAGGTTTTCCTGAGTGATCCCGTAGCCACCACAACCACCACAGGTAGAGTATCTTTTTTGGTCAGAACTTTAGAAACCATGCCATCTCTGCATTGAATTTAACATTTGAAGAGATTTACAGGGTGAGTAAAAAACACGAAAGCCAAATTGCAGGACCAATTTTTGAATGAAGGTTTGCATGTAGCACTTCCAAAATCTAGGATATGAAAGCCCAATCAATGAGCTTTCTTTTAGTACAAGAATCATTCAAATCACTCATGTACTTTTCAACAAATACCGTTTTAAATTTCTGTCCACGGATCACAAAAAAGGTCAGTGTTCTTTCAGCAAAAAGAAAACAATTCACATGCATCCCTATGAGAATTGTTTTCGTATTGCTGAAAGAGCACTTAACATTTTTTTGATCTGTGGACAGAACTTTAAAAACGGTGTTTGTTTTCAAAATTCCGTATCTTGAAAAGTACACGAGCGATATGAATGATTCTTGTACTACAAGAAAGCTTAATGACTAGGCTTTCATATCCAACATTTTGGAAGTGCAACAGGCAAAACATTATTCAAAACTTCGTTCTGCCATTTGGTTTTTTTTTTTACTCCAAAAAGAAAGTATGACCTGGATTAATGATTTTTTCCCCCTTAAAAAGCAATTAAACTTGACACACCAACAAAGCATATATTAAACGAGCAGGTTCTTCCACTCATTTAGAGAAATAAAAACAAATTACAGAAATTGATCCATGCTAGGAGACGTTATGCATATTGTACTAAAAGAATCCATTTTTACAGCTGTCCATGGAATGCCATTTGAAGCTATTGAGCTGAGCGAGAACCAAAGATTACACACAGGCACTCATATTCAAATAAGATTGTTCATAATTTTTGGTCAAGACTGAAACATGAAACATTATTTTTACCGTCAGATTTTGTGGTTTGAATATGAAGAATTTGTTTTTCTGAAACAACAGTGGTGATTTCTATCTGTTTTCCTGTGCACAATTTTATTTTGTTTACTCGTGCGTAGGCAGGAAAACGCCCTTGTTTCATTGTTTGAACGGTAAATGATCTTTGGTGGACAGTCGAATTTTGTGTTGTTTGTATTAAAATGAGACATAACTTGTGAAAATATGTCGTGCAAATTTTGTGCCATTTTCACAGATACTAGTCAATAATATGAACTTTATCCCTATGGTATTTTTTTTTAGCAAGCCACATATTTTTAAAAATATTGTTTGCTCATTAGGTCACTTCAAGCGTCATACTTTAAATATATCAGTTATTTGGAAATGTGCAGAACTCCATAATATTCAGATGCTTGACTGTTTTAATTTCGATTTTTTTTTTTCTTTCTTCACTTTTCTAGAGGAAAGTTTTGCTGGTGAAATCATCAACCACGGGTCCACCACTACCACTGTAACTATTTACTGGACTCCAACTAACGACTCAGCAACAGCATACACAGTATGTTATCCATTTAGTCATTTTTTTTTTATTTATTCATGATATTGTTTGAGTACCGTTTTGCAGTATTTGGAGCCTAGAGTGTTGTAAGGCAAAACCAATGTGTGGTTGTTCTAGTAGCCTTGCTACCAGTAAGACCAGCGCCCGATTTCATAAAAATCGTCTTAACTAACGATGCAACGCAGCACTGCAACGTATCATATCACTGCAGAGTATCACAGCCCTGACCCATTTCAGTTGTAGGTATATTTATAGCACAGTACGGTGACTTTTATGTATTTAATGCATGCACAGTACACAGTCATCTGATATGGGCAAACAGTCACTGGATCTTCTCTCAAAAAGTGTTTAAAATGTAGAACAAAATGGCAGCCGTGTGATTTTGTTTTAAAGGAAAATAAAGGACGATAAGGCTGCATCCGAATCAGCTGTCTAGAGCTAGGGCTAGGTCTGTGCCCATTGAAACTGCGCAGGGACGCGCTGACAATAGACATAGCCGTAGATCTGGAAGCCCGTTTCGGACACGGCCTAAGCTTGTGGTGGACTGTTAGCTACTTCAGAATTTGAATGTTCAAGGTTAATTTGTATTTACTTTGATGCATATTCCATGACATGTTCACATACATTGTCAACAATACAACAAATCCGACGAAGGTTATTAATCAGTTCGGAACGGATAACCACACACAGAGCGAGGCCGGAAATATCTGTCAGCGACTCGCTCGCAGCGAGCGAGGCCGGAAATATGAGTGTGCTGCCCGAGGGTGATGGCTTCAACCCGCCTGGCATGTAGTCGGGTGAAAAGTAATCCAGCGCCTCGTTTTGTTCTTGTCAAAATAATCCCCGGCGTGAACTGGTTAAGTAACTAATATGTAGAAATTTCAGCTCAGTGGGTATACTTTTGGGGAAACTGTGAAAATGCATCATATCTTCAGTTTTTTATTGACACAAAGCATAGGGTTCCTCTTTTCTCAAAAATGACAGCATACCAATCAGAATGATTTCACAGGATCCATAATTATTACAATAAAGTAAGATACTTCATGATACTTTTGACAGTTCCATTTTTTAATGTTTGCGAATGGTGTCTGTTACCTTTTCACAGTCCTGCCTAACTCTCTATTTGTAAACGTTTAGGGGGTAATTTATGCACGGAGTTCATGGCCAAGTAGCAGCGCCTGTGAAGCTGTCGTTCACCAACTTTTTTTTCCTATTTCTATAAATGTAAGCACTTGGTAATCACAAATTGTCTGCCACATTATTATTTGAGCAATGTCTTTTCCCCCAAAACAGCTAACGTTGACAGACGGTACGCCAGCGAGCCAACGCCAAGCGGTTGTGACTGGTATGGATGAATACACCTTCACTGGTCTCCAGCCTGGCGTTCCCTACACAATCACACTTAGTGTGGCAGGTGTGGGCAATCAAGCGCCCCAGACTGCCATGGTTAGAACAGGTAAGTTGGTCTGGTATCCTGTCTCTTGCCGCAATCATTGGCCGGTCATGCGAACCAACGGCTTGATCTTGCATGAATTTTTGGCTGTGTCTCTGTTTTCAGTTGACAAATGCTTTCATTTTGGTGAATTTGTCAGGTCGATAGCATCTGTTAGCTACATTACACAGGTGTTACTAAGTAACAAAATAGTGTAGAAATGTTGACTTTCTCCAGTGAAACAAACCTCCCCAGCTAGGTGGTGTATTGAATGTAAAGAAGTCTATCACATCTGGAGGCTAGTGATTTAAAGCAGTATTGCACACCAACCACAGACACTGCACAATTTTATTACGTATTTCATTCTTCCTTTAACTGTATCCTTTAATGTGCAAAACAGATTTAAGTTACGTGTCACCACAAAATGAGCTTAAGGTCAATTTAAAAAAAAAATTTAGTTAAGATATTGCGGATCGTAACTAACAAACTTGGAGAAGGAAGAAGGGTACTCAAGGATAGAGGTTCAGCTTTTTCCCACTTGGTTGAAAAATCACACTTTGTGACTGCTTATGCTCATTTTGATAATAGGCCACAAAAAGGAACACAAGTATTTCGTATCAAGGTTAGAAACTTGAAAACCTCCCTGTTTGTTTTTGAATTTTGCATTTGAAGAAAAAAAAAAATCAATGACTCTGATTTTGATGTTTTAGCTCCACTGAGTCCAGCTTTCATCACCGCCCAGGCGGTCAGCTCAACCTCCATCGTCATCGCCTGGACTCTGCCTGCCGACACCTCCTCATTCCAGTCCTACCTGATCAACTGGTTCCCGGCAAGTCACCGTGTGAGTCGACCGCCGGTGACCGTTCCCAGCGGACCCACCGTCATGAATTATTTCATCACCAACCTCGAGCCCGACACATTCTATGAAGTATCGCTGCAGACCGTGTCTGGGGACGCTAACAACTTCGAATCCAGAAGCGAGAAAGTCTTGCTCCTGGAAAAAACAGGTAAAATCGTCCCTTCTTATCGAACAAATATCTGTCGACAGATTCAATGGATCAATTTCTAGTTTCAACACTGAATCCAAACTAAACTATATTTATAGGTTTTTGCATAGGTTATTCATACTAAAGATAACTTGTCAGCTTCATCAGTTTAATAATGGTGTATCTAAACAGTTTGATTTTAAAGTCTAGTTTTGGTCTTTTTTGTTGTAACACTGAGATTTTTCTGATGACCCTGCTTGTGTAAAATTATACAGACATTTGTGTAAATTCATTATGATTATTTAATGCAAATTTAAGGCTTTTTTTTTTACTGAACCCAAAGGGACAATCTTTTGCTCTCTGACCGACCGACTGACTGATTGCATAATGAAAAGTAGCGCTCATCTGCTCGACTAAAATATCCACACAAGCTTCAACCAGGAAAACAGCTCGAAACAGAGCCCATTTTTTTGTCACTAAAACCCCTGTATTTTCTGAACAGAACATCGCACAGATCTGGGGGTTGCAGATTAAGGACATGGGCTTCATGATAATTGTCTATGCAGGGGAACAAAAAAATGACCTTTTTTGAGCGACCACTGGTTGTTTATCTCAACATATCTCGAAAACCCAAGGTTGAAGCTCAGTGGTGGTATCAGTTTTGTAAAGAGGATGAAATTTCCTTTCCATTCATATAAGGCTCGTTTTGAATGGTTACAAAACCAGTGATAACTTTTCGTCAAAGTTTTCGTCCAATAACTGGATTTCTTGTAGAGGTCACTCAGTATGGGTCACGTAACCTAAGCCCATGTTGCACATGTGGGTTGCGGGCAGTGTGTGTTGTGGTATGCACATTCTAAGGTTGGGTGTGCAAGCACTGGAGTTCTTTGGCACACATTTATCTTTTACGCATTTCGGGCCAAAATGTTTTGACTGACTGACGGACGGACGGACAGAGTCACTGAGTAAAGATAACGAGGCCTTACCTCGCTGGCTTTAGCCTGAACAACTCGTTAACAACTCGTGAACACACACATTCTCAAATTTGTATCTTTGTGGAGACATTTCTTTGTTCTCGTGTAGTAAAGTTTTCGAGTTTGAAAGTGAAGTTTCAAAATGCTCTGATTTTAACCAGAATTAATTTCCTGGGCTGAAATTTGGACTAAATATCCCTTTTCTAAAACTCTTCCATTTGCGACAGATCAACCTACCTTGGAAATTCCTAGTTTTTGAGTAAAATCCATATATCTTTTTCGTGAAAACCTTGTGGAGACCTATTCATCTATAGAAATTGCCCTGTGGAGACCTATACAATCTTTTGTTTGTGGAAATGTCTCCAAAAGGATACAAATTTGCGCTCACACACACACGCATGTTTACATTACATACCAAGTGTGGACATTCCCTTGGTTTCGTGTAGTAAAGAAAAACCAGTGAAAAAAAAAATCATTTTTCTCAAACTGTGAAAACTCTTTCAACCCATTTTTGTTTCTATGATCCCCTTTCATGTTTCTCTTCATTTTGTCATGGATAAACCTAACCCAAAAATGCCTCTACACCTGTTTTCCAGAAATGGGGAAACACTGTGTGGACTTGCCCAAGTCCACACAACGTCGCCTCTACCTGTTTTATGTGGACCTCTTTTGTTTGGAAGTCCACGCAGTGAATGTAATGCCTACCCACGCATTCACACAAGACAAGCCTTAATTGTCACAAAGGACTCAGATAAGCTCTATAAGGTTTAATATCCCACCTTCTCAACTGAATTGTTTTAATTTTTGGCATGGTATAAATTGTTGCTACAGCACCCCTGACTCCGCTACAGTTTATCTACACCCAACTGGCCGACACCTTCATCGACGTCGAATTTGGCAAAGTGACCAGCACGCAGGTCAACAGGTACCAGCTCCGGCTCACCCAGACACAGAACAGCGCGGAGAGACTCATCACGATCGACGGGGATGCGGTCGGGCGACGCAGAATCGACGGACTGACACCCGGAACGGCCTATAACCTGGTATTAGAGTCAACAGATCTGCCCGGCCAGCAACGTTTCCTCTCCTTCGTGACAGGTACTTAGATCAGAGAGAATGGTAACAAGAAACATCGACAAGGGTGGAGGCAGGGGGTTTGGAAACACTCCCTCTGCTCAAAGCCCTGAAGGATATTTTTGAGAGGTTTAAGGGCATCGAAGCGTCATCTGTAATATCCCCAGCTGACATTTTGAAGAAAAAAAACAAACATGTCGCAGCACCACTTTTGAGGCACACTCCATACCAGAAACCGGAGACTTTTTTGTTTGTTCCTTATGCCACTGAGTTTTTATCATAATTTCTCATTCTTCAAAAGTATCAAGCAGTTTTGTCAAGAAACGTGGTTAGCCATACTTCAGACTTCAATTGAGCATCTGCTAAACAACAATGATAGGAGTATACTTCTTGAACATCCAGAAATATCATTGGCTATCAATGGCTAGATGTAAATACCCAGATCTTTTGTGGAGATCTATGACATTATTAAATCAACCAGATCTCATTTGCACTGTTATATCAGTGCAAAGGCTCAAGGCATGACACAAAACATTCCCAAGTTCACCAACTCTAAGGCAAATCATTAGCGTCTTACACTCCCAGGTCCTTTAAAATCCAGTTCTTGGAAGATGTGCGAGGTTGGAAGAAGGTATAGGGCCTAGAGGCAAGCCAGAAAAATTTATATGGGGTTCGATGCTCCATAAAAGTACCAAGAACCAGTATGCCAAGAAGGTTGCATTTGATCCCTGTACTGTGTCAGCAATAGCAGGATTGAGGAATATTTTAGGGTGCGATAATGTCATTGTTTCCATGGTTATCCTTCTCGCAGCTCCCAGCAGACCGGCCGTCGTGATCGACGAGGTAACACAGACCGCCGTGAACATTTCCTGGGCGGAGCCAGAAGGGAACTTCGATCGGTTCACAGTCACCTACTCCCCGCCGGACGGCATACCGCAGTCGCTGTCGACCATCCTGGCGGGACAGCCTACGCAGCACAGGATCTACGCTCTGCAGCCCGGCAAGGCGTACTCCATTAAAGTCAGCTCGTTCATCGGTGGACAGGAATCAGAGCCGGCCGAAGTCTCAGTCACCACATGTAAGTGATTAGGATGCCCTTTTCAACCTGCAACCTGCGCGGGATTTGAACCTGCCACCTTCGGAATACTGCACCTGTGTTCTACCGACTGAGCTATCCTGTCCTACATCCATTCCTATTGCCAACTTCCTTGTTCTTTTTTATTCACAAATGATCAGGCGCATTTGTCCACTTGTCTTTTTGTCAAATAGTTTAACTTTTTTTCTACTGGAGCACTATCTGCACGTCTGACATCCAGACCGCCATTTCCATGCTCTACCAACTGACTAACAGTCTCTCATTTTGTCAGTGTTCTTGCTTTGTTTATCCTAAATGTGATATTTGAGATAATATAAATAGGCCAAATTGCCAGGTGGTAATTTTGACATTAACACTAAAATTTACAGAATGTCCCATATTTAAATTGACACACAGTGCAAGCTGGCTCGCAGGAGATTGTAGTCCGAAGCTACTCCAACGCTGAGATCCAGATCTACTGGGGCGACGGCTCGTCACTGGTAACCAACTTCCAGGGTTATGCTGTCGCCATCAGTCCGTCTACCAGTGGCGAGTCCAAGACGGTGGATGCCACCGCACGCCATGCGACGTTCTCCAACCTGCGGCCCGGCCAGCTGTACGAGATCGAGGTTACCGTGGACGGAGACACTGATGTCGTGTACACTGCTGAGCAGAGAACCAGTGAGTCTGCCTCAGTGATTATTATTGTCAAAGCCCCTGTGGAGAAAAAAATTGCGGCAACATATCTCAAAACTTAGTGTTGTGAATTCGTCCAAACTTGCCATGTAGGTGGAATGCAATGCAATTTTACCCCCAGCTTTACAACCGGCAATCTTTTTTTTCCACAATTTAGTCGATTAACACTCAAATCTTGAGAAATATAACCCAATAAAATGATAAAGAAATTCTTCCATTTGTAAACTTCATTCGTCTCGTCATGCCTTCGCAATGCCAGAGTTGCATTATTTATGCGCATTGCGCGTGCCTTCCGTTTCTAATCATTGTTAGGCAGTAATCAGTGATTCCTTCATTGTGCTAAGTCCGTGGAAGAAAAATGATGAGGCATGGGTTTTTTGTTACTTCTCGGGAAGTGACAAACCAATCGCATTGAAGAACATCGAGTTACAATGTTACAAATAAAATTCAGATTCCCTAGCTTCCGACTTCTTTTGCTCAACGTTTTGTTCCAGAGACCAAAAATCTGTAACAACCTTCCTTCAAATATTACAGCCTTTTCTTATCTTCCAATATTTTAACGTTTTAAAGCATCCTCTCCTTGGCCAATACTTAAGGTGATCGTTGTGTTTCAAAATATTTCTGTCTGTTTTTCTTGAGGTCTATACTTGCTGTCTTCAGGCGCCCTATTACTTCGTTATCAAATGATATTTTGCTAAAGTCAGCTGTTTTTGGGGGGCAGATTAGTCTAAGCAAAGCTGCAGTTTGTTATTGATGTCCGGTGTCCACGTCTGTGTTAGTCCTTCTGTGTCAGTTGTGTTTGTAATTATTCTAAACGAAACCTTTTGGTAAACACCAATAGTCAGAAATGCCTTGTATTAATAGTTTAAACAATTTCAAAATTTCAAATTGTTCTCAACCTCCTTTACATATTCTTCTGATTTAGTTACTCCCTTGGGTTACTTTGAAACTTTAATTGACAAATGTGTCCACTCTACTGTTGGTACCCACTTAGGGCCGTCGCTTCAAGCCCTCTCTTACAACATCCCAAATGTCTTTAATTATTTTGAAAATTTACTGTGAAGTTGAGTGGATAAAACCAAACTAACTTGAAACTTAATCATTCCTCCTTCAGAGCCCAACCCTCCACTTAGTCTCGCTATCAGTCCCTTCTCAGACGTCAGTCCAGTGGCTCTCCCCATCACGTGGCAAGAAGCCGATTCTACTTCCTCCTTCGTCATCACCTACGAGCGACAAGGCTCCAGAGTCGAGGAGCAAGCCGGCAGGGTCAACCCCGACGCCCGGTCGTTCCTCATCACCGGTCTGGACCCAATCACCACCTACGACATCCGTGTGTTTGCGTCCGCTGGGTCAGGTAGCAATCTGGAGTACAGCGAACCTGCGTCTGTAACGGGAACTACAGGTAGGTATCCTGAAGATGGAATTACAGTTGAGAATGTTTCATAATGGGGACAATTGGTTATTGGTGCACGTATTTCTTCCAAGTCAGTTCCTGTTTAGTTGTTTTTTTTACCAAATTTTGGCATCTTGTGGGGCTTTGTTAACCCCTGTTATCAGCATTAAAATAATACACTTCTCAAAGGAGCCGTCAATGGTGTTTTATCTTGAAAGTCAAGGAGAGTGTGATAATATTTCCCTCTAATATGTCTAAAAAAAATAGGACGAAGAAAAAAAACACTACCAAAATATTCTAACTCCCACCTCCACAATCACAATTTGGAGAAACCTCATTTTTATGAATAAGGATTATCTGTAATTGCTGAGATAAAAGACACAGTAAGGCCAATTTGATGAAAAGATGTTTCTTTTCTGGGCTATTGGAAAACATAGGAGGCGGGACCCCTTTTTGTTACTCTCCCGAGATACTTTTGTGTCCAAAGGAGCTGTCACCCTTTTTTCAAAATTCTAAACTTTCAATGTACAAACATAATTTAAAGTTTGCTAAATAATGAAAGGTTTGCAGAAACACCATTTGCGAATAATTTCTCAACTAAGAGAATGGTTCTGAAAAGAACCAGAGGTATGAACTCGACGTTCCGGTCAGTATGCTCTGACTGTCTTCAGGAGAGAACACGTTTGCTGGAAACACATAAAAGACAAAATATATTGCAAATGTATGATTTATAAAAAAACAAAAGAGGAAGCGGATAGGAAAATAGGAAACAGGCAGGGGTGAGAAGAGTGCTTTATTTTTTTCCCCTTGGCCTAATGCCTAATTGTGGAGTGCTGTGGCCTCGTGGTTAGGGCACTGGATTCGTGGTCTGTGGGTAAAGCTGCAGGGTGTGGGTTCGAGTCCAGCCCGGGGTCATAGTGTGTGTGCCCTTGGGCAAGACACTTTGTCACTCATTGCTTCTCTCCACCCAGTAGTAAATAGGTACGTGTGAGGGCAGAGATGGTTATTGTGATTGAATTAGCTTCCTTGTGCCTAACAGGCAGCACCGAGCTGTATACTCCCCAGGGAGCTGAGATGGTATTTGGAATGTTTCATGGGCCCAGTGAGCAGGGGTAATAATGATGTAGCGCCGTGAGCACATACGTGCGCTTTATAAATACCCAACATTATTATTATTATTGATTTTGTTTTGTATATTTGTTGTACAGCTGCCATCCCTCCCAACACCATCCTGATTCGCACGCTATCCTACCGCAACGCGACCTTCATCTGGTTGCGCAATAACGGCGCGGCCAGGTACCGCATCGTCAAGACTCTAGTCTCCGCGGGTGCCGAGCAACTCGTCGAAGAAACGCCCAATCAGGAATTCACGCTGGAAAATCTGGAACCGGCCACGGTGTACCAAATCACCATCACTCCACTGACCGGTGCGGGAGATAGTCTTGTGCCATTTAGCACTCAGATCCGAACAGGTGAATGTCAATTGTTTTGTACTAAATTTACTGTGACAACATTCCGTTATGGTTGAATATAATTCACATGTTGAGTGCGTTCGATTACTTCCATCAGCTTACGCGCCTGCTCCTTGCGTGATGACAGACATGCGCAGTGGAGCTAAAGAAACGAACGGTTTCATGAAAGAGCTGGAAAGTTGAACTTTGACATGACACTGAGGCTGCATCCCAATCAACTGTCTAGAGCTAGGTCTAGGTCCGCGCCCATTGAAAATACGCGGGGACGGGCTGATAATAGACGTAGCTGTAGCTCTGGAAGCACACGGCCTGAGGCGCCCGCCGGACGTCACGTTGGCAGCCATGTTTATTGCATGGCCTTATGGGATACTTACCCAGCTAACCGGCTCGGCGAGTCGGTTACTTGGGCCAGGCTCGAGTAAGCGTGAAAAGTAACGTGAGAGGTAAATCGAACGCTGTCGCGCTTGCACGAGTAAGTGCGGGGGAAGTAATCGAACGCACTCAGAGACTCTACTTACTTTGAGTACATTGCCTGGCATGCCCTAGTCTATGGAATACCCCCTTGCACAGCAAGGGTCTGTGATATGCGAGCAGGTTTGGCAATTTATTAACCCTAAAGGGGCCGGGTTATTTTTACCATCTCTCAGCCGGGGGGGGGGGGGCGGATTCCCCCCCTAAGATCTCGGCCATCGAGTGACGAAAAATTTTGAAACTCAGCACATGCATAGAGCAACTCTTCTTAAACATGCCCAAGAAATTTCATGACTATAGGTCAAAGGGTTTTGGAATTATGGCTAATTAATTATTCATATGTATGAATGGCAATTCTGCTCGGTGTACACGACGTATATGCGAAAATTCAGTTTTCACGGCTCGTAGCGCCGGAAAATTTTTCGCTACGTGCCAACCCGTGGTCCGATATGTTTTTGGTATCAAAAGATGCGCAAAGCTCGAGGCTAAAAAGTCATAACAGCTCGGGTCGCGAATTTTTTTTTTTTAGAAGCTATCGCGGAAAATGTTGAGGAGGCGGGGGGGCGGATTCCGCCCCCCCCCCCCCCGGCCCCTTTAGGGTTAAGCAAAACAAGACTGTGTCTTGACCTCAATTCAAACTGTTCAGTGTGCAGCTTCTATATCAGATCTTCGGTAACTGGTTGCCATAGACATCTAATAAACCCAAGACACGCCACCTATTGTTCTTTTACGTTGTGAATTGTGTTAGCTAAAATAGGCTGTGTCCCATGGCCGGTAACAACTCGTAACAAAATTTTACGTGATCCATGAATGTCCTGTGGCTTCGAATGATCATCACATTTAAATAAAGCGCGTAATGCGAACGCCTTCTTGCGCGTTCACGTCGCTCCCATAATGAGTGTTTTGCTAACAAGTTTGAGAGCCACTGTCATGTCTAGGTTTTATTAGATGCCCGTGCCCGTTGTTGTTTTACAAAAACATGGCATCCAAATTGACTAATCCACACACGTCGGTGAAGGGGAAAAACCAAATATATTGAATTTACAACGCCTCAACACAAATTCCATCTTATGAATAAAAACACATAGAAAAATTTCCCCATTTCCAAATTCACAGATCCTGCTCCTGTTCCTGCGATTTCTTTCGGAGATGATGGTGACCCTTTCAAGATTCTTGTGGAGTGGAGCAACCCAGATGGAGAATTTGATTACTTCGAGGTAATTGTTGTTTTTACCCCTCATTCCACATTTCAAGTTTCAATTTTTTTTCATACTATTATATGGTGCTTGTTATATATAAATACGTTACGGTGCCTGTGCCCTTGAGCAAGGCGCTTTGTCGCGCATTGCTTCTCTCCACCCAGTAGTAGATGGGTACCTGTGAGGGCAGTGTTGGTTACTGTGAGAGGTTGATTACAGCCAAGAGTGCCGAAATGGCTGTCTAACGCCTGTGTTTGCTCCCCAGGGAGTTGTGAAGGTTTCAGGAGTGTTTGCCCATTGAACAGGGGGATAATGAATGTAAAGCGCTTTGACGTTTAAAAGCGATATATAAATGCCTGTTATTATTATTATTAGAAAGCCAGTGCAAAATACAATAAAACTTAGAAGAAGTAGTATGGGAGATGAAAATAAGTCGAAGCTTGTACTGGGTCTGTCTCCTTTGTTGAGATTACACGTAGTTATTGTAAAGTTGAGAATTGCCATAATTTGAGACTGAAAGAAACTACGGCATTTTTTTTTCTTGAAAAAAAAATTTGGAATGGGACTTTTGTCCAAAGGTTTTGAACGGCTTTGGGAATTTTAAAGAAACATTTTGCTGCATGTCTTAGGATCTCTTAGTTGATGATGCTGATTCTGTGACAAGTCTCACACGATGATCGTGGCAGTCGTGATAATTATTTGGTCAGTTCCTATTAATTACAGACTATTTCACTACCTCAGTAAAAAAAGTCCCCATCTCAATGTCTTTTGGGGTAAATCAAAGTTTAACCAGTTAAAAAATAAAACGGACAAAAAATTCTGATAATTTCATGTTCAGTCCACTTCCATGGTGTGTTGCGCATGTGGTTTGATCAATGTCTCATTATAGGGAGATCATATCAGTGGTCTCAAGCACCACGCTGTGCAAGTGGAACAGAGTGCAGCGTCTCGTGGGCGGTTTTGAACTTGGCTTACCACCCACATGACGGGCTCTTAACCTATCAGAATGTTTATTAGGAATAACTGATGCAACTTTTTGTGTGTGTTTTGTCATAGGTGTGGTATGTGAACACAGATGGCGTGAGCATCTTTGCTGGGAAACTCCCACCCGGACCCGCCAACAAACTCTGGTTGAACGATCTACCGGCAATGATCGATGTTGACATCTCCGTCAAAGCGGTGATTGATGCAAGCGGTACTTTCCCCAAGCAGACGAGTCTACCCACGAGTGCAACTGAAAACACCGGTGAGTTAGACCGCCCTCGCTTGGCAAAGGCAAGGTGGTATGAGAAATAATATCGCAATGGACTGGTTTCCGCTCCTGTGAAATATGGGACTGGTAGCTATCTTGCATGTATAGCTTTTGATTGGACAACATTGGCACATGCGTAGAAATGAGATTCTGTCTTTAGAGATGACGTTTATTAAAGTTCTCATGCATGCCAGTTTGGCACATGGCACGTACAAGCCCTTTGCATGGACCAATTAATTGTGAGCTCTACACCCGATTTCATGAAACTCATCGTAACTTATGATGCATCGCAACGCTGTGACGCGCTGTTTCCTTACGATGCATCGCAGCTGCGACACGTCCTGCAGTTCATTTCACAAAACGGGTCGTCAGTGTGACGCATAGGTGTTTTATAGCAAAATACGGCGACTGTTATGTGTATTTATTCAACATACAGTAAATGGTCATCTGATTTTCAGCAAAGAGTTGTCGGTTCTCCTCTTGAAAAGTTTGTAAAACAAAACAAAATGGCGGACGTATGATGCAGTTTGAAAGGAGAACAAGCTCGCTGTGGACTGTTACCTACTTCAACATTTCAGCTGCAGTACTCCAGGCTAATTAATATCTAATCCATGCGTATTCCATTTATAACTTCACACACATTGTCTCGGTATTATAGTCTCATTTAATTCATTTTTATGGCTTAAAATTTTTTAAACTGTTGACAAGGAACTTACGACGCGTTCACGCTATACACTCACATGTACACGAAGCGAGAACAGCGACCTCACGCAGCTAGGCCTTGATATACAAATCAGGTCTATTTCGGTAAATTTGTCATATTTTGTCCAGGAATTTCTCCTGGTGAATGCTAGTTCCATAAGGCAGTACCAGTCCCAGCATCCAAAATCAGAACCAATGACTACAAGAGTGGAAGAATTGTCATTAGTGTAAACTCAAAATACATCTATCACGCCCCATATAACAGAAAATTTTATGGGGAAGCATAAAGGAACTTGAGTAAAATGATAAGGTTTTTTTTGGTCAGAATTTTTTTTTCAATTCTCACTCAGGTAGTTCTTTGTCAAAAGTCTTACGATCAGTACCGTCCTTTTAAAAAACCTTTGGAGTTTGATAATAAGTCAACCAAAAGGGAAACTGACTTGCATCATAATATATTTCGAAGTTAAACCCCCCCCCCCAAAAAAAAATGAATGGAGCAGGGTTTGAACCTGCTGGAGTTCGCAGGTTCAAACCCTGTGCCAGTCAATTTCTTTGTTCAACTATAAAAAAAAAAATACTGTTTGTTCATTTTTGGAGGTTGCCTTAAAAAAATTGATTCTATTAAAATTGTTTCCCAAAACAGTCACTTTCTTTGTTCTTATGTTTGTTTGCAGGTTCCATGCAGGGTCTGACCCTCTACCGTTACAAGCACACACCAACAACCCTCGGATTTGCCTGGCTCCCCGCTAACTTTGAAAACATTGAATTCAAGGTGTATCTGACCTACATATGGGAGCAACCGCCACGTTCCAACTACGACCAGATCATCATGGACGATCAGAACACGCCGGTCTTCTATAACACTTTCGACTCAGTCGAGGTCCAACAACAGGACGTTCCGCTCAGTCCCGGCCAGGCTTACTACATCCGAGTTTCCTTCAACCAAGTGCCAGGTGGAGACTTTGATGGGCGATACAAAACAAGTACGTTGGATGACCTACGCCATGGTTCATGGTTCACTTGGATCAATTTTTTTGGGAAAATTTTGGAAATTCTTGACTGATTGGAAATGCCTTTGATATCATCTTTCCAACGGTGTGTAAAATATGGGAATCAGACAAAATCTGAAAGCTGCTTTCAATCCCAATTTGTTAGGTCTCAAAAACTTCAAAATAGAAACAAGAAATTTGTTGTTCAAGGTTTCCCAAATGAGTTCCTCAGGAAATTTACAGATTTACTGACTTGGAAGTGAAATATATTAAATTATTTAAATATATTCAAACTTCTAATGCCTAAATCTGAATAATTATTGACAATTTGTGTCTGTACAAAACAGTGTGACTTTCAACCGATTTTGTGCTGGCTGGCCTAAACAAATTTCTAAGGACTTCAAGTTTGTGGGAAATTACTAATCTTTAAAAAAAATATTGTTTTTGAATAAGATTGAAATTTTTGTTTTTGTAGGGGGGGCGGGGATGGTATCATAACCGAAAAATAATCTCATTTAATAATCTTGTCACTGTTTATTAAGTTTTTGGATTTTTAATTTTTTTTGCTCAGGTGAAATTGTTTTTAATGTGAATGATATTGTTACTGAAAAATATTCAGTCGTTCTAGTTTTAGTCTGAGTTTTATCTCTGGTGAAGGGGGCTGGAGTTGCATGTTGGCGCATTGCTGGTCTCAGTTAGAAATGTAGATTTGTAAAATTGAAATTGCTGAATAATCAATTAGTGAAATACAATAACAAGAGTCTGAGCTACATGCACCTCTAACGACCTCTCGACTTCCCAGCAAACTCGTTAAAAGTGAAAGGTCTAAGGTTATTTTTGGAAAGGGAAACGTCGGGGGAAAAAAAGTCGGGGAATTTGGTTAGCTGGGAAACTGTCAGTAGGAGCAGCACATTATCGTTGATAAATGTCTTGTGTTTCAGGTTCTGAGCCAGTGCGGAATCTCCAAACCTTATCCAGAGATGTAAGCGCGGTAACGTTTGGTTGGAACCCTCCCGTGAACCAAAATTTTGAGTACTACGAGGTCGACTATTATCCTGCCGACGGACAACAGCCAGCAACGTTCCAGGTTGCAAAGGGGGTCACCACGGCAACCGTAGAGGGTCTGACGCCCGACACTCTCTACAAGTTTACCGTGACCACGGTGTCGACCAATTTATACCGTTTGTCCAGTGCACCGGAGGACTTGTGTGCACGAACAAGTGGGTTGATTGTCATCTAGATCAATGTCATCTGAAATAAATTGAACCTTACATTTTAAAGAATGAGTTCTCATTGACTCGTGTAACACAAAATCTCAGATTTTCTCCCTTCAGAGTTAGAATAGGTCTCTCAATGACGGCGTCTCTGTAAGAGAACTGCAGATGCGTATTTTACGCGATCAAGCATGCATTGCGCAGTGTTGAAAATGTTCCAAACACATGCTCTTGTTAGTCGAAATGTGCTTGAAATATGCGCATTATGCAAGTTGACGCTCAAAATGCCGATGCACGTGGCTGGTGTGTAGGAAATGACGTCATTTGAGAGAGACCTATACAGTCTCGGTAATGCTTTTAAAATCCCAAGGCCACATGTTTAATGGCCGAAATCAGCTTGCCAAATCCAACAGAAATAGGCATAGAACATATCCAAAGGTAAAAATGAGGTTAAAAAAAAAGCTTGTTGAGGGGTTATATTGTCCTCAAATTTCCCATCTCTAGTATCTTCACAATGTGACAAACAAAAAGACAAAATCTTTTATCTGAAAAACGGCCCTTTTTCTTGGTATTACATATATGATCACATTAATGGCATCACCAAAAACGACCCCCTCAATTAGAAACTTTAGTTGTAAACTTATTAAACTCTCCAATTGCGATAAAATAAAAAACAAGAAATAGAAAAGAGAAGATATCACTTTTTTAAAAATCTGTAACTGTTATATATTCATCGCCTGCCCAGTTCCATCAGCTTTCTTAAGAACACTTCACACTATTTTACCATTATCAAAATTAATATTTCTAGGCACCCTTGAATATTTGTCATTTAAAAAACAAACAATTTTTTTATTTTTTTAAATTTACATCCAGCCACCTCCCCTGGTGTCCTGGTCGTCAAGGAAGTAAACACGAATGAGATCCGAGTCACCTGGGGGCTCTTGTCCGGCGTGGTGCTGCCCTACCTCCTTCGTATTGACACTGAGCCGGTATTCGACAGGAACGTCAACAATGACGACCCCTTCTACACCTTCACTAACCTGACTCCTGGGCGGAAATACACCATACTACTCATCTACTTCTTGGAGGGTGGCAGCCAGAGTCAGCAGACTAGCATTGCCCAGAGAACACGTAAGATAGGACTTAACTTATGAATATTCATTTTACCATTCTACAGGGTGAGTAAAAGAAAATGAAACCCAAATGTCGGAACCACTGTTTTAGTGAAGTTCTGCATGTAGCACTTTCAAAATCTAACATATAAAAGCTGTATTCGTGAGCTTTCTTTTAGTACAAGAATCATTCAAATCACTCATGTAGTTTTCAAGTTACGATATTTTAAACACAACAACGGTTTTAAAGTTCTGTCCACGGATCACAAAATGAAAGTGTTCTTTCAGCAAGACGAAAGCAAATCACATAGGTATGTGTGAGAATTGTTTTCATTTTGCTGAAAGAACGCACACCTGTTTTGTGATCCGTGGACAGAACTCTAAAACGGTGGTTGTGTTTAAAATTCCGTAACTTGAAAAGTACATGAGTGATTTTAATGATTCTTGTACTAACAGAAAGCTGATGCATTGAGCTTTCATATCCTAGATTTTTAAAAGTGCTACCTGCAGAACTTCACTAAAGCAATGGTCCCAACATTTGGGTTTCGTGTTTTTTTACTCACCCTGTATAGAGTACCGAAGTGAATACATCATGCGCACAATTATGTGTGTAAAAGACATTCAGCCTGTCAACCAACACACGTGCGTACTCCATTCGTTTACACTACACTTCCCGTTCAAAATGACGTCGCACTTTGGTACTTTGGTCGAGAGCCTGTCAGGTGGATGGTTTTAAAACCGCCGTTTAATCACTGCGCGTTGCATTCCCCATAGAGATGGCCTGAATTGGTTTATAATGTAAAATGGACGAACAATGGTTTTAAAACCGCCGTTTAATCACTGCGCGTTGCATTCCCCATAGAGATGGCCTGAATTGGTTTATAATGTAAAATGGACGAACAGCAACATTTGAAGTTTGTCAACTCTGGCTCGGACCATCATCATTCGACTTGGCCCTTTCCAGTTTTACGGCACACGTTTATAACTGTTCTATTGTACTATTGTCACACAGTACCCGAAGCAGTCCCCTCGGTCTCAGTGGACAGTACAACAGCTCTGACAGCAGACATTGTTTGGGATGGTTTCCAGAACGATCCTATCTTTGACAGATACAGGTAAAGCCCTAATTTACACATTTAAAGCCAGAGTCCATCATTTGCAGCTATCCAAAAACTAATTGGCGTAATTATTGTTAAAAAACATACTTGGTTGAAAGATAGTAAGGGGACTAAACTCCCTGTGAAATTATTCTTTCTGGCAAGCTGTCATTTTGAAGAAATCAACGAAAGAAGGCCTTTCCAACGGTGCGTCTTAAGAAGCACCGTTTGAAATTTCCGTTAGTAGTTTGTTTTTTATTTCGGCGAAGCGCGCGCAAGCGTTGGCACAACGCACACGTGGTTGCTATAATTTGTCGGATCGGTGCTCGACATCGCGTAGCTGCAACTGACTCAGTGAGAACGTGTTTCAGACGTTGAATTCAGGCCCAATTCAAAACATGATTCAGCAACTTTTGATTTGAAATTGAGATCCTAGAATGCTGTTTTTCTCGGAATATACAGCTGAAGCTGAGCTGAAACTTCATCAGGTTAGTTGTTATTACCCTACTTTAGATTTTGAGCACTTTTGTTGCTTCAAACGAACAAAATGCACAAATTACAAATGATGGACTATATCTTTAAGTGTGCAACTTGACTATGTAAAAATGAAATTGTTCCATGCACAAGTGTTCCCTTCGTAGTAAAAATACCAAGCATCAATGTGAATGTAGGGCTGGAGTATGCAGTGATTCGTCACTTGTTGACAGATTCCGATAAATCCACCGTAAGGCCAGTTCATACCTGAATGTGAATGTTAGGTGCAGCAGCCGATTTCATGAAACTTTACGCAATGGCATGACTCCCTTTGCGCCATAAATTTATTGGGTAAGTTGCGAAACATTTCACAGTGCGCAACGTTTCAATTATGACACATTTCACAAAAGTTTCATAGTGCGTATTAAGTCCACGACTTGCGCCACAAATAATGGCGTAACTTGCACAATCATTTTAGGTGGCGTATTACCGAAGCGACTCCAAATGAACTATTGTACCAGCAAATCGTAATCGTTGTGGAGCTTGCCATTGCACAACTTATCAAGGTTGATACAAGACACTCATAGCCGTGTGTTTGAGGTAAATGAAGTGCGATTTTACTTGTGACAGAATTTTTGGAGTTGCCGCACTATTCCGAATAAAAGTCGGGCAAAACTGTTTTCAAAATTCAATTCAAGATTCATCCCATCTTATAATTCAATATTCAATGCCTGTTTTGTGACCAAGCAAAATCACACACAAACAACCGCGAAATCCTGACTGCAAAAGTTGCAGATTTGAAATGTTTTCAAATTCATGTTCGAGTTAACAGCATTCATGCAGAGGATGAACAAGCTAGGCCCATGGAGTCAGTTTTATACAAATTTTATTTTTTTTTGGAACGGAAGTCGTCCCTCACAAGGCTGAAAATGAAAGCCGTGTCCAAAAACGGGTTTGCAAACTTACTACACCAGCTTGTCGGCTTGTTCCCATATATAGTTCTATAAATTATATTAAACTTGAAGATTTTTTTTTTTACCTCGGACCTTTGGAATTGCAGTTGACTGGTTCTGGGTTCAGATCCACACCATTTGTTCACTCATTGCTCATCCTACACCAGCTTGTCAGCTTGTTCCCATATATAGTTCTAGACAAAAGATTGGGACTTGGCCTCACTTTAAGTAAACGACTACGAAACGAGGTGTTGAGGACTAAAAATAAAAGGAAAAGAAGAGATTCACCAATGCAGAAAGAAAAAAGATCATATTAAACTTGAAGAGTTTTTTGATACCTCGGAACTATGGAATTGCAATCTATTGGTTCTGGGTTCAGATCACACTGTTTGTTCACTCATTGCTCATTATCTCCGCCTCCCCCTTTACACACACACACCAGGATATCGTACACTGCTGCAGGAGGCCCTGAAGTCATATCAGGGTTTGTAGAGAAGGACCAGCCCCGTCAGTTTACCGTGAAGAGACTCGAACCGCAGACCACTTACAACTTCACTGTGGTGACCGTGAGTGGACCCGAGGGCGAGGAGACGTACAGCAGTCCGACAACTGCTACCGCAGAAACAGGTATCGGGCAGGAAAAAACAATAATAATGCTGCTGCAGACTTGTAATCGAGCCAATCAAAATGTCAACTTACAAGTCAAATCACAAGTCAGGTCAGAAGTAAAGGGGGGGGGGGGGGGGGGGACAAACGATAACACAGGCAGGGCCTTGCATAGCTCGTCACTTCATTTGAGATTGACTTGTGATAACTTGATGACAACTCTGCCCGACAGATGATCTCAAAAATAACTGTCGGCGTTTCTTTTAAAAAAGTGTCTTGCGTTTTACCGCCTTAGGAGATAGCTCTGTATTTGGTTCTTGGTTGGTTCATCTCCTAAATACTCCGTGTGGGAGTTTATACAGGAGGCCAGAAACACCGGGGCAAACCCCTTCTCTTAACATTAAGTGTGCATTGGATTACACAACACACAGGTCCTACGGCTTTACGTCCCATCCGAAGGACGAAGCAATAATGGTTAAGTGCCTTGCTCAAGGGCACAAGTGCCCACCCGGCGGTCTCGAACCCACGCCACTGTGGCCTCTGAAACACCAGAGCTTGAGTCCGGTGTTCTTAACCGCTAGGCCATGACACTCCATGGCCTAGCGGTTACTACATTGTATCACATTGTGTTTAACTGCTGAGGAATCCCTAAACCATAGAGTGTACATGGAGTTTAGACGTTACGAAGAAAAAAAAACAAGCAGGGCAGTTTTGGCCCGGCACACAGACTAATAAATTAATGTGAATTTATCAACAGGTCAACTAGCTGCTGCACAGCTCGCCGTCCAAGATACAACCACCACCACCATCACGGTCTTCTGGGGCGACGCGTCCGGCCTCGGCGGCTTCCAACAACACACTGTCAGCATCACACCTAACGAAGGAATTCCTTCCATCAACTTGGAAAACAGATTGGCTGTCTTCTCTGGTCTGACACCGGGGAGAGAGTACACCATCCGTGTAGTGGCAGTCGGGGTGCCTGACGTGTCTGGGGAAGTCACAGATCGAACCTGTAAGTCACAGAATTAATTGATTTGATTTTATAGAAGTCTTAGTCTATAGTCCTGTAGTTATTTTGCATGATCCTACAGAAGCTGTTTGGTTACCAGTCTGTTTAAGTGTTTAAAGGTGATATACAACATTTGCTTTTGCTGTAATTTTCAGAAGTGGATGGATTTCGGGGTTAGTATTTTATAGCAAATATTGCTACACTGACCTGTTTAAAGTTTTCTGGTACTTGTTGCCTGGTTCCCTGACCCTAATTCAGACGAAACAAAGCAATTTATAGACGTAGTTTTATTCTCTTTAGTCGTAAATGGTGTGTTTCTACGTTAGAAACACCTAGGCAAACACTGATCAGAACCCTTTTCCGGCTGGATAAAAGGTTAAACATTGACCTGTGGCAGGGAAAAATCACTGCGTCCCGCGGTAATACAGTGTGTGGTGTGTGCGTGCACAGCACACAATGATATGCAACGGTACCACCATACACCGCGCCGCCTGATAGCACATAGCCGGCCGGTTACGGGTAGCCACATGAACGATGCAATGGATCAAATCCAACATTTTGTACGATTTTCAGAGGTTTAAGATTTAGTTGTACAAAATGCAATGCTTTAAAGATCACAATAATTACCTTGAAGATGGTGAAGAGAGCATAGGCCTAAGTGATACATTTCACTAGCAGTTGTTGGAAGAAAAAGACGATGATGCCAGATTTTTCCCACATGCATTAGTAGAGTTAGTTTATGAATCATGGACCTGATTGAATGGTACGGTGTCATGAATGGTGCCCTTGTCTTTCAAACTTTTTCGCCGACTTTCTCAAGTAAGAAGTGAACTTCTTTGTTGATGAGGTTGTTACTCTAACCGTAATTCAAGCTCTTTCATTTTTACGAAAACACTGAACATTTTTCTCGTCGTAAAATTTACAAGAGGCGGTGTCTAAAAATTGGGCATTATTGTACATTATGTGAGTACATGTACATGTGTAACTGCAGCGTGGCTCACATTTTGGACACACATTTTTGTTCCATCTATTGTTCGATTTTGTTCTCTCATATGCCAGCTTCATCTCTGCTGTTAATTTGTTACATTTTTGCCTTTTTCAGTCCCAAATCCACCGGTGAATCCAAACACTCCCTTGGGTTCTGCCATGCCTGTCTCTCTCTCCGTACGCTGGACCCGACCTAATGGTGATGTCACTGGATATAGGGTAAGCCCTCAATGTTGGTTGTCATGGTAACCCTCCATAGCAACAAGAAATAAATCAGGGTCAGTTTTTTTTTAGTGTTTCCCTTAGGAAGTCTCACTTTGTATGCGTTTTGTAATGTGTAGGAAATGCAAATTGTGTTATATTTATACACAAGAGGCATTAGGTATCATGCTCAATAATATTGGCTGTGCGTTACCCTCCTCAGTCCAGCAAAATCCATCAAAACCTTAGAGTGGATTTTTATCGATTTACAGGTTGGAGTTTATCATTTGTGCAATTTTGTTTTCGTTTGAAGCAACACAAGGGCTCAAAATCTAAAGAAGGGTGCTTTACAACTAGCCTGATGAAGTTTTCGCTCAGTGAATGCTGTATATTCCGAGAAAAAATATTCTAGGATCTTGATTTCAATTCAAAAGTTGCCGAGTCATGTTTTGAATTGAGCCCGAAATCGGTGTCCGGGACACGTTCTCTCTCAGCCAATTGCAGCTGCGCGATGCCGCACACTGAACCGACAAAAAATAGCCAGCGCGGCATGTGCGGCGTGTCTACGCCAGCGCGCACCCATTCACCGCTTCCCCGAATTAAAAACGAACTACAAATGGAAAATTCCGTATATGCGTCTTTAGACACATCTTTGGAAATGACTTCCTTTTATTTTTTTTATTCAAAATGACAGCATAATTTCACAGGGAGTTAGAGTGCCATAACTATCTCTAAACCAAGTATGCTTTTCAACAATAATTTATCAGTTACTTTTTGGAAAGCTGCAAATGATATACTCTATCTTTATAGGAAGAGGCTTAATAATGAATTGACACAAACTTGTCAAAATAGAATCGTTTTTAAAATTTTTTTTTTTTTTTTTTTTTATCATTCATCAGGTCTCCTACTTTGCCGAGGGCACCTTGAAGGTCACATCCGATATCATCAGCCAGACGAACTTTGACCTGACCCAGTTGTTTTCCAACACGGCCTACACCATTGAGGTCGTCACAGTGAGTGGGGTCGGCAACTCAGAGCGCATCAGCGAACCGGCTTCTTACACCCAGTCAACATGTAAGGAGAAGTGGCAGTATAAATCGCAAACCAAGCCATCACTAGACGTCATAAATCAGTCACAATTCAATCACAAGTCATCCTGTCACAATTCAATCACAAGTCATCCTGTCACAATTCAATCACAAGTCATCCTGTCACAATTCAATCACAAGTCATCCTGTCACAATTCAATCACAAGTCATCCTGTCACAATTCAATTGCAAGTCGTTCTGTCACAATTCAATCACAAGTCATCCTGTCACAATTCAATCACAAGTCATCCTGTCACAATTCAATTGCAAGTCGTTCTGTCACAATTCAATTGCAAGTCATCCTGTCACAATTCAATCACAAGTCATCCTGTCGCAATTCAATTGCAAGTCATTCTGTCACAATTCAATTGCAAGTCATTCTGTCACAATTCAATCACAAGTCATCCTGTCGCAATTCAATCACAAGTCATCCTGTCGCAATTCAATTGCAAGTCATCCTGTCACAATTCAATTGCAAGTCATTCTGTCACAATTCAATCACAAGTCATCCTGTCACAATTCAATCACAAGTCATCCTGTCACAATTCAATCACAAGTCACCCTGTCACAATTCAATCACAAGTCATCCTGTCACAATTCAATCACAACTCATCCTGTCACAATTCAATTGCAAGTCGTTCTGTCACAATTCAATCACTAGTCATCCAGTCACAATTCAATCACAAGACATCCTGTCACAATTCAATTGCAAGTCGTCCTGTCACAATTCAATCACAAGTCATCCTGTCACAATTCAATCACAAGTCATCCTGTCACAATTCAATTGCAAGTCGTTCTGTCACAATTCAATCACAAGTCATCCTGTCACAATTCAATCACAAGTCATCCTGTCACAATTCAATTGCAAGTCGTTCTGTCACAATTCAATCACAAGTCATCCTGTCACAATTCAATCACAAGTCATCCTGTCACAATTCAATCACAGAATCCAGCCAGTCTTAAACATTGTATTTAACACCTCCCAAGCCCACATTTAACCCCTTATTTAAAACCGGCCACGTGATGGGCTCTCAACCAATAGGAATGGGCAAACTGTCTATTTGTGAATGAAAATTAAACAATTGCTTTTGTCATTTCAGCAACTGTACCGTCTGGTCAACTTTTGGTGCGTAGATTAACCTCAACATCTGTGAGTGTAGTCTGGGCCCCTGTCGGCGCATCGGAATACACAGGCTCAATCACAGGCTTTGACACTGAGGTAAGAGTCAGGGTACATTTTCCTTGATGCCCTCATTCCTTTGAAATCCTTTTAAAAAGAGACATTTGCGACGTGTCAAATCTACCAATTTAAAGGGAACATGGAGTAGGTGCACTTTATATCAGTGTGAAGTTTAAGAAACAAAAATTGACTTGAGGGGGATTCGCACCTGCGACCTCCACAATGCCTACCAGAGGTTGCAGGTTAAATATGGCGGCGCGGAGGTCAGAGGTTCAATTAGCGCTCTAAAGTCAATTTTTTGTCTGTAGTTCAACCTTAAGTGAATATTTGTCGTATTTGACATATAATCATCGGGCAGTGAATCGATTAGCTGATGAGCTTAATTAGGCAGAATTTTATTTAATTTATAGTATTTAAAATTCTTGACTCAAAAATCACAAATCACAGTGTTTTTGTTCCTGTTCAGAGAATGTTTCTAAAATGATAGCTCTTGCCTCTTTAAAACTGAAGTTTAGTTAGAGTTTCTGCTTTTGTTACATTTCTGATCTTCATATTTCCTCGTTTTTCACTTCTCATGAATGCCATTACAAATTAAAACATACTGCACAAAGTTTTGTGCGGTTTGGAGTTTTTTCTTTCTAATTTCCCAGTTGCATGCATGGATATCCCATTTTTGAACTGTTAAACATTATGGACTTTGTTCAGGAACGGTTGATGGATCTTTGCCTCCTAAAACACTATGTAGTGCATAGGCCACACTTTGCACGCACACTGGTTTGATCCCAACTGGCACAAAGTACATGTAACGTATTTTCATTTAAACGTGTAAACACCTGTTGTGCAGGGTCATAGCACAAAGTAGCATTGTTATACCTCTGTCTTGAATACTGTGTTTTCATTGGGCCAAAACGATCACGTGTTAAGTTTATAAAAAGTCATGGCACACTCTTTGTGGGATATCATGTACGGTAGGGTACGTATGGTGTGAAACGCTTGTATCATTGGTACCCGAGCTATTTTCACCATGTTTTCACGTGTGGGAGCAGTGAACTAGCAGCTGTTTTGAGCACGCGACATGCATGTGAGTTGACGTTCATTTGTCATGATTGTTGTGTTTACTGCTGTTGATTTTCGTGATTCTTACATCAAAATCCAAAGAATCCAAGACAGAGGTATAACCAAACTATTGTTGACTGCTTTGATGTGGGATATGATGTTTTGAACACCCTCATGGTGCATAGCACCCGAGGCGAAAACGTCATATCCCACATCACAGCAGTCAACAGTTGTTAAATGGCGTTCACGTGTGTGTCATTCTCTCTCTTTTTAAAATGTTTATGGGTCAAAGGGGTGAATTCAGGTTTTGATCAAGGTGGGGTTTAGCTGCCAAGGGGTGGGGGGGGGGGGAGAGTTAGCAGTAATTTGCTGTGTTTGTTGCACAATTTCCCCCCTTTTTTACGGCCACCACAGGGTCACAAGGCGACAGAATCCACACTGACTCCAAACTTTCTTTCCTGTCCCTGTATTTGCTAGGTATTTGGACGCGGCAGTGAGGAACCAACCCAGTTTGAGTTTACAGAGCTCCAGCCGTCTGAGATATATCAAATTACTATAAACGCAATTACTCCATTCGCATCGTTCACCAGACATATCCGCACAAGTAAGAGTTTAGTTTACCATGGACAAATTGATTGGTGGCTTGGCCCTTCGGTATATTATTGTTTGCCAGAATTAATCTGTTGTGTTTTACTGTGACCACAATTGTGTCATTATTCACTGATTTTTATGTCCGGAGCGATGAGGCAAATGTTTTGACTTTCCATTATTATTACTGTTATTTTAATTACAATTTATTTTAATTGCTTGTCTTGTTCTTGAATGTCATGATAAGTGTGGTTCGTTTCGGCTTACGAGTCGAAAATTGAAATTTTGGTCTTTGGAAAAACTTTAGATGACAACAGCCAACTGACACAGTCGAGCGAGCAGGACGCTCAGCGGGCATCCCTCAACACAATGCCCATGGCTCACAACCAACTGACACACCCGAGCGAGCAGGGCATGCCCAGCAAGCACTCCCAATCCTAACGAATCCTACTTAAGGAGTAGCATCTCCAACTATCTTCAGTCTCCTGACGATGACTAGAGCAGGCTAGTTGAAACGTTGAGACCAAAGACAAGTTCGTTTAGAACTTACAGCAGGACTGTTCTTAACAGAACAAAAAAAAACTACTTAGCAAAGTTGATAACAAGCAGGACAAGTTCTTTTCAGAACTAATATCTTCTAAGCAGTAGTTATTACCACATGGTGTTACCGCAAACCGAAACGATATTATTTGTCCTAATACATCACCATATTTGTTTTTTTGGCAACGTTCCAGATCCCGACTCGCCCGGTGTCATCACTGCCAGTGACGTCACCCCGACCTCATTCACCGTCCAATGGCAGCCGGCTGACACCCCCCTCGACGGATACACTGTCGATATCTTCGGTCCAGGCAACCCGACGTTTCGGCAGGAAGTCAGTCCCAACACCACCTCCATCGACTTCTCGCAGCTGATGCCCCTGGCAGAGTACCGGGTCCTGGTCAGGTCCAGGCTAGACTCTGTCAACAGCGGAGTCAGTTCCTTCCCACCTCAGTATGGGGACACGGCCTCTGAAAAGATCATCCAAACAGGTACAAAGTCATCCTTAAACAGGCCGTTTTCGAAAGGAAAAACAAATGGGAGTGTCATGAGATTTTAAAGGCAAGTGGAGAATAAAAAGAAAAACAAGGCAAGCTTCATGTTTCAAGGTTTATAATTAAAGACGTTCCCTAAAAAGGGCAAAAACATCTTCATCAAAAATACATTTGGGGGTCTGGAAAAGGGATGTGGCTTTTTTTTTAAAAGGTTTCTGTTCTGAAAATACATTTACTCGAAAATACAGAGATGTGTCAGTCTGGTCCATCACAAATTGAATCACACTTCATTCGCCCATCAATCACAAGTAAAATCACATATAATCAATGACAAAATGATAGTTCATTTGATTAGTATATGACTTAGAACTGGTATGTGATTTTTTTTGTGATGACCTGTGATCGACTTGTGCACAAGCAGTAAGCGGTGACGACTTGCGATGACCGGTGATTGAGTTGCAATTTACTTGTGATTGACTTCTGACTACCCATAATTGACCGTGATGACCTGTGATGACCTGCAAATGACTTTTGATGACCTCTGATTGACATGATGACCTGCAAATGACTTGTGATGACCTGCGAGTGATTTGTGATGCCATGTAATGACATGTGATTGACTAGTGATGACCTGCGAATGACATGTTATGACCTGCGAATGACTTGTGATGACCTCTGATTGACTTGTGATTTACTTGTTATGACCTCTGATTGACTTGTGACGACCTGGGCATGACTTGTGATGACCTCTGATTGACTTGTGATTGACTTGTGATGACCTCTGATTGACTTGTGATGACTTGCAAATGACTGGTGATGACCTGCGCATGACTTGTAATGACCTCAGATTGACTTGTGATGACCTGCGAATGACTTGTGATGACCTGCGAATAACTTGTTATGACCTCTGATTGACTTGTGATGACCTCAGATTGACTTGTGATGACCTGCGATTGACTTTTGATGACCTCTGATTGACTTGTGATGACCTACGAAGTGAATGACTTGACTGTGATTCACTTGTGATGTCTTGACTGCAAACTACAACCCTCGGCAGTCATAAAATATTTACCAGTATTTACCTTACATTTCTGTAGCAAAATGATATTTAATTTCTCCTCCATGTAGCTGACATCAACTTGGACGAGATCTTTGTCAGCAGCTACACCACCAGCGAGATCACCGTCGTCTGGCGTGAGAACCTGGCCGCCGGCTCCATCTACCAGGTCTACGTCTATCCGACCAGCTCCGGCCGGGGTGCCCTACAAGTACAGAGCGTCGACGCCAACAGAGTGTTTGCAACCAGAAACCTCCCGGGCTTGACCCCCGGAGAGTTGTACACCATCGAGGTAGTGGTCACTCCCACGCTGACTCTGTCTGTAAACCAACGCACCCGTAAGTCGGCTCGAAACTCAGTTTGTTTTATTTACAAGAAAACTTTAAATTTTCTCGGATTTTTCCACGTTTCAGTTTTCACAACAATTTTATAATATAAAAATGAAACAAACTCTCTGCATGAAGGTTACATGGTGCTTTGTCACTTCTTGCGACAGCTCCAGTAGGGGAGACCACTGTGTGTTCACACCGCCTTACATACATATAGAAACCTCATGTTAAGTAGGTTTTGAGAAATTAAAGGATATCTGCTTGCACAACTTTTTCTTGTTTTGGGGCTCCCTGTAGTGCCCTCGATGAGCAATGCATACACCGCATAAACACATTCCCACAATGCCCCACCCTCAGGTGCCGCCCAGCCGGGCATCCCGTTCAGGTTAGCAACCACCTCGACTACTCTCACCGTCGGCTGGCAGCCGTCCAGCGGTGTGGTGGATTTCTACCTCCTGGACTACCTGCCGCAGGACGGTAGCTCCACTAACCCGGTCACCGTTGGGGCCGGCCAGACGCCCAGATTTACCCTGCGAAAGCTTCTGCCTGGATCGGTCTACACCGTGTCAGTCAGGGCTGTGGCCGGGGAAGCGTTAGATAGAACCACCAGCGTGCCCAGCTCAGCCTCCGTGTCCACAGGTAATGTGGCTTTTTTATTAAATGCATTACTCCCTACTACCCCAAAGTGCACTGGCTGTTGACACGCCTTACACCGCCCCCAATAGGGGTGTGCATTTACGGGTAGTACAGGAACGGGGTACCCTACTGAAAAAAAATACGGGTACCCGGGTACCTGTGAAAGAAACCCACGCCAGAAATTCAAATTTGAGATGTTGCTGTTCCGATTGTTCATAAAGGTCCGCACGATAATACTGACACATCGGTGCAGCAATACGCCTAGATAGAGTGTATACAGTGAGCTTTTTAGCTATGTGGCGAAAACTGCAACTTTTGCAAGCATCATAAAATGTGAAATGTATCCTGTTTTTTTCATTTTGAAAATGTTCCCACTGACATTCGAAACCTTTCTTTTTTCATTGACTGAGAAGTTACGAAGTAATTTGCGAAGTTGGTTACGGGTGGCCGATTCCATAATCTGGAACCGGTTCCTGACATTAACGGTCGGGTACTCGGGTACCCGGTTCCAGTGCATAGCCCTAGCCCCCAAACCGACCCAAGATCTTATAGTTTTATGGCTTCAGCAAAAAGTCAATACAGTGTAGTACAACGCATTTACAAGTGCTAACGGGTCAATATGGAGCACCTGGTCCAGTGGTTGCAGTGTCCAACTCATGTCGGTTCAAACCCTGACTGGGACCATGGTGCTTGTGTTCTTGGGCAAGACACTTTACCACAATCGCCTCTCTCCACCCAGGAGTATAAATGGGTACCTGTGAAGGTAGAATCCAGATTGCGCTGATCTCGAGCTGCTGCCGAAATAAATGGTCTCATAGCCTGATGAACAGGGGTAATAATTGTGAAGCACTTTGAGACCTTTGGTATAGAAATATTCACATCAGTTGTTATTTCATTATTCTTAGTTCAGTTTTGATTGAGCTTCCATAACATTCATTTCTATCCAAAGCAAAATAAAAACCCAAAAGCACACTGCTGCGATCATGACAACCTGGAGCTTGATTGGGCATGACATTATAAATTTGCACTGAAAATACTTGAAACACTGAAAATAAAGCGAAACACTGCTAATTTCAGTGGAACAAACAGCCCAAGGTACAATTTGTTATTGTAAAATTTTACTCTGTATTTTTGGTCACATTAAATTTTTTTGTGAGTGTTGGTTGTATGGTTTGAAGCTTATCATGTAAATATTTGAAATAAAAGTTTTCTTTAAAACAGTTAGGACTTTAAAATTGAGTTTTGAATTATAAGGTGTGAAACATAGCTAACTTCATAAGAAAACGATATTCAAATATTTGAGTTTGCCACATATTTTTATTTTCTAAAGTTTTGAAACTGTTCCAGTTTGGTGACTTTTCCCACGTTCATATCAAGGGTTTCCAGAGAGAGTACAGTTCATTAAAAACTGACGGGGTTTCCCTAGTTAGAATAATAGGAAATGAATAAATTGATAAATCGTTGAAATCTTGCATTTGAAACCAATGTTACAGCTGTCGCTGCTCCAGTCGAGGTCATCTTCCGTGAGGTCACGACGACCTCCATTGAGTTCACCTGGGGAGAGGTGACCGGCAACACTCAGAACTACGTCTATCAAATCGTGCCTTCCGCCGGTGCCAACGTGGGCGTGGTGGGTCCCAACGCTGTACGCATCGGCAGCTTCACTGGTCTAAGGCCGGGAAGTCTCTACAACGTCACTGTCTCGGCTGGCAGTCTGTCAAATACGGGCAGCGTCCGGACCTGTAAGTCTTTCACCAAGGATTTAGTACATTTTATGACTGTTTGTTTAAATCATGCTCTTCTAGGAATAAGATTTTGATTTTCAATTTTCAAATTTCCAATAAGATTGATTTTCAATGGTGTATCATGGGGAGAGGGTAACTGAGGTGGCTGAGGGCCCCCAAGCCTTAGTGAAACTACTCCCCTCCCTCCCCACCCCTCCCCACCCCTCCCTTGGCCACCCCCCTCCCCTATGCCACAACTAGCATCCCCCGGCCTTGTGTCACCCGATGTCAAAAAGTGGCCAGTCGTGTCCACCACAAGTTTTTTTTTTGGAAATCTCCCCCACACTTTTAGATATCTTTGGCAGAGGAATCGGGCATTTTTGATTTTTTTTTTAAATTGTATTTCTCCCTTTGCAACTTAGCTGAAGTATCTCCCCATAATCCCTTCCCCTATACCACAAAAGCACCCTCCCAAGTAATGTCACCTAGTATCAGATCGTGTCCAGTCCTGTCCGTATAGGCCAATCCGGACACGCTGTCTGTTCTATAACGAAGGCCCCCTTCAATGGCGAAAGCATTGCGCTAGCTATTGTTCAGATGGTTTTCTCCATTGAAGGGGGCCTCGTGAGTGCACAGTGAGCGTATTTTTTTTTCCTAGGAGGGTTAGGGGCAATGTCATGAATAATTCAGTTTTTCCTTTGAATCATTGCAAGACTTAGGTTCTCGTTCTATTTTCCCCTTAATTTAAAATTATCTCAGTGATAATTTTGGAGAAGAAAAATAGCTGATGAAAATGAGCAGCGACGACGTGGATTCGAACCAGGGATCTTTGTATCCATAGCTCATCTCGCTATCCACTAGGCTACTGTGTGGTAGCTCGACGACAACCGTTCTTTAAAATGCTTTAATGTATTGTAACTAGTTGAGTAACTAACAACAATGCTGTTGACGTCATTGTCCGTTCTCATGGATAAACATGAATTATTCATGACATTGCCCCTAACCCTCCTAGGAATAAAAATTACGCGCACAGTGATCACATGCCTGGATTCAACTATTGAATAAGTGCCCAAAAAGTTGTCCCCTGATTCCCCCTATATTTTAAAACCTCCCCCACTATAAGGGCCGTTTCACACGAGACAGTCTACTGACAACTTGTTCCACACAATCTCAAAGATTGTTCCGAGGTATTTTCCATAAACTGTTGGAAAAAAAATGGACTTTATTCAACAATATTGGGTTATGCCCTTCACTGACTCATTTGAAAAAATAAAAACTATATACTCCGTGTTGTCCGGAGTGATCGCGAGAAGAAAATCTACTCAGGTGGGACTCGAACCCACGACCTCCTGCTGACTAGTGCAGACGTCTTACCACTCGACCACCCAGCTTGCTGGGGTCGGCTGGTTGGTTGGAATCTGATATAGCAGCAGGTACTGCAACCAAACTATTCATGAAATGGAAATTGCTTCGGGGTGATATAAATTCAATTTTCGGTTTTTGCCCTTCATCGACACTTTTTTTTATAAACACTGTATACTCGGTGTTGTCCCAAGTGATTTGCTTTCTCACAATCACTTGGAACAACACTGAGTATACAGTGTTTATAAAAGAAAATGTGTCGGTGAAGGACAAAACCCAATATTGAATATACATCACCCCGACGCAAATTCCATCTTATGTCCATCTTATGAGGGTTCCTTCAACTTGCAGCGCATTTGGTTGCCTCCAAGTTGCCTGCGGAAATTGTCTCGTGTGTCTTGACCCTTAGAAATGTCTGGCAGATAGTGTTAGCGAATATTTTCAATGTTACATTGTTTATTTTTTTTTTATTTTTGTAGTGCCAGCCCCACCAGCAGGCGTCTTTAGAGTTGTTGAGACGACAACCTCCATCACATTCACGTGGAACGAGCCAGCAGTAGACTCAGAGTTTGACTCCTACAAGATCACGTACAACATCGGCGACGGTCCCGTCCTGAATGAAATCTACGTCACCAGGGAGGTGGACAGCTTTACCCTAGAAAATCTGCTCCCGGCTGTTGAGTACAATATTGATGTATTCGCAAGCTCCGGAACTGGCCTGTTGAGAACAATCAGCGTACCGGCCACCCTTACAACTAGCACCAGTAAGTGCAAGGGCTTGATCTTTAGCATACTCCAGTTTTATTTGTTTTCGTTTTTAGTAATTCACTATTCATAAACACCTAAGACAGTTTACCCTTTCCTATTGGTTGAGAGCCCGTCATGTTGGAAGTTTTGATTAAAAAAAGACTGGTTTTAAACACTTTTTTTCTGGTGTCACATGAAATTTGGACTCCAATGAAATCTGGTCTCTGTTACCATTCTATTGCTTGAACCCTCACACCTGACCTGTGCGGGACATCCTTTCAAGGAGTTTGCACAGTATTCTACAGTCGCTCTCCTAATTATCTTCACTAAAGGCATCTGCAATACTAACCAATGAGTCCGTATTTCATAGGGTTCTTAATTCACACTACACCCACACTGCTGTGTTCTGCGCCACATTGCGCAATCTCCATATAAGGGGATTTTTAGTGCTACTCGCATGCGAGGCACATGCCATAAACATTGCTGTAGGAGGTGTTTCACAAATTAAACTTGTTTGAACAAAATCATTGGAAATTTGTCATTCTTGACTTGTTTTGACTTTTTGACTGAAAGGTATTTATGAATGGGAATAAATCTGTGCTTGGCCGGTATTAAACAAGTACGTTTAAATCTGGCTAGGGGCCTGGTCACCGATAATGGCCATCACTTTCGGCTCCGGCCTTTATCTGCGTCCATGTTCCTAGCCGGTTAACTTGTTTAAAACGGGCCAAGCACACATTTATTCCCGTTCATAATTTTCTTTTTTTAAATCAAATCATTTCAAAATTTTCAGCTGTTTGGGCAAACCCTGCGAGAGATACAAACGATGGAACTTAAACGATTTTCTGAAACTTTCTCAATTTCAAGCATCGTGAACAGCCATTGGCAACTTACGTTTACCAGTTGAACCTCCATTACACACAACAATTAAGTAGGACACAGATCACCTTGTTCAGTTTTAGTGCTGCATAGGTATGCAGAGGGTCATTATATGAAGTTAAGATCCAAAGTGTGACATTTTTTTCTGTCCCCGTCACCTGGGACGTAATTTGCCACACAAGTATCGTTGAGAATGACTTCAAACTATTTTTTAAAAAATTTGTTGGGAAGGTAGTTCTCAATTCATAATCACTCTTGGAGGACGACTGCACGAAGGAGTGCATCAATTTTATTAAGAAAAAATAGATGTCAGATGCAACAGAAACAGGAAAAAAGTAGACACCAAATTTGTATAAATTCTATTAGAGTGGAAAATGAGCATTTTAGAAACAGAAAATCAGTGACCCTAAAAATTGGCGGGAGCTGGATTTGAAGCAGTTACTGCTGGAACATCCTACAAACGCTATATTAAACATGGGACTTTAATAATCAGTTTCTCTGCATCTGCACTTTCTTCTGAACAGCTGCCCCAGATCCAGGAGTCATCGTGATCCTGTCAGTCGACACGACCTCCATCAGGGCCTCCTGGGGCGCGGCCGACAGTGTCCCCGGTTTCACCAACTACGCAGTCAGCATCGATGAACCCAGTGCAGGCATGGCCATAGATCCCAATCAGCGATTGGCTACTTTCTCGAACCTTGTTCCTGGGGAGCTGTACAACATCAGCTTAGTCGTGCTGACCGACACCGGCATTATGACTTCGATGCTGCAGAGGACAAGTACGCAGAAAGGAAAATAGATTTGAGATGATAGAGATGTGTTTTCATTAGCCCTTCAACTTGTGAATTTAATTTTGTTTACTAGATTGAGGTTTAAGTAAGACATCTCTGTTTTGTAGGTCTCAGAGGGTACCTGCTTACAGTCTTCTTGTGAATTGAACTGGTTGCCTATTGCAGTCACTTACTGTCATGCACACTTACTGTCATGCACACAGCAGACGATTTCGCAAAACTTTACGCAATGGCGCACGCAACTCCGCTTGCACCACAATTTAATGCGTAAGCTGCGCAACATTTTATGCCGTGCAACATTTCACTTTATATGACCCATTTCCCAAAAGTCTCATAGTGCGTAAGTCTGCGACTCGCGCATTTAATTATGGCGTAACTTGCGCATTCATTTTAGGTGGCGTAAGTTGTGGCGTAGCAACTGAAAATGACATATTTTACCACCAACTCGTGATCGTCGTGGAGCATGTTATTGCACAGCTTATGGATATAAGACACTCACAGCTTCTTCTCAAGAGATCAGTTTGTAGATTTATTCAAATAGTAAAAGTGTTTCTTATTTGTGTAAAAGTTTCTGCATGAATTTATCCTACCAAAATTTTGTGCATATTTTTTTTTTCATTCTCATCTCAAAAGGGTGCCTTTGGTTTTATGTCAAGTGTGCATAGTTTTGAGTACACCAAGCATGACCTTTTTATATCAGATCAAAGAGTATATTAGGTCAAGTAATAGTGCAAGAAACTATTAAAACAAATATTTAAACACTCTCCTGAAGACGGTCAGAGCATACTGACCGGAACGTCGAGTTTATACCTCTGGTTCTTTTCAGAACCATTCTCTTAGTTGAGAAACTATTCGCACATGGTGTTTCCGCAAACCTTTCATTATTTAGTATCTCCACCATGCAAAGCCTCAAATCTTACTTAAAACAAATATCAAAAAACGTAAAAATTCAGAATTGTTTTTCACGATGGCTCGTTTCTTGACCTTTTTCAGTTCCCAACGCACCAGCCTTACTCTCCGCTCAATCCTCTGACGCTGTGTCGGTAACACTCACGTGGACCGCTGGTACCGGCGTTTTCAGTGGCTACCAAGTATCTTACAAGGAGGTCGGATCCCTGGTATCCACCCCAGCTGGTTCCACCCCTAAAATGGTCACACAGCTGAGGGTGACCGGTCTCCTGCCCGCCACCCCCTATGAGTTCTATGTGGTGATGGTGTCGGGAACCGGTGCCTTGCAAGAGATCAGCGCACCAGCTAATGTCAATGCATCAACAGGTTTGTGAAAAAAGTGGTTTCGAATTCTTGAACAAATCGTTATTCTATTTATGGTCAAAGAATAATAAAAAAAAGAGTTCTAGCAAATATTTTAGAATTGTTCTTTCAATGACTGAATTTCTTTGTTGACTGAATTTCTTCATTGTTTATTCAATAATGTCTGAGGTTTTGAGAAAGAAAAACACCCAAGCAAGCTTATAACTTTACTCACAATCTCAAGTGCCGAAACTCAGAAAAATATTAAAGTTAACATTTTCTAATGCAAAATGCCTCCAAATGTCAAGTTTCTTTTTCATTGAATTGCAAAGACTTCATTCAATCTTTTAGTGACTGTGGATGTGGGAACCATCTTGGTCCGATCCCAGACCTCCAACAGTGTCTCCTTGGTATGGGGTGGGATCCCCGGCATGGCACCAGACTATCAGCTGAACCTGTTCCAGACCAGCACCGGAGCCCTGATCAACTCCCACCCGAGTCTAGAGATCGCTTCGGCCGAGTTTGGCTCCTTAGCACCGGCCACGGAATACCGGGTGGAGCTAACCTATACAGGCACTTCCCAACCAACACACATCCGTCATATTCGAACAAGTAGGTCCCTCTCTTTAACAAATTATTTGTTGGTACCTTTAACCAGTTTGCGTCAGAGGCCGTGATAACACGCACTGGCTGTTTTTATACACAGGCACGGCTGACGGGTTAAGACGTCAAGATTGCCTCGACTCGCCTCCGGGTCTAAACGTGCTAATCCTTTGTGCCTTTCGCACACACACACAAAGTCCGTCCGTCTTTGTGTTGTAACGTGTTCATGGGTGGCTTTACGATTGAGGGGGACACACAAAGGGAGAACAAAAGATCCTTTCAGTCCTTGAGCATTGGGTCTTTTGTTGAAAATGGTCCTCGATCGTAAAGTTATGTGCTAAGTCTATGGGAGAGTGTGATATATTTTTACAGGGACAAAGCATTGTCCTCGGGCGTATGTAGAAATTCAGTTCTGTGTGTGTGTGTACATGTGTTCCATTTTGGTTAATAGGTTAACTGTTCAGTGCTGTCAAATGAACAGTCAGACTTCAATCTCGACCAAACTTGGTGACAATGATTTTTTGGTAGTGGGACTTCAGATGACTTGATACATTTGAGGTCAAAGCTCATCTAGGGGTCAAATGAGGTCATTGTTGATATTGGTAAGGTCAACTGAAAAGTGTGCTGCCAAATTTACTGTATAAATACTGCCAGCATGCCCGGGTGATCGCACAAGTTTAACTTGTGCCTTTTTATTTAAATATATATTTAGACCCAGCCAACCCCTCCGGCATCAACTCTATCCCCGCGACCACCACCTCCATCGAAGTCTCCTGGAATGCGCCCGTGGGCGATTTCAGCTACTACGAGGTCTTCATCACTAACGAACAAGGAGAGGAATCGCTGGCCGGTCGCGTCAATCGCGACGAGGACAGGCGTTATCGCTTCGAGATGCTGAACCCCGACTCGGACTACGAGATCGAAGTGGTTGCTGTTCTCCAGTCCAGCGCTGATCCGATGTTTGACCAACAGCGGAATGATGACAGAGTCTCTCGATCTTTCCACACCGGTTAGTAGTCGGTTTTGTGTCGCCTAAACAAAGTTTTTGGGGACACTTTTGCAAAAATTTATTAGAAAGGCTGATTAAGAACACAAAAAATTGCCAGGCATAGAATATATTTGCCGAGGAAAATCTCTTAACTGCTTATTAGTTCTCGGCTTATAACTGCTTTTAAGCACCAAAGTTTGCTTTGAAATAATTTCTGCTTAATAGCTCCACGAAAGTTGGCCCATTTTAGGGCGGCAGAGACTGTGTCTTTAACTCTTTGCATACAACAAACCAGCATAACTTTCTCAAAAGCTGGAGATGGCAAGCTGGTACGTCTACTAAAAATCACAGTGCAATGTTTGCATTTCATCTAAAAACTGCTATTAATTTGTCCTCAAATGTGTCAGTAATGTCATTTTTTTAAAACTCCAGCTCAAGTACCAAGCGGTCAAATCATCGTCCAGAATGTCAGCACCACCGCCATGACCATCCTCTGGGCCGAGATTCCAAATGACAGTGTAAGCGGCTACTTCGTCTTCGTCTGGCCGGCCAGCGAAACTCGGCCGATGTTTACCAACATCTTCATTCCACGAGGCGCTACGCAGTCCACTGCCTCGTACTCGGCCCTTAATCTGGTACCCGGCAGGTTGTATGATATCCGCATTGAGATCACACCAGGCAGTATCGTTGACCCGAGTATTCTGACCGGACAGCAACGCACTCGTGAGTTTGCCTCGTACATAATCAGTGTTGTCATTCAGTCAATCTCACGTCAATCTTAAAGTCAAATCACAAGTCAGTTTAAAAGTAACAGGGGATGTACAGTGATCACAGAATGCCTTTGTAAGAGGTAAATTAGAAAGCTTGTCTCGTCACTTGAGACTGGATGACTTGTGATTGAACTGTTGTCAAATGTGACTCTATTACAACTGCCCACAAAATTAACTTCCTTAAAGAAAGAAAATCTTCGGTTTCTGGTATGGAGCTTGCCCCAAAAGCGGTGCGGCGACGTGGTTTTTTTTTTTTTTTTTACTTTTTTTTCCTTCAAATGTCGGCTGATGACTGCAAATGGTCCCCGACTATTAAGTGCAAAATGTATTGGAGCCCAGAGAGGCTACATAAAGCTTATAATGATCGTAACCCCATCTAAAAACACGTTAAATTGTGTAGCAGCAGGATTCTAGTCAAACCAGTGAGTTTGGCGGTTTTAAGACATCATCTTACATTGAAAAAAAAAAGTTTTTATTTTGCCGACGTGCATGGCTACGGCAACACCAGAAACCGGAGACTTTTTTGGGGGGGCCTTATGGTAATAGTTCATGAAAAGCAAGAACATTGTCATGTCTTGATCCTTGTAATGCTGAAGATTGTTGTATTCTCTCAAGGAAGCTAATGTGGACTTGGGAGCATTTTATGAATGCAATAAGTAGGGGGTAAAGATGATGTTGTGTCTGGAGCACCAACAACAGATACTTTGCCTCGTAAATACACAGAAGAAGGAGTGAATGATGGAAAAAATAAAAGTTAAATTTTAATTTGAAATAAGGCATCTTCAACGAAAACATTAGTGTATCATCCTGAAGGCATTCAAGTTTATCGGATCATCTGATATCCTTATTTTAAACTTCCCCCCATGGGCGTCGCCAGGATTTTTTCTAAAGGGGGCAAAGTACATTCCCTCCCATCCCCCCCCCCCAAATCCCTGTACTTTTCCATCATATTCTCGATTTATCATTTTTTGAGGGTGGGCAGGCACATTTGCCATCCCCCCACCCATAAGATTAACAGCAATATGACTTTGCGCCTCTTTTTCTTTTCTTTTTTTCCTCATATTTTTTTTTTTTTTACTTTTCTGGGGGGGGGGGGGCAAGTACCCCCTTGCCCCCCCTCACGACGCACATGCTTCCCTCTTTATGCCATTAAGTGTATCTTCCAAGTTTCATGCCTGATCAACACGCACATCATATTTTGACAATGAGCAATATTTCAGTCAACTTTTATAGTGCTCTTTGTAGTAATCATTTTTGTTCTTTCTCATACATCATATTTTAACAATGAACAATATTTCAGTCAACTTTTATAGTGCTCTTTGTTGTAATAATTTTCGTTCTTTCTCATACATCATATTTTAATAATGAACAATATTTCAGTCAACTTTTATAGTGCTCTTTGTTGTAATAATTTTCGTTCTTTCTCATACATCATATTTTAACAATGAACAATATTTCAGTCAACTTTTATAGTGCTCTTTGTTGTAATAATTTTCGTTCTTTCTCATACATCATAATTTAACAATGAACAATATTTCAGTCAACTTTTATAGTGCTCTTTGTAGCTCTTTGTAGTAGGGGGGAGTGTGTGGCCTAGTGGTTAGGATTCGTGACTCATGATCAGAGGGTCCGGGGTTCGAATCCAGCCGCTGGCCATATATTGTGTCCTTGGGCAAGGCACTTCACCCCCACTTGCCCCTCTCCACTCAGGAGTATAAATGGGTACCGGCATTAGCTGGGGAGTAACCTGCGATGGACTGGCATCCCATTCAGGGGGAGTAGAAATATTCTCAGTCGTTTCATGCCAAGGAAACCGGAGATAAACACCGGCCTGATGAGCCACATTGGCTCGGGACAGACTTTACTTACTTTACTTGTAGTAATCATTTTCGTTCTTTCTCATACATTTTGTGATGGGTCAATTGCCAGGTCCCAACCCTCCTGTCAATCTCCGATTGGTCGACCGCTCCTCCACGTCCCTGGACGTGGCCTGGAACGAGGGCTCTGGTGTCGAAGACGTGGATCTCTTCCTAGTCGCTCACTTCCCCCACGAGGGGACCACGCCATCGCCTCTCGTCGTCCGAGTTGGCAGCCCCCTGCAGGTCAAGTTTGAGAACCTACTGCCGGACAGCGAGTATGTGGTGACGATCAAGGCGATATCCGGCAGTGCGGACAACAGCGAAACGAGCACCGATGTCTCTAATACTTTCACCACAGGTAAGAGCTGTTTACAAATACGACTCCAAATACCCACTTAGACGGCTTTTCCAAATAGGGGAAATATCAGAATTAAACACGAAGTATTTTTTTTTCATATGAAAAACTCACAAGTGAAAAAAACTCCTGCAGATTCATTTTGTGAGGTTCATTGACTTGAGTCACATTTGCCAAAATCTTGCAAATTTATCTTAATATTTATGTCAACAAATAAATATTACAGTATGTTTTCTACCTACCTTTCTGACTTTTGCCACATCTTTTGCCACATTTACCACATTTGCCACTCCCTTTACCTCTTCCCAATCCAATCACAGCCAGCGCCGGTCCAGCCGAGGTCATCATCCGCAGCGTGACGGAGACCGACATCGAGTTCACCTGGGGGGAGGTGGCCGGCGAATACGCCCGGTACAACCTACAAATTAGCGACGACGCCCCCTCTCAGGTAGCTGCTTCCGGCAGACCTAGCGTACAGACCTTCGCTGGCCTGGTGCCGGGCAAGGAGTACACCATCATGGTGTCGACCAGCAACGATAACTTGCCGACTGGCAGTAAGGTGGTCAGAACAAGTGAGTTGCTCTCTGTTTATTACAAAACAAAACAAGGAACAAATGTTGACATTGAACTACTTATTTCAACAAAACTAAGGCCGCGTCCAAGGGGGCCAAACCTGTGTTCACAGGAACGGAGTGCCAACTCTCTTTCGAAAGCGATTGGGCCAGACTCAATGTAATGCTGCTGCTGTGGGGGGATCGCCACACCTCCTCCACAGCGAGTCTGTTACCTTCCCAGCATTGGATAATGCCGGTAGCCATTTAGCACATGGGTTGAGAGGAGTAATTGAGGTAAAGCGCCTTACTCAAGGGCACAACACGCATGGTCACGGCGGGGCTCGAACCCACAATCCAACGATCATGGGCCTGTGCTCTACCGCTAGACCACACGTGCCCACACATGGTAAAGTCCAAGGTATTGCTCCAATTAGAAATAATTAATCACCGTCGTTCTACTCATAATTGAGTATTCATGACACCCTTGATGAAGTTTCTCCATTCGTGGCGATTTGAGCTTTGGTGTAGGAGCTGTATATTGACTTCTTTGTAAGAAAAGTAGCAATTCCATCTGTCCATCGGAGTTTCTGCCTTCCCCTCCACTTTACCAAACATAATCAGTTTGTCCAGCTTGTCTCCCTCATGACCAAAATGTTGCAGCCTTTGTTTCACAGCTGCTTTGGAGAGATTGGGTTTATTGGTTTTTGGAAATAGATATAGGAGGCACCAATTTGTACTCATTACAATGTTATGGAAAAGTACCTAACGATCAGCCAAAACAATGGGAAAACTTGGAAAGAACTAAAAAAAAACAACCAAGCATTTGTTGTTATTTTTAGGTTTTGGAGGGGAGAAAATTGATCTAATCACCCCTTAGATTTGGACCCGATACAGACTGACATTCCAGAATCATGCTGCACTAAACGATTGAAAGATACAAATTAAGTACATGATAAGTTTGATTTTTGAAACAGTTAGGAGCGACAATGTCGAAACATTGACTGAATGACTCGAAGAGTCCATACAATGGAATGTATAAGCTTGTCGGAAACCGGAGTGTGTTTTGCCGTAACTTTGGAATGTCGGTCTGAAAATGGTTTAATTATGATGAATTATTCACTAATGAAAAGTAAAAAGGAGAAAGTTACGAATATCTTTTTTTTTTGGGACTCCACATCAAACAGAACAATTATCCTGCTGTGAATTTCCTTTTTGTTTTTGCCTCCAGAACCATCCTACACATCATTGTGTGTCACCACCGTTACTCCGGCGCTGACCACCATCGAGTTCGTCTTCGTATCCCCGCCTGATCACCAGGGTCGACCGGTCGTCTTCGATCTCTTCAAGTTGACGATTACCGAGGACGGTGGACTCCCTTCCGAACCAGTCTTCCTACCCCCGACCGACACCACGTACACCTTCCGCAACCTGTTGCCAGATACTATGTATACGCTCTCGGTAGCCGTGGTGTCTGGAACCGGTGAAATCTCACAGACTAGCGATGACTGCACCCGAGTGGCCAGAACAGGTAGGAGAATTGTTTCATTAAGAAGTTAAAAGCATTGTTTCTTGAGTTGTCGGCGACTCATGTACATGTACAATTGCTGGCTTGCAGTACCCAATACCAAAACAAGTGATTATAAGAAAAGGGAGGAAAAACCTTTTCTTTTCTCATGTACTTAAAGATGTTAAAGATTCATTGAGAAGTCTTTATAAGAGGTCACATAATCAATAAACTCCATAACACAACTATTTTTCAATGTTTCAAAGAAGTTCACCTACATGGATTCTGTGAAATAAAACTTACTTAAATTCATTTCTGAGAACTGGAACGTGAATGTGAAGCTTCCAGTACGTGCTGTGGTACTCGATTCCATAGTAAAATGTATAAATTGACCTCTCTATTGATTGATTGGGGTCCCTACTGCTACATTTAGTCGACCAAATGATCATGGCAGGCTCTGTGGTGGAGTGGTAAGACATCTGCACTAGTAAGCAGGAGGTTATTGGTTCGAGTCCCACCCAAGTAGGTTTGAAACTTTGTTATCGCATGTTCTTGGACAGCACTGAGTGTACGGTGCACATGTAAGTAGGCCAGCGAATGGCAAAACCCAAAAATGAATTGACGTTTTGTCATTTATTTCGTCAGTGTCGCCGGCCGCGGGTGAAATTGTCTGTCTCGAGGTAACCCAGATGTCCATCAAGATCACATGGGGAGACGGAAGCAGTGAGCCTGGCTTCATTGGCTACGCGCCGTCCATCTATCCAACCGGTACCCTCCCAGATGTGATTGACGGTAATGCACGGACTGCAGTGTTCAGCGGACTGGAACCCGGGCAACAGTATGACATCACAGTGCGTGTTGACGCCACACAAGACATTGAAATGACCAAATGTCAACGGACAAGTAAGTATTGTCCAAAAATTAGCTTTCAAAAAAATTGTATTTCAATTAACTCAGAGTGAAGTCTGAGGAAAGTTAAGAACTCTAATATACACTAAAGTTAAAGTCACCTTCCCGGCATCAGGTAATTATTGCATATATTACACAAAACAAATATGATGGCTGTTTGTATCTAGCGCATGAACTTGGACTGGAAAAGTGACAGAAAAAGTAACGTTAATAACGTAATGTTTAATGCTCCTAGTGGGAAGTCAATATTCACAGCAATATGTAAAACCCTTCAAAACCCTGCAGGTCAGTTTTAGGTGAAGGGATATGAAGTGTCAAAGTAACTGTGTCACACAGAGAGTCACTGCACACAAAAAAACAGCACTGTGGAGAGCAGTGAAGCGTGACCAAATCCACCTGCTTGCCCTGAGCTTGCCAAACACAATATAATTGTGCAGGGATTTGAAGTGTTATCCATACGCCACAGAAGGTTACCTTAAAGGAATATGGACGTGTGGGTCGATCCTCTCGCATCGTCCCAATCATGGCGGACCGTGTGACACAGACGAGACGGAGGGTTAATTTGTGCGTGCACGCCATGCACATGCATAGCTGTATATTCAGCTTGAGAGCTCTAGACGTGTAGCAGTAGCCCAAACGAACGTTGCAACGAAAAAACCTAAAGACTAACGACACGCCCTATTTCTTGTTGTCATTCCTGAATTTTGTTTGTTTTAAAGTTCCCGTCCGCCCCGGCAACCCGTTCATCTCCTCCCTTTCCACACCGACATTGGTGAGACTGTTCTTCGTCCGACCAACGGGCGTCTTCGGCGCGTTTGACATCTATTACACCGAGGTCGGCCGGCAGATTCGCCAACTGGGGGCGACAATCAACCAGAACACCGGCGTTGCGACGTTGACGGGCCTACAACCGAGTACCCAGTACCTGTTTGAGGTGGAGACTGTGTCGGGCTCCAAGGACTGTCGGGTTACCAGTGAACCCGGGAGCATTCAGCACACCACCAGTACGTTTCTTATAACGGAGTAAATAGTTAGACATCTATTAAGAGGAAAAAGTATTGATGTAGGCGCGTCCATCACAAGTCCAAATACTGGGTGAATAATGACAAAAGAACTGCCTTTGTCAAAGCTTATTTGAATAGCTTGTGAGTTGCATTGGGACTGGAGGACTTGTGATGGACTTATGACTGCTAAGTACAGAATTTAGCTAAGAACAGAAAAGGATTTGCTAAATACGATTTGATGGACTGGTCCTCTACTCATTCCTGCTTAGCATGCGAATTTGCTAAGGAAAATATTCTGCTAATTTCCGTTCCATGAAATGTGTCCCTGGTTAATAGCCCCCAAAAACCTGGAGTGTCGTTGCTCTGGAGTAGTTCTTGGCCCATTGGTATTTTGCTTCAAATGACAAGCACCCAACCTTAAAAAGGTTGCTTAGGTCTCTGAATAAGTTTAACAACACATGATCAGTAACAATTCCCATGTTCCTACTTTTTCCCCCATAATATTAGTGAGAATTATAATGTCGCTGAATGCTCTAATAGGGCGACATTCCCACAGACTTGTGCACAAACCTAAAATGTCACCTAATCCAAGTTTATCTTATCCTGCCTCCACGAATTTCGGTATACATATGTTTTGGACAATGAGGAATCGATCTAGACTGTTTGCAACGGGAAGCAAATGATCCTTTTGCCTTTAATGGTTTTACGGATTCATCAGGGAATAATATGTAATACAATGTAATAAAATGTAATACAATGTAATACAATGTAGTACAATGTAATACAATGTAGTACCGGTGTTAACAGGTTAAGATCTGGATCTCTCTTGTCCCTTAGGTCCAGCCCAGCCAAGAGTCCTATACTTTCAGGAAGTCACCTCGACAACACTCAAGATACTGTGGCTCAGCGACTCCGACTCGACCGTCCTCAACATTGCCAGTGCGGATGGTACCTCCCAACAGTTCATCGGCGACGCTTCCACTCACCTGTATGAGAACCTGACTCCCACTACGGTTTACACCATTACTGTGACTGGGGCCGGGGGGATCAGCTTCAACGGATCGGCCAAAACGAGTAAGGCTTAAAAATATAGCTTGAATTCTTTTAGACAGTTTTGGCGCTGTGATGTTGAATCATTTCAATCCCTCGTGGCAGATTTATATGATTGTAACGATCACAACTTGCTAATAAGTAAGTGAGGGTGAAGTGACTTGCCCAAGGACACGACATATGGCCGGCTGCTGGATTCGAACACCCTGACCCTCTAATCATGAGCTGCAAACCCTTACCACTTGGTCACCCCCCCCCAATACACAATATTGGAAGTTCTTTCTATCTATCTGCTGCAGATCCGCCGAATCCAGGAACCATCATCAGTCTGACCCCAGGCCCAACCACCGTCAGTCTCAGCTGGAATCCAGCCGTCGGCAGTCTCAACTTCTACCGAGTCCGATACTACGATCCCACGGGACGGGAGTTTGTAGCCAGCCCTCTGCTCGACTATACAGAAACTCAGTGAGTGATTTTGGTCAGACCTACGGCATCCGTGCATAAACAGTAAATGTGTGACCATTCCAAAGAATTAGAAGATTGAATTTTTGCGTCGGGGTGATATAAATCAGATTAGGTTTTGCCCTGCACCGACGTTTAAACACTGTATGCTCAGTGTGTTACCTCCCGAGTGAAAGTTGGAAAAAAAAAAATCACTCGGGTGGGACTCGAACCCACTCTGTTGTGTTAGACAGAACCTGTAATTTGATTTTAGTATCGTAGACCTTCACTTACTTACAGTTGTTCTCCTTTTTTTCTTTTGAAGTGTCATACTCTCAGTTTCACTGGTTAGGTACTGAGTTTTCTGCAACTGATTTGCAGGGCCTCAGTGTCCCTACTCAGGCATTAACCACGGCCGCCGCGGCCATTGGCCGTATGTCCTGCTGTGTTGGCCCCTTCAAAATATACACTTTTCGTGGCCCAGTCGGCCAACATGCCTATTTTATCACGACACATGTACGTTCACATGTACACTAAAGCCAAAGTGGGCTGCCACTTTTTTCCCGTAAGGTTGAGGCCTGCCCATTGCTCTTTGTTCCAGGTACCCCAAAAGACCAAACGAAATAACCGCTTCACGGCCATGTGGTGCAAAGTACACACGACTAATTTTCAACCGAAAGGGCACAGACCCATACGGCCTGTTTTTGTGGACAACCCCCGTCTTGTGCTCTTAACCCTAGTTCATGTGTTGTACCTATTCTGCACTCCACAGAGCTCGAAATATCCACTGGACCGTGGACCGTGTCTAGTGATTTCAGCATCGGTCTAGTGCTGTGTGTGACTGCACTAGTCCGGCTGTCTAGTGTTTTTTTTCTTGCACTATATAAACAAAATGACACCCATTTATACTAGCAGTTGAGGTTGAGGTCTGATTAATAGCGTGCTTTGAGTTCATTACTTGATTGATTAAAATTACCGACCCCAAAACTTCCTGTGCCGCGCCGAAACAAAAGGAAGCTGCCTGGCCAACGTGCCAGTCATGCCAGTTGCAGACATACATACGTGCATACAGTACATGTACGTTGATGCTCCGTTGGTACGATGTCGCGGTGTCGCGCCACCACAACTTAGATTGGCAGCAATACGTTGTATTTATATTACTGCTGTTTCTCCCTATTAAACATCCAGGCTCACTGCGGGCAGATAAGCAGAATCCCTGTACTGCATGGGAATTAGTACGGTCTAGTTCCCAGACTTTTACGAAGCAAAAGACAGTGTTTGCTAATTGAGAATTAGACAAATTTTCTGGGGGAACTAGCCAAGTGCACACACACAATGGGTGACTCGTAAATAGCATTTTGTTGTATTCCTGTCACATAGTGCAAAATGTTGTAAACTAGTTCTTGTCAAAATAGTTCAGGTCCAGTAAGATTCTTCAGTTACTAGACCTGCTGTCTAGTGCTTTTTTTCATGAAATTCGGGCCCTGACTCCATCACAGTCAGTTTTTGCATTTGGTTTTAGAACTGTAAACGGGCGTCAAAATTAGTTCTGGGGACTGAAGGTGGAGCATTACGTATGTAACCGTGACTTTAAACAGCCTCCCTGATTACAACCAGTAATTCTCGTTTCAATCTGACCACAGGTTCACTATCGATGGCCTTACGCCTGACACTTGTTACGTTGTCAGTATACAAGCCCTGGCCCACAACCTTGCAGGAGATGGGTTCTGTGCTAGCGACAACCCATGCATACAAACCACCCAAACAAGTAAGAAAGGTGTAGGAGATTATACAGGTTTCTCTCAAAGATTTTACTGCATTGCGCAGCGTTGAAAATGTTCCAAACATGCGGGCTTGTTGCTCGAAATGTGTTCGAAATACGACACAGCCGATGCACGTTACGCAAGTTGACGCTCAAATTGCCGATGCATGTGGCTGGTCAGTAAGAAATGACGTCATTTGAGCGATTTGAGTCATTTGGTCTCATTTGGTCATTTCCTACAGATCATTCACGTGCATTGTCATTTTGAGCGTCAACTTGCATAACGCGCATCGGCTGCATCGTATTTCGAGCAACAAGCGTGCGTGTTTGGAGCATTTTCAACACTCCACAATGTGTGCTTGATTGCGTAAAATACGCCGTTGCAGTTCTCCTACAGAGATGGCCGTCATTGAGCGAGCCCTATTTGGCTCAGTGGAAACAACAACTTTGTTTAGTTGGGTTTTTGGTAAGCTGTGGAAAACACCAAGTATTGGCAAAACACCCGATCCAGCCCGTGATTGGTAACCAACCAAATTTTGCTGAAATTTCTCAAGACCATTTGGCACTAAAAGGTTCAAAACTTGCTTCAGAAGCCTTCAAGAGCATTCTTAAGAGCATTCTTGTACAGTATGTCTGGCTGATTTTAATAGGTGCATGGAGAAATGTAGACACTCTCTTAGGTGATAGTTTTGACGTTAACGATGCTAGTTTTGGCTCAAGAATGCATTTGGACACCCAAACTACTCTCTTACTAGCACAGTTTGTCTCACCACATCTCACGATGACCCTCCTCATCGACTATAAATATGATTGCAATATGTTTCTGCAACAGCTCCAGTGCCAGACAACGAAGTCATCATTCAAGATTACACGACGGACTCCATTGCGATTGTCTGGAAGCACATTACTGGAAACAACTTCTACCTTCTCTACGTCTACCTGGATGGCGAAGCCAGACCCTCCACTGCGACTCAAATCGTACCCGTGGCTAGCAAAACACGCGACGATCTGTTCTTCTTCACGTTCCCAAATCTGGAACCGGGCCGGCTGTACACCGTCGATGTCGGCTACGGAACGGAATACCTCAGCAAGCAACAGCGAACAAGTGAGTCGGAGTGCTTAGGAAATCTCTGATGCGTCAGTAGAATTACTTGCGATTAAAATGAAACATTTATACCGGACCTTTGCCAATATTTGATACGTGTTGAAGTTTTCTTTTCTTTTTCACTGTTTTTCAATATCACATAATCAAATCTAAAAGAGCAACCAAATTTTATACCGATTTCTGAATTTTGACCCAAACCATGCCGGATCTTTCAAAATCCATCTGGATGTTTTTTGGGATCTTGAAGGGATACCTATGGTACGGGCAACCGCAGTTATTATTTTACACACTGGGCTTGACGGGGTGTCTGTGCATCGGTGTATGATGGGAAGATTCAGAAAGTTATGAGCAAAATGCTCTTTACAGTTTAAGGATAGAATTATGTCATTGGAATCCTACAGAGTGAAAGATTTTGACAGATTCAGGAACATTCCAAGCTAATTTGTCTTGAGAGATACAGTTCATTTTTCTTACACACAACAGGGACTTAACAAATTTCTGGTATCCAATATGACCATAGATCCACTACCGCCAAGCAGCCTAGCCCTGTTGTCGTCCCCCACGTCCACAACTCTGCGCCTGACCTGGGCCGAGCCCACCGGCGGTGATTTCACCCACTACGAAATCTTCTACCTTCCTGACGACGGCACGCCCGCCTCCCCGTTCTCAAGCGGTCGGCTGGATGCGCGTGACGTCACCATCTCCAACCTGCTTCCTGAGACGGCCTATGCCTTCAGGGTGGTCAGCGTAACCGATACACCGCTCAGGACAGAGAGCACCAGAGAGAGGGCGATATTCACCACCAGTAAGTGACATTTATCTAAACACCCCCCCCAAAAAAGAAAGTCCACACTCATTGGAGGGGTCATTATTTTGAATCTGATTGTCTTATTGTAACGTCATGTTTTATAGACCTTAGGGGAATGTTGTTGGCTACATTTTGATACCCCATTTGCTACCAAAGACTGTAAATCGTCCAACATTGACAACGGTTTATTAAATATGATGTAATTTGAAAAGTTGCAAATTTAAAGAGTACACAAATGGAAATTGCTGCGTGACAATGTTACACTGCCTGAAATGAATGGCAGGAAATATCGATCGCACAGTTCTTGTTTGCATTGGAGCACGCGAAATTGAATTACCCTCACTTTAATTTGTTAGGGCACTGTGTAGTTGATAGGGGCCAATTATTGGCATGTGTGTTTGTTCTTGGCAATTTCTCTTCTTGTAATCTTTAAATTTGCAACTTTACGATCTGCATCATTTTCATAAACCGTTGTTAATTTTGGACGATTGGGATGGGCATTGGAAACAATTGATAGGTGCATAATTGTTGGAGAACTGGACAATAGCTCTGGATGAGAGATTCGGGCATAGCCATAAGGCCAAAAAAAAAAAGTCTCCGGTGTCTGGTATGGAGCTCGCCCAAAAAGTGGTGCGGCGACGCGGCTTTTTTTTTTTTTTTACCTGATATTTTTGCTTCAGATGTCGGCTGATGACTGCAAATGGTGCCCGACTAAACTTAGTGCAAATATATGGGAGTCCAGAGAGGCCACATAAAGCTTATTCTCGACCATAACCCAATCTAAAAACACGTTAAAATTGTGCAGCAGCAGGATTCCGGTCAAACCAGTGAGTTTGGCGGTTTTGAGACATCATCTTTCATTGAAAAAAACTTTTTCATTTTGCCGACGCGCATGGCTACGGCGACGCGCGCGCATACCAGAAACCGGAGACTTTTTTTTTTTGGCCTAATCTACTCTTTTTCTTTTTTAAGTAAAGTGACACATAAGTAACTGAATAAGAGTTAAGGAAATTTGTTTTTAGTCTGAATGAGATGGAAAATAGAATAAAACTACATTTTGATGTGTTGTTCTGCTTACAGCCTGAGAATCGAAATGATATGTAGATCAACAATAAGGGAAAAAAATTCCAATTTCATTGCTTTGTAAAAGTAGTTTTATCATGGGTCTTTAAGGCCAAAAAAAAAAATAAGTCGGTCTCTGGTCAGCGCGCGCGTTGATTTTAACCATGCGCGTCGATCTTTTTTTTTTCCAAAATGTTCCGCGGTAGCTCCAACAGCGCCCTCTATTTCCGCACCTCCTCAATTTTTTTTTACCAAAGAGCACCAAGGAATGGGAAATTGCACCAAGGCAAATGATGGAAAGCACCATGGCAAATTATGGAGGACACCAATGTACATGAGGACACCAAAAAAGCAAAATAGTACCCCACCTTGTCTGTACAATCCAAGCTTGAAAAAAAAAAAAAAAAAGAAGCTGTGTGGCCGCGTCTATTCCGGAACTTTGGTCTGACCAGAGACCGAATATTTTTTTTTTTTGGCCTAACTTGAAATTGTATGTGGGGGCTCAGACTCACTGTGTCAGACGAAGTCACTTTCGGTTCACTTAGGTCAAGTCGAAGGAAGGTTGTACCTATCCTCGGTTGCTCCACTGAGTCACAAATCTTGTAAAGTTGCCGCGCCACGACCTGATGTATCAGTGTACAAAGTGCATGTACGACTATTATCCATCATTTCCCGGTGGAATGGATGATAGATAAATAAACATTTATGACTCTTTTTTATGTGTGGAAACTTTGCAGTACCTGCTGTACCAGCCGAGGTCATCGTTAGAAGCGTGACAACCACGAGTCTCCAGGTCACCTGGGGTGAGGTGGGCGGTACCACTGACCCTTACATCGTAGTCCTGACCCCGAGTACTGGTTCCCCGATTTCTCGGTCCGTGCCACAGGATCAGCCCAGACTGCAGGACTTCAGCAATCTCTTCCCTGGACGGAAGTACACCGTGTCCGTCTCGGTGGCTGGATTGATGGGAACGACGTCACTCAGAACAAGTAAGATTCTTGATTAGGGCTAGAATGAAGTCACAGCACAACCACTGTTTGTGTCATGGTGACTGTAGGTAGTAACCATTGCAATGAATATTAATTAGACATACAAATTTGTTTAAACTAGCGCTGCAGGGGAGAAAATCTCCGCACAGGTGCAAGCATTCATACAGCCCGGTTCATACTTGGCGCGACAGCGAAAGAGAACGTGAACTTGTGACGTCATGGCAAGTATTTGCGCTGTGAATTCGTAAAAGTTGAACATATTTTGATTTGGGTGAAGTTTGCAGGCGAATGTTTTATGATGTCAAATTCGATTCGCATTCGCATTCGCATTCGCATTCGCCTGAAGTATGAACCGGGCTTTAGCTTGACCCGTTGTTCTCTGTACTGCCCCCAAACCTGCTCTGCCTGTTACTCTCTGTACCGCCCCAAACCGCTAAATGATTTTATGGATTCATCAGCAAATAAATACAGTGTTCTAAAATGTAGTACAAGTGTTTAATGAGTTAAAACCGGCTCATCATTTACATGGATGAGAATGCAAAGATATAGTGAACAGGACGCCATGAAACATTCAAGGCGAAATTTGCCCAAAATTCATCCAAGTTGAAATGTGTCTGTTGCGTACTTCTTACGATGTCTTTGCGTTCACGTTCTCTTTCGCACCAAGTATGTACCGGATCTTTAGGCTGAGAAATATGCTGAAAGTTACCACATTTTTTTCTGCTCTTGAGAAGCCTTTGTGCCAACCTTAAAGGAACTTGAGAAGTTGACAAAATGTACGTGTTCATACCAAGTTTCAGCTTGCGGACACCCTCACCGTTTATCACTGGATTTTTTTATATTCCACTAAAATCGTCGTTGTAAATTAAGATTGTTATATTTGGAAATAGATCATATCAAAATCACATCAAATCAAAACAAATACTACATTTCATACCAGTAACGTGTGTTATATCAAGGAAACAATTGTTGAGGTTTGGTAGTTTTCTCCAAAATTGTACAGAGCCTCTCAAACCCAGCTTCGTCTCCAAAATCGGCGACACAGCCACCAGCATCACTGTCAACGTCGGCGAACCTAGCGGCGCGCCCGAGTTTTCCGGCTTCAGGATCTGGTACAGTCTCGACGATGGTCCCAGAATCCTAGCCACGGAGATCGGTTTATTAGCAAGCAGTGCCACGATCGAGGGACTCTTCCCCAACACCACGTATCGGATCTCTGTTGAGACTGTGTCTGCGGGTGACGGCTGCGAGGAGACGAGTGATTTCACCGAGACTATGGCCTCAACTGGTGAGAAGAAAACTTGTTTTTCATTAAACTCGGTCCACTTTGTTAGTTACGACAAGATTCTTCAAAATAAAACATGGACAAATATCCCTGTTTGTCATTAGCGTTAGAATTGATCATGCTTCAGATTGATATTTTGATAAAAAGACTTGATGGTCATCAAGGTTTTCTCTCATTAGTCTCTTTTGTCCTACATAAAATGTGACCCTTCAGCACAAAACCGGTTGAAAGTCACACGGCCGTATTTTGAAATACAGCCTACAATATGTTGTACAGGCGAAAATTATCGATATTCAGATTTAGGCATTGGATGCTAGAATAATGAAAATGTTTCACTTTTAGTGACGTTAATTTGTAAATATACGGAGTTCATTTGGGAAACTTTAACGACAAATTTATTGATTTCTTGTTTTTGTTGTAAACTTTCTGAGGCCAAGCAATTGGTAAATGAAAATACCTATAAGTCAGATTCTGTCCTACTTCCCATATTCTATAGGCCTACGTCATTGGAAAGCTTATTCGATGTCCTGTCCAATGAGCCCCAAATCCCAGTTTTCAGAAATTGGTCCAAGTGACCGGTTTTGTGCCGGAGGGGCATTCTGATCAGTTGCATAGGCTCACAGTAGATACAACTTACAATATTAGGCAAGTTCTACCAAGGACCACAGTTAACCGTAGTTCGACTAACTCTGATCGAGCACACGCTGGTCCAGGATGGTTTGACTAGGATTGCCAACTGTTAAGGACTAGCCTACCACGGGTGGATGTGCCACAATTTATTGCTGGTTTTCAGTAGCAATTTGTCACAGCAATCCAGCATAGTGCAGAGGGGACCAGCTGTCAACAAAAATGATGAAAAAATAAATGAAAGTGTGAGTACTAAATATAATTTTCATTGCATAGTTTTCCGTGCTACTTTACGATTGTTGATTATGTAAGGTGGCCTACACTACACAAACAGTATTATTTGTGTAAATAAACAGAAACATCAAGTCTTGAAAAATTCTTTAGCAAATGTGCGACCGCCATTCTCACATGGTCTGATGACAGTAGTTTGACTAGAGTCATTCGCACTTCAACTTCAGCGCGCATGCGCTAGGTATGTCACAAACCAGCCACTAGTTAACCATTGGTCCTTGATCGAACTGTCCTGCTCCTTTCTCAGAGTGTGAAATAAGACACAAAAACTGCTCTTACAAAGTGAGCTTACACCGTCTATTTTGAGCTATCACATTCAGAGTGATAAATTCCTCCAGTAACATAGAGTGCACCATCAGTACACAATTTTACTGAGCAAAGCCATGTTTTGTTTGGACAAATGTTGAAAATCGTCAGAAAATGACTGTTTTATTGCAATTTCAACTTTTTTCTTTTCAATTGCCGAATGTGAGCAGTTTTTTCTGAGAAAATCTAGTTGTGTATCCAGCATGCCCCACACTAACTGTTCCAAGTTTGTATGAACCTGCCTAACCGGAGGTTCCTACACAGAAGCACCGAGCATACCACATTAGAAGTGTCGCATGAATTCTTCAGGGGATTTCTCAGAAAGCTTAAATCAGATTTGCATGTTTTGAGCACCGACAACCACCATCGATGCCAACCACTGTCAACTTTTTGAGACACTCTTTAAAACCTCCGAATTACCATGGCAATGTTTTCAGGTATCGCCAACCCGGCCGAAGTCATCATCCTGTCGTATTCTCGCACCTCCATTGAGATCACGTGGGGCGGCGGCGATCACTTACCAGGGTATCGGAGTACCTCCCTGGACATACAACCCGTGCCTTCTACCCAGCCCATCGTTGACACGGTCGGACGTAGGGCTTCCTACGGTGGTCTGACGTCAGGAGAGGAGTACACCATCACTGTTACGTTGATTGCTGATACGAATCAGATGAACTCTGCCGTACAGAGAACAAGTAAGTGAAACATTTATTACAAAAGGGCTGTGAATGAATGGTAGATATTATTATGAAAGAAGTTCATCAGGCTGGTGAAATTTCAACTTTATAAATAAATTGTCTATAAACACAGCCAATTACTTACGTAGTTTCGTTTACGTTTCGACTAGTTTCACTAGTCGTCCTCAGAACGAAGCACCACCAGTCGGCTGGTGGCGCTGTTGCCTGTTGCGGCCACTAGATGGTGGTCTGGCTGCTTGTGTCCTCCCCAGGGTGGTACTTGGGGTATGAGGGGGTGCCATATGTGTGACAGTTCGTACCCTCCCTCATCTCTGTTTAGAGTTGATCGTCGTCTCCTTATCCATAGACTTTCCCGTAACCAACGTCTAAATTTGTCGCCCTCACTGTGCAAGATTTCACTGTCTGCCTAATTCATCACATCATTGTTGTCTCTAGCGTGTTCTGTTATGGCCGCTTTTGTCTCTTTCCCTTCTGTTGATGTGTTTCTAGCCCTCGTCATGGTTCCAGATGTTAGCTTTTCTATTTCGGTTTTATGTTGTTTGAACCGCGTGCCGAATTTCCTTCCCGTTTCCCCAATCTTCTCCAACTGTGTAATAATTTTCAAAAGCCTCCATTAGGAAATCCAGGCCAGCAATTTCGTCTGAAATTCCTGACTTCTTTTCCTTAAAAACAAACAACTGATTTGGAACTAGTTTACTCATGGCTTCATTGGTTACAATTCAATTCAATTAAGTTCAAAATACTTCATACTTAAAATGGCAATTACATATGGTTGGACAGCTCTCTATGAAAAAACGCTATAAGTAATTACAAAATCAAATCTTATATAAGTAATTACAAGTCAAATTTATAAAATTATAAACAATTAGAAACTTCTTGTAAAATTGATGTAAAACTTCGCTAAAAAATATTCTCTATACTTTAAATACGATAATGAATGTACTCATGCTGACGAATAAAAACAATATGAGTCAAAATGGCCGGCAGGAAACCAGGAACAGACGGTCAACCGCATTTCAACAAATTCAAGCTTTTTTCCCCCTTTTTTCAGATTCGTATTTATTAGTAAATATGGAGAATAAATTGTATTTTATAATTTTCCCTGTTCAATGTCAGTACCACTCCCAGCCACCAACCTGTTTGTAACAATGACATCGCCAGCGTCTGTCTCCCTCCGATGGGCCTCGGGCGGTGGTGTCTTGACCTCGTATGACCTCACCGTGACCTCGTTCGACGCCGGACCACCAGTCGATCTACCTACCATTAGTCTGGCCTCCGGTGCCACGACCCACACCATCACTGGGCTGGACTCGGGCCGAAACTACACATTTAGACTGGTGGTGGTGGCAGGAGGCGAGAGGAGTCCACCGATTTCCGTGTCGGGGATTACAGGTACCAAACTATTACCGTCCACTTTTCAGTGATTCTTAAGAAGAATTTTTTCTTCTCATGTCACATTTACTCAACAAGCAACTTCCCAAACAAACCACCCAAATAACAGATGTTCTTGTCAGTAATCAACAAGTAGTTATTCATTGGTGCGTTTTGCCATCTGAACTTCGTTAAAAAATGGAAGAGACAAGCTTTTTTCCTCCAGATCGTTCATACATTATTAGAAATTCAATAGGAAACATTACCCGATACATCCTTGCATAACTTGAGAGCATGTTGTTTGAAAAAATGTATTCAACGGTGAGTTATAGTGACAAGTCATTACAGTTGAGTACATTTCTTCTCAGTGCAAGACAGAGTGTAAGCCCAGAAGAATTTATAATACAGGGTGAGTAAAAAAAAAAAAAACAACTGTCGGGGCCATTGTTTTAGTGAAGTTCTGTATGTAGCACTTTCAAAATTTAGGATATGAAAGCTCAATTCATAAGCTTTCTTTTAGTGCAAGAATCATTCAAATCAACTATGTACTTTCCAAGTTACTGAATTTTAAACGCAAACACTTTTTTAATGTTCTATCCACAAATCACATAAGGATGTGTGTGAATTGTTTTCGTTTTGCTGATAGAACACGCACTTTTTTTGTGATTTGTGGACAGAACTTTAAAACGGTGGTTGTGTTTAAAATTCCGTGACTTGAAAAGTGCATGAGTGATTTGAACGATTCTTGTACTAAAAGAAAGCCTGTGATTTGAGTGTTTACATACTAGATTTTGAAAGTGCTACATGCAGAACTTCACCAAAACAATGGTCCCGACATTTGGGTTTCGTTTGTTTTGACTCACCCTGTATAGACCCAATAATTGGCCGAGGCATGGTGGTATTTTATCTACTGCTCCTATCACAATGCTTCCTTTATTACTATGGTGAATATGACTGTACAGTGATATTTTGTTCAAATTTTCTGTATACACACAAGCCTGAATACATGTATAAGTTCTCCAACATGTGTAATTTTGACCACTTTTTTTATCCTTCCCAGATTCTCTGATGGAGAGGGAGATTTTTGTCAAGAGCGTCACCGCGTACTCCGTCGTCGTCATATGGGGCGCCATTTCCGGCGCCCAACTCTACACAATCACCATCGACGCCCCAGGGTTCCCCACCGTCAATGACAACATACTGGAAAAGGAATTCACTCCACTGCAACCCGCCACGCGCTACAACATCGTCATCGTGCCCCTCATCAACTTTATCGCAGGGCAACAATTTGAAACGACCGTTCGAACAAGTACGTAAAATAAATTGCTTGTAGTTCCTGGAATTTGTTTAGATTAAAAAAAAGGAGCTTTTACTTAGTAGTCCTGTACAGTCATAGGTCTTAAAATATTATTTGTTCCTGTAGCGCTCAAAACCATCCTAGCGCTTTATGGCTTTATTGATTTTTCAGTGAATAAACACAATGTAATACAATGTATTACAAATGCTAATGGTTAAAGGGATATCCATATATAAGCCAAAGAGAGGTATGATGAATTGGTGGTTCCAGGTTCACATTCCACTGCAGTGTTTATTCTTATTTTGAATTAAGAATAGATTAAAACATGGGAAAAAACATTATTAACTGAGCTATCTAGCCTTTCGTCTCTCAATTTATGAATGTCTTCTGTCAGATTTTTAGATTTTGTTTTTAGAATTAACAACAATTTGTCCAGAACCCCAGAGCGCAATTACATGGAGATTCTTGGCAGAGAATATTGCTGAGCAAATGAAATGCTTGAGCAAAATAAACTCAGAACCAGTGACAAGCAGATCCACACAATATTTCTGCTGGTCACCTTCGTTTTGCTTCTAAAGACAAAAATCTGTACTCGGCATATTTCTATGCTAAGCTGCATCGACCCATGAAATTTGACACTCCATGCCAAAAGAAGGAAACTGCAGCCCAAGAAGAAGACAAATGTGACTCGTTAGCACAAAGCCAGTCACTTGAAACGAATTTTTAAAAACTGAGATTTTCGGACTCGTGAGCTTTCCAATGATGTATAGAATTTGGGAGTCGGACAGAATGTTGCGGAGTCGTAGGTATTGTCGGTTCCCAATTTTCATCAATATTCTGTGAATTATAGGTTATTGTATAGGTTGTATTATAGGCTGTATTTGTGACTGATATTGTGCTGGAGGGTCACAACTAAATTTTTACTTCACCCATTTAATCTAAGCATTAGCTTCAATAAGAAGGATAAGGAGCTAAACATATCTAAACATTTTGACAATGTGATTGAGTTCCTTCATTTTTGTGTGTGAACTGAATGCCATTTTACTTCATCAAATTCGTCATCAAAAAGTCGACATAAGCCCCTTCAATCATGTTCAACATTTATTGATCATCTTTCCCTTCATTTCTTTCCAGACCCAAGTTCCCCCGGCGCTATCAGCCTCGTCGTGTCGACCCCGACCTCTCTCACCATCTCCTGGGTGCCGGCCTTTGCCGACTCCTTCGACTTCTACCGCGTGTCCATCACGGACCCCACGGGTAACGTGGTCCAGGCCGACCCTGTGTTCCCCTCTGAGCCTACCCAGCTGGCCTTCAGCGGTTTGGATCCAGAGACTGCCTACACAGTGGCGGTCGGTACCGTCCTGCTGTCGGATAGCACCCAGAACTTTGAGGAGCAGGAGGGAAGTACCGTGCAGAGAGAAACATACACCACTGGTGAGTGTTTTACCATCTGTTCCACGGACTTTGGATACATTTTAGAATTTTTTTTTAATTATTTATGCAATATTTTATCACTATTTAGGATCATGACATAACATTGATCACTGATGTAGTCTGAATTGTAGGGCTCTTGTACTCCAAGTCTAGCAGAACGCAGAAAAAAGGGACACATACACGTGATTTCGAAGTCCAGAAGAAACTCAAATTTATTCAGCAAAAAGAACTCTGAGGTCAACTCACCGCACCGCTATTCAGAGCAACAACCAGCATAGAGAAGCGCAGCTAGACAAAACTTATTACATTGTAGCAACTTTAGCCCTCCCTGGAGTGGCCAAACCTTTTAGTATTCTATTTATAGAACTCCTCTCTGGAGCGCGCGCTTCTTGTAACAAAGGAACTAGGTCAGCGCTCTGCAAACAAAGGCCGTCAGAGCCCTCTGGCAGCGGCTAGTGAGCAAAACAACAGAAGTGCTATACAAACTGTCTGTTGCAATAATATTAAATTAATAAACAAGAAATTCTGAAGAAAAGCCTGAAAAGGAATCTTAAGAAAGCTGCAGATTGTGGTCGGAGCTGAAATCCTAATCCACAAGATGGTCCTGGTTGGTGGAATTTGAAACATGCCTAAAGATCACATTTTGTCACAGAGATAGAAGGCAAGACAAATGGACCTTTCCTTTCTATAAATGACATAGTGTACATTGGCCATTAGATCATGACTTTTAGTCGGGTGACCGAAGTAGCTCTGTCAAACTTGGTCACAGGCACTGAAAAAAAAAATATACACAAACCAATGGAGGGCAGGGCTTATGATCCACTCAAATTTACAATAACCATATCATATTGAATAAGAATGTGAACAAAATCCAATAAGAGAAGGAGCAAAAGACTTGTTGTTTTTTAAGCTGTTGGATTCGAGAAGTGTGTTCTTTAACATTCTTCGATTCTGTTGGATTCAGCATTATATTTTGGTGGCATTGGTGGCTGGTGGGTAAATCGCTCACTTACTACCAATGTGGACTGGGCCCGATTCCCAGCTCGGAACATTTGTGAGTAAGGTGGTTTGTTGATTCTCTCCAGTGCCACGATGGTTTTTCTCTGGGTTCTCTGGTTTTCCTCCATCTGCAAAAAAAAAACCAACACTTTTGATCTATGGCTGTGCTCCGTGGCCTAAGGTGCCTTTTATATCCCTTCAGCTCAACCATGTTGTAGCCATATTCAGCTTCTCAGCTGCGAGTAAGGATGATTAGCTCCCCAAACTGTTAAGTACTATTCCTACAGAGCACCTGGAGTTGTTTTAGGGCTCGTGATGGCAATTCTGTTTTACCTTATTTTCAGCTCAAATTGAAGACAACATGATCATCTGTCGGGACGTCTCTACCAACTCCATCACCCTCCTCTGGAATGAAGTCCCCAGTGCCACAGCCTACTCTGTCTTCGTTACCCCTCCTGTCGGCTCCAATCCTAGGGTGGTCGCAACGTCTGGTGGTAACACCGCTTCACTGGTACTCAACAACCTGTTCCCTGGACGAGCATACATGTTCACAGTTCAAGTCCAGCCCGACAACTTGGTGGCCAACTTTGAGAAGTCAGGACGAACACGTAAGACCCATTTTGGAATCAATACTTAAGACCCGATTTGGAATCAACACATAAGAGCTAATGTGTAATCATTACTTAAGACCCATTTTGGAATCAATACATAAGATTAGATTTTAAAATTAATACTTAAGACCCGATTTGGAACCAACGCATAAGAGCTAATGTGGCATCATTACTTAAGACCCAATTTGGAATTAAACTTAAGACCCAATTTGTAATCAGTACTTAAAAACCCAATTTGGAATCAACGCATTTTTCCATTGTATAACCTGGGACCCAGCATTCATTTCGCCTGCTCAGAACAGCAACCCTACAGAAAAAGGACCAAAAATATTTACAAATTAAAGTCACAAAAATGAGAATACAATATCAAGTAGGTATATGTCAACATTCTTTAATTTCAAATTATAAAAGTAACAAGCTCCAAAGTACATGCGAGACATAAAATATTTCCCCAAAGTTTCAGTTTACCAACCATTTTTCCCTTGGCACAGTACCCGCTGCACCACAAGCCCTAGCAGCCACCCAGACCACGGCCACCAGCATCAGCGTCGTATGGCAAGCCAGTGCCAGCGAGGTGTCCCTCTATGAGGTGACGTACTCCCCGGCCGACGGAACCCCACAGCCGCCCATCGTCATCGAGGCCACGTCGCCCCGCGAGGTCCGCGTGGAGAACCTCCTGCCAAGTACTCAGTACTCGTTCTCGGTTAAGAGTATCTCCGGCCAGGATACTTTGGTCACTGAGAGTGAACCTTTGACTCGCGCTTTCTCCACAGGTTAGATTTTTTTTTGAAAACTAAATTATTTTCACGAGGGTTGCTTGTTAGGCAAGGGGCTCCGTTTGAATGAACAAAGAAACTTACCAACAAAAATTGTCTCTGGCAGCTGTGTCTATTCCCGGACAAAAAGGCAGTAAGAGATTTCCGTAAAAGATGAGGGAGAACTTGAACCTATCTGTTTCCTTCAAAATAAACCTCAGCAATTTCATTGACTTAAAGGAGGAACATAGCTAGGTTGCCATTAAGAGTGTCACTCAAATTTGAAAACCTTTATCTTTTTGTTTGGAGTACCATAGATTTGGTCGATATTTGAGGTTGCGATGTCTGATGTGACATCTTATGTTTATGCTTCATGTGTAGGCGAATGCAAAGGGAATTCGACGTCTTTGGCAGCAACATGTATGATGTTGAAATGTGTTCAAATTATGCTAAGTTGCAGCAATGTGGCATTTCCACTGCACTATGTATACTGGCTCTAAAGTGAGATTTGCACGTACTTTGCGTCTCCCAGTTTGGTTGCACAGCAGAAATCTAAGGACCTCCAGAAATTCAAGCTAAGGACCGCCTTCAAAAACCCAAAAGAAATGTAACAAAATACAACTCGTAACTTTACCCCCCAGCGACGCTGACCGCGGGCGACATCATCTGCCTGGCATTTGACAACACCTCCCTGACTGTCAGCTGGGGTGAAGTCAGCGGCTCCTTCCTGAATTACGTCCTGCGGATCCGCCCCGGTTCCTTCGTCGATCAGGTCGTGCCGAGGGGTGCGGATCGCTTGACGACCTTCAACAACCTCAGTCCCGGCACCGAGTATACCATCACCCTGATAGTGGACCAAGCTGAGCAGAGTTCCCTGGTTAAGAGAACAAGTAAGTGTTTTTTCAATTTAATAATTTAAGAGACTCTGTCTGAATATTTTACTAACCAATCTGGTGATTGCCATTAATGAGGTGTTGCACATTTTGTAGGTGTTCTTAGTTTGAGGAGCACATGTATTTGAAAACACTAGTGGTCAAAGGGACATGAAATTTATTTTTTTGGTTTTTCTTCCCACTTTTCTTGTCTCCCCCACTCCACAGAGCCCCTACCCCCAGCCAACCTGGCCGTCAATGACCCCTTAGCCACGCCCACGTCGGTCACCGTAACCTGGGAGCGTCCTTCTGGCGTATCAGATCTCTTTGAGATTGAGTACAGCCGGGACAGCGGCCCCAGGACCAACGTGGAGTTCGTCGAAAGCGACGTCACTGCGTACACGTTGGAGAGTCTCCTGCCCGGCACGACGTACAACGTGTTTGTGACCACGGTAGCAGGGAGAGGCGCTACTGCTATCAAGAGTGAAGCGGCTACGACTCCAGCAAGCACTGGTATGCATGTCATTGGGGAATTTACAGACGTTGCTATTTCCATGGCTTTGGCTCTTAAAGGATAGGAGTGTTCCTAGTTTTTAGACATTCCCATAACAAATGAACAAATTGGAGTACCGCCTTGTTACCCATTTCCGTGATTGCCTTTATCCTTCGCAGTTGCATTTGCCCCGCTGGAAATTGGCGTTCTGGACTTCACGACCACCACCATCAGCATAGCCTGGGGTGCCGTGGCAGGCCCTGATGTCATCTACGGTGCGTCCGTCTCGCCCCAAGGCGTGGTAGACAGTGTCAGTCAGAGCCAGCGTACCGCTTTGGTGACGGGCCTGACAGCCGGCACAGAATACACCATCATTGTGTTTGTGGTGGGTGGCAGCACGACTTCATCCATATCCCAGCGAACACGTGAGTACAGATGCTGTTTCATTTCAAAACAGTTAACTCTTTGTGAAGTAATTTAAGTTAAAAAAAAAGTTGGGTCTATTCTTTTTGTTTGTGACAATCTGAAAAAAAAAAAATTATCAATGTGAATTTGCTAATTTGTTAATATTTTCAATAAAGAAATGCTGATCAGTGGCAGATAAAATAAGTTTCAAATTTATGATTTAGGATCTTGTTTATCCTTGCACAAACGTCCTCAATGTTTGTCAGTTGTTGCATTTTACATAATGAAAGCAATATTTTAAAAGACCGAAAAGAGTGCAGAATTTAGTATATTTTCCCCCCATTCAAAATTCCAGTTTTGATTTCCCATTGTCAGTATTGGAGAAAAGGGAGAAATATGTTCAATTAAATTTTTAAGTAGAGATGCATCTAGTGGTGAAGAATATTTCAGTTGAGGTTTTTGGAGCTTGTTCTTTAATTTAATATAAACTTCTTAAGAATCCTGTCAATTCGTAAGTGAAATAATGTACATTTGTGACCAGCTCCACAAAAAGGGTATTAAGTCGCGCTGAGCAGTATTGTGTGATGGCCCGCTCAACATTGAGAAGGTGAAAATTTCGTCAAAAGTGATTTTCATTTTGGGTCATGAATGACATCATTAATACCTACAGTTTCAGGTTCTATTCACAGAAATGTTGATGTTTATGATCAAAGTGGGAAAACAACCATTTTGTGTGCATCGTTCTGTTGTTCTACCACAGAGCCAGCTATTTCAAAGCCTGTTTTCTCAGTTGTGTAATTTGAACTCCAAGGAAGTAATTAATATGCAAATACGTCATATCTCCATTATACCTAATGAAAGCTTAAATTATGGGCTTTCCAACCATGTATATAACTCAGTTTCACTTTTTTTGCGACATAATACCCTTTTTTTGTGGAGCCGGTCACATTTTAGATTAGGTGCAGTAGATTATTTAGCCATCAATCCAAATTTTTTAATATGGTCAAAATTGCCCAACTTCAATGATACATGGTCAACAAGAACAGGAAGTTTGTGGTAACACCGCTTGACAACAAAATTCTTTTAAAGGTAGAGTAGACTATCTCCAGCTATCCAAAAAGTAACTGACCAAAATTTTGATAAAAAGCTTACTTGATTTAGAGATAGTAATGGCATTAAACTCCCTGCGAAATAAATCCTTGTGGCAAGCTGTCATTTTGAAGAAAGCAAAAAAAAAATTCCAAAGATGAGTAAAGTGATGCATTTCTGGAAATTTCCGTTAGTAGTTGACTTGTTATATGCTTATCTGTAAATGGGTGTGCGTGCGCAAGCGTTGACACAACACACACGTGAGCATGTTTGCTGTTATCCGTCGGTTCAGTGTGTGACATCTTGAAGCTGCAATCGGCTGAATGAGAACGTGTTCAGGATGCTGATTTGGGGATATTCAAAACATGACTCGGCAACTTTTGAATTGAAATCAAGTTCCAAGAATATTGTTTTCTCGGAATATACAGCATTCACAGAGCTAAGTCTTCATCAGGTTAGTTGTTTAGATTTCGAGCACTTTTGTGGCTTCAAACGAAACAAATGCACAAATGACAAATGATCTATTCTTCCTTTAAGAGTTCTGAGAAGAGCCTGTGTGAACTCAGTATTTCAGTCAGCATGCTCACGAGGAGACTATTGTCCAAGAACTAATTGTGAGCCTACATATTCCTTGTTGTCATCACAAAAACTTTCTGTTCGAGCCTTTAGATCTAACGCATGGGATCATATTTTCCCGTCCACCCCTCTAGGACCTAACTCAGCCAGCAATGTGAGAGTCAAACCCAACAGTGAAGTCACTCCAGTCTCCTTGATCATCGAGTGGCAACCTGCCATCGGATTGGTCAGCGGCTATGATGTGTCCTACAGAGTTCAAGGAAGACAGGTACACATTTCACAGAATTCAAAAACAAATCTGAGAGTATAGATGAATCTGGACTTGTTGATTGATTTGTGGTGGACTTGCGACTAGACTTATGATTGGGTAGGAATTGACTTGGGATGGGCTTGTGACTGGACTTGTGACTGGTTTGTGATTGGCTTGCGATCGGCTTGTGACTGGACTTGTGATTGGCTTGTGACTGGAGTTGTGACTGGACTTGTGATGGACTTGCGATTGGACTTGTGATTGGCTTGTGACTGGACTTGTGATTGGCTTGTGACTGGACTTGTGATGGGCTTGTGACTGAACTTGTGATGGGCTTGTGACTGGACTTGTGATTGGCTTGTGACTGGACTTGTGATTGGCTTGTGACTGGACTTGTGATTGGCTTGTGACTAGACTTGTAATTGGCTTGTGCCTGGACTTGTGATTTGGCTTGTGACTGGACTTGTGATTGGCTTGTGACTGGACTTGTGATTGGCTTGTGACTGGACTTGTGACTGAACTTGTGATTGGCTTGTGAGTGGACTTGTGACTGAACTTGTGATTGGACTTGTGACTGAACTTGCGATTGGACTTGTGATTGGCTTGTGATTGGCTTATGACTGGACTTGTGATTGGCTTATGACTGGACTGGTGATTAACTTGTTGTCCAACTGAATTGAAAATTGGCCCTTATGCTTAGTAGTACACACTAGTACACAACAGTGAATTTCTAAACAGCTCATTGTGATGTTCATTGCCTCTGTCTAACCAGGTTGAGAGTTCTGCTGGATCCACAGACAGTAACACTCGGGAGTTGAAGGTGACCGGTCTAGACTCGGGAGTCACCTATGACTTCATCGTGACGTCTACCGTGGGGACTGGGTCTAACACAGTCCTGGGTGCACCAGCCAGCGGAACGGGAACGACAGGTACGGTACTAGACTGAGTAAAATGACATCACTTTCCGACCAATAAGCTTCGTGGGAATGATGCGAGAACAATTGGAGAACTGCTCCCACGAAACTCAGACGAAGTTGCAGATGTTGCTTTTGCACAAAGTGCTTGTGACGTCATTTTGGGGAGGAATCGACACCACAGAAAGCTTTTCAACAGGAGTGTTAATCTCCCAATTGGGTTGTCAGGGTTTTATCATTTAATCCTTTCTCCCAGATGTGATAGGGTCTCAGTACCTACAAAATCATATATCATGTAACCTTCCAAACCTCTTTCCTCGAAAAACAGTCCAGATTGGCGAAGACCAGATCTACATCGTGGAAGTCACTGAGACCACCATCAAGATCCGCTGGGGTCAGACCGTCCATCCTGATCTCCTATCCTACCTCGTCGATATCAAACTGCCCGACGTATCCGGCAGTCTGGGACCGATGCAGTACAGTCCAGATGACAAACTAGAGCACACGTTCACTGGCCTGACATCCGGAACACAGTATGAGGTCTCCAAGCAGGCCATACTGACTGGTGGAGGCGGGGCCAGGAATGCCATCTTGCAGTTCACAAGTAAGTCTCGTTGTCAGACATGGATAATGTTAACATTCGTTGTACATTTTACATTTTCTTCGGTGTCTAGAACAGTGATTTAGCACTTGCATCAGATCCCAGCTTTGACCATAAGACAAGGAAGAAATGGCGATTCCCTAACAGTCCTGAATCCTCCAATTTCAATACGATTTCGCACACCCCCTAGGGAGTTAGGGTTAAAGTGATCATGATAATTCTGGAAAACTTTTTAGTTATAAGCCTGTCCTTGTTTTGTTTCTGTATTTTGATCGGTTAATTTGATCAGTGCTTCAGTGCAATTCTCTCTCAGGTCCCCAACTGAGGAGAGACGGGGACGGAATTTTAAGATTTTGGAGTGATTAGAAAAACACCAGAGAGTTAGTCAAAATTTATGGAAACAAACCTAACTGGTTGTTTTTGTGTATTCTGTAACACTGAGTACTCTAAATCCTCCAAAACTCCATGCCTGTTTTTTTTTTTTACATTATTTCAAAGATTCAGCGTTTGACTGCTTTGATAGTTATTTAGTTCCAGTTCTTTTTAAGGTGCATAGAATGTGCTGTTAAGATGCTGCACAGTGTAGGATTTACATTGCTCCAGAATGCATTTTTTAAGCTCAAGGGATACAACCACGGATCCCCTGCACGAGGATGAACGACTCATCTGAGCTTGTGTACAAAATGTAAAGACATGCGTGATATGCCGCGTCTGCGCATAAAACAACGCATAGAACATGTAGAACAATGCGCGTGCGCCACGATCGCCGACAGCTGGCATCCTGACAGAAATTTGACCACTAAAGGACTGTTGTCGCGCGCCGAGTCTCGTGCAGGCACGCACGATGTGCAAGTGCCGTATCACGCATCTAACCAAAAATTTAGGGAAGTCGTTTATCCTTGTGTACAATTAATTAGAAATCTATTCTTATCTGTTTCTTTCCCTTTCATAATTATTTCCAAATTTCCAAAGAATGTTTCAAAACTTTACAGAACACCGACAAAAACTGTTAAACTGTATGATTGTTTTTCTCCATTGTGCAGGGCCTGAGAGTCCTCAAGTTATCTCTATCATGAACAACACCCTGTCAGTTGTCATCAGCGGCCAGCCACCAAACGGCGGCTATGACAGATTTGAGATAGCTTACCGAGACTCTGACAATGTCCGCACCTTTGTTGAAGAGGTCGGTACGGTCAATAACTACAAGATCACGGGTCTGGATCCTGACTCGGACTATGTGGTGGAGCTGGCGACCATCGTTGGCACAGGAGCAGACAGACTAGTCAGTGACCCTGATCAGATAACAGTCACAACTGGTAAGAAGAGATTGAAATTAATATGATAAGACGTCGCAAGATGTCATAAGACATCACAAGATGGCATAAGACGTCGCATGATATCATAAGACGTCACAAGATGTCATAAGACGTTACAAGATGTCATAAGACGTCGCAAGATGTCATAAGACGTCACAAGATGCCATAAGACGTTACAAGATGTCATAAGATGTCGCAAGATGTCATAAGACCTCACAATATGTCATAAGATGTTACAAGATGTCCAGATGTGTCATAATGTCAAGTTCCTTGACGTTCCAGCTTGCTTGAAGTTGATTGGAACCCAAGACACAGTGTATTTGATTGGTCTCATTTTCCCAGATCCCATTCCTTCAAGTGACATCCTGGTCAGCGATGTCCAGACCACATCCCTGGAGCTCCTTTGGGATGCAACTCCGGGCCAAGACGTGAGCTTCCGAGTCTCTACCGTCAACTCTAACGGCGACAAGGTCTTTGCTACCTCGGTACCCGCTGGGGTTTCTACCTCCGTCCGAGTCAGACTAACCAGTCTGGTTCCTGGAAGGCAGTACAGTATTGTGGTGGACACGGAACCGGGACCGGAGGAACGACGTGTCGTGCAACGAACAAGTAAGTTCTTATAATGGCCGTTCATCTAAAGCAAATTGCAATTCTATGTCCGTATCCGAGGATGTTGTACTCCTGGGGTTTCTTTTAGCCTGTAGCACATTTGTGAAAGCCCATGCTAAAATCAGGCGCTTTCCGACGTGAAAACCTTTTTTTTTTCTTAAAATTTATCATTATAAAAAAAGATTTTAAAAATCCAATAATATTTTGACATTGTGAACTACATTCTTGAAGAAGCACATTTTCTGTCCACCTTGTGTCTGTTGCGTAATGTAGCTGTTACATCATGATAGGCTTACCTAAGAAATGGACACACAAAAAATGGACAAAAGTTATTCATTGAAAGGTGACTTAGTAAGGGAATGAATATGTGCTTGGCCGGTTTTAAACACTCTGTTTAAGACCGGTTGCAGTCTGGATCAGCATCCAGACTCCAACCAGTCTTAAACATAGTGTTTAATACCGGACAAGCCCATATTTATTCCCATTCATAAATACCTTTTCGGTAAAAAAAAAAATCAAAACTTTTCAGTCCAAAAGTCAAAACAAGTCACAAATTATAAATTTCCAACAATTTTGTTCAACCATTTTACTTCTAATTATATTATGGCATTTCCGTGTCGTAAACAACTCCTTATATGGAGATTGGCGCACCCGTCGCGCGTACTGCGCGATGTGGTGTAAAATGCAGCTGTGCCTGTGTAACTAGTGTAAATTTAGGACTGTGAAATACTGACTCACTGATAGAATTGCGGATGTCGACGTGAGCATTGTGAACATTCAACCAACAAAACAGTAACTAAAAGGCACCGAATTTCGTCTACCGGAGGCGTCCAAATTTCATGCGACACTGGAAAAGTGTCTAAGACCAGCCAGATGGTTTTTATCAACCATTTTAAACCAGCCATGTGACGGGCTCTCGACCAATAGGAATGGGTTAACCGTCTGAAGTATTTATGGATAACATTTAATGACTTTGAATGCTAGAAGTAGGCAATGTTGACACATCTGCCCTTGTCTACTTTCTAGAACCGGAGTTGCCAGGCCCAGTTACGATCGTGTCCAGCGACACCACCCAAGCCAGTCTCCATGTCACATGGCAGCCTGCTCCGTTTGAACTGCAGTCCTACAGGGTTAGCGTCACTGCTCCCAATGGCGTGGAAACCGATAAAGGAACAGTACCAGCTAATGTGCAGGTAAGCAAACCCTCACTGGAAATCCTGGCATTTTTACAGACTGTGAACAAAAATTATTTGAAAGTGCTTGCATTTTCCTTTTTGCATACAAAGCCCTTGAAAAATCTAAAAAATAAAAATCCGTCCGTGTGCCTTTTTTTTTTTATCCCCACCCTTCAAGTCATCAGTCCATTTGCAAGGCAATGTTTATGTTCTGTATGCAATAATTCTCCTGTATATTGAGTCCATGAAAAGTCCTAGAATAAAACAAAAGAAATATGTTATGAACCGTGCTTCATGACACCAAGTTGCACGTTATGAGGATAATTTACAGATTTTGGGTTTTTATCTGTTAGGCCCCCCCAAAAAGTCTCCCGTTTCTGGTATGCGCGCGCGTCGCCGTAGCCATGCGCGTCGGCAAAATGAAAACGTTTTTTTTTTCAATAAAAGATGATGTCTCAAACCGCCAAACTCACTGGTTTGACTGGAATCCCACTGCTGCACAGTTTTAACGTATTTTTAGCTGGGGTTATGATCGAGAATAAGCTTTATGTGGCCTCTCTGGATTCCCATATATTTGCACTAAGTTTAGTCGGGCACCATTTGCAGTCATCAGCCGACATTTGAAGCCAAAAAAAAAACAGGTAAAAAAAAAAAAAAAAAAACGCGTCGCCGCACCACTTTTTGGGCAAGCTCCATACCAGAAACCGAAGACTTTTTTTTTTGGCCTTAGTTTAGTTGAGATGTTCTCAGTAATCAAGGACATTTTCTCTTGTAAAGTAATTAAGAAACGATATCTGGCAATTTACTCTCATTTTATGAATAAAAGAAATGAGAGGTTTGCTTGTAAAAGAAAGTTAGATAAAGTCTTTGTTGTGTAGGGTTGTGATGTCCATGTCCAAAATATACTTGCGAAAAAAAACCGGAAACTTTTTTTTTTTTTCCCGTTCTTTATGATTCAGTCAAAACTCCAATGTGTGTTCTTGTTCATTTTGTCTGATTTTTTGTGTCTTGTCAGGATTTTATTGTGGACGGTTTGTCGGCAAACACGGCATACACTGTGTCCGTCCGATCTGTGAGTGGAACAGGCCCCACAGCAACGGTCAGCGACCCATCTACTGTCTCTGGGAATACAAGTAAGATGTTGATCAAACGAAAGTTGGAAAATGGAAAATTGAAGTGAATAGAGAATACTAGACTTTCTTAGTCGGAGGTTTAAGGGAAAAAAAAAAAAAAAACTTCTGCCATTTTGGACTTTTATGCCGAAAAATAATTAGCCTAATAATAATAATAATAAAACAGCGTGAATATATCGCAGTATGAATGGAAGATTCCTCAAAGTGCTTAACAATAGAACAAGAAACAAAAATTAATCCCAATTTTCACCCAACTTGGTTGAAAAGTTAGGCCGGGCCAGCTGTTGTCAGAATAATGTATCATTAAAACAAACTGTAAATTACTGTAATCTTTTAAAATATGGCAGTATCGCACATCGATGAAATACCATTAAAATACTGTAAAAACTTCAGTTTTACGTTAAAATCCCCAATCACTGTTATTTACAGTAAATGCATGGACAAAAAAAAAATACATGTAGCACTTAAAATGAAAACTAAAACATGAATAAAAGGCAGACTTGTGTCCAATTACAGTTAAAAAGATGAGTCTTAAATAATTTCTTAAAATCATCTAAGGCACATCTAATAGACAATGCAAGCTCATTCCAAAGTTTGGAAGCAGCTGCAGAGAATGCTCCATCACCATATGATGTTGATGTTGTGGCCAGTTTCAGAAGATGTTTGCCACTAGATCTTAGGGAGCGGATCAGCCTGTTAATCTGTCAATAAGTCAAACTAGATTCCTTTTCCAAAATCGCTATTTTTCTAGCAAAAGTTACTCACTTTTGAATGAGACATTGACCCAAAAAATTAACCCTTGTTTAGTTAATGAATTATTACTAAGAGGGCAATGCCTTTGTTTTGTTGGGATTTGCGGGAGTGAACCTTTTGTGCGTTCATTGTTACCAAATTAACATATCAAAAGAGGCCCTCCACGATGGCTGCTATGTATAAGGTCTATTTTTCTAGCTATACAAAAGTTCTTCACATTTGAGTGAGACCTTCTCTGAAAAAAAAAATGGCCCCCTGGTTTAGTTATTCAATTGTTACTTTGCAATTTTGAGTTATTGGTTGCCAGACAGTCATTCCATTCTCGCGGGGTATGCTGGTTCCTGCCCTGCAGTCAGTAGCGATAATGTACGGACCGGAGCCAGTCTGCTCGCAAAGCGGATCTGTTTGTGTCCGAAAACAAAACCATCTTCATTTCAGAGGTTTGCAGATGTCCAAAAAAGGGGAAGATGAGGTTTTGTGGTTGGAATTAAACAAGGAAGTTGAAAATTTATTAACAGGGATAAAAAAAAATAGAATTTGTTGAAGTGCACACAGAGCGCAATTTCAATTTCAGTGAGAATTAATGACCACTAATGCTAAAAATCTCTTTACATTAAAGCCGTTGTACACATTCTAGTTTACTTTTTCTCTCATGCTTTTCTTTATTAAATTTATATTCCAGCAACTGCAAGATTTGATAACGTGATCGCCGACTCAGAGTACATCTACGTTAGCTGGTATCCGGTTACTGGCAGCATTACTGGATACCGTCTGACCTGGGCCCCAGAGGGACAGACCATGACAGGGATGCAAGTGGTACCCGTGCAAAACGATCGGACGCATACGATTGCTGGTTTAGTGCCCGGTACCTTGTATCGTATCAAGCTGTACCAAGTCCAAGGCAGCACAGAGACCTTCCTGGATTCTGTCATCAGACGAACCAGTAAGTCCTCTGAAGAATTTGAATTTCAGAGTTGTATGCAATCACAAGACCAATACAAGTCAATAACAAGGCAGTCACAAGGCAATGACAAGGCAATCACAAGGCAGTCACAAGGCATCACAAGGCAATCACAGGTTAATCACAAGGCAATCACATGACATTCACAAGGCAATCACAAGGCAATCTCAAGGCAGACACAAGGCAATCACAAGGCCATCACAAGGCAATCACAAGGCAATCACAAGTCAACCACAAGGCAATCACAAGGCAGTAACAAGGCATCACAAGGCATCACAAGTTTAATCACAAGGCATCACAAGGCAATCACAAGTTAATCACAAGGCAATCACAAGGCAATCACAAGGCAATCTCAATGCAGTCACAAGGCCATCACAAGGCAATCACAAGGCAGTCACAACAAGGCAATCTTTTCGTCTGCCAGTAAATTGTCTCCACAGATTTCAATATGTAATATTTGTGCATAGGTTAATTTTCTTCATAAGATGTTTCTGGGTATGATATATGCCTTTTAACAATGTATCAAACATCTGACTTAATTAAGCTCTTGTGTTGTATAGATTTGGAAAAAAAAAAAAGAAGTCAATCAAAAATTTATCTTTAACTCAGCGATGATAATTTTGTAGCGTTTTTGTTGGTATTTTTCTTGTAACACCCAGATCCTGCGACAGTTCAGAATGCTGCGGTTACGGAGGAGAGCAACACCACCTTCAAAGTCACCTGGGATCCGCCGGCCACCGGACTGTACAACGGCTTTGAGCTGAGCTTTGGTCTGGACGTTAACCCTTACATCAGCCTAAACGAGGTGAATCTACACTGGCTGACCAGGGAATACGTGGTGACAGGCCTGACGTCCGGTACCGCCTACCGAGTCAGACTGTGGGCCGTTTACGACGAGACGAGGAGTGTCAGCACGCAGCTGACCACGACTACAGGTAAAGATTGCCTCGTACTTCGTGCAAATGTTCAGCGATTTGACCTCGCTAAATGTTCGTGGCAACATTTGTAGAAAGTAAAATTTACAGTAGGCTTGGCTGCTAGTTTTCCTGCTTTAGCTGGAATTTCTCTCTTTTTATGTTTTTGAAAACAAACAAAACTTGGCATTCTGTCCCTTCGAAGGCCAGAATAATAAATCCTTGTACAGTGGAACGTCGCCATACCGAACACCGCTATACCGAACATTCGGCTATACCGAACATCTTCCTTGGCTCTTGATTTTTGTGTACAAAATGTACCGAATATTGCTGTTGAAAAATGTCAACAGAAGAGCGTAAAGTGGCTATTATTTCCCCAAGGAATAGAAGGGGAAAGCCACCCATTGCTGTAGGTACCGGTAGTAAGCTCACAATCTGTGTAATGACATTATCCAATAGTCGGCATATGTTCAAAGTCATCTTTCAGTAACTAGAAGTACCAGGGCATGCAGGGTGAAGTTCTGAAGGGCGCTATTTATTGAAAAATGAGTACCGGAGCACTGGCAGCTTAAACTTGCTATATCGAATGATTGCTATTATGAACAATTTCTGTGGATCCTGCGATGTTCGTTATAGCAGTGTTCCACTGCATTGTATGTTTGGAGGCAAAAAGAAATATTATTTAAAAAAGAGGGAGGGGAGGGGGCTACAGCCTGCATGGTATTGCTCAGCCAATAAAAAAATCCACATTCATTGTTTGATTGTCGCCCTTGAGCTGCTTAGAAAATTTGTTACGTGCTATGTGTTGTCAGCGTGCTAGACTCCTATAAAGTGCGTTTGATTAAATTTTTCTGCATGGACCCACAACATTCACATGTGTACAGCGAACGATAGTTTAAAAGCAAATTGGTTACAATTACTGGCGTGCGAGTCTAGGGTCACTGTGCATGCGCTGCACCATCGTGATCGCCATGCTAGTTTTGCGCGGTACAAGAATTTATTGTACGTTCGGTGTTGACATACTCTTTTGTGGTGCCAGGATGCTAGTATTTACGGTGTATTGCAATCATTTTGTGCAGCGTCACATTTTTCATGCTGTGTTTTTGGTTTCAAATTCTCTTTCTCCAATTATATTAAAATTTACGGTCTCTTTCATTTTCAAGCTCTTTTCGTTTTTTGTTTGTTTCATTTTCCTTTTTTTATTGACCTCGTACTGGTTACCTATCCATTTTAGTTGAACAACTATCATTGCCTTAGAGTAGCATTCAAGCTTGCCGTCTCCTGTTTACAACTCAGTGAATATTATTGTTGTCGCCTCTTGAACCAACAGAGGCAACTGGACAGAATGTGCTGTATGTGACCAACGTTGACACCACGTCGGTGGACGTGGCCTGGGTTGCTAGACCTGGCGCCATGACTTCCTCTTACTCCTTGACCGCAACCCCCACTCCAGGTACAATGCCCACCAACGGACTTGACTCTGGAAGAGTCACTGATCTCATGCCTGGAGCTGAAATCACGATCAGCCTGTGGTACAGTGGGCCTCAAGTGTCGACCCTCACTACCAACACAGGTGAATAATAGCCCCAAAAAAGTAATCTCTTCTTAGTAAAAAAATAAATCAAGTATTAATAGATTGAAATGTTCCCTTTTATCTAACTCTGTGAAAGAGAGTATTTAAAACGATTTGCACCTTGAAAACCGGTCAAGCTGTAGCCTCTCTTAAAACTCTTTCATTGACAGGCGTTATAGTTATTCAGACTGTTAATCTTTCTGAATATAGAATTAAATCTTTCAGACCTTTTGTCCAGTTTTTTGACCTTGTTAAAATTGAAAATGTCATCCCTGATTCGGTGCCTTTCTTATCTGAACTCTCAACATGCTCAAGGAAAGTGCCCCACTAGATACAGTCTTGTGGACTTCCATTGTGGACAAAAGAATTGCACATTTTCTCACATTATTAAAGAGGTTGTGGAATGCTCGAAGACATTTCCGTCATTTTTCGGGTATATGTAGCCTAAGGTGTGATGAAATAAAAACGACTATTGTTTCTGTCATGAAATGCGTACAAAGGGTACCTTTGAGAGCTGTTTTTCAGGTCCAGTTTCGACCCGAACGTGCAACTGTGTAAAAGTCGTCGTTGCGGGCAGCAAACAAAACACAGTAAATCGTGACGTAATAAACAGGACTCGTGTATGCTACAGTGCATCGGGAAGCGAAGTGCACGCATGTCCAAGTGTTGTGTTTGACATTCAATTGCACAGTCACAGACGTGTTTGGCAGTGGGGTACTTGTCAAGTTGTGATGGATGACAGCAAGTACATGTTGAAGATTCGAGGCTTTGCATGGTGGAGTATCGGTATCGTTTCGGTTTGCGGTAACACCATGTGGTAATAACTACTGCTTAGAAGATATTTAGTTCTGAAAAGAACTTGTCCTGCTTATTATTAACTTTCGCTAAGTACTTTTTGTTCTGATAAGAACAGTCCTGCTTTAAGTTCTAAAAGAACGTGTCTTGGGTCTCAACGTTTCGACTAGCCTGCTCCAGTTATCCTGACGATGACTAGAGCAGGCTAGTCGAAACGTTGAGACCAAAGACAAGTTCTTTTCAGAACTAAATATCTTCTAAGCGGAAGTTATTAACGTATGGAGATACTCCACCGTGCAAAGCCTCCAATCTGAAACATGTACTTGTTTGATCAGAAGTAAATTATCATGAGTCAATGCATGACAGTGACAGTGGATGAGCACTCACAGTGCTTTGTCACTGTCCATTTGGATAGCTTGTGAGTTGACTTGGGACTGGATGACTAATACGATTACTTGTCAGTTCATTCTCCTGACGAAAAGCAGAGCATGCTGTCCAAAACGGTTGAGTTCCCCCCCCCCCCCCGTACTATTCAGAACCTCACAAACTCGATAAAAGAGATTTGTCACATGGTGCTACCGTAAATCTTAAATCTTATTGCTACCGTCACCATGCAAACCTTCAACCCTGATCTGACTTGAAATTTACCTGTGATGGACTTGTGTTTTACCACAAGTGCCTTGACTTCGTTGGTGGTTGCTCAGACCTCATAGGTCTCTCTCAAATGACGTCATTTCCTACAGACCAGCCACGTGCATCGGCATTTTGAGCATCAACTTGCATAACGCGCGTCGGCTGCGTCCTATTTCAAACACAGTTCGAGCAACAAGCACGCTTGCTTGGAACATTTTCAACACTACTTAATGCGTGCTTGATTGCGTAAAAAAACACAGTTGCAGTTCCCCTACAGAGCTTACCGGATCTGTCTATGATGTCTCTGCCGTTCCTGATAATGTTGATTTTTTTTACTGGGGGCTCTTTGTCTTAGTACCCTTACCAACCTGCGACATCATGTTGGACCTGAGCACTGCCCATCAGTTGGACTTCTCATGGTGCCCGCCGGAGGGGACGATATATGACAACATCGAAGTCACCTACAGTCCCCTGGATGGTACCCTGACTCAGGCCACACAATACGATGCCAGTCTGACCGGTCTGGATCCAGCCACGGAGTATACTATATCTGTGGTCACAGTGAGCGGAATTCGGAAGAGCGAACCGCGGACGCTGTCAGCATTCACAGGTACGGTTAGATCAGGCTTTTATGATGCCTGTTCTCAAATCGCTGCTTCGTTTTGGACTTTTTTTTCCCCTTACAGCCAACAACTTTCCTGTATTATTTTTAAAACACAACTTGCAGTTTCCTGGGTTGTTTTTCTCCAATTTTTTTACTCTATGAATTGTGAAAAAGATTGTGGGAATATCATAACCCGAGATAAATTGGCAAATTGGAATTTTGTAGTTCCACCAAAAAGTTTAGAGTTTATTCTCTCGAGAAAGTTTCTGTAACCATGGAGGAATCCTTTCATTTGTGGGACGAATCCCATCTTCTGGCGCATCTGTGTATACCTTCTGTGTTATCTCCTGAACCCAATCCAACTAAATCCTTGCCAAATATTGTCTTGAAAACAGGACAATTATTTCCTTGGGGTGATCGATCATTTTCTTACGCAGGTCCTCATCTATGAAACAAACTACCCCCGCGCCATTCGCAATATCTCATCGCTTTCTGAATTTAAAGTGGCCCTGAAGACCTATTTGTTTCAGATCACTCAGAATATTCTTGTTGAGTTAAATTTAATTGCTTTGTTATTTCTGATTTGATTTGATTTTTGTATTGCACCATGAGCGTCATTTATGGCGGATACCGGCGCGTTATAAATTGCCGTTATTATTATTATTATTATTGTCTATCATAGCCACTGCACCGCCAGGCGAAATCACCATTGACGACTGCACAACCACCAATATCACCATCACGTGGGGAGCCAGCCCCACGGGAAGCATCTACTACGTCAGCGCGGTCCCAGTGAATGGCGGACAGCTACAAGTTCAGCAGATACCCGTAGGGGGCGCCACCACGACCGTCATCATGAACCTGACCCCGGGAACGTTGTACAGGATTACGCTTCAAATCATCGGCAGTAACTTACCGATCACCGAGGTCCAACAGTATACCAGTAAGTTAATATCTTGCCCATAATTTTGAGCTGTGCAACATCACGTTCTGGTACAATCAATAGAAATATCCTATTCGGTAAAGCAGCTTTAGTGCCTTCACTTCAATCTAAAAATTAAATTTGTAAAAACAGTAATTGTTGAATTGTAGCGACAAACTTATGTCGGTAAACCCTGCCGCACACCTTTCCGATTGTATCGGTTCCTGTTTTTTCCCACTGTTTCAGGGACTGCAATGTCACCCACACACGTGCCCGATTTTTGTTCTATAATCGGTCACTTGATGATCAGTCACACGATGACCAGTCGCACGATAACAAAATGGCAGCTGTCAATTTTAAATCATGTGACTTGCATCATAAATTTGATATGTTAACATAAATATCGGAACGGTGAAATCGGAGTGCTGGCCAGTGTACGGTCAGAGTGGTCTGATTTTTTAGCGCACATCTCTCCAATCTGTACGTCCAATGGCCCGAAGATCCGGTGAACCGTTAAAATTGGAAAGATATGCGACGGGCTTAACCTTAGATACACATTAACTCCCAACATGACGTCTATACAGCTCCCTCATAACTATTTTATGAAGCTAATGAGCCAAAATATTGCTTAGTAAATTTATGTGATAAGCCAAAGTCGGCTGAGAACCAGTCACAGGCAACTGCAATCATACGACGTTTCGGCCGGTTACCCATTTTTGCTGAGCATATATTTTATGTGCTAACCGAGTTAATTTTTGTATTTGGCATCCTATCATGACATTGGTACCCTGTGGATTCTCAACAGCATCCACTAAGGGATCTGCATTATCCACAAGTTGTTTCACTGTGTTCTTGTCATATCATTGAAGCCACTTTCCTCCACAAACACAACCAATTCAACCATTTCTTTTTACCAACAAAGCCCAATCCACACACATCAACCGCAACCATAACATCCACAAAGGACCAATTCAGTGCATCACCAATAGCCTCTAATGAAATTCAACCATTTCTTCTCATCCACAGCACCCAATCCACACACATCAACCACGACCATATCAACTACAGTCTTCACAAGCCATTCAAAACATTTCCAAGAGTTCACAATCTTTCCATATCCACAACATCCACTAATGACCAATTCAACGCATCTCCTCCTCTTTCTCATCAACAGAGCCCAACGCTCCACCGAGCATCACCGAAGTCAGCACCACCCAGACCATGATCGCCTTCGAGTGGGGCTCGGCAACCGGTGCCTTTGACGAGTACAAGGTGTACTTCTTCACCGGTTCCCAGCCCGAGGAGCTGCACGAGACCTTGCCGAGGACGGACATCCGGTCCATGATCGACGAACTGAACCCGGACACCGACTACACCGTCCGCGTCTACACGATTGTAGGAGACGGAGTCAGAAGCCAACCTGCCGAAAAGATCATCAGAACAAGTATGGTGCTCGTTACAATTGTTTCAGAATTTCACATGCAAAAGATTCTCAAATTATGCATCAAGTATAAACAAAGCAACTCCAGATACCCGACATTGTTTGTAGCTTGACCAAAAAATTTGTTGAGCCGCAAAAGAGAAATCTCTCGGAATAGGCACTCCCTTTGTTTGATATTGTGATATGCCCCTAAACTCCAGCCCTGGGTTGACTTACTTAGGATGTTGCCGTCCAGTGTCTCCATGGTACCTGGCCCCGCTACCTGGAGCAAAACCATAAGCGTAAAAGTAATTTTTATGCTTTGGTTTTTGCCGCTGGGGGTCCCCCCCCCCCCCCCCCCTCAGCGACGGGCCTGGTTTACACTTGTAGCAACTGTGAGATGCTGGCGCTTTCCTTAAAAAAATACGAACAAGCAAAAACGAACAAACAAAAAGTTGGCAAACTGGGGGGGGGGGGGGGGGGTGTCCCCTTGCCCCCTCCCCGCCACCCTTCCTTTGGATACACCACTGATGACTACTAAAAATGATTGAAATTTCCACTTGATGCTAATTCTCTTCTCGGGTAATAATCTGCGTTCGCCTTGTTTCATTTGCAGATGATGACATACTCCAGTTCTCCAAGTTGAACGATCGCACCGTCCGGGTCACCTGGAATGCCCACAACACCGGCGCTGATTTTGACCACTACGAAGTGACTTACACTCCGCCTGATGGCACCCTAGGGTCGATCGTAGCCAAGAGTATTCAACTGTTAAACCTTACTCCAGGACAGAAGTATGTGGTCCGATTGTACCAGGTTTTGAACAACGATGTCAACAGGCAGCTCATCGCTACTGCCACGTACATATTGCGTAAGTATCTAGCCCCGGAATCTGTCAATGTAATGTCTCATGAAGCACCTGCAGGGGATTTAACGAAACAGTGCGTAACTTACGCCATGCGTAGGACTTGCTCAACAAATCTGTCGTGCAGCTGCGCAGTGAATATTTTTCGATTTCACGAAATTTTGCCTAGCTGCCCAACGCTTGAAATAATCTAAACATCTTGAACAGCTTTTATGAGGGCTGTTCGTGTGTGATTTTGTTCAATCACAAAACAGTCGTTGAATCACCTCAGCCCGCCGTTAAGAAAAAGGTTTTGTCCGGCTTTCTTCGGAATCGTAGGGGCCACTGAAATAGCAATTCATTTACTGCAAACACATAGCTGTGGGTGTCTTGTATCAACCTTCATATGTTGTGCAGTGACAGACTCCACAATGATCACGATCTGCTGGTAAAATAGGTAAAATGATTGCACAAGTTGCGCCATAGTTTGTGACGTAAGTCGTTGACTTATGCATTTTGAAACTTTCGTGAAATGTGTCATGACTGAAATGTTGTGCAGCACAAAGTGTTGCGCAAAGAACACAATAAATTGCAGCGCAAGCGGAGCTACGACATTGCGTAAAGATTTCTGAAATTGGCTGCTGAGCCCAATTTTGTAGAGCTGCCAGGCAGAAAATGGTGCTTAGCAAATTTATGTCTTTAGCAAAAAAATCAGCGGGAGTCAGTTACAAGCAATATGAATAGTATGTTTTTTGGCTAGTGATGTGTCTTTGTTAGGCAAGAGTTTTTTTTAGCTTAGTAAGTTTCTGTGCTTAGCGATATTCTCCTTCCATTCTTTCTCCAGCTCCTGTGGCTCCAACTATACAGACACCGATTGTGACTCCGAGTGGAGTCGTTATCAACTTGACGCCATTCTCTCCGGGAACCTTCAACAACCTCGTAGCCACAGTCACACCTTCTACATCCGGAGCCGGTGCAGGTAAAAACTGTGGCTGCGTCCGAAAACTCACGTCTGGGGCTTTGACTAGGTCTTTGATAATTAAAACTACGTGGGAAAATTGCTGACAAATTGCACAGCCGTAGCTCTAAACAGCCGTTTTAAACCCAGCCCATTTTGCCATGTCTTTGATCTTTAATCTTCTGCCGTTTCCCTATATTTTGCCAATCTCTGGTAGTTGTTAACTTAAGGATTTTTGACCCAAAAAACTATAGAAAACCAGAATTTCTGTATTCTTTCCACTGAGTCAGTGGTGTGTTTTGATGGGGGTATTTCTGAAAAGGTAACACAATTTTGTTTTCTTTAAATATATTTTAAACCAGACAGAAAGGGAGATCTTGCTCAATTTGATAGTTTATGTAACCGATGTTGATTTACTTTATATACAGGGTGGTGCAAAAGAAGGAAACCCACTTTTGACAGGAATTTTAACCTACTTTCTTAACTTATTTGAACTGTTTTTGTATAATGTAGTGAAGTATAGCTCTTCAACCATACGTGGTGAACAAAATCTTTCAAAAAAATCACAAGAATAGTGTTATTATGCTAATTTCAATACAAGTCACCAAAATCACTGTTGTCCGCATGTAAGTCTAGTGTAGTGCGTTTTGTCTTCAAATCAAGCTCCGGAGCTCAGTCAAGCAAATGGAATAAAGTCTTCCGTGGACAAAAAGGTTTGGCACATGAAATTTGTAAACTACCATATCTCAGAGACAAAATATGCATTAGCGATCATTTTTTTGTCACTTGTGTTTAAAGATCAATATTTCAATACCATTAAATTGAATTTTTGAAATATGCTCAACAAGTAGGTGGAAATTGCTGTCAAAAGGGGGTTTCCTTCTTTTTGCACCACCCTGTATACATGTAGTCCACTTAAAGCATTGACAGAAACAACCGACACATTTTTTGTTTCCTTCTTTTTTCTTTCCCTTTAGGAAATGCACAGCCTGTAGAAATCACACTGCAGCCTGACGCCTGCCCGCAAGTGGTCATCACCGGTCTTGAGCCCGGCTGCACCTACGTAATTTCCATTGTTCTGCTGTCAGGGCGCCTGACTACCTCCCAGGCGGTCACCCGGACCATCACGACTCGTGAGTCTTGGGCCAAGTTCGGGCAAGGACCATTAGTCGACTAGTGGTTGATTTGTGACGTACCTTACGCCTGCGCACTAATAGCAAAGTGCGAACGTCTCTAGTCAAATGCTGGTCAAAATGTCATTGCAAAACGCCTGGATCCTGGCTCCCTGCTGTACGTTATGAATGCGCGCGGCTATGGTTACCAGCCAAGCAACCAACCCCAGTAGGTTGGTTCCAAATAGTCGACTAGCGTAGTTAACCATCGTCGACTAGACAGAGTTTGGGCGAGCGTTAGTCGACCAATGGTTAACTATAGTCCTTGCGCGAACTTGCCCATATTCTGTAGTAATTTGGTATGAATCATGGAAATGGTTGAGCAAGTTTGAGCCAGGACCAGTGACAAAAGCTTGGTTAATTCTTGACCCTTCTTATGCCAACCCAAGAAATAATAAAATGTGAGCGATCCCTTGTTGAACTGCATGCTGTAAAATGTGCCGCTATTGATAAATAACGATAAGACCCATGGGCCCAATTTCACGGCGCTGGTAAGCACACGATTTTCTTCTAACAGAGCCTCCGTCTATTTCATGGAGACCGTAAGCATAAGCACAGCAAAAGGCACGCTTACTTCAGAGGACAAATTTGCTTAACTTAGTGACGTAACAATAGAAATCTCCATGCACGCGTGACCCTTAGCACACACACGCCGTGAAATAGTGCTTAAGGTTAGCACATTTTTCTGCTATGCTAAACACAACTTTTCTGCTAACTGTTAAGCAGCGCCGTGGGCCCAATATCATGGCTCTGCTAACCACAGAATTCCACGCTTACGATCACCATTTTGTGCTAACCGCGCTAGCAGAAAAATTATGTGCTAACCCTGTAAGCACAGAATCCTTAGTTACGGGATGCACGCATGCGCAGAAGCCAAAATTCCTTTCTAACATGTGAAATACGCTTACTGTAAGCACAGAATTGTCTACTATAGTAAGCAGGTATTTTGTCGCTAACTGTAAGCAGAGCCAAGAAATTGGGCCCTGGTCCTAAATAGTTTGAGTTCGATGAAGATTTAAGCAATGTCAACCATAGTTCATACTCGGTGAAATTTCTTTTCAAATTTGTTGTATTCTTTGACATCAGAAGTGACAATCAGTGAGTCAGTCAGTCAACTAGAACCTTACGCTAGCCCTCTGGGACCAGCAAAAGCTAAACCCACTGTACTTGTCTTTCCTCTCAGTTCCACTTGATCCGGGTCAAGTCTACGTGGACGAGGTGACCGAAAACTCCATCCGTATCCTGTGGGGAGAGTTCACTGGCGATTTCCTCAATTACTTCATTTTGGCCAGCCTTGCCCAGTCCAGCGTTCCGGTGTTTAACCAGAATGTTCCAAAGACCACCAATTCCATCGTGATCGGGAACAGTCTGGTTCCGGCCACCGAGTACGAGATCACAGTGCGACCTGTAGGTCTCACCGGCACCACCTTGACCCAGTACACTAGTAAGTATTAGAAGAATCCGAACACGTAATCACTGTTACACTTGCATGCACAGTCCGCCTTTAATGGCGAAAGCATTGTGCAAAGCTAATGCCCCGTAGCGGATTATCCCAACAACAGCTGGCATAATGCTTTTCGCCATTGAAGGGGCCTCCAGCACAGAATTGACAGCGTGCCTGACTGAGTTGGCTTATAAATTTGCTGGGCATGGCAAAAGTTTCACTCATCTGAAATGACATGTGATGTACGTAGATTGTTTTTGTTTTTTAAGCTGAGTTTTGACTGAGAACCTAAATTTGCTTAGAATTTTTTTTGAGGTAATCACAGAATAAATTCCTCGCTTAGCAAATAATGGGCCACAAACCAGACAAAACCACTTGTTGTACAATGATTATGGCTGGTGCCAGTTGATTTGATTCCGAGCACCTTAGGTTTACTAAGCGTTTTTTTCTGATAAGCAGCTTGGAGCACATGGGCCGTTACGAATTCTGCATTGAACTATTGCTGTGATGGGATAGAACACACATGGCCCACATTTCTCAGGCATTTTGTAGTGGAAATATGCTGAGCTCTGAAATTATTTGCTTAGCGAAAAAAACACAGCCTACCAGCCAAACTGTCATGCAATATGCATAGCCTGCGACTGGTTCCCATCTGATTCATGGTTAGCGCACAAATTTACAGCTCACAAAATTCAGTCCATCTCGACCTTCATCTGTAGCCATTACTTATTTCCACAGTTCAAAAACAGATTTTATAATATGACATGACAAAAACTCCAAAACGTGGAAACTACAATTTTTTCCCCACTTGTGAATCTATTATCCAATGCCACCAGAGGCTGCCTTAGTTTTTTTGAAAGCATCCGTAAACAATTTTTAAAATTTCAATTCCCCATACAGAACCTCCGCAACCCAACGGACTCTACTTCTTGGGCCGCGGAACCAACGGTACCAGCGTGACACTAGGCTGGGGCGAGGTGGACCCACCACACCAGTATCTGGTCTGCTACTTACCCAACGGTCTACCCGCTACTGCAGTCGACGGAGACAACTCTCAGGAACTGATGTCTCTGGATCCGTCTGTGGAGTACACTATCAGCGTCTCCTCCTATGCTGGAGCTGGTGCTAGTTTGGTACAGAGCGGGAAGGTCACACGTTACCTGCGCTTGGGTAAGATGTTAGGCTGTAACCACTCCCACTATCATTGTCGTCGTTGTCATTATCTTTGTGTCATTATTGTCATTGTCAATATCTTCATCATAACAGTTCCTTTTTCAATTTTTTTTTTGATTTGCTGGTAATGAATACGAAGCATTCTTCAAAGTGAAAAGAGCAGTTTAATTAAGAATCCTGAAGAAACCTAGAAGGAGAAGAAACGATGAAGAAATGTTCAGTTGTAGATGTTGGAGGAAATCCCCCCAAAAATAATTAAGGGAAAACCATTGGCATCAGGTAGGGACTGAAAAATCGCAATTTACATATCGGCTTGGTTCGGAGTCGAACCCGGTCCACAGAGATGGAAGTTTAAGAAAGTTAAGAAGCCAAACTGACTCCTCAGCATATACATTCAGCCCTATATTTATTTCATTGCACCCAGATGACGGCCTGCCAGGAGATATCAACGTCACCGACGTGACGACCACGAGTATCTCAGTCAGTTGGACCATGTCGAACTTGCCGGTAACCTACCGCGTCGAGATCAAACAGCCGTCCGCATCAAGCCCCCTGCAGTCTTATTTCGTTGGCGCTGACGGACCATTCGAGTACAACTTCCAGAGCTTGAATCCCGGCGTGGAGTACCAGGTCAATGTGTTCTTCACCGGGACGAACCCGTTGGTCATCAGATCTGTGACACAGCGAACAAGTAAGATTTGTTGTCTAGAGTTCTTAGCACAGATGTTGTTTCCTTGTCTGTAGATGAACAGCAGTAATATTGAGACACGCAACTTTTCCTTGGATCAGCGGATTACCTCATTTTTTCACTTCACACTTATGCCATTAAAAATTAAAAAACACTGTATATAGTCTGTTAAAGCTTAAAATGTTCCATTTTTTTTTAATGAGCAGTTGCATACGTGAATAATCACAGTTTGATCCATAAAGCCTTTATTCTGTTAAGTGAAGGGTGTACATCATTTTACGGCTAATCATCAGGCCTTTAACAATTTCCTGATATCCCATCAGCATCCTGAGGTCAGTTGTTGCCATTTTGCACAACCTAAGAACAAACGGCTTAGGACAATGTCTTCATTGGCGAAACTTTTCTCAGACAATTTTCATTGTGCAAACTTTGTTGGAGGGCCATTCAATGGAAAATGAGCCTGATGTCACACACGTAGCATACACCTTGTTTCCCCAGTAAAATGAAACTTTCAGATAATTTGTTAAAAAAACAACTTCCAAATAATACATTTCAAAATGCTTCCAAATGTCACAAGATTTTACCAGTTACTTCCAGTAAAGTGACAACCTATTGAAAAAATCCACCACAAAGCCACTCTCTGTCATTGTGAGTTGACTTGTGAGTTGACTTGTGATTTGACTTGTTGACTTCAAATTATCTGTCACAAAGCCATTCCTTATCATTGTTCATAACCTTGTTGTGAAGACTTGTGACTTGAGTTGACTTGTGATTTGACCTAAGATTTGACTTGAAATTGACTTGTGATTTACTTATGATTGACCTGTTGACTTGCGATTTGACTTGTGATTGATTTGTGATTAGGGTGAACCCCAGGAACCGGTTCCAGATTATGGGATCGGGTACCCGTAACCAACTTGACATGTTACTCAATAACTTCTCAGACAATGAAAAAGAAAGGTTTCCATATCGTTTGTAACACTTGCGAAAAATGCAACTTGGAGCTACATGCAGGCCCATTGATCTCACTGTACACACTTGTATCGTGCTGTATCGACTCACCAATGTGGTAGTATTATCTTGCAGACTTTTATGGAAAATAAAGAGAACGCCATGGTCCAGTGGTTATGGTGTTTGACTCATGTACGAAGGTGCTTGGGTTCGAACCTTACCAGGAACATGGTGTTTGTGCCCTTGGGCAAGACACTTAACTACAATTGCTCCTCTCCACCCAGGAGTATAAATGGGTACCTGTGAGGGTCGAGGACCGATTGAGCGCTGATATCGGCTGCCGCGTGGTCCCATGGCCTGATGAACAGGAATTAATTGTAAAGTGCTTTGAGATTGTTGATATGATGGAAAGCGCTATGTAAGCACAATTATTATAAAATCTGTACAGCAATTTCTGAGATTTAAAATTTTTGGTTGGTTTCTTTAACCGGTAGCCGGGTACCAGTGTTTTTTCTCAATCGGGTACCGGAGTCCCATACTACCCATAAATGCACACCCCCTATTTGTAATTGACTTCAGATTAACCATGCACGCAACTTTTCCTGGGATCCGCTGATTTCCTTGTTTTTCTGCTTCTCATGAACAGGGGTGTGAAATCTCAGCTTTAAAGTTGGTTTCAGCTTTTTTTTTGTTTTGGATGTCAGCTTTTTTCCTTCACTTGCTGTGTACAAAAGCATAGGAGATTTCTAAAGTTCAGCCTTTTCTACACCTTTCTCAGCTGTTTTCAGCTATTCTTATCAGTGGTTACTCGCACCCCTGCATGAATGGCATTACAAATTGAAAGACACTGTACAAAGTCTTGTGGGGTTAGGTATTTCCTCATTTTTTTCCCCTCCAAATTCCCAGTAGATTACAACCCTGTTGTTTCCCCTTATTTACAGAGCCTAACCAGCCTGGCACAGTCACCCCCATCAACATCGACTCCCTCTCGATCCAAGTAGTCTGGCAGCCGGCGTCTGGCGAATTCAACGTCTACCGTATCTATGTCAAGGACGAAGACACCCCAGGAGCCACACGAAAGCTAGCCGGCTCGGTTCCCCGCACCCAGACCCAGTTCACTGTAGAGGACTTACAGCCGGCTACCAGTTACACAATCGGTGTGACTACAGAGAGTGGTATGGTCGGGAGTCTGTCGGAGAGTGAGCCACGAGAACTCCTATCGGCCACAAGTAAGTACAGTTTCTAGCCTGTCACCAAAAAAAAGGTGGTTTATTTATGCAATAGAGTTCAAATTTCAAAGCTCATTTTTCTTCAAGTCAAAAATATTATCAATGAGCACAATTTACACTTGTGGAGGTTGTATTTTGCGATTTTATATTTACTGTATTCAGTGCATTTTATTTTCAAACTGCAGCAGTTACAAAAAATTGCACATAAAGAAATGCAGAATGAACAGCATATTTAAAATTCTGATTTTTTTTTGGGGGGGGGGGGGCAAACTGTGAAAAAATCCCTAATTTTATGTAAAATTGCATTGCACAATTATACCGAACATTCCTGAATTCTTCAGAACACACATTCCCATTACCCATTTGTCTCACTGCTTACGCTTCTCAACTGCATTTGCGTCCAGATGGCAAAAAAAGCTTATTTTATAAACATACAAATCTCATACTGTACTTTATATATTGACGTTGTGGGGGGGTTTGTTGATAAGTGAGCAGTTTGCAACTGTCTATTTTTGGGGTCAAACTTCGGATTTAGGATGACAGCAACAGGTAAGAACAAAAAATACCGAAATCTGGCAAAAACTTGAATGAGGCTTTTAATAAAAGTAAAGGGTCTTTATTCCAACTGGTTACTGATTGTAAGATGATTTTGGTGTCTTTTCAATTTTCACCAGGTGATATCGGAGAATGCGACATCCTCATCGTATCAGTCACCACGGTAACCCTCTCAGTGGAATGGGGCATCTGTCAGGGCGCTTCGTTGTATTACCTAGACATTACCCCGCGTCCGGTCGGTTTCAGTCAGATGGCATTCCTCAGTACATCACCTCGCGAACACACCTTCTCTGGCCTGACGCCGGCTACGAAGTACACCGCCTTGTTGCGCATTGTAAATAATGGGGAGCCAGTCAGCACGACAACCGCCTACACAGGTAAGGATTCAGGTTTTCGAGGCATGGATATCAGTTTATATCTCCGTTTATATTTGGTATTGTTTTGTTACCAGGAGACAGAAGTGAGCCATTATTCTAAGAAAATCTTTAAGCAAAAAGTGCCAAAAAATTGTTTGAAGTTAAAGCAAATTCAAGAATTTCTTTCGGATGATCCATTCTGCAGCTTGATTTTGAATAGAGACACTATTTTTTAATCAAGATGCTGAGTTCAGTATTCTCTGTGAGAAAACTTTGTGTGATCAAAAAAAGTGCCAAAAAGTTGTTTTAAGTTAAAGCAAAATCAAGAATTTCTTTCGGATGATCCATTCTGCAGCTTGAAGTTGAATGGAGACACTATTTTTTAATCAAGATGCTGAGTTCAGTATTCTCTGTGAGAAAACTTTGTGTGATCAAAATGTCAAGCAGTTCGGAGATATGACAGTTATAACGTTTGGTGTGTAAAATGCTGTGGCCTCGTAATGCGGAGCTATTAGTTTAAGATCTGTGGGTACTCCTGCAGTATGCAGGTTGTGGGTTCAAGTCCAGCCTGAGGTTGTGGTACTTGTGTCCTTGGGCAAGACACTTTATCACTATTTTCTTGTTTTTACCCAGGAGTAAAATGGTTAGCTGTGTAGGCAGAGGTGGTTATTGTGGTTGAAGTAACTCTTTTTGCCTGGAGAAAAAAAGTGGCTGCATTGCACTATATACTCCCAATGGGGCTGAGATTGTATAAGAATGTTATATGGGCCCAATCTTCACGGGTAACAAAAAATGTCAAGTGCTTTGAACTTTGTTAAAAGCGTTGTATAAATAGCCATGCAATGTAATTTTTAATGCAGTTCTTGAAAATGCACCTTTGTGTCCCATTTTAACCATATTTTAATTATTATCTTGCCATTTTTCAAAGGTGTTTCGATACCTTTTTGATTGTTATGCTAATGTGAATTTCCATATTCATGAGCAAAACTGTGATGTCATTTCAGTGATAAGCTTCAACGTTGCAGTTATTTCAGCACCAAAAGTTGCCAGAATTTTGCATAGTTTTGCTGTCGTCAATTTTTTGTTCTTTGGTGATTCTTTGTTGTTTCAGTACATGGCAGTAAGTCTCAGAGGAAAGTTTCTCACCGATGTTTTCAATGAGCAAATGTTTAGGTTCACAATTTGAACAGAAAACCCCCCAAATTGAGCAGTGTCTTCCTGAAATGACATCACAGCAACAGCGCCCCATTTATCTGGAAAAGCATGAACAATTTAAAATGTTTAAAGATGCGCACTTTTTCAGTACAATACAATTAATCAAAAAGGGATGTCACAGTTTCCATACAATTAAAAGGACTTACATGTACAAAGTTCTACAAAACAAGTTCTTCAGAAAAATTCACTATATGGACCCTTTAGAAATGATCTGTTTCTGTTTCGTCCAAAGTTCCAACCGCACCAACTCTGATGATCAGTCAAAGTCCCACATCTCTGGGCTTGACCTGGACTTCCAAGCCCCACCTGTCATCAGACATTTACCTAGCCAGACCCGGTGACGCGTCCCCCACGCTGGTCCAGCATCTGTTCCCAGGTCCAGTCACTGCTGGTATCCGTCAGTTCACCATCCCGGATCTGCTACCGGCGACGCAGTACGTAGTCAGCGTGACTAACACTGCAGGGACCGGGCAGTCTGCGGTTACCGGTGAACCGACAGAACGGACTGTGCCCACAGGTAGTTATTGGGAAACTTTCATATGTATTTGTTTATGAATAAAGAGGTTTTTTCAAAACACAGTTTGGAGAGTAAAATGTAAAGCATCTAGCCAATGCTAGCAAGTGGCCCATTTTAAGAGAGTTTTATCTTACCATATCTGCAAAAATCCTTTTCCAACTTGAGCAAAACAAAATCACACCATCTCAACCTCGAAATTGTTTTACAGCATTTCCGTGGTGAACGCTACTTTGTCACAAACGTCAACAAAAGTTCTGCAGTTTTTTTGGGTGGTGGTGCTAAAATTACTGCACGTGAATAAGAAGTCATGGACTTATAAAATTTGGTTTCTTATAACCAGAACCACTGTATGTTGATTTAACCACTTCGTGTTTCAATTTTCGCAAATGGCAACATCTTTCAGCCAACTTCTGATGTACAGCCGAACGTCACAAATACTGATTCAAAGAGTAATTTCAACAGTATTTGTATGATATTTCCTGCCGAAATCTCATATGTTTCAATACTCCAGGGGGTTTGCACTGGAGTGTAAATTGTCAAACAATGGGCTGTGCACAACGGCCAATCAAGATCAACACACGGTCCACCTCCTTCACGAACTTTGTGTGTTTGTACACAAGGCACAAGGGATTAGCGTGTTTAGACGTCACCTGGAGGCGAGTCTAGGCAGTCTTGACGTCTTAACCTGTCAGCCGTGCCTGTGTATAAAAACAGCCAGTGCATTTTATCACGTCCTCTGACGCAAACTGATTAATCATGGTTTATGACAAATGAAAACACCAACCTAAACTTTAAAAAAAGTGAACCCCAAATCAAAAAAAAAGTTAAGCCAGCATTGTGAAAGTTCAACACAAAACGTTACAAGTTGGCCGTGTCTGAGAATAGTCAGTATGTGTTCCAACATGATCAGTTGTTGTATGTATGGCCAGTAATTTATGCCTTTACTCAGACACACTAATTTTACAACTGTTGCACTAGTAACTCTAACTAAGCGATCTCGTTGCTTATGTTTCTTAGCAGGACATACCTTAATTTCTCCCCATCTGTGAGTAAAATGGGTACCTGTGTCAGAATGAGGTTCTTAAACTATTTTTTTTTTTGAATTTTTTTCTTTCTCTCAGGTTTCTTAGGAGCAGGAATGCTGCAAGTTCAATCCTGCCGGGCGACCGAAGTGACGTTAGTCTGGTCCCAGCCTCCGAGGGACGACTTCAGTGGGTATATCATTTCGACCAGTCCGGCACCTGGACCCCCTCAGCAGGATGTGCAGTTTGTACCCAGAGCCAACGAGACCGTCACTATCACCAACCTCTCTCCCGGAACGACGTACACCTTCACGCTCTCCCTCAGACTGACAGACAATACGAACATGGAGCTGGATACCGCGACAAAAACCACAAGTACGATTTGTTGTTTTATCCGAAAGTTACAGTTTGAGATCACCCAGGGTCTGTTAACCTTGAAACTCTGCACTTACAGTCAGTGTTCTGATAAAGTGCTGGCAAAGACATAACATAAGTGTTGTTATTAGAAAAACCCTTTGCTACCTTGAAATCAGCCATTCATCAGCACACAATTTTCTGCTATACTTAGTGACGATTCTTTAATCACAGTAAGTACAGTCAAGAAACTGAGCTCAGTTCATTTTCAAGAAGTGGAAGGAAAACTTGCTGGGTAATATTCTTGGGGAAACCCACGCAATAAGGGTGGAACTGTAAACCACATATCAGGTTGGTTGGATTAGAATCCTGTCTAGCAGAGATGAACAGCAGGGCAAATGTGACTAGATCCAATGACATGCATCTTTAGGGCATATTTTGTTCACGATAATAAGGGAATAAATGTGTGCTCCGGAGGTTTTTATCACTCGTTTAATACCGCTTAGAGTCTGGGTGCTGATAATTACCCGAGCCGGAGGCGAGGGTAATTATCAGCACCCAGACTCTAAGCGGTATTAAACGAGTGATAAATACCGACCGAGCACATATTTATTCCCATTCATAAATACCTTATCCGTAAAAAAAATTCAAATAATTCGTTCAAAAAATCCCGATTTTGTTCAACAAGTTCACTTCATGCTTTTTGAAACATCCCTCTAGCAAAATAATGGAGTGTTCAGCTGGCGAGTAAGATGTAAACAACCCTTTTATGGAGATTGACGCGCGCGTAACATGTTCTGCGCGATGTCACGCAGAACGCACCTGGGGCGTTGCGTTTTGAATTTAGAACTATAAAATTCTGACTCGCTTGTAGTGTTGCGCATGCCTACGTGAGGATTGTGAACGTTCAACCAATGAAACGGTAAGAGGCACTGGATTTTTAGGAGTCCACATTTTATTGTGACACTGGAAAAGTGTTTAAGACCAGCTAGCCATGTCTTTATCATCCGTTTAATACCGGCCACGTGACGGGCTCTCGACCAATAGGAATAGCTAAACTGTCTGAGGTATTTATGAATAATGTTTTAAGTTGCAGAAGAACTAGAAAACTCTGCTTGTGAGTTTGATTTTAGCACTTGATGCTTGCAGATAATTATGTGGGCACAAAAAAGTTGACAATTTTTGTCGAATTTTATAGTGTGAGATTTGTGAAAAGGCCTAAAAGCGGACAGGAGTGTTTGTGAAATAATTATGGGACGATTTGCCCAATCCACATGTTCAGGTTTTTTTGTGTTGGGTCAGTTTTTTGTCGGGTCGGGTCGGGACGGATTTTGGACATTCAGATTGATTTTGGTTTGGTTTCGGTTCAGATTCGGTTTATATCTATGATATTTTGAGTTGTTATGGCCTGGTCAACCCAACCAAACCCGATGCACAACATTATTTCAAGCTGATTCGTCATTTATGCATGAAGCACGATTTACCACACTAACTTTTGACCTTAATGCATATTTTTTTCCCTCAGAGTTATACCCTCCATTCCAACTTCAATCCGGCGTGATCACGACATCCTCCATTGAGCTTCAGTGGATCCTACCACTCCTCGGAGACCCAGAAGCCTTCTTCCTATCCTACGATCCATCCATCGTCTCTCTACCGATCATCCTGGATCCAGACAGCACGTCCTACACGGTGACGGAACTGAACCCATACACTGAGTACACCTTCCTGCTGACGTCAAACTCTATCGCTGCCGGGGAGAGTGAGCCGGTCCAAGTGACTGCAAGAACAGGTTTGTAGTCCATTCAATATTGGATTTTTGTTTTAAAAAACACTGTATACTCTGTGTTGTCCCGAGTGATTATGAGTCAAAATTTACAGAGTACTAGGGTGGAACTCGAACCCACGACCTCCTGCGTACTAGTGCAGACAGCGGACCCTTATATGCTCAGTGGATGAAAAGTAGGTCTCTCTGTGGAGAGATTCCCCTGTTATTGACAGTGGCATGACAGGGTCTAGTTTTCAGGAGGCACTAGTGGCTAGAGGCTCTCCTTTTACTCAGTAGGGTTAAATATACTACACAGATTTTCTTTGCCAATTCTGGGAGGGGGGGGGGGGCCACAGGAGCTAAATTGCATGGAGCTGCTAGGCAGAAAATTATTCTTCGCAAATGTTGTCACCGACACCACGAACTGACACTCATATATGTGTGAGTACCCGGCACGTGCACGTACTTTCCAGAACCGCGCTATTTTTGTTTTCACGAACTGACACCCAGCACTGCATGCACGCACACTCCATACATTTTCGTTTTCACGAATTGAAACCGACCAGTAAAAAGGTTTTCTATTGAATATTTGCTTAAGTCCTGAATGGCTATTTTCCCTTGACCACAGCCCAAGCTACCATCGGAGAGATCATCATCCTCGACTCCACACCGACGTCCATCACACTGACCGTTGGCCGTGCCAACGACAACACGGCCTTCACCTCCTACCAAGTGACCGCTACGGATCAGGACGGTGTGGAAGCAGCCCAAGCGTCCATCTTCCCTACCGACCCGGACCTGCGCGTGGAACTGACCGGTCTGCAATCAGCCACCCTGTATGACGTCGGCGTCCTGTTGGTTGGATCTGAAATACAACGATCGACTAGGCATCTGACCAGTAAGCTTCATATCCCACACACATTTAACTCATTAGCACCTGTAATACATTGTATTACATTGTATTACATTGTATTACATTGTATTACATTGTATTACATTGTATTACGTTGTATTACATTGTATTCATTCCCTAATGCATCCATAAAACCATGCAGTGCTTGGGCAGTTTTAGACAGTACAGGGAGTAGCAGGCAGGGTGGTTTGGGGCAGTACAGGGATTTATGCTGTGGCTCAAAAAGTCCCATTCGTCCATGGTGAATGGGATTTGCTATTCAACAGTCAGGATCATCGTTGTGCCATGTCACGGTATTTGTGTGCAAATGCATGCTGGTGTGCGCGTTGAGCCTTTTGCGTAGCACGTATTGTGCCCAAGAGCCAGTAGCTACATAGTTGGGTTCAAACATTTTGTGAAGAGGTGGTTTGGAAGGGAGAAATGCATTTTCCCACCAATTTTGTATTGAAATAGAAATTCATTTTAACTGTTAATCAAATGACAAGGATCTATATGTCAGTTATATAAAACAAATATTGAGTGGTTTAAATTGTGAAATTGGAGGACTATTATCACTTGGTAAAATCTGGACTTTTCATTTCACAAGGCGAAGAAAGTCCAGATTTTACCTTGCGATAATATTCCTCCCATTCCACTCTGAGCCACTCAGTATGTGTATACTATTCAATGTAACTGACTAATAGTGTGGAAATAAATGTTTTCTTGAATAGAACGCATTGCGCAGTGTGGAAAATGTTCATTAAGCAAGTTGACGCTCAAAATGCCGATGCACGTGGCTGGTCTGTAGGAAATGACGTCATTGGAGAGAGACCTATTGTGATTTTATTTTCAAAGAATCCGCAAAGGGAAACTGACTAGGGCCATTAATCCTCTCTGAGTGATCCTTGTTTGCAACTTTCCCAGGTACGCAGCAACAATGCTTATGTTGCTACTTGCCAGCATCGTGACTTAGGGCGTGATCCCTGGCTACATGGCATATACAGGCTTATATGGCTACTGACTAGCGCCCCTTGAACAAAGACATTGACGAAATGGGGAGCCGCCAACAAAGGGCTGGACAGCTCAGTTGGTAGAGCGCTGGAACGACAGTCTGGAGGTCTAGGTTCAAACCCCACTCCAGTCAATTTCTTTGTTCAGCCTTAAAATATCGATCTATGTTGGTGTCTTTTCCTAACAGCTTTGGCATCCTCCAGTGCAGGATTGGCATATCTGACAGACTGGTCCAAAGGTTTTAAGAGGATTCAGTCCCTCTTTGTTATTTTGTAACAGTTGCAGAGAGGGAGTTAGGTCTCTCGAAGCACCATCTGTACTGTTCATGCACAGCATCCATAGCAAATGTTAAGACTCATGTTTTTTCCCACTCATTTATAGGCCCATACCCAGCCAACAGCGTGAATGTCCTCAGCCCGACGACACTATCACTGGGTGTCATGTGGAGTAGATCAGGAAGCGACGTCACCTACTACGAGATCTACTCCAAGAGGGGTGCTGATGCTCCTAGCGTCTACCATGGGAGGGTCTTGCCGAGTAGTCCGTTGGCATTCACGGTCTCTGGCCTCAACCCAGGCACCCAATATTTCATTGATGTTGTTGCCGTTGTTAGTATCGACGGTATCACAGAGAAGAGCGAGCCCGTCCAGGGAACGGGAACCACGAGTAAGTGACGCTGCCAAAAAATTAGGGTATTCATTGACTCACTTTGAGTCTTGCGTCTTGAGTCACTCACTTTCGGTTCTAAGTCTTGAGTCACTCACTGTTATATCTGGGCATGGTAGTAACACTCTTTTAATTCTGAGTCTTGAGTCACACACTTTTTTTTTGAGTCTTGAGTCACACTTTTATTTCTGAGTCTTGAACCACTCATACGAGTCTTGAGTCACTCAAATTAACTCCTGAGGCTTGAGTCACTAACTTAGACTCCTAAGTCTTAGGTCATATCATTTGAGTCCATGAGTCTTGAGTCACTTATTTTGGGTCCTGAGTCTTGAGTCACTCACTTTAAGTCCTGACCCATGAGTCACTCACTTTGAGTCCCGAGTCGCTCATTTTTAGTCCTGAGTCTTGAGTCACTCACTTTGAGTCCTGGGTCTTGAGTTGTTCGCTTTGAGTCCTGGGTCTTGAGTCGCTCACTTTGAGTCCTGGGTCTTGAGTCGCTCACTTTGAGTCCTGAGTATTGCATCACTCATGCTGAGTCCTGCATCCTGAGTCACTGACTGTGAGTCCTGTGCCTTGAGTCACTCACTGTGAGTCTCAAGTAAAAATCAGCAGAGAACCTGTCACAGGCAATTAATATTAATGTAGACTATTTCGGCAAACAAAATTAGAAGCCATTTTTCAGGTAAACCACTTTCACGCGCAATTCTCATGCATTCTTAAAGATGAGGCGTGCACACAATGTGGTAACCCAAGCTGAGCATGAACATGGTTCCACGTCAAATTATGGCTTCAGGTTTTGTTCACCGTATTAGTCTATACATCAGGTTTGGAGTTAAGGCTGGTGACCTCTTTTCTGAGAAAGCATTTCTGTCAGCTGGGAAAATATCTGTGCTTAGCACGAATGGCAACATGCGAACCTCTCTAGTCAACCAGTGTTCAAAGCGTCACATGAAAGTTCATATTCTTTAATCCCTGCTGTGCATTTTAATGTGCATGGTTATTATAACCAGCGATGTGACCGACCTCGGTAGGCTGAACTCAAGGCAGACTAGTTCAGCTAGCCTAGGTTCAAATAGATCAATCTCAAACTATACTTTATGACCACTTTGCTCCAAGTGTCTGACATTAGTATTTTTTTTTAGCTGCACTGGCTCCAGAGCAGTTGTCGTTCCGCAACATTGAGGAGACGTCTGTGGAGGTCTTGTGGGGTGAGACTGGGCACCCTAACGCTGTGAGTTACTTGGTCACCCTGGATCCTGGAGATACCAACAATATGAGGGTGAGTTTGCAAGTATTCTGGTGAAAATAACTCATCACAGTGTTAGAGCAGTGTTTTCGAGTTGTTGTTTAAAATAAGGAACAGTTGCATATTACGTTGACATATCGTGCCAGTTTGCCTAAAGGGAATATGCAACTTTTGCTTTTGCTGCAATTTTCAGAAATGGATGGATTTGGGGGGTTAGTGTTCGTAGATGCTGGAAAAACCAAGAAAAACAATCGTGTTCCTGTAGTCTGGGTGCCTGACCCCACGTAAGATGAAACAGAGCAATTTATAGACGTCGGGGAATTGTAAGGTCAGGGAACCAGTCTAGCTGGCTTGTACCCGTTGATAGGTTCGTAATCGATTGTAAACAAAATGCAGACTAACTAAATTTAGTAAATTGGGGGCAGTATATGAAAAAAAACCAGTTTTTTTTCCAACACTGGTGCCATTATTTTACAGGATGCTTTAGACTGTCATTCACTAACAGTCCAATAAGGTATTTCGTAATAATTTGTTAGTTTTGTTTTTTGATGTTTGCAAATTTTGTATATTCCCTTTTGAGTTGACACAATTTTACGAATATGTTTTTGCAACTTTGTTGACTGTTGCCACAACTTGTTTATTTCATTTGAATCCCAGTTGATCTAATGGAAGGTCTTCGCTACCTTGGGGCCAATTATCACAATTTCAATTATCTGAACTTCTGGAACCGTTGTCACAACTTTATGGACAATTGTCACAATTAGACATTCGTCACAACTTTATGGACAGTTGTCAAATATTTATGTTTCTTGGAATGCGGTGCGATTTGCAGGCTGCTACCAAACTGGTCGACGAGGAGCCGGTGTTGCTGTTTACCAACCTCATCCCTGGTACTCTGTACAACGTCACCCTCCGAGTTACAATCACTGGGGGCGATGACCGGACCACAGAAAGCAACTTCAGAACAAGTAGGTTGATATATATGGGTCATTTTATAAACTTGGGGTCCACTTTTTTTCCTGTCCCTGTTGCATCTGACATCTATGATTGTATAATTCTTATGCACTCCTTCATGCAGTCATCCTCCAAGAGAGAATGAATAGCAGACTATGACCCATATTCAATATTGAGTGTCGCACAACTTCATATTTGTGTGATTTTCTATAGTGCCATCTGCTCTTCCGATACGGAGTCAGTAGGCCTTTGGTTGACAATTTACCACAAAGGCCACGTCCAAAACAAATTGTCCGGAACTACGGTTATGTCACAAAAAAGAAAGTCCACACTCATTGGAGGGGTCATAATTTTGAATCTGATCGCCTTATGGTTACGTCATTTATGTAGACCTTTGGTGAATTTTGTCAGCTGCATTTTGATACCCCGTTTGCCACCAAAGACTGTAAATCGTCCAAAATTGACAACGGTTTACGAAAAATGATGCAGTTTGAAAAGTTGCCAATTGAAAGATTACGCGAGGAGGATTTGCTGAGCGCAAACACACATGCCTGTAATTGGCCCCTATTGACTGCACAGAGCCCGAACAAAGCGCAGGTAATTCAATTTCACGTGCTCCCATGCTTACAAGCACTGTGCCAACGATATTCCCTGCCATTCGTTTTGGGCAGTGTAACATTGTCACGCAGCAATTTCCACTCGCGTACACAATGTACAAGGTGATGCCTGCTGGGCGCATCCATGCTTGTGCACAAGCCTATGGAAAACGCGACATTTGGTACGGCTTTTGTACGGCTATTTGCATATCTGCGTTTGTATTCTATTCAGGTGCGTAATCGAAGCAGATGCGCCCAAAACCAAAATGCACAATCAATAAATGAGCGTTTCTTTTTGCTCTCGCAGGTTTTTGAGGTAAATTTTCACGCTCTGTTCTTTTTTTCACTCCAGAGCCCAACCCACCTGGAGTCTTGTTCAACAGGCCTTACCCAACCAGCATCAAGGTCTTATGGACTGCACCTGCTGGTAACTACGACGGTTACAGGCTGTCGTATGAGCAGAACGGACAGCTGATTGTTCGGGAACTGCCCAGTAGTAGTCTGCAATATGAGGTCAAGTTCCTGTACCCCAGCACTGTCTACCACTTCGAGCTGGTCACACTGTCCGGCGGGGTAGAGAGCGATCCTAGCACTGGCGATTTCAACACTGGTAAGAACTTATTGAAAATAAGAAGTCATAAAGTTGATCACAAGTCAGTCACAAGTCAGGTAACAAATCTGTCACAATTTTGGGTTAACATTGATCACAGGTCACACCACAAGCCAATCACAAGTTGATCACTCGTCTAATCACTTGTCAATCTGCAGTTGACCACAAGTCAATCACAAGTTGATCACTCGTCTAATCACTTGTCAATCTGCAGTTGACCACAAGTCAATCACAAGTTGATCACTCATTTAATCACTTGTCAATCTGCAGTTGACCACAAGTTGATCTCAATTGTTCATTAGTCAATCACAAGTTGATCACTCGTCTAATCACTTGTCAATCTGCAGTTGACCACAAGTCAATCACAAGTTGATCACTCGTCTAATCACTTGTCAATCTGCAGTTGACCACAAGTTGATAACAAGTTGATCACTCGTCTAATCACTTGTCAATCTGCAGTTGACCACAAGTTGATCTCAATTGTTCATTAGTCAATCACAAGTTGATCACTCGTCTAATCACTTGTCAATCTGCAGTTGACCACAAGTCAATCACAAGTTGATCACTCGTCTAATCACTTGTCAATCTGCAGTTGACCACAAGTTGATCTCAATTGTTCATTAGTCAATCACAAGTTGATCACTCGTCTAATCACTTGTCAATCTGCAGTTGACCACAAGTTGATCTCAAGTTGTTCATTAGTCAATCTCAAGTTGATCACTCGTCTAATCACTTGTCAATCTGCAGTTGACCACAAGTTGATCTCAATTGTTCATTAGTCAATCACAAGTTGATCACTCGTCTAATCACTTGTCAATCTGCAGTTGACCACAAGTCAATCACAAGTTGATCACTCGTCTAATCACTTGTCAATCTGCAGTTGACCACAAGTCAATCACAAGTTGATCACTCGTCTAATCACTTGTCAATCTGCAGTTGACCACAAGTTGATAACAAGTTGATCACTCGTCTAATCACTTGTCAATCTGCAGTTGACCACAAGTTGATCTCAATTGTTCATTAGTCAATCACAAGTTGATCACTCGTCTAATCACTTGTCAATCTGCAGTTGACCACAAGTCAATCACAAGTTGATCACTCGTCTAATCACTTGTCAATCTGCAGTTGACCACAAGTTGATCTCAATTGTTCATTAGTCAATCACAAGTTGATCACTCGTCTAATCACTTGTCAATCTGCAGTTGACCACAAGTTGATCTCAAGTTGTTCATTAGTCAATCTCAAGTTGATCACTCGTCTAATCACTTGTCAATCTGCAGTTGACCACAAGTTGATCTCAATTGTTCATTAGTCAATCACAAGTTGATCACTCGTCTAATCACTTGTCAATCTGCAGTTGACCACAAGTTGATAACAAGTTGATCACTCGTCTAATCACTTGTCAATCTGCAGTTGACCACAAGTTGATCTCAATTGTTCATTAGTCAATCACAAGTTGATCACTCGTCTAATCACTTGTCAATCTGCAGTTGACCACAAGTCAATCACAAGTTGATCACTCGTCTAATCACTTGTCAATCTGCAGTTGACCACAAGTCAATCACAAGTTGATCACTCGTCTAATCACTTGTCAATCTGCAGTTGACCACAAGTTGATCTCAAGTTATTCATTAGTCAATCTCAAGTTGATCACTCGTCTAATCACTTGTCAATCTGCAGTTGACCACAAGTTGATCTCAATTGTTCATTAGTCAATCACAAGTTGATCACTCGTCTAATCACTTGTCAATCTGCAGTTGACCACAAGTTGATCTCAAGTTGCTCATTAGTCAATCTCAAGTTGATCATGAGTCAATCGCAAGTTAGCCTTTAGTCAAGTCCCACGCTCTTATCCGGACACGTGACGCACCCCCGGATGCCGGCATGTAAAAAGACTAGCACGAGCCTTTACCATCTCGTGGAGAGCGCCTATGTTTTTCATTATTTTTGTCCACTGATTTGGTAGACAAGTTTTCATGCATAATGCATGGCATGTTGTGAATGTGTGCGCGTCTTGTTTTTTTTAGAACGCGTAGGGTGCGGGCGCTTGAGGGCGCGCACGTGTCATCACCTAAAAAATGGCTTGTGGTGATTGGTTCATATATATCCGCATACATGTATGATTCATATTACTTGAAAAAATGAATAATGATGAGCTCCACGAAACTGTTTTTTTTTTCGTGCCAGAAACTGGGGCGCCACGCGTCCGGCTAGACACGTGTGCTTGACTGAAGCCTAAGCGCAAGTAAATCACAATTCATTCACAACTCACTCACAAGTCGACAACCAGTCAATTGCAAGTCGATCACAAGTCATTCACATGTCAATCACAAGTTCAGTCATAAGAACAGTCGCTCTCAATGGAGGATGAGATATTTTAAAGAGATTACATTTTAAAGAGACTCCATACCTTTTATTCCCTCCTTTCTTTGACACAGATGCTGTTGGGCAGTTAGACATTGTGGTACTGACTCTCAGCACAACCCACATTGAGGTAGTATGGTCTGCAGTTCCCGGTGCTGTTTCTTATCTGTGGACTATCAGCCCAATCCCAGGTAACAAACTCACGACAAGATTAAAACCCCAACAACCCAATCCCTCACCCTTCCCCTACCCAACCCCACCCAACCCACCCCATCCAACCAAACCGAACTCACCCAACCGCACACATACCTACCTTCCATACCTACTGTGGACATTCCTTTGTTTTTATGTAGTTAAGAAAGAAACTCATTTAACTCGCACTGTGAACACTCTTTGAACCCAAATTTGTTACCATGATGTATAGTCGGACTCCCTATTATCGCGGCATCCCTATTATCGCGGCATGGGAAATTTCTCTTTTTACAGTGTCAAAACTCCTTCAAGTGGCGATTTTTATCCAGTTCACCAGTCATCAAGGATTTTCTACCGAGTTGTATAAAAAGGACGATTAAAAAATGTTGTGTCTTTCGGGACTTTTAACGATTTTAATAAATATTAACGTTTTCCAAAACTTGCAAAATTTTCCCTCACCGTGTCTGCTAAAAGGTACCGTTTATATTTTAACATAAATCTTTAATTGCGCTCTGTCCATGAAAAATCCATTGTCTGGTTCCCATTCTTCAGCTGCAAATGTAAAATGAAGTCGAACGACGATATTTGCAGCGCGAAATCGTAACAACTTTTACGGGATCAAAATAAGCACCGCGCGTTAGCGAAAATAAAACGGCACACCGTGTAAAGTGAATGGCGCCCTCAATCGCCGAGTAGACTTGCCTCAGGGATTGGTGTTCTCCTTTCGGGGGAAGGGCAGGGTCTTAAAACATCATCCTGCAGACATTTTGTCTTTAATCAACTTGAACGTTACAGGGAAAATATCAGACTTTATTCAGGGGGTGTTTTGGTCAAACATAAACTATGAACAAAAAAGTTGGGATCATTATAAAAACCACTTCCCGCATACCGCGATAATAGGGAGTCCACCTCCGTTCGCACACGCCGCGCATGTCTATTTTCACAGGCATCGTACACGGAATAAACCACACTACCCGTCAGATTTGTTTATATTAATTTAAAAAGGAAGAGTTATACCACACATAAGACAGGGCAATTCTGGAAGGTTAGTGGGCAAACTCTATTCCGAACGAGAAACGTGATAAGTACCGCGATAATACGGCGTTCCATCCTACCTGAGTGTTGCCCTTCATTTTGCGACGAATAACCCCCACCCCCAAATACCTCCAATCCTGTTTTTCAGAGAGGGGGGAACCTAGTGTGGACATGTGCAAGTCCACAAAACGTTCACAATTCCTGCATCCTGTGGACCTCTTTTGTTCACAGGTCCACAGAGAGTATGTAAGGTTAGAGCACCCTCCGGCACCTCCATTCACACTCAAGCCCATATCAGCCGCCTTAAAAAGACGAATGCATATTTGTCTTTATGTGATTTATTCAAGGGTTGGGACGAGGTCCATAAATCCAATAGTGTAATGCCGTTCATATTTTGCCTGCCATGCTCTAAATCAATATCAACAGAGGGTTCTTGAAGGTCATTTTACTCATGGTAAATCATTGGTCAATTTGAGCCACCCGTGAGTGTAAATTCACCATGTGGGGGCAAGGTACAGAATTCAACAGTACGATGCCATTTATATCTTGCCTGCCGCTTTTTAGATCAATACAGGGGCGTAGCCAGGGTTCTTATCCTGGGGTGTGTGTGGGAGGGGCTTGAGGTTACAATGGAGGGGCGCTCACAAATTTCATCCTTGCTGAAAGGTAGACAGGTTTTTTTCACGGGATACCCACCCTCAAATAGTGGGGGGGGGGGGATCTTCCAATGGGGGCGCTGTTCAAAACATATATCATGGCTACATAAGACAATAACTACTGCTATTCACTTTCCAAGGGACGTTACGATAAACAACCGCTCGCAAAAATAAAGAGAGTTTTGGTAAAAACATACACACAATATCGCGGAAAAAAGGGACTTGATATTCTTCTAGCTAATCATGGTAACTAATCGTGGATGTGCTTTTCTACAGATATCAAGAAGTAGATTGAATTAGATTCACTTTTGTCACATTATGTCTTCATTTAGTTAGGGTAAACCATCTTTTGCTTCCGTATTCAGCCAGCGGAGTTGGTTCCGGGACCACTTCAGTGACTAACCATAGGTTTGAGGGACTGGTACCCGGCGAAGAGTACACCATCGATGTGCGTCCCCTATTCAGTAATGTCAACGATGACAGTTTGAACAAAGAGACCCTCATCCAGAGAACATGTAAGTATTATTGTTCTTGAGTCAGAACAAAGAAAACCCAAGTCAAAACAACTTGTTTATTGTTTAGGTTTATAGTTAAGTTTCTTTATGATGAAACATGGCCAACCCTGGCCAATGAGTGACTACAATATTATAAAATTCTACCAAGGTATAATCACAAAACCGTATGAGCGATTTATAATTCACAAATTGTAAAGTAATGGACTCTTCACCTGAAGATTTCGCTGTTGTGGAAATTGATGAGGCTTTGTTTACTCACGCCTGTCATTAGAAAAGCAAATTTGTGACGTTTTGACAAATATTCGACTTTCAGCAATTCTTTTTTTTTTCTTCAAATGACTTGAAGAACATGCTCTTTTAAGACATACTTCATTGGTGTATCAAATTTAATTGCTTTAAAAAAATAAAATCATGAATCCAGGTCACATTCTTTTTGACTCACCCTGTATATGTTACCCGCTCTGCAATAATGAGCCTCATATCGCATAATTTGAATTCAAGCTTTTACCATTTTGAAATGCACACAGTGACAATTTAATCAAATTTTGGATATTTTTGGTTTGTTTAATTTTGGTTGTTTGATAGTTTAAGCTTAAATGTCTTGCAAAGAAATTTAAATATTGTTTGAATAAGACTGACGAAATTACGATTTTTAGTGTTTTTCTGGTTTTTTTTGCAGATCAGGTTTGCTACAACAGGCTCATTTTTGCAGAGCAGGTCACATATACTATGAGACAAATATTTTTAAAACATAATTTAATTCAAATTTCTTCCAGTGCCTGAACAGTCATGCATCATAGAAGCTCTCACAGAGGTCGGGCCATTGCACGTAGTCGTCACCTGGGCCATGCCCAACGGCGGCCAGTTTTCTGGTTTCCGGCTCTCCTACGCCACGGAGGGAATTGAGCTGGTATCCGTGGAACTGGGACCGACGTTGAGAACCTACAGACTAGAGGTACGAATATAAATCCTGTGTTCTGACGTCAACTGTTACAGTATCAGACTGGGAGTTGACATGGCAGCCGCATTAAAAGAAATTGAAAGACGAAAGTTTTGGAAATACAATACAGCCTTTTGCATTCAGCAACCAATGTTGAGGTGTTTTTGTTGGTTTTTCGTAACAGTAACATTGTAATCAGTAACAGTGATTGCTCAAGAGGTCTATCTATGCATATGGGTAGCGCCGTGGGCCTGCGGTTACGGTGTTGGACTCGGGTGCCATGGTTCGAACCCTGACGGTGATTATGATGCTTGTGTTCTTGAGCAAGACACTTTACCGCAATTGCCTCTCTCCACCCAGGAGTATAAATGGGTACCTGTGAAGGTACAGACTAGAATGCACTGATCTCGAGCTGCTGCAAAAACTGGTCTCATGGCCTGATGATCAGGGGTAATAATTGTGAAGTGCTTTGAGATCTTTGGTATAAAGTGCTATATAAACGCCACATTATTATTATATTCCTTTAGTAACAAAAGCACACATCTCGATAAAAGCAGCAGTGCAAATTATATATCCATTTTTTGCAGGGGGGAAAGGCATATCTGAATTAATATCTGTCGCAACTGTTTGCGCTTTATCTTGATATCTTTTGTAAAAAGGCGCCCTCTAGGGATGACAAAATGTCGGCTTGAAAGTCATGGTCTCGCGGTGTGTCCAGTCCCCTGGGATGACGAAGTTGGTCAAAGAGGGCCCTCTTTTTTTGCACAATTAATGCTACACTCAAAAAGTTGACAAAAGGAAAATAATAAACGGCTTGTTGCTCTTTCAACCTCCTTCCCAGAATCTTAACCCAGTCACTGAATACAGCATCACCCTGGAGACAATCACCGGGCAAGGGGACGGTCGAGAGTATGGGGCAGCTTGTACAACATCGGCCACCACAGGTAAATATTTTATTTCCCAGTAATTTTTTGAAACATGTGGTGACAGTTATCTATTCCAGCCTCTTCCCAAAACCAAAACAAAATAAATATAAATGATATGAAATTAAATAAAATAATCAATATATCAATCCAGAAAAGAAACCAACTCTAACATTGAAAAAAAAATATCAAATTGCCTCCAAAAATAATCCGTACTTAGAAACATAAGTGGAGCTTGTAGAAAGAATTTTGTAATATTTAAGCTGTCTTCATTAAAACAATTCCATTGGAATAATGTGAGCTTAAAATTGTGCCAGCTAGTTATGATTTTGTGGAAATACAGTTTGTCCTTGTTTTTTTTAAATGTATTTAAAACAGCTACAATCCCGGGATCTGAAATCCTTGTCCGAGACAAGACGACAACCAGCCTGACCCTGCTATGGGGCCCTGCTCCTGGGTCGGTCAGAACCTACATCCTGGAGCTCAACCCCATCGACGGCAGCTCTGCTCCTTCCGTAAGAAATCTGAGTTTTTTTTCTTTTTATCTAAATTTGTTTCTTGCTCTGTGTAGTGCAGTTGATAGTTTAGACATCACAGTAGTTAATTCTTGAGATAAGTTCAGGCTTTCAAGTATTGCTACTGTTCCTTTTTTGAGTTTTTGTTTTTACCTTGCTCCTACTTTTCCAACATTTTTCTTGAAATTCCTACTTTTTCCTAATTCTGTTTACTTTTTTGACCCACAACTCCGGAAAAAATAAAATCTCATTGAATATTTTCCACAACGGTGTTACACACTGTTATATGTTAATCACACAATGAAGGGCTTGGGCGCAGGAGTACTGCAACTGTACTTCCAAGAGCTTAGTTCAGGATGGAGCACAAGTGTGGTGAGTACAGAACATGCCAAATGAGGCTTATGATGCTGTGGACATGGATGAGTATCAACGAAAACTACTCCTGATTTAGTCCTCCAAAATCCTATTTTGTCCTGATTTTTTTTTGTTATTGTTACAAATCTACTGTTCTCCTACTTTTGTTCACCTGGGTCTGCTTGAAAGCCTATAATTTCTTCAGTGAAAACTTTTTTTTCTTGAAAGGTTTTCAGCCTCAGCGGGAGATTTAATTCTTGAGGTTTCAAGTAGGCATTCACTTAAATTCCAATATTTTTTTTCAAACCATTATTTTCTGCCAAATTTGATACCACAAAATGTAGTTTAGCTTTTGAGTCCTTTTTTTTGGGGGGGGGTGTTCAAGTTATTCATTTGTTCATGCTGCTAGTGGGTCTGATTGCTCTGGGTTAATACGGTCTTGTTATTTTGGACATGTTCTGTTCTGTCTATATATATATTTTTTTAATATAAAAAAATTGCGTCTAATAATTTCTAATTGGTTGTACTGGTAATATGGCTGTGCCGTGTTTCATTTTTGGGGGTATTATAATTTATGTTGTGCAATATATCCTTTTGTGTCCTCTCTAATTTAATGTTTTATATCCAATGTACGTATTATATATATATAGATATATTTTTGTTTAATATTAATGTTTTATGTGTCCTTTGCCAGCATGAGGGCTGGCAAGTCTAAGGACTACAGTGATTTTCTTTGCTTTTGTCAGCCCTTGCCCATGCAGGCTTAGGTTGAATTTGTCCTGTTATTTTGTCTTTCTTGTATTACCTGTGTTCCTTCCAAGTTGTTTTTTTTTTTTTTTTTGCATTTTTAGTGTACTGTGTTTTTTCTCTGTTGTTATATTTCGTGTTGTTTTTATCAATTGGTAAAATAAAAAATGAATGAATGAATACAGGGTGAGCCTAATAAAAAAGGAAACCTATTAATGGTGCCCCCTATTTTGCAAAGAAGTTCTGCATGTAGCGCTTTCCAAATCTAGGATATGAAAGCCCAATTAAGAAGCTTTGTTTTAGTGAAAGAATCATTCAGATCGCTCATGTGCTTTTGGAATTTTGAACACAAAGCCTTGTCCACGGATCACATTTAAGATGATATTTCAGTGAAAATGAAACCACTCGTATCCTGAAAATAATATCAGAATAATCCCCTAAGTCTCCGGGGTAGCCAAGTAGAAGGCAGGGTAAGATTATAAACTCTTGACATTATACAGCATGTTATTTTAACATTGGAAGCATCAGGTTTTTAAATAAATGTTATGATAAGTGCCAGTTATCATGGTTATGAGAGCGTTCTGATGTGCTTTTTGATATGTGAATAGTTTTCATTTTGCTGAAATTTCACTTACCTATATTGTGATCGGATGACAAGGTTAAAAAACGGTGTTTGTGTTCAAAATTCCATAACTGAAAAGTACAGGAGCAATTTGAATGATTCTTTCACTGAGAAAGCTTAGTAATTCGCCTTTCATATCCTAGATCTGGAAAGTGCTACATGCAGAACTTCTTTAAAAAATAGGGAGCACCATTTGGGTTCCTTGTTATAGGTTCACCCTATATAAAACGACTTTTAGATTAATAATGAATTCTTGAACCTTGCATGCTTTCTGAGAAATTTTAGCTAGTGCTGCATTTGGTTGCCAAGCTATGCCAGTGTAGTCAGAGTTTTGTGGTTGTAGCATAAAATGTTTTTTGTTTTAACTTGTTTCTGTTCAACAGGGCGACGGACCAGCAAACATAGTAAGACTATATAATCTCAGTGTTACCATGGTGATGGTCAAATGTGGCTTCGGAAAGTTCATGCCTTGGACCCTTTTTTTTGGCCATGTTGTACCCAGGGAAACCCCACTCTTGCAAAATCCTGCTTGTTTCATAGGGTCAACTTGCACACCATCTTTCAGCATGTATCTTTGCTATGTTGAGCTTTTCAATGGCACATCTCATGCACTTGTCTTATTACTGTATTGAGTCAATTTGCTGTATTTTGATGTGCAGTTGCTTTATTCGGCTCTCCAAACGGGGGTGTACTTGTTCTACATAACCCCCGAGGACAGACACACAAAGGGAGAACAACAGATCATTTCAGTCCTCGGGAGTTGGGTCTTTTGTTCAAAACGGTCCTCTGTAGTAGGTTTGTGTGCTTAGTCTATGGGAGAGTGTTATATTACAGGGACAAAGGAAAACACAAATCATTGTCCTCGGGAGTATAGTAAAACAAGAGTGTGTGAGGGGTGAGGTTTATGTTTCTTTCATTTCTGAGGATCCCTTTCGAATCGGTTTGATCTTGCTTCAGGGAGCTGATCCACCATGTTTTGCTTCTAAATGAATCCGTGTCAGTTTGGTGCAGTTGTTTTTTCGCAATTGGGAAAAAATATTTGTTGTCATTTTCTTGCTTTGGTAGCATAGTTTTGTGTTTAGAATAAACCTCTGTACTGATGATGTCACGCTTTATTTACTTCATCGCTATCGCCACAAGGCCCCCATAAGAAAGAACACATGTAAGCAAAGCTTGACATCATCAGTACAGAGGCTTATTGGTCTTCAAATCCTTTAGTTGTCTTTTCTCTCTGACAATTTTTCTCGACTCTGAGGGGCTCCGGGTTTTTTTTGCCTTATTGTGGTGGTTTTTGTTGTTGATTCGGAAAGTCTTTTCTTAGTAGGGATGGATTGTTTGTTGCTGGGAAGTAATTTGTTTGTAGCTTTTCAAATCATTGTCACCTTGTTTTGTTTTTTTGGTACTGAATGTGATTTTTTTTTGTAAATTTCTCTTGTTTATTTGTCTTTTTGTCATTGTATTTAGTCTTTTTTTTTCATCATGGGGAAAATTATTTATCTCTTTCTTTATGCAGATGAATTATACTTTGTATGGGATTATTTCTTTTTTTTCCCCTTTCTTTTTTGGGGTAGTTTTTCAAACCATTTGTTGATTTTGGCTTTGATTGGTCACTTTTTCCCCCTAGGTTGGTTATGGGTTAGTCCCTTGTGTTGTTGCACATTTGTCGTTGAGTATAGAAAAGCCAGCGTTTTTGCAAGCTTCATTCATCATTGCCTGAATAAAAGAAATCAAACATTTTGGCTTCTGCAAATCATGGCAGTTGCAGCCCTTGCCTTTGTGACTGGAATTGTTTCTGCGCAGTCTTACTCGGCAACCTTTAACATTGTTTCCTTTTATTTATGCTTAAAAGGGAAATGTTGGACGTCATAGTGCACTTCATACAAACATTTTGAAGTTTTTTTATCTTCAATACAAAGTTTGTTATCTTCAAAAGCGGCATCTTTTCATGTTTGTTGCACAGACTGATTATTTCTACCCAATGACGAGTTTTTAAACTTGCTCATCTGTTCTCCTTTGCCTTCTGCATTCTTAGTCTTTTCCTCAGCTAGCATATTTGTTCATGCGATGAATCATTTGCGTGGTTCTTTTTCCTCAATTTAGACAATTCCAGTAACTGACACAACTCACACTGTCGGCGGATTGGTCCCAGGCAAAGAGTACCTGATCGAACTCAACGTGCAGTATCAAAACCAATCCTTCATTCTTCTGAACTCCATCACTGAACGGACAGGTAATATCTTCAGTTTTTTTTGGTGTTAATTAGTGTCACAGCTTCAGGGTAATTTGTGAAGCATGTTTTTGGTTTTCTAGGATTCGCCGAACAAAATCAGGAGCCATTTTTGCGGTAGTATCACGCTCATAGCATGCTGCACACGTTCTAAAAGACTGGGCGTGCCTGTATCTTGGAAACCATATCGCTCGAAGGAGCACGGAGTGCGTGCGTACTACCTTAGCATGACTCACGCGATCCTGGGGCCACCGCAAAAAATGTCTGTTGCCGAATTAGTCTATAGCTCTCTATCCTCATTCGTTCTAAGTGCACAATTGAAACTCAGTCCAGTCCAGTCTTTGATGTTTTCAATCCTTGTCTTTACTGGTTTGCCTCTCTGTTTTGCACCATTATGTCAGATTTAAATAATGAAAGGTTTGCGGAAACACCATGTGCGAATAATTTCTCAACTAAGGGAATGGTTCTGAAAAGAACCAGAGGTATAAACTCGACGTTCCGGTCAGTATGCTCTGACACTCTCCTGAAGACGGTCAGAACATACTGACCGGAACGTTGAGTTTATACCTATGGTTCTTTTCAGAACCATTCTCTTAGTTGAGAAATTATTCACAAATGGTGTTTCCGCAAACCTTTCATTATTTAGTATTTCCACCATGCAAAGCCTCAAATCTTACTTATGTCAGGTTTGCAAACCCCCCTCCTCCTTTCCTCACCAAAAAAACAAAAAAAAACTAAAAAAGAAAGAAAAAGAATCCGCCAAATTCCAAAAATTATTAGAATTTCATGGATGAAAGAGATGGTAATAAGTACCCTGCTGTGTTGCTTGTGTCAAGCTACAATCCCGGCCAAAATGGTTGGGACACTTCCTGAGCCTGCCACGGTCACCCACTCCCCCGCTCCCCCCGGTCAATGTTGTTCTCTCCAGCTGATGGAGCACAACCGCGCATTGAGAGACAACATTGACTGGGGGCCGGGGGGTTGGGGGCCCAGCGAGATTTGGCCAGGATTGTAGTTCTTTAGTAATACATCTCTGCAAAGAATGATTTGGAAACTTCGGAAGTCACCAAAAGGAAAAATGGTTGCAAATCCTTCACCGTCACTTTCTGGTGACGTGCCTTCAGAGCAGGCTTTTCCTCAATGACGGACTGAGGCGGAGTTAGAGGGCCAAGGTTTTGTATCTGACTGAGATAGGCTCGAGTAAACCTTTTGTGGATTCATTGGAAGTAATTTAAAATCACCAAAAAAATATCCTCCGAGGCAACGTAAGGTCATTGATGTTTACACTCATGTGTCTTGATCTCATTTTATTTCATTACTAGTTCCACTGTCGCCAAGGTTCTTTGCAGCCGAGACCGTCAACACGCTTGACGTCACGGTTACCTGGGGAGCCCCGAACTTTGGCGATTACGACGACTACATCCTGAGCTTCGCCGAGCAGGGTAGCATTGACCCTCGGTCGGAAGTGATCCTAGATAAATCTGTCAGAAGTCACAAGCTGGAAGGCCTTATGCCGGACACCACGTACGACTTGGAACTGGTAGCCCGCTCGGGTACCGGTGACTCGGCCACAAAGAGTGATGCCGTCACGGCATCTGTCACGACAAGTAAGACGTTCAAGTCGTATATTTTGTTCCAAGAAATTCGTACCTCTCTTTTTTTCTAAATATTTACAAACAAACCGTGAGAATTTAACGATAAGTCCAAAGATTGCCGAGATAAATAGCTTTTGATTGTTCATTGACTATATTTCAAACATCTGGGTAGTAACAAACCCACATTATGCCTCGCAATTGCCAAGAAAATTTTGCAACTTCAGTCTTAATCAGTTCTTCTCTGGAACCCAAAGAGCATACCAACCTCAAATGTTGCAGTTAACAGTAATGTTTATCTCAATTTGTTCTTCAGCAGAATCCGATACTCAGATTGTGAGAGATTTTGAGGTATCGATAGTGTTAATCTTTATAGGTTCCCGTTTGGAACTTCAGAGAGCATTCCACACTCACAGTTTGTGGTATCGATAGTCAGTCTTAAACTCAATTCCTTTCCTTCCAGGGAGCATTGCACCATTGGCCATTGAGGTATCAGCAGTCACTACCACCAGCATCTCTGTGATCTGGGGTCTGTCCACCACCCCCGGGGTGGTGCTGTACTCGTTGCGCATCACCCCAGCCCCTGTGACAGGCAGTAACCCAATCCTGCTGGGTGCTCAGGAAACCACAGCGACTGTGTCCAATCTCCTGCCGGCCACCGAGTACACCCTACAGCTGTCGACCATCTTCTCGGCAAGCCAAACACAGGAGATGTCTTCTATCACTCAGAAAACAAGTAAGTTGTCATCTTCTGTGGTCTGTCACTAAGCCTGGAATCCACGTTTAATTTTAGTAAAAAAATATTGAAACTTTCACCCACTGCTCATTAGGCAAACATTTCTCTTCGATTTCCTTTGCATGAAACAACTGAGAGTCTTTCTATTTCCCCCTGCATGGAATGCTAGTCCATCACGGGTTGCTCCCCAGCTACTGTCGGTACCCATTTATCATCTTTTGGGACGGAGGCAAGAGGGGGTAAACTGGCTTGCCCAAGGACACAAATAATGGCCATTAGCAGGATTCAAAGCCCTGAGCTTCTGATCACGAGCAACATACCCTAATCACTAGGTCACACTATCCACTTGGAAAAAATAAAAATTGAAAACAGGATCTAAAGATTATTTTCATTGGATCCCATCACATTTTTGTCTATAATCAGGGCATCAGATAGGAGCCAATCGTATGACGTCAAAGTACCACCGTCTATTTGGTTTCTCTGTGATCGGTTACCATTACAGTAGGCAAGCGTTTGGTTAGCAACCACAGCTTGCGTTGTTAACTTGACTTATTTTTACGTAAAATAACCGCGAACTCTTATTTTTATTATTATTGAACAAAACGAACCAGGTAGAGTGGAAAAATTGCAAGCAGTGGAAGTTGCTTTACAGCAACCCCCACACACCTGAAGTGTCGACGAAGAAAACAAAATCAAAAGACAACAATAAAAAAAAAATTTAAAACCGAGAAAACATGAGCACGTGTGATTGACAAAAAACTGGACAATAACGAGCAACACTAGAAAAAAATTAAGGGGACGTAAGGTACTTGCTGGCCATTGACTTAAAAGTATGCACACTGCCTGCTGCACATATGTCACCAATAAGCCTCTGTACTGATGATGTCACACTTTGTTTACATGTTTACCAGTGGGGGCCCATGGTCCACTGAGCACCATAGGAAAGCAGACACACGTAAACAAAGTGTGACGTCATCACTACAGAGGCTTATTTCATAGCTGTACGACACTGGGCAAGAAACCATGCTGGAACTGGCTGGTGCGACATCTCATCGGCTGCAGAGTAAGCGGATGCAGAGACGATGCAAGCCAAGTATTTCTTGCCGGCACATACAGCTCAGGGACATAAACATACAGTGGATAAAGCAGATTGGACTGTATCTTGTACAGCATACATGCATATCAAATGGGCATAATGTGCCGTGAACGGTTTTCATAATAGTGCGGACTTGGAGCACTTGTTGTTGGCTCTACTTTGTTGCTGTCCATCAAAGCTTTTGCCATCCATCACTGTACGATCTTTGCCTACTGCAATGGCGACACTGACTCTCCAGTACCCGGATGTAGGCCGTCACGTGAGCTCAGTGATGGAGCCGTATAAGATTTTACTAGGTCTTGTCCTCCAATGTACTAAATTAAAATAAAACCAATTGATCACTCTCTGTTTGCAGGACCTGAGCCGCCGACGTCTTTGGTAGCACTCAACAGGAAAGCCATCTCGGTGGATATCTCGTGGTCCTCTCCTACAGGTGTCTTTGACGAGTTTGTGGTTTACTACAAGACTCAAGATGGGGCTACACAGGTATGCCAAAAAACAACACAAGCTGGTAAAATAACGAAATAAATCTAAGTACTGGACTTACGTGAACAGACAAATTGCTAGGTTTCGTAACAAGGCAACTGATGACCCAGTAGACTGGTCACGCGATAGACGGCTAGGAGTATCCTTAATGGCCTGGCCCCATGTGTGAGAAAGATTGAAGCGTAGCCCTCTTTTTTTTGTTGAGTGATTGTTGTTCTATTCTTTCCCAGTTAGCCTCTTTGATTCCACTTGTTTTCCCCAATGCTGCTTTTTTTTTTAGAATCACTGTGTCCTCATTTCTGAAACTAGGACCTTCAGCCGATTTCACGAAACCTTACGCAATGGCGCAACTCCGCTTGCGCCACAATTTATTGCGTAAGTTGCACGACATTTCACGCTGCGCAACATTTCACTAATGACACATTTTACGAAAATCAGTGCGTAAGTCTGCGACTTCCGACTTGCCGTAACTTGTGCAATCATTTTAGGTGGCGTAAGTTGTGGCGTAGCGACTGAAAATGAAATATTTTACCAGCAAATCGGGACTGTCGTGGAGCCTGTTACTGCACAACTTGTCAAGGTTGATGCAAGACACTCACAACTTTATGTTTGAAGTATAAATGAATTTCTATTTTACTCATAACATTTTTGAAGAAAGTCGTACAAACTAATTTTTCAAAATGGCAGGCTGAGGTGATCCAACGACTGTTTCGTGAACGAACAAATTCACACACAAACAGCTGTTTAAAAAACGACTTTCATTGGCTTAATAATAAATGTTTACTTTGGAAGTCATTTCGGAGAGTGACAATGTTTAAAGTTGTACCATGAATTCTTTTTGAAAATTACTAGTCTGCCTTGCTGAAAATGACTAACTGTATGAGACGTGTTTGTGTCACATTTTCTGCTCATAGATCTTTGGCACAGTGCCAAAGGATGCAGCCAATCAGCTGACAGTAGACGGTCTGGATCCCGCAACCACATACACAATAGGAATAGTGACCGTCATTGATCCGAACAGCGCCAGTCAGCTCAGAAGTGTCCCTGAAGAAGTACAGGCAACAACATGTAAGTGTCTGGCTCTAAGAATTGCCACATTTATTATGGCTAAAGTGATCAACAATTTCCTGATTTATAATTGTTTTAGTGGTCAAGCCAGTAAAAATGATTCGGTACTTAGATTAAGGAAAGTATGCACGTTGCTTAATTTCTTTGCAGAAATTGTAAGCATTTGTTAGATCATTTGTTTGTATAACCTCAGTGATTTTACATTTAAAACTGTTACAAAAAGCAGGCAATCAAGATAAACCATTTTTCCAAATCATGTATTAGTCTATTTCTTAAATATTATTACCTTAAATACTTTTTTTGCTGTCTAACTTTCTGAAAGAAAGGTATATTTTGGCTGGACTCAAAGAGCCAAACAATTGTCATCTGACCGACTTGGTGGCTGACTGACTGATTGACTGGTTCCCCGACTCCCCGACTGACTAATGTCAGACTGACTGACTGACTAAGTCACATAGTATAAATACTAGGGAGGTTTCGCAAGCGAACGGATACGCTTACACTTACGCTTAGCTATCCGTATCCGTTTTTTACTTACGTGTAGCGAGCGAGATATGCGTGTCGTCTGCACGTTTAGCGGATAGTGAGTGGCGTATGACGTCATACGTGCAGATGACATGCATATCTTGCTCGCTACACGTAAGTAAAAAACGGATACGGATAGCTAAGGCCAAAAAAAAAAAGTCTCCGGTTTCTGGTATGGAGCTTGCCCAAAAAGTGGTGCGGCGACGCGGCTTTTTTTTTTTTTTACCTGATTTTTTTGCTTCAAATGTCGGCTGATAACTGCAAATGGTCCTCGATTAAACTTAGTGCAAACATATGGGAGTCCAGAGAGGCCACATAAAGCTTATTCTCGACGATAACCCCATCTAAAAACACGCTAAAATTGTGCAGCAGCAGGATTCCAGTCAAACCAGTGAGTTTGGCGTTTTTGAGACATCATCTTTCATTGAAGAAAAAACTTTTTCATTTTGCCGACGCGCATGGCTACGGTGACGCGCGAGCATACCAGAAACTGGAGACTTTTGGCCTAAACGTAAGTGTAAGCGTATCCGTTCGCTTGCAAAACCTCCCTAGTGTCCTAAACTGAGCCGGGCTTTTGGGTCCAGCACGACGAGTTCAGTTAAACATAAATGTTTAATGTCCAGTTGGTTTCCAGTTTCATAGCCTTTGACTCTTTACCCGTCTGTTTACCCACTAGTGACCCTCCCGCAAGGCAACGTGACCGTCTATGACTTCACCTCCACCACCATATCCGTCGCCTGGGGCGTGGTCATGGACCCAGCGGTCCAGCAGTACCGTCTCCTAGCCAAGCCAATCATTGACGGGCAAGTGGGAACGCCCATCCCTGCCCTCTACCCACCTGTTGCACCACCCAGGCACACCTTTCGAAGTCTCCTCCCTGGAACCGAGTACTGGGTGAGTGGCATTGCCTGTTGGTTAGTCTGTCCAACTGTCTATCCATCTCTGTGTACAGTTCAAGTGCAATGAGTTTTTGACCTGACAATATTTGCATATTTAAATTTGGTTGCATTAACTACATTTATTTCCATGGTTAAAGAATCAGCTGTTAAAGAATCAATTTCACCACAAGCTTTGTCCAGTGTGCACATGAAATTTGAGTGCGTGCACTTTCCCAATGCAACACTGTATTTTGAGCTGCGCACGTCATGCATAAGTGCATGCAAGTTGGATCGTTGTCGGACACGTTGGCTGTGTGGTTCATTGCTGTGATTGGGCAAACCATTATGGGCGGGATTAACGGATATGGTCTATGAACATCAACGTCTGTAATCATTCAAAGAGCAAAGCCACTACATTATGGGGATCAATGGCAGATCTGGGGGGGAGCCAAGCCCCTCCCCCTCCAAAAAAAAAACGAACCCAATTTTTGTTTTTCTTAAAGTGGTGTCACAAAAAAACAGCCACTGCATACACCACCATCTTTTCCTAAAAAAAAAATTGGTTAAAGTGGTCAGAAATGGCCTCGGATTGCACCACAGAGCAGCTAGAATCCAAAACAATTCCAGGGCCCATAAGGTTCCCGAACCCCACGCCGTAAATTTTTGGACCCACTTTGTTGGGACCAAATATCTATTCCCTCCCCCCCAAAAAAAATTGTGTTCTGGATCCACCCTTGATAGGGATCCCATTTGTACTGATTCTAAACATTCAATTGAGATTTTGTTCGAATACAAAGAAGCTACACAGTTTTCTACTCATTTTCAGTTTATGCATGGACCGCATTTGTCGTTTTGGTTAATTTTTATTTTCCATTTTTTTAGTTATAAAACCAACGATTTCTCAAAGGGCCTAATGCACTGCAGAACCCTATGGTGATAAGACACTAAAAAAAAACTTTCGGTTTTAGAGGTGGGGGAAAACAACCTTAGATAAATATTCTAAGGAAAACCAACAAAATCAGGCAGGGACTGAAAATCCAATGCACATGTTGGCCCAGGCGGGATTCGAACCAGGCTTACATATTCTGAAAGCACAGAAATTACAACAGCGCAACATATTTTGTCTGTGGTTTTTAGTGGACGATAGCATGCACAGAGCATGATTTCTGTACGTCCCTACTTTCCGTTTTTCATTTTATTATGACTGGTTTCTGTTTTGTCTGTAGATCGATCTGACTGTCGTCGGCACAGATCCATTGATAACGGGCAGGGACTCCCAAACAACCCGTAAGTTATGAACAAAATTTGTTCCGTTAATGGCGTCATTTTGAGGAAGAACATATTCTGCAATTTTAACTTTGTTTTTAATTTTTGCCAACTTATGTTTTACTAGTTTCTTTGTTTGTGACTCGAAAACTTGGATCGTATTATTCAGCTTTGCATTATTATTTTTTAAAATTAAACATGAACTAAATGTACGCAGGTGAAAAGAATCCTTTTTTTTTATATTGAATTCATCAGAGCTTTCAACTGTTAAATTTAGTGAAGTAAACAGGTAGCAAATTGTCATTGATCTTGGTCGTGCTTCTGTTTTATCATATTACAATTTGAACAATTGACTGGAGCAGGGTTGGAAACTGCAACTTTTGGATTGCCGTTCCGGTGCTCTACCAACTGAGCTATCCAGCCCTATGTTGGCGGCTCCCCATTTGGCCGATATCTTTGTTCCGGGAACTCTAATCAGAAGCCATTTACCCATATATTTAATGTAGCCAGGGATCATGCCCAAAGTCACGATGCTAGCAACATTAGCAAAGCTGCAAGCCTGGGAAATAACAAACAGGGATCACTCAGAGAGGATACGGCTTTTAATTACAAATTCTGTAATCTTTAATTATTGAATAGTAAATGTTTCCATTGATTTAGTTGAATTGCTTCTTGTATCGCCACAGGTCCTGAGGCCCCTCAAATGCTGAGCCTGACGGACGCGACCCTGACTAGCCTGAGGGCCACCTGGGTGGGCCCCACCTCCAACCACGACAACTACCTCGTCGTAGTCTCCCCTCCTGTGATCAACCCCGTCACAGTCACCCTCCCACCCGATGCCAACATGGTGGTCATAGACAACCTGGTCCCTGCTACGGAGTACACCGTGGAGGTGTTTGCGACGGTCGGGGCGGAGCAACTCCGCAGTGTGGCCGCAACATCAACCGCGTCGACAGGTGGGTATTGGGCAATGCGCAGGGCCAGTAGGGGGCGCTCCTTGGTAAAACACCGCCGCAGTATGCACACGCGTGCCAATTCCAATATGAGGAGATTTTTAGCACTACGCCCGCAAGGCACATACCGTAGACATGGCCAGAGGGTTGTTTCACAAAACGTGAAGTAAAATTGTTTAACCAAATCGTTGGAAACGTGTGAATTTTGACTAATTGTTTTGACATTTTGACCCCGAATGGTATTTATGAATGACCCTCGCCTTTGGCTTGGGCCGTTATCCGAATCCAGGCCCAATGCCAGTTTCAAAACATACTTAAACCGTTGCTATAATGAACACCGCTATAACGAACATCCCCCTTTACTCCCAGAATATTCTATTCTATTGTAATGCATGATCACTATAACGACCAACCAATATAACAAACAACCAATAAAGACAACTTTTTTATGGACCCACATCATGTTCGTCAGTGGCGCTCGACTGTACGTGTTTTATACCAGCCAAGCACATATTTATTCCCTTACTATAATGACTTTCCTATTATAATTAATTATAATTGATAATTGATACATTGTTGAAGGGCAAAACCTAATTTGATTTACACCACCCCGACGTAAAAATTCCATCTTCCAAAATTCCATGAATAGTTGTGGTACCGCACCTATGTACATCAGATTCGAACCAGCCAACCGATCCCGTTAGCTCGGTGGTCGAGTGGTAAGACATCTGCACTAGAAAGCAGGAGGTCGTGGGTTTGAGTCCCACCCGAGTGATTTTTTTCTGACTTTCACTCCGGAGGTAACACACTGAGTATACAGTGTTTATACGTTGGTGAAGGGCAAAACCTAATTTGATGATACAGTCAAATCATCAATATTGATAGATTCAGATTGTTTGATTAAAATTAAAAAAAACTAGACGGCAGAATGTTTTGGATTCTGCTAGGATCGAAACGGAAGGCCGTCTAATTTTGTTTGATTTGTGTAATCCAGTCATCAAGTAGTTAGTCTCTTTTTTTATTTCATGTTTTATTATTGATCATTGATTTTGTATTGTATTGATTCTTATTATCAGTAATTAATAGATTCTTATCATTATCACTTTATCAATCCACAGATTCCCTGACGCCACTGCAGGTCCTAGTCGAGGACAGGACCACGACGTCACTAGACCTCATCTGGGGTGCCACCAACAACCCCAGCAACGTCCTCTACCAGGTCCTGGTGGATGGGCAGGTGGACAACTACTTCAGTGACGAGGACGGCACAGTCGACGGGCTTCGGCCTGGTACCCTGTACACCCTGACGGTCAAGACTGTCAGTACACCAGCGGAGGAAGGCACCGTCCTGGCACGCACTGGTAAGGATTTGACACTATCAAAACAAATTTTTGGCCCAAAAATCCATCTTGACAAAATTTGGCCAAATGCTCACGCGAGGTGCCTAGAGACATGATTGCCCTCAAGATTTCTGCTCACCACCGCACAGTTAGTATCCATTTTAACCGAAATTATCTCCACTTTGCTCACAATTAAAGTTAACAATTGAATAATTGAAAAACTTACTATGGAAATAAGTTCTACATATTTTCTCCTTTCATCCCATAGAGCCTGATCGCATCCCAGCCTTATCCGTCGTGGACACTGTTGACCTATCCACCACAGCCACCAGCATCCCCATCCAATGGACTCCGCCCGTCACTGTGGGTGTCTACGACGGGTTCCTGATCTCCTACACGTCACCAGACGGCACCGTGACGGAGGTAGCCAGGGTATTTGGAGAGGTGGACAACTATGTGGTGATGGGACTGGCCGTGGGTCAGACCTACAACATCAGCGTCAGGGCGCTCAGTGGCCGGGCTACAGCTTACGAGACAGAGAGCCAACCACGCACCATTACTGAAACCACAGGTGAGGCTTTGACCAATTCTGGGCACGTTTTAAAAAATCTTGGGTTAGTCTGCAGCTGCGGCTGTAAACTCAGAGGACTAAAATCATGCAGCATAACCTGAAACTGAACATGAGCCGTGGATTATATAATGCCCCTTAGGCAGTGATGGGTCTCAAAATATATTGTAACTACACTGTACTCAATTTAGATAGACAAAGTTTTTAGAGGGGTGTTTAAAAAACATGAAGTAAAACGGTTGGACTAAATCGTTGGAAAGTTCTATTCTTTTTTACTTGTTTTGCTCTTTGACCGAAGAAGGTATTTATGAATGGGAATAAATATTTGCCTGGTTGGTATTATACAAGTCCGTTTAAGACTGTCAGGGGGCCTGGTCGCATATGGTAACCTTCGGCTCGGGCTGTTATCAGCGTCTGTTCCCCCAGCCGGCCTTAAATGGACTTGTTTAAAACTGGCCGAGCACACATTTATTCCCTTAATAAACTCAATGTTTATGAACAATTGCAAAGAAGTACATTTGTCACTTAAGACTAGATGACTTGGGATGGATTGCCGACAACATTTAATAACTTGATTACGATGCAGCTTGTTCTGTTTGATTTGTTGCTGCTTGCTTCATTTCGTTGTTAAATGCTGTTTTTTTCTTCTGTTGTTATAGAAACCTTACCAGAATTGACACTAGAAGTCACCGAGGTGACGATCTCCTCCATCAGTATGGTCTGGGGACCGCTAGTTGACGTGCCTGACGGGGTCACTGGTTATGTGGCTACTATCCACACGGAGACTGATATTCTCATCCGGAGCTTCAACATCCCAATAGGTGAGGAGGTTTCTCCAAACTCAGTTTCGTTTCATGGCACTTCTTTGTAAACTTGATACCTTCAAAAGGTAACATTCCCAGTTGTGCATACAGCACGTGCTTTGTGAAGTCTGGTTTGCCCTTGCAAGAACGCAAAATCAAAGTTGTGACGTCATGGCATTTTTTGGGGTTACAAATGGGCAACTGTTCAATTTATTTCAACTGGCGAGTTGCGCTGTGAATGCTTCAAGGCGTTGAATGCTTCAAGGCGTTGAATTTGCTTCACTTTCATTTGCCCAAGATATGAACTTGCCTGGAGATTGCTTTGGAAAGACACAGTGGGAACTGTGTTCTCAATTAGAACGGCTGGTTATCTAGATAGAACAGAGGTTTTTTTTTATTGAAAATTATCATGTACAATGCTCAAAGGCACTTGGGGGGGGGGGCTTCAGGAAAAAAGAAATATGCTGTTAAAAAATGAATCTGGCAACATTGTAGGTGGACCAGGTAAAAAAAAAAAGTTTAGGGGAAAGTTGAATCTGGCAAGGAGTTCAACAGCAAGGCACTGAACATTTTTAAAGCGTTCTGAGTTTTGAAGTGCTGTCGAGCTACAAACATTTGATTGTGACGGGGTTGTCTTTTTAGAAAAGATACAAGTCATCGACAAATTACAAAAAAATATTCTTCATGACTCAAATCTTTAAGTTTATAATTCTTACAGCGAGACAGGCTTCGGGTAATTGAACGATACTTTTTTCTTAAATATCAGGTAACCCGACTGCGGCTAGATTTGAGGGTCTAAACTCTGGCACATTGTACAACCTTCAAGTTCGCCTGAGTGGTGCCGCAAATGAGTCTGCGGTAAAGCCGCAATACACAAGTAAGTACACACATCCTTACTCCATAGTTGTGGGGACTACACACGAGATGTCCCATGGCACCATGGGGACCGAAGACGCTGTGGGGACAGCAGAAAGTCCCCACAACTCAGTCCTAATTACCCTAACAAGGAAAAACTTCCCCATGACGCGGTAACAGCCCGACCACATGGTGTACCCTGTACTTCCCATTTCCTTCTCTTGGGTTTTCTTCTTTGAAATTTATATGTTATTTGTTATTCATGTACCCGTTTCCCCACCCCTGTTTCCCCACCCTTATGCCACTAAATTGTGCTGCCATGCATAGAAATGCAGTGTTGTACAAGTCATCACAAATCTATCAAATGTCATCTGGTCCCAAGTCAGCTCACAAGCTAATCAAATATACTGCAACAAAGGCATTCCTTCGTCATACTTCATTCCCTGTCGAACTGTGACCGAGGCTTTTTTTTTAATTGACTTGCGATTTCCCTCGATGGTCTCGTTTATTGACTTCTGATTTATTCGCAATGTACTTGTGATGTATCGCGAGTACACCACTGTAGCATTATTGTAAATTAGGCCGACGCCTAATTTTTTTTCTCAAAATTAATTATCAATCTGATATTTTGATTTTTACATCAGAACCTCTAGCTCCATTCAACCTGATGGTGAACAGCGTGACGGCCACCACGGCAACCCTCACCTGGCTTTCCGCCCAGGGTAACGTGGACGACTACAGCATCTCGTACACGGCTGAGGGGTCGCCGACAGAGTTCATGACCTCTGTCAGGGCTGACCTTACCAGCGTCACCTTAGACGACCTCACGCCCGATACAGAGCACACGGTGGTCTTGAGGAGTAAAGTTGGCGGCATGGCTGCTACCGAATCGAGCACCGAGCTGCGAAGGACCTTCACTACCAGTAAGTTCAAATGAGACGTCATACTGAAAAAAAGTGAAGTGGTTGCTTGTTGTTTGTAAAACTTGAAAATTTTGTGCTCAGCAAAGAAAATTCTGCGTACAAAAGTGTGAGTGAGGTATTGCAATTGGGGAATGATGTTTGTGACCAAATTTTTGTAAAAAAAATGGAATTTTATTCACGTTTTGACACGGATGATGAAGCTTACCTCCATGGGATCAATTGGAAATTTGTGTGAGCTTTTTGAATGGATTGGTGGGCTCATTTTCACTGAAATAGAACTCTTAAAGGCATATGGGATCATTTGCTTTTCATGCATTTTGTTTGTTTCCAATAATAACACCACTCAAAATCCAAAGAAGAATGTTCAAAACCTGACCTGTTGAAGTTTCAGCTCAGTGGATACTACACCTGTCCAAAAAAAAAACAGTGAAAAAAAAAAAACATGCACAACCTTTTATATCACAAACCACGATTTTGTCTATATAAACTCTTTATTTCTAGAAAATCAGACACTTGACTGATTGTTGAAAATCACTTACATTTCTTGATTTCTTGTAAATGAGGGCAAGCCAGACAGAAGATTTTCAGGGGGTGTTTAGTACCAGTAAGATCTTTAATCCAAGTACGTTTTTTTTTTAATAATAATTCGCTAGGTTACTTTTGGGAAAAATGCAAATGATCCTGTGTGCACAGAAGTATGCACATGATTCTTTCTTCATAGCTTGCCTTGAAAAAACCAGTAGGATTTGGTTCGTTCAATTTTACTCCCCCCCCCCACTAAACCAAAAGTAATTATGTTGCCAGCAAAGGAACATCACTTTACCCCACATTGTGGACAGTACAGTGAATAAGAATGCAGTTGCATGGCCTGAATTGACCTATCGCCATTTGCGTTCCGCGTCCGGGTAATTGGAAAATCATTCACAAGCTGCGTTGACGCGATTCTACCACGCTAGGTTAATTGTCAGTCCCACAGAGAGCATTCAGAACTAGAGAAGGTTCATAAAATCGTCATAAAAATTGTTTTTAATATCGTTGTTTTAAACGCCATCCCCAGGGGCTGCGCGACTGACCGTCCAGTCCCACACCACCACAACCATCAACGTCCAGTGGACGTCTGAAGAAGGGACCTTTGACCAATACCAGCTGTCCTACACGCCGGCCGACGGTGACCAGCAGTCACCCCTGACCTTTGCCCGGGGCGGGGTCCAACAAACTGCTCTGACCTCCCTGACTCCCGGTTCACTGTACTCACTGGCTCTACACACCCTGACTGCGTCCAATATCGCTGTGCTGTCCGACGAAACCAAAGTTGTGACATGTAAGTTTAAAAATCACAGGGGTGAGATATGTCGTGTCAGGATTTTTTTTCAACAATCCCTTTTGAATGTAGAAATCCTAAGGATTTACCGTAAAGGTGTTTTTTCCCTATAAAAGTTTATATCGAAACTGCGAAATGGGTATTTTAAGGGGTGCCCTTTAGGCAAATACAGACATATATTGTAGACCCTACTTTGCTTTGGGGTCGCAGCGACCCTCAAAGCCTCCACCGATTATTTCATGGAATTTTTCATTTTCCACCAGTCTTACCCCTGAAATCATCATTTATGATGTCTTTCAACCTTCATGACTCAATCCCAAGTCTGTCGTAAGTCGATCACAAGTCGTCAGGTCCCAAGTCAATTCGCAAGCCATTCAAATGAACCTGTCACGAAGGCATTCATTTGCTTTTGTTTATACCCTATTTTCTTACAACGGGACTTGTTAATTGACTTGTGATTTTACTTGTGTCACTGGGTGCGCGCACTTTCATTCTGCACGCGCACAAAGCCAAAACATCTTCTCGTTAGCGTCGGGTTTCATCGACAATGCTTTCGATTGTCTTTCCCGGTGATCTCTTCCAACTCTCCCTTTTTTCATACTAAATCATAGCTCATACTAAAAGCAGGAGAACAGCAAATCTGATGCCATGAAACACATACACTGCATAAATACCAACAAGATAAAATTGAGATTTGCAATTTTGTTCAGTGCTCATCTTTTTTTCCAGGGGTTTTCCCTGGAATGTCTCTCCGAGGTTTCCTCCATCAGCAGGGTCGACTGGAAGTAGGCAGAAAGAAATCCTAGCGGCTGTTCTTGCCAAACATGCCACATAATTTTTAGAAAACCGGATCTAGATCAAATTGAGCATCGCTTAGAGCTAAGTAAAGAGCCAAAAAAAGATTTTTACTCTGAATTTTCACAGTTCATGATGGATTTTAACTGGTTATGATACCATAGCTTAACTGATGCGACTGTTTCTCCTCAGATCCCGAGCCTCCTATTTTAGACTCTCCCAACCAGACCTTCTCTACCATCACCCTGAACTGGGACCCACCAGCTGCCGGTAACTACAACGGCTATTACATTCGCTACGCCGGTCAGTCCGGGGAAGGTGGACGCACGCCAAGCCCGACCACCGTCTCTCGCAATGACCCGAGAGAGCTGGTGCTCCGCGGCCTGATTCCTAATACAAACTACGATGTCAGCATCACTTCGTTCAGTCAGTACGATGACTTGACCCAAGAGAGTGAGGTTGTTTCAAGGACCTTCATGACTGGTAGGCTACTCCCGTACTTGAGCTAGTCTGTTGTCAATTGTGATTCTGTTAGTTATCCCTCGAGCACGAGTGGAACGCAGCATAATGTTGTACGTCTGTGTCCCATATCCCAAAAGACGCAATGAATTTATCCTCCAGCAAACTTGATGCACAGTAAGGATGGAACACACATGCTAAACATGAACTTTTCAGTGGTCATGCTAACACTCATGCATGCAGCATGAATGGCAGACGCATCTTAGAATAGCGCAATACTGCAGTATGGATCCAGGCATATTGGATAATAGTATACTGTTGTTGCCATGGATCGACCAAACAGGATCGAGGATTCAAGTTTGCTTGAAGATAAAAATGACAATAGGTACTTGTAGTGACAAATCCAGCATACAGCCACTATTTAGGTGAAATTTCTTTGTTCTCTTGTACTGAAGTTTTTCGAGTTTGAAAGTGTAGTTTCAAAATGCTCTTATTTTAACCAGAATTAATTTCCTTAGCTGAAATTCGAACTTAATATCCCTTTTCAACATCCATCAACATAGCTTGGAAATTCCTAGTTTTTTGAGTAAAATCCACACATCTATTTCGTGAAAACCTTGTGGAGACATATTCATCTATAGAAATTGCCCTGTGGAGACATATACAATCTTTTGTTCCCTATTGTGTGCATGTCTCCAGAGGACACGGTGTATCAGATCACGCACGTTTGTTTATGGTATTTTGTTTTGTTCCTCTTCCCTTTTCCTTTGTTTGAACTTGAACTTTTTTCGCAACAGCTCTCATTGGTTTTGTACACGTTTTCCAACCGAGGAGTCCTCGATTTGGTTTCTGTCCTCGATTCATCGATGATGTTGCACGTGTGTATCCTCGATTTACACCATAAACACGCACATACAAGTGTGTATTTGCCTGCAATCTGGGACCCCCTATTGTCCCTCTTTTGTTTGTACTAACTTTTTAGGAAGACCTCCCATATGTTTTGTACACGAATCCAAATTGGGGACCTTCGGGAATTTGGGACCCTATTGTCCTCTATTGTTCAACGTTCCCTATTAAATGGAGGAACAAACTCACAAAGTTGTGTTTCATGTTCTCATCCCCATTTATGGAGCTGCTGAATAGAATTACTACTTTTTAAATTTCTTTGAGCCAAAATAAGCGGAGGACCAGTGAACAAGCAAATGTGCATCACATGAATTTTTAGCTGTTATCTTGTTTTTTTGCTAAGCAGATACATTCTTAGCTCAGCCAGTAAACCTGAACTTGAATTGTATTGGTTCATGGCATCGTGAGCACAGATGAAAACGATGGGTGTCGAGAAAGCTGCGCCTTACATTTCTAAACCAATACCTCAGTGCCCTTGTTTCTTGCCTCTCCTGTTGTTTGTTTTTAACCTCTTTTTTATGCCCCGCAGCAAAGCCGAAGGGGCATACTGTTTCCGCCTTGTCCTTCCGTGGGTGGGTGGGTGGGTGGGTGGGTGGGTGTGTGTGTCCGGACAAATCTTGTCAGCGCGATAACTTGAGAAATACTTAACATATGAACTTCAAATTTGGTTTGTGGATTGTCCTTGGTAATCCTAAGAAGCCTTTTGCATTTGGGGCCGAAAGGCCAAGGGTCAAGGTCACAGTGGCTGAAACAATAGAAATTTGTCAGCACGATAACTTGAGAAATACTTTACATATGAACTTCAAATTTGGTTTGTGGATTGTCCTTGGCAATCCTAAGAAGCCTTTTGCATTTGGGGCCAAAATGTCAAGGGTCAAGGTCACAGTGACTAAAACAATAGAAATCTAGTATTTATTCTGAGATCATACGGATTAGGGATTAATTCATATAAAACCTACAGAAGACACTAATGCTGTCAATGAACATTCCATGTGACCAAGGTACATGTAAGTTGATGTTAAAAGAGTGGTGTTATGTCATGGAAACAGTCACGGTTGCGGGGCATTTGTGTTTGTAAACACACCTGACTTGTATAAATATGGTTTGAAATCAAATGTGATTTTCAGTGAAGTAATATAACTGACACCTATTTGTGCTCTCAATCTGTCCACAGGCGCGGCTGATCCTGGCACCTTGTTTGTCACATTGGTTGAAACTCGACGCATCACCGTGAGCATAACACAAGCAGCCGGGGCCACGGGTTACACTTTGGTGATTGTGGACTCGCTGAATTCAGCGATAGCCACCATTCCCCTGAGCTCAAACCCAACACCTGTCACACAGATGAACCTGACGCCCGGAGTGGAGTACACATTTACCCTGACTGCCATGGGAATAAGTCCGGTGGTCAGCACATCCATCAAGCAATATACCAGTAAGTCAAGATTTGGGGTTATTGGAGTGGCTGGAAAGATTTGGGTTGAAGAACTTCAAGAGCCGAGTGTGAAACTAGTGGTCAGTGTGACGTAACTTACGCTTGTCCACCAATTGCTACCTGCGGATGCCTCCAGTCAAACAGTGGTGAAAATGTCATAACGAAACGTGGTCCTGGCTCCCTGTTGTGCAGTATGATGTACCAAGGCTATGGGTAACCAGTGATGCGACCAAACATTGTAGGCCTGTCCTGTATATAGTCGACCAGACTAGTCCAAATATGGTGGGCTAGCATGGATATGAGTTTGATCCAACTGCGATGTAGATTCAATGTCAGGGTTTGCTCGTCACCGATGTAATTCATAAACACTGCATATTCAGTTTTTGTGACAATAGAGCATGCATAGTGATAGACGAGCACGCATACCGGTGAAGATAAAATGCTCTTATTCTAAACTGGTGCCCAGGCCACCTTCTCCTGTCCTTCATGATCAAAGTCTATAAGGCCCTGTCCGAATAATTTGGCTATGGCCTAATTTGGCATGGCCTAATTGCCTAATTACAGAAAGAGCGGGAATGTTGTGATTTTTAAGACAACACCTTGGTATTGCATTTTGAGCTTGACATCCTCCGTTTTTTTATCCACAGAGCCCGAGGCGGTGGACCCAAGCTCCGTGCAGTCATCCACCACCATCGAGTCCGTCAATCTGAGCTGGGACCCAGTCCTACCAGGCAACGCTTCCTACCCAAGCGTGGCTGATGGATACCTCGTAACCTATGAGCCAAGGGACAGCATCCAGGAACCAGTGGTCGTCACTGAGCCAATGGTAAGTACACACCGGTCAGTGGATCCGGGGGTGGGGAAGATGCCTATTTGGGGAGGGGGGGGGGCAGGGCCCCTCCCACAAGTATACATTTTTATTTTTCTATTTATTACTTATTAGATGCTTAATAATAATATCAAAGAAATTGGCTGGTACTGGGTTTGAACCCGCCGGATTTCCGTTCCGGTGCTCTGCCAACTGAGCTATCCAGCCCTATGTTGGCGGTTCCCCATTTGTCATTATCAGTGTCTCTGTTCAAGGGGTGCTAGTCAGAAGCCGTAAACCGGTAATTGTTAGGGTGACCACGAATGCCAAATTTAAAGTTTGTTTGCCGATGTCATACATCATTGCATTTCAACGCAAAGAGTTAGTAGACAGAGATGATTCATTTTTGGACTGTCATTATTAACCAGATTTCAACAGAGGGCGCTGTACGCTATCTTGTATGTATATTTTATATCCAACAGGCAACCATCACCGGGCTGCAGCCGAACACTGAATACACTTTCCACATCGTCACCTTTGTGGGAGAGGACGATTCGGAGGAAAGAAGTTCGCCGACAACTGTTATGGCGACAACAGGTTAGTGGCATCGCTAGTTACCACTGAAAGAAAGTTACGTCTGCGTGAAGTCTATTTTGTCAGAAAAGATTGCCCCCCACAAAATCATATTTCTGTCAGAAAATGTGTGCCTCCTTCATTTGGGTGATACAGTGAAATTTTGATTAGTCAAACTCTGATGATAACTCAAAACAACTGTTTAGTCAAACAAAGAATCCATTGCCTTCAGTAGTATAACAATGATATACAACCCTGCTCATAAACTCAAAACTCTGTTTAAGTCAAATTTTGAACCTCGTCCCTTGAGGTTTGACTTATCAAGATTTATCAAGTGTCATGGCCAAGCGGTTACAAGAGCACCGGACTCATGCTCTGGTGTTTCAGAGGCAACAGTGGCGTGGGTTCGAGCCCGGGCCCGGACACTTGTGCCCTTAAGCAAGGCACTTAACCATTATTGCTTCGTTTTTCGGATGGGACATTAAGCCGGAGGTCCCGTGTGTTTACGAACGTAAAAGAACCCAGTAACACTTATCGCTAAGAGAAGGGGTTTGCCCCGGTGTTTCTGGCCTCCTAGTTATACTCCCTTGTGGAAGTCCTCAGGAGAAGAACCAACCAAGTAACCAAGTATTTCACTGTAGTTGCTTCAGGTATTGTTGTTCTGACTCTTGTCTTATATTAATGGATTCAGCACAAATTGTTCTAGAAAAAGTGTGCTTGGTGCAATGCTGTTTTTCTTTTACATTTCGTCTGATTAGGAGTTTGTGCCATTTTATTAAGAAAAAATATCCAGCATACGGTGAGCCGATGTATGGCTTAACATGATGTCCACTACAGTCAATCAGCAAACGTATTGGCTTAAATTTTGTCCAGTTTAACGTTTATGACATTTGAGGCAGTGTAAGAAGATTTTCAAAACCTTTTCATTTACTCTTCACTTAACAGACGACTTTGACGCTGCAGAAATCCTCATCATAGACAACACAGAGCAATCGGTAACCTTTGAGTGGGGCAGGACTCGGTACTCGTCTGCGACAGCCTACCAGTTAAGCATCGGTCTGCCCGGTAGTACGTCACGGCTACAGAATGCCTTTTTCCCCATCAGTAATAGCAACCTACAACACACGTTCAACGCCTTGCAGCCGGGGACCAGCTATGTGCTGTACGTGGAAGTGACCAACGTGGGTGGTTTGGAAAGTCGAAGTCGGGCCTTCAGGACTGGTAAGCCAGAAACCGGTGCTGTCTTATCTCAAGGGCGGATCCAGGGGGGGCCAAAGGGGGCCATGGCGCCCCCCCCCCCCCCCCCCCAAAACGAAACCAATTTTTTTTTTTTATGTGACATCACAATAAAGGCAGGCAATGAGTACACCACCATCTTTTCCTCAAAAAAACATTGGTTTAAGTGGTCAGAAATTGCCTCAGATCGCACCACAGAGCATCTAGAATCCAAATTTTTTTTCGGGGCCCGCTTAAGGGCCCCAAACCCTACGCCGTAATTTTTTGGACCCACTGTTTTGGGGGACCAAAATTTTTTTGGCCCCCCCCCAAAAAAAATTGTGTTCTGGATCCGCCCTTGTCTTATCTTCTATTTATGGAAACAAAACAAACTTTTTCTTAATGCCAGGGTCCCATTTCTAGTTTTTTTTCGGAGTTCACCTTTTCTGGAGCCACTAGAACTGTAACATGTTTCTTCGGTTTTCGATTTGCTAAAGACACACAGAAGACCATGTTATATTGAAAGGAGCATTTGCTTGAAGATTGAGCTATGGATTGTATGTTTATACATGCATGAACACTTGTAAGCGTGATCTGTAATACACTCAACCAAAAAAGAAATTCCCCCCCTTAATACTTTTTGTCTAACTCAAAAACAACTGGGCACATCTTGCTCAAATTACGACTGATCACTGCAGAAGTTCCTCAGCATTCCAGCCACACACTTTGTTTGGCCGAAAACAGTGATAATGTGTACAAAATGATGCAATTTATGACAAGTGGTACCAAAAAAAAGTTGCACCTTTGTACACTTGCAAGGTGAGTGTGAACCACAACATGCACGTATACAAAAGTGCAACTGTTTTCGGTATCATTTGTCATAAATTGCATAAATTCGTACACATTTATTACCGTTTTGGGCTAAATCAAGAGTATGGCTGGATTGCTGAGGAATTTCTGTTCTGATAAGACGTAATTTGTGCCCAGTAGTTTTTGAGTTAGACAAAAAAGTATTGGAAGGGGGGACTTTCTTTTTTGGTTGAGTGTTTATGTGAAAGTAGTGAATTAAGTTTGGTATTGCCTGTAGAGGGGAGGGATTGTGTTGTAGTCAAGGCTACCAGAAGTCCATCAAGTTATCAAGTTAGGAGCTATTTAATATTATACAACACCTGAATGAATCCCCGTGATCTGATTGGTGGATCATTGATCACATGCCATTGAATTTATTCGTACCAGCGTGCGCGTGGCGCGCAGCGCACAGTTCAATGGAAATTCTGTTGCACGGTTAATAGAACTTCCATTGCACGGTGTCACTGCTGCTGGTAGTGGCACTGTTTTAAATCGAGATAAATTGAATATGATTGTTCTCAACCTGTTGAACAGTTTGCATTAATAAAATATGATGAACGTGCCAAACTTTTAAACAGTTTTTTAACCTGAATAAATTGGCTATTAAAAGTCAACCAATCAGATGACAAGGATTTATTCAGGTGTTTTATAAAACAAATAATGAATGTTTCACGTTCGTGCAATGGAAAGAATAATTTCATGAGGTGACAGATGAAATGTTCCATTCCACGAGGCGAAGCCGAGTGGAATGGAACATTTCATCTGTCACCTCATGAAATTATTCTTACCATTGCACTCACAAACATTCATTATTTGTATACTATCTGTGAGAAAGGCATTCCGTTGTTATTTTTCATCGCCTGTTACTTGTGACTGGACTTTTGATGGACTTGTGATGGACTCAACTGTTGGTGTCATGTAATTTGTCAATGTGTTGAGATGTGACCCATGTAGGTGAACGGAAATACAAAGCCGTTTTCTGATGTGAACGCTTAATTTTTGTGACTTAATAATACTAATAATTAAAAAATTTATAATGTGCCTTTTGCATGCTAATGATCTAAAGTGCATTATAGTGTGTACGCGGAAAGCCACTACGTCTAAAAATAGAAGAAAAGGACACAGAAGGATAAGATTACCTTACTGAAAAAAAGGGACTCTTTTTTTTTTAGAAAACTATAGTTTTCTTTCAGAATACTGTGCCAATGTTGGTTAATACGCAGGTCGTCCTAGACTAGTGTCCTGTGTGTTTCCCCTTTGTTTCTTTTTCGTACTTCATGATCATCATCTTGACTTTATGCGTGTCTTGTATATCAGTGGCCGCACCTCCAAGGAACCTCCGCATCGCCGAGGCCAGCCAGTCCATCATCACGGTCTTCTGGGAGGAAGCCGTCGGCTACGTCAGCGGCTATCAGGTCACACTGACCACGGCCAACGGTCAGCCGGTTGGCCAGCCGGTCCCTCAGCCACCCACCGTCCTGTCCGCAACGCTGGAGAATCTCACACCAGCGACGAACTACGTCATCACTATCCGTACCCTGGCTGGACTGGGCCAAGATCAGACCATAAGCGCACCGATGTCTGTGTCTGAAACTACAGGTTGGCTCATTGATTCTTAAAATGAATGAATGATTTGTAGTAATGAACCCAGAAGCATGTTTAATGAATTGTAATATTATTCCCTAGCTGATGAAATCACAAAACTATGCAATGACTGGGCAGTTTGGGGCGGTTTGGGGCGGCATAGGAAGTAACACACGGGCAGGGTGGTGTGGGTTTGTACGGGTCAACATTTGATAGATGGACAATATCATGGGTGCAACATTCTCAAATATTTTATAGTAGTAAGAAAAAGTGCAAGGAAAGAGGAGTCCCAATCAGTTGCCATGGCGATACGCCAGGAGTAGAGGACATACAATTTCTGGTCATTCAAAACACAGCAATTTGATTGCATACACGACCCAAAACAGTGGTGCTGTTCAGTGGTTTTTAAACAAATTCAATCCCACTTTTGCCCCCAAAATTGTGTTAACTGAAAGTGAATATCCTCACATAAAAAAAATACATGTGAAAAATCTTGTGAAGATTTTTTCCCGTACTTTTTGAACAACTTAGCAATCCTAATCAACTTAATCTTTGCTGCTTTTGTTCGAAACCTTCTCTGTGAAATAAAATATTTTCAGTTATTAGCACCTATTGGGCTGAAATTGTATGTTATTATGGTTCGAAATAGTCGGTTCTAATTTGTTACAATCTGCGATAGTCTGTGACTTATTACAAACTCTCTCCAATCCCAACACAGATTCGGTTGTGATCACCGTCGAGTTGGTTCCAGACACCACCATCACTGTCCGCTGGGTAGCGACCACCAATCCCATCATGCAGTACCAGTTCATCTACAACCCCGACGACGGGGTGCAAGACTCCTCCACCTTTGTGCCTGTGAGTGATAGCCCAAGCAAACGTCTGGACGGCCTGACGCCCGGACAGAATTACCGACTGATTGTCAACACGGTAGACGCAGCTGGTGTCATCACGCCATATGGACGCACCTCCTACCGTCTAAGTATGTAGCAATTCTTATGAGATCTGGGTCGAAATTATGGGGGAACCTCTTAGGTAATTTCTTCAATAATAATAATAATAATATCGGAGTCTTATATAGCACACATATCTACCAACAATTAGGTACTCAAGTTGCTGGAAATTATGTATATTTGAAGGTAAATAAAGTTTATGAGAAATATGAGACCCATTATGTAGCACCGTATATGGGTTTACAGGGTGCTGCGGCGCATATTGCAACCACTGCCAGAAACACCGGGGCAAACCCCTTCTCTTAGCGACAAGTGTTACTGGGTTCTTTAACGTGCATTACACAACACACGGGACCTACGGCTTTACATCCCATTCGAAGGATGGAGCACAAGCACCATGTTCCCACGGTCAGGATTCGAACCCATGTACCACTGCACACGAGTCGAACACTGTAACCATTGAACCACAGCACCCCACTAATAATGTTTTCACATTTTTTGAAAAATAATATCAATTAGAAAATAATATAAATTATGTTCTTCACTCAAGCTTTTCAGTATATTTGTGATGCAGTGTTTGTAGTGGAGGCCATCACAAGTCCGGTCACAAGTAAATCTCAAGTCCATTCACCAGTCCAGTGACAAGTAACTTTACGTTTCATTTTACATGGCTTGTGACTTGAGTTGCAACTGGACATCTTGTGGCGGACTTGTGAGACTTGCGATTGACTTAGCTACAGTTCTGCAGCCGATTTCATAAAAAAAGAGTGCGGAGTTTGCGACATGCGTAAGACTTACGCAATAAATTTGTTGCGCAGCTGCGCAATAAACTTACGATCGATTTCACAAAACTTGGCGTAGCTGCGCCACGTGTTAAATAATTGAAACATCTTGGACGAGGATGATAACAGCATTTACGGCGGCTGTTTGTGTATTAATTTGTTCGTTCACGAAACAGTCATTAGATTTCCTCAGCCCGTCATTTCAAAAATTATTTGTCGGACTTTCTTCAGAATCGTGCAGCAAGCTCTAAAAACCACGTCACCAGTAAAATAGCAATTTGTTCACTTCAAACACAAAGCTGTGGGTGTCTTGTATCGATCTTGATAAGTTGTGCAACAACAGGCTCCGCGACGATCACGATTTGCTGGTGAAATAGGTCATTTTCAGTTGCTACGCCACCCTTTACTCCAAGTCCCGGACTTATGCACTTTCAGACTTTCATGAAATTGTCATAAGTGAAATGTTGCGAAGTGTGAAATGTTGTGCAGTTTTATAAGCAATAAATTGTGACGTATGGCGCAAAGGTAGTTGCGCCATTGCGTAAGGTTTCGGGAAATCAGCCGCTGTAGTAATTAAGTTAATCACAAGTCCAGTCACAGGGAAATCTAGTCAAGAATAGGTCACAGGTAGGAAGTGATGAACAGTGGCAAAGGAATATTTTGTGACTTGACATCTGGATAACTTATGATTGACTTATGATGGACTTTTGAGATTGTGACTGCAATCTGGTTTTCACGGGGTAGCAATGTACGTTGTTGCTTATATCATGTTAATTTACTATACTATACTATACTATTTTATTTCTCGGGAAAATATCAACAAATACATGTAAACAAATGACTAAAGTTACAACACAAAACAACAAAAGCTTTAGATACATAAACAAACAAACAAAAACAAAATACCATTCAGCTCCCGAAGGATTGCCCAAAAGAAACGTTGTTTCTGTCTAGGGGTTCTCCAAACTGAATGGCATACGTGAAAACAACAAGCAATAAATATAAAAAGAAGTTTTAACTATACACAAAAAAAAGTTAAATAAAGTTACATTAAGTCAAGAACAAAGTTGGTAAATTAGATAATTATTAGACAAACAAATCAAAAAATAAAAATCAATTACACTTGTACTAGGTAAATTAAATGAATAAACAAATTAATATATACATTGTACTTCAACTACCCCCACTACTACATGTACTACTACTACTACTTCTATTAATAGATAAATAAATAATTTCTTTCTTTGTGAGTTTTGTTCAGAATTTATGGTGTTTTCTTTAAATTGTGGCTTCTGGTATTTTCTATACTTGAAGAATCAGTTTGTCCAAACTTTATTGCTTATAAAAGTAAAGGTTGTATGATTATAGCCTTATACACATTGCTCACCGTAACTCACGTTGCTTTGGTTGCAAAATTGAAATTGGAAATTCCTGGTCTTTGTGGAATACAATCCATATTCAACTGTTGTACAAGATGACTAATATTACACTGGTGTTTGTATTACCTTTCAGAACCGGTTAACATTGATCGGAATGCTGTAACGGTTGTTCCAAAACCACACGGTGCAGACTTCGGCATCAATCTTAGCAACTTCAGAGGCCTGATTGACAAGTTCTTCGCGGTCGTGAATAACGCGGCCAGCGGCGCGGGAGCCGGTACCCCGCTTCAGGTGGAGATTGAAGTGCCTATGGACGCTTGCCCGGTAATCAGCCTCACCGGATTGATGCCAGGTACCACATACATGGTCACACTACGCACGGGTAGCGGGGACCAGTCGAGCAGCGGGATTACGTTCCCCTTCACGACAAGTGAGTTCAAAGCTGAAAATCAAGAATCTAAAAAAAATTGGAGTAAAAATCCAAAGTCAAACTTTAGGAATGGTCTCCCTGTGTTAAAAGAATGTGCTTAAAGGGAATATACATCATTTGCTTTTGCTGTAATTTTCAGAAATGGATGGAATTGGGGGGTTGGAAATATAAAGCAAATATAGTTGCACTGACTTTTTGGAGGTTTTGGGTTCGAAAATGCTATAAAAACCAAGAAAAACGATCATTTTCCTGTAGTCTGGTTCCCTGACTCCATATAAGAAGAAACAGAGCAGTTTACATACATTGGGGAATTGTAAGGTCAGGGAACCAGTCTAGCTGGCTCGTACCCGTTCATAGGTTTGTAATCGATTGCAAACAAGGGCAATGGTCAATTGGGGCCAGTATTTGAAAAAAAGCCAGTTGTTTCCAACGCTGATCGGCCGATCAGCGTTGGAAATTGATACAAAAATACCACTTTTCTTGAAAATGACAGTATACCAGGTGCCATAATTTTACAGGATGCTTCAGGCTGTCATTTACCAACATCCTATTAAGGTATTTCGCAAAAACTTGGTAGTTTTTTTTTTTTCGATGTTTGCAAATGTTGTATATTCCCTTTAAAAGGTTGAGCCAAAATAAACTGACTCATCACAAGTATGACTGCAACATTGCTAATGTTGCTGGTGTGATACCTGGACACAGGGTACATATAAGTTGATGGCTTCTGAAAAGTGCCCCATAAGCAAAGACATACTGCCAACACAGGGCAGGATAGCTCAGTTGGTAGAGCAAGGGTCAGGTGCTTCAGTGGTTATCAGTTCAGATCTCACTTCTGTCAGTGTCTTTGTTCAACCTTATCCTTTGTGCTTTCTGTGATGTATTTAAAATGGTAACAATGTATTTGGCAGCTGGCCATCAAAATATAGATGGTCTTGTGGCGCTAATTTCTGAATGTGATTTTGCTGCCATTGCTTTTTTTCTTTTTTTTTTCAAATAAAAGGGGAAAAAAATATTATTCCCACGATAGGTTTAAAAACGTTGTTTTAATTTGTTCCGTAGATCTAACTTCGCCCGGCGTCATTTCATTTGGTGACATCACAACATCCCAGATTGTCCTGTTCTGGGAACAAGATTCTGGGACCGCCGCTTACACTGTGGAATGGTCGCCAGGAAGCGGCTCGGCAGTAGTGCCACAGACGACTGGTACCCGCGACTACACCATAACGGGACTGAGCCCAGGCATGCTGTACACCGTCACGCTGCACTATCTGAGTCGCACCGACCAGAAACAACAAAGAACAAGTAAGATGGTATCAGGTTTTTGTGGCTATGATTTCATTTTACTAGTGTGAATAGCCGTAGCCCTTGACAAAATGCCTGTTTCAGGGTATGCTAAATAAGACTCAGCCGGCTACGGCTAGCAGTAACAAATGGGTCTATAGAAAATGGATTCAGCCGCTCCATAGCAACATGCTTTCTAAGAGCAGGGGAAAAAAGCAGAATCTATGGTCTGTCATTGGTGTGCAAACTGAAGAGAGCGTCCTGTTGCCTAGCAACAAGGGCAAGCAAAGGGAACCAGTATTTCCCTGGTTCTCGCATGCTGGTTGATGGATGCCATTCAATTATCCGTTCGCATCCAAAAATGTACACAATGGAGGTAGACATTTTGTTTGAAAGTAAGAGCAGAGACGTTTTTTCTTCCCAGTCCGTCCATTTTATAGTCCAGAAATTTAAGGGGGGAGGGAGGGTTCGAACCAACCTAGAAGTGAGAACTCATACTTCGTTACATGCAATACAGTATGCACTGCGTTTTCACCACCAACAACTTGTTCAGGATGTCAATAAATGCTGAGGATTTTCATGAACGTCATGATTGTCACAGTTTTTACAGAGAGACAAATGTCATTTCACATGACACCTACATTGTAATTTGTCTCTTTGCAAAAACAGCAACTAAAATTTGAGCCTTAAAACAAAAAAAAACTCATACAATTTGTGGATAATCAGAAGTCACATCTGTGCTACAGAGTAAAATAAACTTGAAATTCCCACATGAATGATATGATTGTTACTTTTTTTCTGCAGGACCATTGAAGTTGGCCACCCCACCGTCTGTCGCCACCAAAACGGACAGGCAAATCACTGTCACATGGGAGCCCGTACAACTGCCAGAAGTCACTGGTTATGAGGTAGGCTGACATGCAAGAAAGCGGTTTTTTCCAGGGTCCATGCCGAATTGGTCTATTCGTGATGCATACCTGTCAGATAAATGAACTCAAGATTAGGAACTAGTTGACCAAAGTCTTATGCCACTTGTTATTTTTGAGACATCTGTTTTGAAGAATCCTCCAAGTTCCACAAAGATACCACGTGTCGATAAAAAAACTGAATGCAAAACTCTTACTTAACTTTGATTTCATTTGGTAAAGAATAAGTTGGTTACATTTTTTTCCTATTTCTCCCAATTAGTTATGCTACACAAACTCCAACGGCCAAGCAGGGACAGTTACTCTTGGTGGTAGTGTCCAATCCCACAGTCTCACCGGTCTCACGCCTGATACTCCATACATCATCAGTGTGGCTACAGTGGCCGGCACCGGGGACAATAGAATCATCAGTGAGAAGGAGACAATTACTGTCAGAACCGGTGAGGTTTGAGTCTTGAGGTTTGAGTCGTGAGGTTTGAGGTTTGAGTGGTGAGGTTTGAGGTTCGAGGTTTGAGCTTTGAGCCTTGAGGTTTGAGGTGTAAGGTTGGAAGTTTCAGTCTTGAGGTTGAGTTTGAGTCTTGAGGTTTGAGTCGTGAGGTTTGAGGTTTGAGTGGTGAGGTTTGAGCTTTGAGCCTTGAGGTTTGAGGTGTAAGGTTGGGAGTTTGAGTCTCAGTGAGGTTTGAGTTGTGAGGTTTGAGTTGTGAGGTTTGTAGTTTGAATCTTGGTGTTTGAGTGGTGAGGTTTGAGTCTTGAGAATTGTAGTTGCAAACGTGAGGTGTGAATCTCGAAGTTTGAGTCTTGAAATTGAGGATTGAGTCTTGAGGTTTATTTTTGCTTAGCATCTCAATAAGATTGAGCCAAGATCAATTTATAACTGTGACGTGCCCTCCACAAAAAAATTAGAATGAAGTTGTAACTTAAACATGAAATACAATTTTGAACCTACCAATTTCCGAAGAGCAAAAATATGCAACTCTTTTTGTTAGAACGAAGCTGTTTTTTTTCTATATGATGTAGGGCCAGTTTACATTCAGGATGAACCTGTTATTGAATTTGTGACGTCGTAGCAAATGTTCTCCTTGCAAATTCTCAATTATTTCCAGTCTCATTTGAATTCTAGGTAATTTCGCACCAATGTTTTGTTATGTTAAATTCCACTCTTAATACAGCTCCAGAAAAGCGATGTTACCCTGAAAAAAAGCATTTTGCAAAAAAAGATAAACACACATAGACATTTTAACTCAGCAAAAGTGTTGAAAAAATACCTCCTACATTATTAGTGACTCAAATTGCATTACTTATGCATTTTTTTGGTGACAATTTACTTTGATTCTGTAATCATTTTTTTTTTCATTTTTTTTTTTTTTTTTTGCAAACAGACATGGATGTCAGCATTCCTAATCCCTCCAACCTCCGAGCGACCGACGTCACCCAACAATCCATGCGACTTCACTGGGATCTACCGGACAGGGACAACTTTGACGCCTACGAGTTGACCTACACGCCCAACTCCATCGGTAGTCCGTCTTCACCGGTTCACATCCCCAAGAATTTTGCCAACATTGACTTGACCGAACTCATGCCCGGAACCAGCTACGTCTTCACCCTGCGGACCGTGCGGGGCCCATCGCAGGCCCGAGAATATGGAGCCAGTGTGACTCATATGCAAACAACTGGTTAGTTTTTAATTTAAACAAAATACTGATGTTAATTTTTTTCTTCTTTTAAGTATTTAAGACAAGCAGCAGTTTTTGATAAGATTTCAATTTTTCCACTGAAATGGTACCTTCATCATTACCATTTTGTCAGAGGTCGTCAGAGCTAGAGAGTGTCCTTTTAGTTTGGCCTTGTTTTGTTTTTTTGGGCTATATATCTAATATACTGACGGAGATTTTGGATTTGGGAAACTTATGATGTTGGATTCCAGTCTTTTACAAGTCGGTTGTAAGTTAATCACAGATCCGTTACAAGTAACAGCGGATGAACGATAACAAAATAATGCATTTGTCAACTTGTCTTTTGATTGACTTTGCGATTGACTTGTGATTGATGTTGTGATTGACTTGTGATTGATTTGGTGATTGAGTTGTGATTGACTTGTGATTGACTTGTGATTGACTTGTGATTGATTTGTGATGGACTTGTGATGGACTTGTGATGAACTTGTGATTGACTTGTGATGGACTTGTGATGGACTTGTGATGGACTTGTGATGGACTTGTGATGGACTTGAGATTGACCTGTGATTTGACTTGTGATTGACGTGTGATTGACCCGTAATTGACTTCAGATGACTTGTAAAGACTTTGATGAACTTTACTATAACAATGGACACTTAGCACATCACAGTTCCCACTACAACATTTATAATTTTTTTTTAAATTTTCTACTTCCCCTCAGTCGTAGCTGGTTTTGAGCTACTGACTGGCTCAGTGACAGACACCGTCATAGAGCTGACGTGGGGTGAGCGACCACCGGGTACAATCTCCGTTGAGGTGTCGTACACCCCTCAGGAAGGTAACACAGCCAACCCGACCATCCAGTCCACCACCTCAGACCCATTCCTGATCCTCACGGGTCTGACGCCCGATACAGATTACACCATAACCATCAGGGCAAAGTCAGGGGACCAGACACTGGCTGAAGATGTTGCAACTGTCCACACTCGTAAGTACAAAATGAAGTTAGATTTTTTAAGTATGAAGTTTGAGTCAGTTTGGGATTTTTAGATTATTCCTGTTTTTTTTTCATGTGGGTCATTGTATAAATTTGGGGTCCACTTGTTTCTCAGTCCAGTTACATCTGATATCTGTGATTTGATCATTCTGATGCACTCCTTAATGCAGTCGTCCTCCATTGTATCACCTCTGTTTGTCAGGCTCAGAAGGCCATCTCATAGCACGTCTCAGTTCCCTAGGGAGTATACAGGTCATTGCTGCCATTTTTGGCAAAACAAAATCAAATTAAACACAGTACCCTGTCTGCCCTTACTGGTACCCATTTGACTCCTCGTTTGGGAGAATAATTAATGGGATTCAAGAGCTATCGCAATGTCTATTGTCAGCAAATTTCAATGTTGTTATTGTCACGGACTAAGAAGAAAGCTCTTGACAAGAGATTCAGATGTGACCACAGTATCGTTGTCAAGAACACATGGGTGGTATCTTATCATTATATCCGAGGACAAGGCATTGCTTTTCAATTGTCAGTGGTGGACCTTCGGGAATTGTGGACCATATAGTTCCACGTCCTCTATTGAATGCAAAAACAAACCCACACACACTCCGGCTAAACTTGACTTACCGCTAAATTTAACTACCGGATTTTGAGTTTGATCCACCTACCAACCCACATCAGTCTGTTTAAATGTTTTGTTTTAATTGTTTAATTCTAGGTTTACCGCCTCCACTCAGTCCAACTCTAACCAACATCAAAGCTACGTCTGTGGTTGCCTCGTTCGCTCCCTACGACGGCGATTTCTGTCTCTGGATCCGCGAGCCTTCGGTGAATGGCGGCGGTGTACCGGTCACTGACAGAACGTGCGGTGGCCGCGACGGCTGCGCCAGGTACCCTCTGCGTGAACTTCAACCGAGTACGGCGTACGAAGTGGTCCTGGTGCATACTAATGCTGACGGAGTAATGACAGCAGAAGCAGTCACTCAGTTCCAATCAGGTTAGTGTTTCAGTGTCTTGCTAACTGTACTGCATTGATTTAGATATGGAATCTATGCAGAAACTGTAACAAGTGCTGCATGGCTTGTTCATGAGAGCCGAGAGAAGACATTTCATTAGCACACAGTTTCATGAGCGTTCGGAGAAGTGTTGTAGTCAGTTCACCACACGTCCATCACAAGTCCCTCAATTAGTCCTTTCACAAGTCCAGTCACAAGAAACAGGGGGTGAACAATAACACAGGGAGGCTTTTGAATGGCTTGTGACTTGAATTGCGCAGACTTGTGACTTGTGAGGACTTGACTTGTGAGGACTTAATTTGGGAGGACTTGATTTGTGAGGACTTGATTTGTTGGGGCTGATTTGTTGGGGCTTGATTTGTTGGGGCTTGATTTGTGAGGACTTTACTTGTGAGGACTTGATTTGTGAGGACTTGATTTGTGAGGACTTGACTTGTGAGGACTTGATTTGTGAGGACTTGACTTGTGAGGACTTGATTTGTTGGGGCATGATTTGTGAGCACTTTACTTGTGAGGACTTGATTTGTGAGGACTTGATTTGTTGGAACTCGACTTGTGATGACTCGACTTGTGAGGACTTGATTTGTTAGGACTTGGCTTGTGAGCGCTCGGTTTGTAAGAACTTGACTTGTGAGCACTCGACTACAACAGTACCATGTGTGTTTGCAAGCAATTTTCCTTACCTGTAAGCAGTTAAATCTTTAATAGCATTGGAGCAACTCACCTGAGCATAAGCATGCAGCGGTAATGGCGTCAAAAGGCTTGATCAGTGAGTCAATAACAAGAACGTTTTGAAATTTTGTTAACTGCTGAGGGTTAGGTTCCTGCTCCGACTTGAAATGAACATCTGCTTCCGTCCTGATGCTTTTGTTAATGTGACAGAAGATTATTGATATCTTGCATCTATGGAGAGAAAGGAATATCAGCCATCAGTTTATCAGAAAGCCTCATCTTGCAAAAAATGTCTAATCATTGACTTGCTGGTGTTTCCTCGGTGGTCATATGTGATATGCACTTATTTTGCAAAGGTACCTTACTTACATTCTTTAAGATTAGCTTTTCTCTCAGTCTCCATTTCATGATGCTAATCACCTTTTTTTTTCAAAACAAGGTTATGGAACACAGAAAAGGGTCGTCAATTTTCATTACAAATTGTCTTCCAGTTTGGTTTATGTGTGGGAAAATAATTAAAGAAATCATGACCAGAGTTTGTGAACTTTATTATCTTTCTTTGCACAGCGGACCCGACGCCTCTTGGTGTGGGCATCATCGACCTCCTATCCGACGCGGTAGAGATCTCCTGGCAGCCAGGAACGGGTGACTTTACCAACTACCTCCTGACCTACGAACCCTTGGGTACCACACCGGGAACGACGCTGATAGCCAAGACGGACCCACGGAGGATCAGATTGACAGGTCTTCAGCCGGGGACCATGCACACGGTTACATTAGCCCAGCAGGGCGGCTCGGATCCAATGCAGAGGGTTTTCCTCAAGACCACAAGTAAATGCAGCCTAACATTGATCACACACCTTCCGACTTAGTCCTGGTTCAAGTCTGGGTCTGGAGTTTGTTCCCCTAAGGGCGTCCCTTTTTATTTCTATGGTCCCCATGTTGGCTTTGAAGTGGGGACGGTCGGTCCAAGAAAATACAAATGTTTGGCACGGGTGGCTTGTACATGAAGTGCTCGCCTCTCACTACTGTTGCCCTGGTTCGAATCCCGGCCGCGGACCATACTTGCCAAAAGTGAGTAGAGTTGTGCGTTGGTTCTCTCCTGTGCCACAAGGGTTTTTCTCCGGGCCCTCCGGTTTTCCTCCCTCCAGAAAAATCAAACACTTTCGATCTGAGGCTGTGCTCTGTGGTCATATATGGGTCGATGTGGCTGGCTGCCAGAGACACCTTTACATGCCAGCGGCTGGACCACGTTGTAGCCGCGTCCTTCGCAATTCAGTTTCTCAGCTCAGCTGAGAGGAGGATAAGCCTCCCAAATTGTTGTTTTTATTATAATTATCAAGAAGACTTGCAGTTGCACCCGTATAACTCACCAGCATCTCACCAGGATTTAAACTGTCTGGATCCGGGGAACATAATTCCAAGTCCAATCTTGGATCAAGACTACTCCCAACTATGATCCTAACCCAAACCTATCTCTTCCGATCGAGCCCTACTTTAAAAAAAAATCTCACATTAAAGGCAATTTACAACATATGCAAACGTCCAAAAACAAAACTACCAAATCATCATTGAATACCTTACTGGGCTGTTAGTGAATGACAGTTTAAAGCATCTTGTGAAATCATGGCACCAGGTGTGCTGACATTTTCAAGAAAGGTGGAATTTTGGTATCAATTTCAAATGATGGTCAGCCGACCATCGTTGGAAAAACTGGCTTTTTTCAAATACTGCCTCCAGTTTAGTTAGTCCACATTTTGTCTACAATTGATGCACATCTGTGAACAGGTACAAGCCAGCTAGACTGGTTCCCAGGGAACCAGTCTACAAGAACATGATTTTTTTTTCTTGGTTTGTCCATCGTCTATGAAGACAAAACTTTAAACAGCTAATTGTAACAATATTTGCTACAAATCCCCCCACATCCATCAATTTCTGAAAATAACAGCAAAAGCAAATTATAGTTGTATATTCCCTTTAAGACTAAACCTTTCTTTTCCAACGTTACAGCTGTTACTTCTTCCACCGACCAGTGTTTGGTTAAGGAAATACACAATGGTATTTTTTTAAATAAAAATGCTACTCAACTGTTACAAAAGCTTATTCGTTTTTAGACCACTACCAAAACCTAATTAAATACCTTTGCTTAAATACTTAGGGAATATGACGCCATTAATGGCAAAATCTGTTGCCAGCCAAGATTCAGCTAGTCTCTACTCTTAGCACATGTAGTGGGGCAGATAGGGGAAATATTTGGGGGGGGGGGATTATTCACTTTGATGATACAAGCATGGCATTTGGCACACAGTCAGAGTATGTCTTAAGAAAATAAATTTGGCTATAGGGCCATCGCAGATTTGTCCTTTGCAAAAACTATAGGTAGAATAACAAGCAATTTTCAAAATTGTCAAAATGGCTGCCATTGCTTGTTATTCTACCTATATTTTTTGCAAAGGACAAATCTGCGATGGCCCTATTGCCAAATATTTTTTTCATTAGATACTATGTGTGCTAAATGCCATGCTTTTATCATCAAATGAACATTCCCATCACCTATCTGCCGTACTATAAAAGGAATTAGCTCCTGGTGTACTTGCACAATCTGCTGCAAAAAATAAATTCCCAGTAATTGAAATTGTACTCAGCAAGTGGACCATCACATTTTTTTTGAAAAAATCAAATCACAGGACCCAATACTCCAACGGGCCTGATCGCCTCCGAGGTGACCAAAAACGCCATGACCTTATCCTGGAATGAGCTCAGCGGGAGCTTTGAAGGATTCCGGCTGTGTCATGTCCCCCAGGGTGCCCTGGCTACCCCCCATGACACCGGCATAGCCAGACAGGTGCGATTGACCGGACTGGAGGCCGCCACCACCTACTACATCAAGCTCTACTCCTACGTTGGCGAGTTGGAGAGCCTGCCAGTCTACCTGCAGCGAAATACCGGTAGGCAACATCGGAATAATGTGTTGCATGTTATCCTTTTATATCTCATCATTGCTGAAATTGACTTACAGTGTATGGATTTCAACTTAGATTTCAACCCGGTAACCTTTGCCCTTTGACCTTTACCCTGACAGCTGATGCAGACCCAGGTGACCTCCGGATCGAGTCATTTGATGAAACGAGCGTCACTATCAACTGGTTCACAATCAGTACAATTACCACGTGAGTAAAACGAATCGCTCCAAATCTCACTAAAATGCAACTATCCCTGGAAGAAAAAAATGAGTGTGAAATTGTTTCTTTTATCGACACAGATGTTGTAATTATTCCATCACAACTGTATGGTTTCATGCATTCTTCAGGGAATAAATACAATGCAATACAAGTGCAAACTCAAAACAAAACTGTACCATAGTGTAGAAAACACAGCACTGTTTTCATTCCAACCTTTTTCGCCTGATTGCAGGTACCAACTGCGACGCACCCGATTGGACGGCTCAGACGAGCAAGTTTTTCCAATGTTCGACATCACCACTCCCAACCCGGTGTTCACATTCCAAAATCTGATCCCTGGGGAGGAGTACATCTTCTCTGTGGATCCCGACGGAACGGAATACGGGGAACAATCTAGGAACCAGCGAACACGTAAGTTTTGTTGTGCCATGTGATCTGATGGGAACCATGTTACCGGTGTCTTCATTGCAAAAAAAATCTAAGCATCTCTTTTTTTTCAAATTTTTTCAGCTGATGGGGATACCCTGGTAAAATAAAATGAAAATGAAAATATTAAAATACAGTGTTAAGGCTCATTCATACTTTGCATGAATGAGAACCAATGTCAGAACAAGCAATACTGCGAAATTTGCAAAAATCGATTCCTGCAAACTTCACAGCGAACGATCTGTGTCTTCAATCTGTTGTCTCTGTTTGCACATGGAATTTTTCACTTTTAATTGTTGAAATTGTTGCTAATTGTTGAAATGTTTTAAAAAGTGTTTCTGTTTAACACTCTAATTCTAATCTGGCTCTTGAAATCACATTTAGTCACTAGTTTACTTTGTGCAGGGCACGAGGCTCAGATCTGTAAAGAAAAAAATCAAATGTGTTTCAAGTAGAGCCTCATTTGATAGAAATATCAAATCAAACCCATTCACAGAAGAAATTAATCACAAGTTACAATCTACAGTAAGCGGGCCATATTTTATAAATTTGGGGTCCACGTTTTATTCCCTGTCCCTGTTACATCTGACATCTATGACTTTATAATTCTGAAGCACTCCTTAATGCAGTCATCCTCCAAGAGTGATTTTGAATAGCAAACTACCTACCCAAGAAATACAATTTCATTTGAAGTCATTCTTAATGTACTTGAATGGCATCTTGCAAAGTCCAAAAGTAACAGGGACAAGAAAAATGTCACACTAGGGACCATAAATGTATAGAATGACAAATTATCATTGCCACTGTTTTGCAACTCTGTTTTCCCGTTTTGTTACTTCAGGTCCCACGACACCCCTCGATTTCAGCGTCAGCAACGCTCGGCAGGACTCCATCACAGTTGAGTGGGCAGCGGCGCCCTCTAGCGTGGCACACCTGTATCGGTTGACCTATGACCCTGCCATCGGCACGCCAGCCACGCCCATTGAGATAGTGGCCTCCGAGCGGCCGCTGCGACGAACCATTACCAACCTGCGTTCCAATACGCAGTACACGTTCATGCTGGTAGCCATCGCGGGGATCAGTGTCGGTCAGACGCAGACAACAAGCGCGCCTACAACTCTCAGGAACGGTGAGTATGAACTGAGTTGCTTTGGCTATAAGCCCTCAAGCATAATAATAAAAGTAATAATTAAACTAATTTTTGCATATACATGTGTCAATAGCTCACCTAGATCTTGTGCATGCTTTGGTGTATGCTTTAGAATCATTAAAAAATAATATAGGCTCAATGCTCTTAGTGCTGTGCGGCTATGGGCGTCATATCGTTTGTCCCCCCCCCCTCCCCCCACTTTTTCCGTACCAGAATAAATATTGTAGCCTATATATGATTCTATAGCTCAGAATAGCTGATTCAATTACTCCAAACTCGAAAAGTGATGTTTACATGGTGATCTTTTGCTCCCAAAAAAATTGGTTAAAGTAGTCAGAAATTGCCTTGGATCGCCCCACAGAACATCTAGATTCCAACATTTTTCAGGGCTCTTAAGCGGGCCCTGAACCCCATGCCATTTATAGGGCTTGGCGTTCCGTGCTCGCATTTATTCTGATCAAGGTATGTCGACCCCCCCCCCCCCCCCCCACTTTTGAGAAATGATTGATGCCCTTGTGCGCGATCAGTCACAGGAATTCCACGTACGGAACACGTACGTGCATGCACTCCCCCATATTTATGGTGCATCGTATGCGTAACTTATTCTCGTGTAATTGTGCAGAAACCAACAGCACGGGTGTCTAGTGTATGGCAGCCAGAAACTGACTAGGTGCATTTTGTAATTACAATACTGGAGGGCAGGGCTTTGAACCCACGACCTCTAGATTACCGTACTGGTGCTGTACCAACTGGGCAGTCCAGTACTTCGTTTCAGTTACTAGTTAACATAAAGGATAAAATGTAACAGTAAATGTTTCTATGACCTTTGAACCCTAGTGACCCCACTGACCCTACAAGTGACCTCCTACACCGAGACCCAAATGGTCCTCCAATGGGAAGCTCTCACCGGCGGCAGCTTTGACCACTACCAGATCAGTTACACCCCTTACACCCAGCGACCGGGGACCATCGTGTCGCCTCGCAGTATCCCCAGAGATTACACCCGATCCCTGACGTTGTACGGGCTGGACCCGGGTCAGGAGTATACCATCACGCTGCGCACCACCCTGAGAGGTGTGATCACCTCGGATGCCATCAGCGTCACGGTGCGACGACTGTGTAAGTTTTACCACTGAGCAGAAACTCAGCCGGGTACCAGTCACATGCAGTGTACATTGTATGACATTTTGGTTGGTAACCTGTTTTTATTAAGCAAACAGTTTCTTAGTCTGAGAATCAGGTATTCACGTGTGCAGAGCCACACTATACGAACGTCCGATGTATCCCAGCATGCACATTTATATGCAACCCCTGCGCGCCAGCCAATCGGAGTCGACTTTAGCAGAGATGCCACTTTTCCGGTTTTAACCGGAATTCCAGTTTTTACAAAAAATCTCACAAAATTCCGGTTTTTCTGGCCGTCAAATTAACCAGAAAAGGAGAAGAAAAACTGTGGAAATGCGTTGATTTTTACCTCGATTTAGTACATTTAGGCGCATGCATGGCACAACGTTGTTCATTGAAGTAGTCTTAAAAAACAGTCTTTGTGTATGTTGTTGCCGAGCCTGCATGCGATACAAGCGGCCAACGTACTTGCATGCAGTATACATGTACAACGGCGCCTCGCGCGTGCTTCACCGCGTGCGGGCGTGTTGTGTGCTAAGCACACGTAGCATTCAGCCTGGAAATCAAGTCTATCATTTCAGCTATCGGTGGTTGCCGATCACAGTGATATATGTGAATACAAAAAATGCGGGTACCAACCATGTGTTATCATTGAGCGCATCGCGTATGCAAGGATCTTGTACACCGACAGCAGTGTTGTGGAATCGTGCATGTTTCGTGTTGAATATTACGTTGGAAATTCGGGTAGGCAGAATAAATATTAGGAATATGGAAAAAGTCAAAGTGATTGAACGAATTAACAGCTTAAAGGCCATAGAAGCAAAATTGAAAAATAAACAGAACTTGGCTTGGCTACAAGAAAAAGATGACAACGAGGACTTTGTGTAGGACACGGAGTGGCTTTTTCACACATAAAAAAGGTCCATTTTTTTCAAGCAGCTGTTCCGGTTTTTTTTCAAGCAGACCCAGTTCCGTTTTTTTCAAGTAGACCCTGTGGCATCTCTGCTTTAGTGAGGTCCTTTCAATCAGAAATGTGGACTAGGCTGTTGATTGGTCAATTTGGCTGCCATGTTGTTTGTAATACAACAACAGGTTAGTGGAGACCTATTAAAAGGCGCCCGCTGAATGGTCAGAATCTGGAGGTCAAGACGCAGTCTTGTTTTGCATAATGAATTGTCGAATCTGCGCAATTATTGTAGACGCTTGTGTGCAAGCGGATATTTCATGGACTACTAGTGTCTGTGCTTAGCATAAACACATTTTTCTGCTTATGCAGCTGCGTGCAATTTGGTCTTTCTGGGTTGGAACATCAGGGTTGGTATCGCACCTTGAGGAATTCGTTGAAGTTTCAAGTCAAACTGCTCTTTCAGCCATTTCATGGTTGAAGTGCGTTGCGGACTGTGGATGACAGTCAGAGCACACAGACACAAACATCAAGTCAGGACCTTTGCCGGATTCTCTTCAAAGCCACATATTTTTTAACAAAAGTTGGCCATATCAAAAAAAAAATTGGGGGGGGGGAGTCTGTGTCAGAACTATAAGTCACAATGCAATTATAATTAATATATATGAAAGGATATCAACTCTCATTGCTAGTTATGTACTCTTTTTCATTGTCAGTGCCCAGCAAGGTATCTGTTGTCAATATATTCAACACCACCTCCACCTCAGTGACTCTGTTTTGGAGCAGCCCGGTCGGTATCAAGGATGGCTATGACGTGACCCTGACCCCAGGGAGTAGTAATGGCCCGCCCATACAGCAAAGAGTCAGTAAGTGTGAAGGCCAAATGCAACCCCCTGAACATAGTAACGTTGCCAGCAACCACCACCCCCCCCCCCCCCCCCCCCCGCCCCCGTTTCTTTCCACAACCCCACAACCTCACCAAAGAGATTTCTTGTCACAAAATAGTGTAATACTCACTGACTTATTGTCACCTGTAAGCCGGGCAGTGCTGTCGTATAGGACTACCCGTAACACTAATTTCAGCCCATTGTGTATGTCACATGCGGAGTCCATTCGGAATCCATTGAATAGAATTGTGTACTCAGGGACCAGCTCTGCTAGGCTTGGCATGTGCTATTTTTCTATTCACTTACAAAGAACAACTTTTGTGCCTTGAGTAGAGACACATAGTCATGTTTTACTATACTCCCGAGGACAATGCTTTGTGTTTCTCTTTGTTCTGTAATATAACACTCTCCCATAGACAAACCTACCACAGAGGACCGTTTCCAACAAAAGACCCAACGCCCGAGGACTAAAAGAATCTGTTGTTCTCCCTTTGTGTGTCGGTCCTCGGGGGTTATGTAGAACACGTACTCAATTTCTGGATTTGTGTTTGTTTTTATCTTGTACAGCTGCAGGCAGTGGGGCTCTGCAAGCGACAACGTTTTCTGGCCTGGAGCCTGGTGAGCTGTACACTATTGATGTCGTCACAAGAAGTGATCAGGAAAGCAGTGCACCAGAGAGTCTATATGTTGTTACACGTAAGAGTCTGCAATGTGCTAGATTGGGATCTTTCGGATATTTCCCTCCCAAAAGTTTTCATATGTCTCTGAAATAACATTTGAAACATAAATTGATGTTGTTAGATTTTCTATTTCTCTGTCTCAAATGTGTCTGAAGATTATTGCATTGAGAATCTTTGACTGATGTTATCTACACATATTGTGTTGTAATTTTTTTTTCTTTATAAATAATCACTTTTTTTGATAATCAGTTTTATTCAGTGACTACTCTGATTAATCCATTGACAATCAGTTTTATTTAACGACTTCTTTGATTTGTCCATTGAAAATCTGTTCTCTTCTTTTTTTCCAATGACTTATCTAATTGGTCAATTGATGATCAGTTTTTTTCAGTCACTCCTGTTATTGGTCCATTTATAATCAATTTTGTTTTTATCACTTCTCTGATTGGTTCATGGATAATCAATTTTTTTAATCTGTACTATGATTGGTCCATTGATAATACATTTTCAATCACTTCTCTGATTGGTCTGTAAGTAATCAGTTTTTTCAATCACTAATATGATTGGTCCATACTGCAGGCCCTCTGTCACCGCGCAATGTCCAGGTCACTCTGATCGGCGTCGGTACGACCAACGCTCGGGTCACATGGCAAGCACCTGCCATCATCAATCAACCAATCACAGGCTACCGTGTTGACCTCATCCCCGACGACTCGCGGCTCTTCCCTAGAGGTGAGAACCAGACCTTGCTACATTGTAAAATGTAGTTGCTTTATCTTTGTTTTGGCAACAAAGTGTGTTTTAAATAATGAAATTTACTTTTCTTAAAAAATGATGTTTTCTGTTTTTGAAATTTTTTTTGGGGGGGGAGGAAATTTCAGTGAAAGAGTAGTATATCGTTTTCTGTATTTAAACATTAACCCCTACCCCCAAAAGTTGCTAACAAGAGGATTTGCAAACATAATCCTCTGCTCGCACCTTTAATCACATTTGATTACCCAACCTATCATAGTCACTTAATCTCTTATGTCCGCCCACTCTACATTTCACTCGGACATAACCGGCAAAGACTCAGTCATGCTTACAACCCATACTAAGCCATACAAGTCACCAGAGAAGAAGTGTCACTGAGTGCGATAGTGCCATCCCTTTTCCAAAACAAAGTTTTTTTTGTGAGTTTTTAAAACTTTGCATGACTTTGTGTTACCGGTAAATTTCCATCGTACATTTCACCTTGTTTTTGTTTTTCTCAGACTACCCGGCCATCAGTTCCACAGTGAGCCTAGGGCCAGGCCTGGTGCAGGGACGTGTCTACACCGTCAGGGTGTGGACCCTTGTTAATCCATCGCAGGTCCCTGATGAATCCCTCAGTGCGCCATCAGAGACCATGTTTGTCACAAGTATGTACACAAAGAGACAGAACTGATCAGATTTGAACTGGGCAGAGGTCAAAATGGGTTTGTGGGTTTTAGGAAAGAGAATAAAATTCTCCCTACAATACTGTTTGGTGCACTTCGATCCGACGTTCCATTGAGAAGTAGTTGCTGTTTAAAGGTCACATTTATCGACATGTTAAAAGGTAAAATACTGAGAAAAAGGCAAAGCCTCGTTAGTGATGTTAACCTGAACCCCAAGAATTTTTTTTTAACATGAAACTTTCCTCAATCCGCCTAAAACTCTGCAGTCGTGAAGTGACACATTGTAGATCAAGGCCTGGATATGATATTGGTAGCTGGGATCTACAGTTTTGACTCTATGAATATTATGTGGAACCGGGGTTTTGTATACAGTTCATAATTTTACGGTGTTCAGAATTGTATAAGCCAATTGTTCAACTTGGTGTCAACATTTTACATCTTTGCTTGTCTCTCCGAACCGCTTAACCATTGTGTCTTTCTTGTCCATCCTATTTTAATTATAATTTATTTCTGGGTACCAATACAAATTTTTAAAATTTCAAATGATTAGGTGATGAGGGATGCAGTCTAAGATCATTAACGTCTTAATTTGTTCTTCTGTCTGAACTCTTCGTCATAACTTTTACTTGATGTCTTTTTTCTTTCATCTCTCAGACCCGTCAGCGCCGTCCTTCTTGCCACCTGACATCGGAGCGAATTCCGTCACCCTCGTCTGGTCCAAACCGCCTGGTGAGGTCACCATGTATGTCATCGACTACACGCCGGTACCCAGCAACCCAGTGGCTATCCCGCCCTTGAACATCGCCCGTGACGCCGCCCCTCGGCTGCCAATCACAGGACTAAGCCCCAACACCGACTACACGTTCACCATCAAGGCCATTAGTCGCAAGGTCATCAACACGCAGACTGGGCCGGAGCTGTCCGAGAGAGAAAGCACTTTGACCACCAGCACCTATCGGACACGTAGGTCTTGTTTGTTTGTTTCAAGTCCGCTAGCAAGTCATGCGCAGTCCTCTCACAAATCAGTCAAAAGTCTTCCAGTCCGAAGACACATAAAGTAGTAAAGTTTGTCAGGAGCTGATATGGCCCATCAGGCCCGGCGTTTATCTCCGGTTTCCTTGGCATGAAATGACTGAGAATTTTCTATTCCCCAGTCCATCCCAGGTTACTCCCTAGCCAATGCCTGTACCTACTTTTACACTCCCGGGTGGAGAGAGGCAAGTGGGGGTGAAGGGGCTTGCTCAAGGACACAATATATGGCCAGCCCCTGACCCTGTGATCATGAGTTACGAACCCTAACCTCTAGGCCACACTCCCCCATGGTCCACAGACAAGCCACAAGCTATTTGAACGAACTGAAAAACAGGGTTCTTTGGTTATTGTTCATCTTCTGATACGGTGACCAGACTTGTTAATTGCCTTGTGATTTACTCATGACGGACATGTGATGGACTCAACTACAACACTGGCATCAAGCTTGCTTAAGCAAAACCAACAATGTTGTGAAACCATTGGGGGGGGGGGGTCCTTGTATGCCGAGCCCATGTGTCTAACCAGTGACTATCTCATTTCAGGGCCGACTCCCCCAAGCAACCTGCGTGAGAGTGACACAACACCGAATTCCCTCACCATCCAATGGGACGCCGGTTCCGTCGATGATGACACCTTCCGAGTAGTCTGGCAGCTGCCTGGCTCCTCCCAGGTGGCCACGTTCGTTGTGACGGCACCCACGCACACGCTCAGCAACCTCATACCCTACGAGAATTATGAGGTATCTGTCACCACGGTCAGAGATGGGCAGGACAGTGTCCCAGTCAGCCGGCGGTTCAGAACCTTAGCCACTGGTAAGACATGGTTTAATTTACATTAACTACATGGCTTTCAGTAACACATGAGTCTATGGGAAGCGGCTGCAGCCACTAGCCATAAATGCATGTGTAATTACAAGCCGTAGCCAAGTTATTTGGACGCGGCTATGCATAAAGTATTGACGTTTTTGAAACTTCGGCTGTGTTGCCAGCCTTGGCTTCTGGAGATTTTGAGACTTCTAACTTGGAGATTCCGGCTCGATATTGGTCCATCTTCTGCTTCAGCAAAACTAAGTCCAATGACATATGGCAAGAGTTTTGAGTATTTCCATTTTGTTTTTGTATTAAAGGTTCTCAAATTATCCAGAAACCAGAGACAGTGCCAAAGCTGGAGTAAAGCCAAGGTTTCCAAAATATTTATTTCGCCTGAAAGCTTCTTGGCAAAAGCTTCTTGGTTAAGAAAAACAAAAAACAAGCGGTTGCAAATCTCACAACTTTGGTTCGTCATAACTGCCTAATCTTTTTGCACACACACAAATTCTTCTTCCGTAGTAATGTGGGGACATACACTTGTCTGTACGAGGTATTTGTGGGGACTGAAAACGCTGTGGGGACTGGAGAAAGTCCCCATAACTCAGCCCTAATTTGCCGATAAAAACCCTTATAACGCGGTGTAGGCCTACCCACTTGTACTCACATTTGTACAGGATCAACTTTGAGTACCTATAACATATATCGGCCTATTATGATTGTTATTATTATAATTATTATCTGTAATTTTGTAAGTATGAAAACTTCCCTCTCATTAGCTCCTGTGAGTAACAAAAACAAACGCTGGCAAGCTTGGTTCCCTGCCTACCTGCAGTTCTAAAACTGCTGTCAAGTAATAAGTGACCAGACTTATTTCCAATGATAAGGCATGCATGGATAGCGTAGCTGGAGTTGACCCCTGTACACACTAACATCAGGCAAGTAACCATCCATTAATTGTCCTCTCACACAGATCCTGGTCCACCGCGAGACTTTGCCGTCTTCAAGACCAGTCCAAGGACGGGTTACGCTACCTGGTATCCGCCGACCTTCCCTCACGGCATTCTGGTCTCGTATAATCTGACCGTCACTGGCATGTCGAACGTAAGTCCGGTTACGTTGAATTGATTGATTCCTTTCTCTGTCTGTGGAGTAGCCTAGTATTGCCTGCTCCGTCCGCTAACCCCCTTGCCTGCTACTCCTTATACTGCCCAAAACCTCCCCGGCACGCTATGGTTCTGTGGATTCACGAAGGAATACAGTGTAGTACAATGTAATGGAGTATCGAAGTGAATACGTCACGCGCACAAATGCGTGAAAGACATCAGCGTGCGCGATGCAGCGTGCGCCAACACATGTGCGTACTCCAGTCGTTTGCACTACACTTTCTGGTTCTAAATGACGTCACAATTCAGTACTCCATACAAGTGCTAATGGGTAATGTTGCCCTCCGTGTGCTCTGTAAAAAAAAAATCACATTTTTTCTCCTGCTTTTTTTTTATATCAATTTTAAATTGAAACAAAGAAATTGACTGGAACGGGGTTTGAACCCGCGACCTCCAGATTGCCGTTCCGGTGCTCTACCAACTAAGCTACCTAGCCCTTTGTTAGTGGTTTCACATTTTGTCAATGTCTTTGTTCAAGGGGCGCTAGTCAGAAGCTATAAACTTATTCATGCCATGCAGCCAGGGATCCTGCCCAAAGTCACGATGCTAGCAACATTAGTCATGCTGCAAACCTGGGAAATAGCAAACGGGGATCACTCAGAGAGGATACGGCCGTTGGGGGAAAAACACTTTTTGTTTTAAATATTGGACTTCTGCAACCACCAAAAACAAGCTTTTTGGTGGGTTGTTTTTGTGCAGTTCACAAAAATACCCACTGAATTATTTTCTGTAAATCTGTGAATCAGTCAACATATATAAATTTATGTTTCCCTTTTTAAACATGGTTTTGCTTTTTTTTGGTTGAATTTCTCGTTCTAAAGCTAGAAAAATAGCAATTTAATAAAAAAATGCACCAAAATTTGATCTCACATGTATCTCACATTCTAAAATAAATCAGAGGTCCAGAAGCGCCAGAGAGCGGTATAAAAATTGAAATGTTTAACCCTTGTGATTCCGGTCGTGTTTCAGAGTGGTAGTTCATCCCGTAGCATCATCCTGTCCGCCTCTAGCGACCTGAACGAGCTTCAGGCCTACAATCTGACTGGACTGAATGTCGGCTACAGGTATACGTTCAGCATCGCCGTCAACAACAACGTCGGGACCAGCGAGGTGGTAGTGTACCAAGAGACCTTGGACTTCCCTGAAACTGGTAAGTCGATATCAGAGCTGGAAAGTGTGACGTCTCCCTTTTTTCTTCTCACCAAAGTTGTGTTACCGTCAGCAAAGAGACTGAACAGTGCCACGTAGTGACTGATTTTTTGGTAGACTAATTCGGCGACCAAAATTAGGAGCCGTTTTTTTAGGTTGAACCATGCTTGTGCCGAATGCATTCTTAAAGACAAGGCCCTCACACATCTTGGTAGCCCTATTGGTCTGAGGCTAAAAAAAAAAAAGTCTCCAGTTTCTGTTACGGAGCTTGCCCCAAAAGTGGTTTGGCGACGCGGGCTTTTTGGTTCCCCCCCCCCCCACTTTGTTTTTCCTCAAATGTTGACTAATGTTGCTTCAATCCCCTTGACCTCAGTATTAAGGCCATAATGCTTGAGAATTCTGCAGCCACTTACAATCTCGACTGACACGAACATTCTTCAGGAAATTTAGATAGTCAAGAGAAAAAAATCAGAGAAAACGGTAGCAATGTTAGACCATACGGCGACATCAACATCGTGCATAAGATGCCAGGCTGGTCATTAGTCTGCTCCCTTACATATTGCGCTGATTCAAAAAAGTTTACAGGTTCCTGATACATGACCATCGCTCCCTCAGTCTGGCAGCCCAGAGAGGCCACACAAAGCTTATACTCGCTCATAACCCCATCTAAAAACACGTAAAAATTGTGCGGCAGCAGGATATTAGTGAAACCGGTGAGTTTGGAGGTTATGAGACACCATCTTACATTGAAATTTCTTTTTTTATTTTGCCGACACACATGGCCAGGGCGATGGGTGCGCAGACCAAAAACCGAAGACTTTTTTTGCCTGAGGAGCCTGGAATGCATGTGTAGTATATAAGTGCGAGTCTGGTTGCCCAGCAAAAATGGCTTCTCATTTAGGTCGCTGAATTAGTCTCTATCTTCTTTTCTATCTTTTCAAATTTACCATATCAAGAAAATGTCTGGACAATCGTTTTGTAGGCTTCTCACTGCCTCTTGTGGTCCATCAGTAATTCACTGAAAGGACGGCAAAATCGTGTTACTGTGAAAAGCTCCACTTAGTGCCAGATAGGTCCATTCTCCCTTCCACAATTTTTAGATTCTCAATTGTTTTTCCTCAGAAACCCCCAGTGAAAAATGTCTAAATAACTTTCTTGGTCCATTGGCAAGTTTTAATAATGTCACAATCTAGTTCAACTAAACCAAACACTCTAAGTAGTTGATGCAAGAGATGTTTTGGGAGCAATTAAAACAGACCTCTTCAATGACTGTTTGACTTTCAAAAGTTGATTTTGCATTTTACAAAATGATTTGTTACTACCGGAAACGACATTGGAACCTTTTGTTTCTTTGTTGAAATACAGCGCCCCCAGCAACAGAGCACAAGATTGGCATCTCAGGCAATGGCTCGGCAACCGGCCGAACCGTCAGCATCTCACTATCCAACCAGATGTTCAGTCAGGAGTACGGGCCCATCTTAGAGTACGCCGTCCTGGTAGCTGAACTAACCAGTGGAGGTATGGAAACTCGGATCCTTTGGTTATTGAAGTTCCAAGCTGTTTAAGTCAAATCTCAAGCTGTTCAAGTTAACGGTGACAAAGGCATGCCTTGGTCATTGGTCATCTTGCAGTACTTGAGCCGTGATAGGCCGTCGGCTGAACCCCCAAAAGTGCCCTAGAAATAGGAGAATGCTGGAGCCTAAGGGGTAAAGCAAAGAACTATTACACACAAATGTAGGGATGGGTGCCGCTTTCAAAAAAAAATTAGTGTTCTAATAAATGAAAGAAATTGGTTCATTGTCAAGAAATCCAAGGGGGCTGCCAGAAGTCAAGACTGAATATTTTAGAATCATTGAAATCATAACAAAATGAATGATGTTTGCAAATAACTGAATTATTTTGAGGACAAAATAAACACCAAAGGATCTCAACATTGTCAAAACCGCCACCAAAATCTCATAAACATAGCACATGTTATTTGACTGGTGATTCACATTGATTTATTATTATTAGTATTATTTATTCGGCCAAATTACAAGGTACAACAAGCAATCCACAAAAGTAAACAAAACTTAACAAAAACAATCCAATCCAAGCTGGCCAGGATTGGATTTGAAGACATTGACAACTGTGGAAACCCCCAACATGTGGCTGGATAGCTCAGTTGGTAGAGCACCGGCTCTGTGTTCCGGGTATTGCAGGTTCAAATGCTGTTCCGTTCAATTTCTTTGTTTTGTGGGTTCATACATCATCAATTTTAGAACTACACAAAGAACTTGTACCGTCACTTCATTTTTGTCCCGAATTGAATTGTTTCTTTTTTCACACTCACACATCTAATAAAGACTAATTTCCACATTAAGGATCACAACGTGGAAAGTGTGGAGCACTTTGTAGAAAATACTGACAATGATCTTTGATTTCACTTGTAGCCAGCGTTACGGGCACCATCACGGACACTCAACCTCCAGAGCGTACCTGGGCCTCGGTCCAGAGCCTGACCCGCTGGCTACCCTACCGGGCATCCCAAGAGTCCTACAATCCCTTCATCAATGTGTCCGGCCGTAAGCGACGACAGGCCACTGCCGTATTCATGGACTTTATCGTGGGTAATGACGGGAACTGTGATGCCTCAGCGAACGTCTACTGCAATGGACCCCTCAAACCATACTCTACATATGCGTAAGAATAACAGACTTGTTAAACACACTTAGAAACATTTTTTAATTACCCATAAATGTACCAATTGAACGAGAAAATCCTCGCTCAAAGTAGAATATAGGACTGGTACCAAATAGCAAATACCCTGTGAAATTATTCCGCCTGAAATGTTTATCATTCGGACGAAAACAATAATTCAAGATTGTTTAAGAAAGTGTACAGTTTTTGTGAGTTAGCAACGGAATCCAGTTACAAGATCCCCAAAATTGTGCATACGTTTTCTCTGTTTTCTAAAAATGTTTGGTATCCACTGAGCTGAAACTTCAACAAGTTAGCTGTTATGCACTCTTAAGATTTTGAGCAATTTTGTTGCTTCAAACAAAATAAACAAAAAACAAAACCCACAAAAATCAAAGAGTGCCAAGTGAAGAAATAGTTTTCCAACTTGGTTGCATTGTGGAAAGTCCTGCAAATACAAGTCCAAGTTAATTTTCTCTGCGCAAAAGTAAACATGTCAAAAGACAAACTCTCTTGAGTCTTGTTTTATGCATGAAAAGCCCACTTCCGCATATTCCACAACAAACATAATGTATTATGCAATATATTTTTACCGTTCCTTACAAGTTTGCTGTTCCCTTTTGCAAAGTCTTTAAAAGTATGATCAAGAGTTTCGTTAAGTTTTGAAATTGCTTCAACTATTGTTACAGCAACATTTCTCGTGGCATTTGTGAAAAAGAAACTCATATATTCCCCAACTATTGGTCTTTTTTTTTGGCAGGTTTGCTGTGCGTGCCTACGGTGCTGACGGGACTTACACCGATACCCTGTGGTCTGATCCAATATCTACCGGTACGTTTTATAATGAAAAACAAATACTAATGTTAGCCTGACCTTTTCAGACAACTGGCAGAGTGCAAGAGTATCTAGAGGCATTGAGAGAAATGTTAACTGGGGTATTTCATTGGGAAAAAACTTAAAATGTACGATCTCTTTTGTCTGATTGCAGGCTTTGATGTGATGTGGTTTATCTACCCCCTGGTTGCCGTGGTAATCATCATCATTCTCGTCCTCATCATCTTCTGCTGCGTGTGGAGAGGATGGTAAATAACTCTTATTGTGTTTTTGTATTTAGATATTTTTTTCTTTTTTTTAACAAAAATTTATCATCTGAAATATGAAAATTATGTGATTTGATCTATTGACAGAATTCTACTGATTCTATTTCTATGCAGTACAACTAAATACTTTAACTAATTCTGCGCTTATGGGGTAAGCACAGTTTCCTTGATATATTAGCAAAAATATTTGATCATAAGGCACAGAAATTTTTTTTACCACGATCTCTGTCCAAATTTCCCAATTTTGTTCATTTTCTGTCTTTTTCCAGCTGTGGCGATCCTTCGCACAGTTCCATGTATGAAGACAAGGATGTCCTTGTACCCGTGCATCAGCCACCGAGACCACCCAGACCACCCCCGGCAGCTAAGGAGAATCCATACGAGTCAAGTATTGTCATGCAGAGTACTACTAGCAGGTTAGTAGGCGGAGAAAGCCAAAAACCCATGCACTGTAGGAGGGGGAAAAACTAGGGGCGGAGTCTGTCGTCTTTGAAATGGAAGGGGATCTGATGGTAGATGACCCTAAATGGGAACTGTATGTAGAATGGAAATCATTTTGTGCTCTCTGTATTTGAAGTGAACAAAAATAATAGTGACATTGTGGGGATTGGAACCCACATATAGGAGAGAGATGTCATTGCAGCAAAGTCTGAATGCTGAGGGACATGAACCCCTGACTTGCTTTTGAGCATACATATCATGTAGAGAAACAATTACAGCAATGTGTTCAGATTCGAGACAGAAGTGCCATAAACCACCGCCTGGGTTCGAACCTTGCAAATGGTGAAGAGAAGTAGTTGTGGCAAAGGATCTATCTAAGGGACACGAGCTGAATGTATCCCCTGGCTGGGATCGAACCATCATATGGAAGAGAGAAGCAAATTGCACCAAAGTGTCCAGCTATTAGGGACAGAAAACCACATGATCCTCGGACTGGATTCGAACCAACGAATGTAGGTTTTCGATCCAGCACACCAGAATTATCCAGTATCCTCTATAGCAGGACACTCTAGTTTCTTTCATGCATTTTCAAATTCTCCTCCCAAGTTGAAAAGTTTGAATCCTGTAAAATTAACGTAATTTATGAAAATTGTGTTCTCCTTTTTTTAATAAATGGCAGGCCTATTCCAGTGAACCGCTTTGCTCAGCATGTTGCCCACTTGTCGGCCAACAACAACAAACTGTTCAGTCAGGAGTACGAGGTAAGTTTTATTGAAGTGTTTCCAATGCTTTGCAGTTCAATAATTTACTGAGTGGATATTGTAGACAACTAATTGTATCTTTTGTTTTTAGGGACAATTTTAATCAGAATAGATGTCATAAACTGACTTCACTTTTTGTAGGGGCATATTTCTGCTGTTCATGAATCCTTTCAGCTGAAAGATTTTGTTTTGAATTTATGATGCTTTATCGGTATTGGGTTAGGTTGTTTAGATATTTTCATATATTTATTATATATATATTTTATATATTTGCCACATTGGTAAGCATAGGTTGGTCTTGGTCAACAGAAAAGAAATTGTTATCTACCATTTGCTTTGGGTAAGGGTTTGTCCTCTTTCTTAAGTGGTATTCAAGGCACGTGTTTTGGTTTGTTAAAACTAAGTTAAGAAATGGTTGTCTTTATGGAGATTGTAATTTGGCTGGACTGATTATCATTTATTGTCTACTTTGCTTCTTTCTCTGATCTCTAATATTCCTCTACTTGCCCTATTTTCTTCCACAGTCTCTGCAGAACAAGGGAGCCAACGAGAGCCGCAAGATATCCAAGTTCCCCGAGAACATGGCCAAGAACCGCTACCGCAACATCCTGCCAAGTATGTAACAATGTCTTGGCAAAGTGGGCCTCAAATCCAGTGGCGTCACCAGACTTTTCAGTCTGGGGGGGGGGGGGGCACAGGGGGGGCACCAGCATTTGATGGGGGGCACTTAGGTGGATACGGATCGCCGTCCTGGGGGAGGGGTCTAAGGGGAGGGGTTGCCCCCCTCCCCTTTGGAAAATTTTCGCATACGGAGGAGGGGCTAGATGCAAAATGGTGCTACATTTGATGCTAAATTCGATCTGAAGATATCTCAAGAAATTGCTATTTTTGAGGTAATGATTTTAACAACGCGCAGAATTTTGCAGAGGATAGGGGGGCACCAGCATTTGATGGGGGGGGGGCACTCGGGGGGGCACTAGGTTTTCCAGGGGGGGCACGTGCCCCCCCTGGCCCCCCCTTGGCGACGCCACTGCTCAAATCCATCAATTTATGCTTAAATTTAGCTCAATCAGACACCTTGTACATTTGTTTTCGAACTAAGTATGAAGTCAGTCTAATTAGAGGGTGTCAGTTCAGACAAACAAGTCATTACTGTTTTCATCAAGAGAGGAATGTAATGTTGTCTCTTCTTGGACACAACGAGAGATTGTGGATATTAAAAAAGAAAAGTTGCTACCCAAACACTGCCTCACTTAGAGTAGGCTTACTATCATGTTTTGGGGAACTATGCAACCTGCAAGCTTTATGGTGGATGTCTACAAGAATGCAACTCATGCTGAAGTAGCAGATGACTAAATATTGACTAAATTGCCATTTTTTTTTCAGATGACAAAGCTCGCGTTGTTCTGATGGATTCCATGGATGGTTCCGACTACATCAATGCCAGCTTCCTGAGTGTAAGTTCATTAGTTTCGGAAGTTTACCCCTAAAGACCCAAGTACATTTTCGCTTTTTTCCATTCATATCACGTTTTGGAGATAAAGTCTTCAAATATTCTTGATACGTTAGCTTTGGGTAGTCTCAAATACTTGAAAAATGAAAGTTTAGAATTGACAAAAAGACTTCCTTGTTCCTCGTCCATTCGAAGAGACTCAGTGTGTACTGCATGCATAAGTGCCCTTCGATGACAAAGAGCGATGACCCCTGACCTTTGCTTTGATAACAATTGTCTATACAAAATGAAAAGTAGCGCACATCTGCTCAATCAGAAATGTCCACGCAAGCTTTAACGTGGGGAAATGACCACAAAGATTTTTACACTAAATTCCTTGTATCTTCAGAACGGACGGTCACACAAACCTGGAGGTTGCAGATTATGAAAATTATGAAAATGTATTGAAAATGTGGGGTATGAGGCAATTGCCTATGGAGCGGAACAAAAAATGACCATTTGTGACAGACCTTTGGTTGTTTATCTCAACATATCTGAAGAACCCAATGTAAGAGCTCACTGGGGGTAGCGGTTTTGTAAAGAGGATGAAGTTCTCTTTCCATTCATATAAGACTCGATTTCATTGGTTAAGAAACCACTGATCATTTTTTCGTCAAGGTTTCCCCCAATGACTGGATTTCTTGCAGGGGTCACTTGTGTGAGTGCACGTGGCCAGCGTGTTGCATGTGCTATGCAAATCGCAAGGTCACTTGGGCAAGCTGTGGAGCTGTCTCACACACATTGATCTTTTGCGCGTTTGGGCCCCAAACTTTTCATTATGTTCTACATTGCTTGTTGCAGGGATTGAACAAAGACAAGGAGTACATCGCCACTCAGGGCCCGCTGCCTAACACCGTCAACGACTTCTGGCTGATGGTGTGGGAACAGAAGACCACGGCTGTCGTCATGGTAACCAATCTGGTGGAGAACGCCAGGGTAAGACATCGAGAAAATTTTTTTTAAATGTAACAACAACAAAAGTAGTGAACAATACTGTTTACAATAAAAAAAAATGTGAACAAAACTTAAACAATGAACAAAAATCTGTGAACAACATGTAGACAAAACTGAACGAGCAAAAAGAGGTTCTACCAAACTGTAGTGAATGAAAGAACACATTGCAAGAAAGGTAGTAACAAATGCCTAATGGAAATGAACAAGAGAGTAGTGTTTGAAAAAAATTGTAATCGGGAAAAGTCAGTTGTCAGTTATGGTTTTATCTGGAACCTGTATGAGTAAAGATCATATGACCGTTCAGAGTTCACAAATATGTATTACAGTTTGATAGTTCATTTAGTATAGTTCTGAAGGAGTATATTCGTATGAACTTCTTTGTTTGACCTGATACTCTCTTCATTATTCAGGTGAAGTCGGAGCAGTACTGGCCAGAGGATGACAACCAACTGACTTTCAACAATGTGACAGTCACTCACATCGCAACCGTCACTAAACCATCCTGGACTATCCGCACACTGGAAATTGAGAAGGTTGGTTTAAGTAATCTAACGCCCCTCTGCACTGCCCTTAACTCTTATACCCCTACCCCAGCTCCCCTACCTCAACCCTCCTTAGCCCATTCTGCCCTCCCATGCCCTGCATTACAAACCTATCCTGCCATTTTATCCCTACCCTACCTCAACCAACCCCACTCCTCCTCACTCCACCCCTCCCACAACCCCACCCTGCCCTCTTTATCCTACATTATCACGCTGCACTGCCCTGCCCTTCCTCCCCCTCCCCCACCCCACCCCATCCTACCCCACCGCACCCCACCCCATCCCACGGCACCCAACCCATCCCACCCCACCCCACCCCACCGCACCCCACCCCACCCCATCCTACCCCACCGCACCCCACCACACCCAACCCCACTGCACCTCACCTCCCACCCCACCTCTCATCCACCCTGCATTATCACCCTTTCCTCCCTCCGCTACTCCACCCCAACCCAACCTGATCATCCTGCCCTAACCCACCCACGCAGTTTGGGCACTAGTAGTCATCCTCTCAAGATAAACACAACCTTACAAGTAACTGCTTATCTTTACCGTTTTTACTGCCAAATCATTACTATATAATGTATCGTTCTTTGCAGAATGGCGAGACTCGAGTGCTGCATCATTACCACTTCCGCTCCTGGGGCGATCACGGCATTCCCTCCACTCCGGATCCCATGCTGTTCTTTGTCCGTACCTTCCAGGAGATGCAGGCGACATCCAACGGCCCTGTGGTGGTCCATTGCAGGTAAGATACTCTGTCAAGTATCGGCAACGAGACCATCTTGTGACAATTCAATTGATGCATACGGCACCTAAAGTTCGCCACCGCTCCCAAATGAGGTGGCAAAAGAGCAGTCTGGAAGTGTAGCACCTGTTTTATATCGACCAACGCAAACAAGTTAATGGACTCTTTGATAGGGCAAACAGAAGCTACTTCGCTGATAAATCTGCGGACACCAAAAGTATTTTCGTACAGTTGGAAGTCTACTCCGTAAGAACTCAAAATCTTATCCCAGACATGATTCTTCCTGAACGCTCGGCAATGATTTTGCAAATTTCTTTGTGATTTCCAAGATATCCACTATAAATATGAATCTGTAACTGAAAGATGAGCTACGACCGAGCAAGTAGACGTGACGCACCGCTTGTATTACTGGTTTGAAATACGCACAACTAATTTGATTCCTTGGATAAGTGTCGGGCATCGTCAGTTTAAGTGTCTCTTCCAGTGGTCACCTCAAACTCTTCCTTTCTTTAAAACCATTGAGAGTACTTGTGCTTGGAGCCTGTACAGACAACTCAGTTGATGACCAAGCAACCTGTATAAAGTTCCCCTTTCTTTCTTTCTGTCTTCCTCAGCGCCGGTGTGGGTCGCTCAGGCACCTTCTCGACCCTTGACATCTTGCTGCGTAGTCTGGACCAAGGCGATCAGTTCTTGGACGTGTACGGCACCGTGGCTAACATGAGGGAGAACCGATGCAACATGGTTCAGACTGAGGTAGGCTCCATCTACACCAAAAAAAGAACTGTATGTAAGATGGAATTTGTGTCGGGGAGATGCAAGAACTTTTTATCTTGAGTTTCGCCCTTCGCAAATGACCTCCGACACGAATTCCATCTTACAAACAGCTGGGTGGTCACGTGGTTAGACGTCTGCACTTCATGGGTTCGAATCCAACCCGAGTAGTTGATGAATATTTTTTCTGACAAGCACTCAGACAAAACGGAGTATGCAGTATTTATAAAAAAATAAGGAATTTGCATCTTTGATTAGAAAAGAGATTAGAAAGAGAGCAAGAATCAAAGTAAATAGTTTGAAACTATTCCAAGCGCCCTCTGTTGACTCAAGTTAATCGCTGGCAGGCAAAAACACCAATACAAATGTCACATAAAACAAAGTCTTTGTATTCTTCTTGTTTTTCTTGTGCATAGGATCAGTACATCTTCATCCATAAGGTTCTGCTGAAGGCGATACAGAACCCCAACCAGCATGCCTCCAACTCCAGTGAGTACAGAGGATTTCTTGTTCAACAGGCGTTAGATTTTCAAGTTCAGACTTTAGGCTGAATCAACATTTTTGAACCTAAGAGAAAGACATTTTCGGTGTAAAAGAAAATGTGTCTATCAGATGTTTCATCCATTTTTTATGAAGACCTTTTTTAAAATTGACAAAATCGTCGCCATGTTCAATCAGAAACAAGCACGATTTTTTATCTTCAGTCATCGCCCCCAGAGAATGAGTGGGCTCCACCCTTCATCTTCACTGCCACCGTCGTGGGTTACTCCCCCACAATTTTTTTTGGGGGGGGGGGGGGAGGGGGGAGGGACAGTTTAGGTACAACTGAAAAGATGTATTAACGGACAGGTGAAATTGCCCTGTCCCTTTACTTCCAAGACAGCATGTGAATTTATTTCCCGGCTTTTTTACAAATACATTTAACTTTTAATTTTAAGCCCTACTTTGAAACAAAAAGGTTAACCTATAATTGTATTTTTTATTCACTTTCAATATTTGTGCAGTGATGAAGAGGAACGGTCGCCGTGACGACGATGATGACATGATGGTCAACGATGAGGACTTTGACTACTAGACAGCGACAGGTTGCCCTGGCAACAACAACCCAATCAGGCAATATAACTGCCAGAACCTATACCACTTAGTAGACTAGTTTTGAGAATACATTTGTATTTTAACATGTTTTTTTTATATTTGGTGTTTGATAAGAAACTCAGAATTATAAATGGCCTTTAAGTTTGTTACACGTTGAAATTAAGAAAAAAATGCTAAATAGTATAGTAGAATGATTCCTGAAAACAACTTAAGAGAGTAAGCCATCAGTTATTTAGAAATATATAATGCAAAGGAAATACTGAAATTTGTAAAGAATTAGAATTATTATCTACAATATGTTAAAAAAAAGAAAGAATTGTGGCATAAAATGAAAAAGTGAACAACTCGTAAAAACTGAAATTTTCTTTTTCAACTCATGATACATAATCTATAGTATAGATTCTACTTTTTATAACTTTTAAACTTTTGTATTACTTTTACATGGAAGTATATTTTTATATGTTTGTATTGATCTACGAAGCAACTCTTCAACGTCATCAAAATGACAAATGTCTCTGAAATAAATGCAGTTATTGCTTTAGAAAAAATGTCGACAACTACTTTTTAAGTGGCTTTTGTAACTGTTTCATCTTGAAATATTAAGTTTAAGTAAATGTTTATGGTGTATACAATATATTTAGCTAGGTTTTGGGAATACTGCTTCAGCAAGACTGATTTTAACATCTTTGCATGTAATATGCCTGATTATGTTGGGAAATAATACTCAATGATGCATTGTTTTAATTTCCATTAACATCTGTAGCTGTAATATGTAAACATAAAGGCAACATTTTGAACTTATATTTTCAAATATACATTGTAATTAAAATGTTATTAGTGGAATCTAGTTGTTATATCTAAAAGCTGCTTATGTTTGTAGAATATCATTTAAAATATTAAGCTATATTTCACGGGGAGGTTTTGGGGTTAACTCCATTCTTGTTAATCGAACTTTATGGACTACGCCATATGAAACATGTCAAGACACAGATAGGGGATGCCGTGACATTTCTGTTTTCAATTTTTCTGGTATATAAGCATTTGACCTATTCCCATCATATTTTTGAAAATTGAAAATCCTGCCCGTATTCCATTTTGTCTTTGAAGTCTGCCTGGCTATTATAAAAAAAATATTCAGTTTTCTTATTTACAAGTTGGAAGTGGGTTTTAAAAATATATGCAACCTTTTGTTATATTAAGGATTACTTTTATATATAAAAATGCAAAATGTGACCAGACCTGACAAAATGAGTCTTGTGGACATTTTTGTCCACTAGTTTTTCATATTAGAAAAACACTGCAAGTAAAACTTGCGCCATCCCCCTGGCATGCTGGCAGTATTTATACAGTCAGTTAGGAAGCACACTTTTCAGTGGACCTAACCAAAATCAACAATGACCTCATTTGACCCCTAGATGACATTTGACCTCAAATGTCTCAAGTTATCTTTTGTCCCCCTGCCCAAAGATTATTGTCACCAAGTTTGGTTGAGCGCAGAAGTCCGAATTTTCATATGACAGCACTAAACAATTAACCTAACCAAAACGGAACACACGGACACACAGAAGGAATACACTGTCGCAAGATCCCCCTTTCTTGGCTTCAAAAGCCAGGGGGATAAAAAGCATATGAAGATCTTCGATTTCTTTTTATAAATCACTAGATATCCTGATAGATTTGGATATTAAGAGTTAAAACAATGAAAAGCATGATTGATTTCCTTTCCACTAAGTGTGATTTGTGAAAGGGCTTACGACTCGAACGTACTTCTGGCACCTTAAAGATTCATTTTGTTGGGTGGGGTCGCATATTTATATTACTTTAACTATGTAATCGGAAATAAATATTGTTATTAGTAAACATAACCAGATGAGGTTTGTGTATTTATTTACGTGTTGTGTTTGCATTATTTTGCCCTTATTGTGTTTACTCCTGACAGTTTGTAACTTCTTTTGGCCAATTTCTATTTTTTTAATTTAAACACACACTTTTCTGACTCGACTTCACGAAAGTACAAGGTTTATCCCTTGCAATTTTTTTGACACGGTTAAGATTAAACCTATTCTTGCAGGACGACGTTTTAAACATTTTAAAGAAGTTACTCGAGTTGAGTCGAGTCATTAGGTTTGGAAGGTCGAATCGAGTCACAGTGTGTAGTCGAGTCGAGTCGAGTCAAGTCGAGTCAAGTAGTTAGATCGAGTCAATTCGAGCCACAAATTTTTGAACACTATACAATAAATGTACAAAAGAGAGAAAGTCTTTTTTTTTACATTCGGGCTACTACATGTGGTGACACCACATTTGACTCTTTATGAAAATAAAAAGGGGATGCCAGCTGATCGCCTAACGTGACGTGAACAAAAACCAGCACAGACGTAAGTCATTGCAAATATTTTTCGCAAAGTTTTGCTTTTATTTTTGGGACTCGAGTCTTATTAGCCTTCCTCAAGTCGAGTCGAGTCATTCTGATGAGGGAGTCGAGTCGAATCGAGTCGTTTGCTCGCAGTGACTCGAGTCGAGTCGAATCGAGTCATTTGCCCTTGGGGACTCCAGTCGAGTCGGACTCGAGTTGAGTCATTAACTCGAGTCATTACAGCTCTGCTTTTTAGTGATCCCCCTTCCCAGTTTAAAAACCGTTCTGCCGCCGCTGTATACTTGGGAGGCTTTATTTTTATGACACCACTCAATGCTAGCAGTCACTGTTTGTCTACCAGTACTAGTCACAACATCAAATATCTCAACTGCAAAAACTGACGATTTTGTTTTCGTTTAAAGATACTTTTTTAACTTTCACATTTTTGGTGCAGTTATACACAGGGCATTTACGAGGTAAACCATGGCAATTCAGATCAACATTTTACTTTAGTTTTACATTCTTAGAGAATTAACCCTGATTTTAAACACCACCTTTGATTCCTGAAAATAAATCTAAGATATGCATTCCCCCCCCCCCCCCCCCGGATGTCTTGTAACCCTTTCCAAAATTGTGCAAGCTGCATCTATGTCCAACACGGTTTGACAAGATTTTTAACCAAGATTTGACTTAGTAAAAGGAATTTCTCCTGAAAATACCCAAGGTCGAGATTTCAAAACTGTATATGTACATAAAACTTGCATCTGCAAATCATTTTAATCCATGCTTAAGATAGCTGTTTGTGTGTTGGGGATGATGTATCATTTCTCTAAATCAAACACATTGTTTTAATATTCGACTTACCAGGCAGTAATGGTGTACTTATTTGTCATCTGAAACTACATGTACTGTAAAAATATTAATGAATACTCAAACCATTACAAAAGTAAATATAACATGGAGCACATTGTGCCATATTGTTTTCCCTAATCAAATGCTGATTATGATATTCATGAATACCAGTTCATGCACATAAAAATATATAAATAATGATATTGAGTCTAAAACCTTTGTTATGCACAATAATATACATGTATAATAGTTACAAAAATATTACAAACTAGAAACTACCAAACTATGCTGCTTAAATACGATACCTGTGCAGAGTGATAGTCAATTTGGCAAAGCTAGTGTAATCGATGTGCATTTATACCCCAAAATCGTTCCGTGAATAAATCTTTCCATGATCTCATGCCACTGGAAATCCCCCAAAAGGATCCCCAAAACTGGAGACAAAATGGCTTCCGTAGGCAACTGTGCTAAGTCTATATGGTACACCATGACACTACTGAGTGTCCAAATTCAACATGCTGAATGCTACAAGCTTATACATGTACACTGAATCATGGTAGTGCAAAGCGTTGTGGTATTTACATGAACACACTCAATGAACACATTTTGGAGTCTCTAGTAATGTGAACATGCAACATTGTCTTATGTCCAGGGCCCAATTTCATGGCGCTACTAAGCACAAAACTTTGCTTAGCACAAAAAAAACTTGGCTTATAAAAGCAGGTTACCAGCCAAAACTTCATGTGATTTTCATGCTAAGCAAACAACAGCTGAATACTAATCACGAGCAATATACATCACATGGAGTTTTGGCTGATAACCTGCATTTATAAGCTAGACTTTTTCTGTGCTAAGCAAATGTTTGTGCTTAGCAGCGCCGTGAAATTGGCCCCTGTTCTTTGCAATCCCATGATGCTTTGCACTTCTGACTGTTCAGCAATGAGCAAGTTCGAGCGAGAATTATGGTCAACCATAGTTTAGTTTGATTAACTTTGCTTGAACACAGAACAGTATGGTAGGACTACGCTAGTCAACTATTGGGAACCAGAGCACAGGATATGGTTGCACCACTGGTTACCAATAGCTGCATGCATCATAATGCACAGCAGGGAGCCAGGACCCACAACTTTTCTGCTGACATTTTGGCCAGCGTTTGACTAGAGACGTTGACATGTTGATATTAGTGCGCAGGCGTAAGTTAGATCCCAAATAAACCACAAGTCGACTAACTGTCCTCGCCCAAACTTGCTCAAAGATGACATTTTTCGCACTACAGTGGACACATCCACTTTAACTGGGCCAAATGCACAAAGATTTAAAGAACACTTAGTGATGAATAATTCATTACAAATGCCACCTTCCTATTCGTTAACCAATGTCTTAATTCCACTTAATTTACATAATTTATGCACACAGACACCAATCGGGTTTGATGGTGTAGAACTAATCACATAACATCCATACAAATACAGAGGCATGCAATACACTTTATGTACATTGCTTGACATGAATTATGTTGACAAAATGTAACAAAAGAATTCGATTAAATGAATAAAACCAAAACTCGACTTGTACCTTAAAATATGACATATGACAAATATAAAAACGAATGAATAAAGTAGTATAGTGAAATAAGAATACTGTATTATTATTAAAAGTAAGCATGCACAATATCAGTGAAATTCACTGTGAATAGTTAAAGCTGTAAAAAAATTCAATTATAGCGGCTAGCTTTAAAAAAAAATTGATAATTCCTGACTTACTTATAAACCTCCGTAAACAACTTTTCTTTCTAAAGACGTATATTGAAATTTCATCAAACATGCAATGTTCAGTTCCCTACAAATGTCTAAACAGAGTTTTGAACCTAATATCACACTTATTCGGGGATACTAATGGCAGAAGAACTATTCTGTATTTCACAATTCACCTGTTTAAATTCAACTTCACTCACTTCCATTTTTTCTTTTCCCTCCTTTTTTTTAAGGAAAATTTTCTTCAGGTACAAACCAATCAGGACATCTGATAAACAATATATACATTTTGATTCTCATGCAAAAAAAAAAAGATAAATACATCTTATGAATATTCATTTCAGCCTCTTTATTAAAAATGAATAAGGTCCAATAAAAGAAACGTTTGCTTAATCACTTGCAATACTTCGTGGTAATATATATTAAAAAAAAAAAAAGAAGGTAGAAATGGCCAAGGAAGTTTGAGGGGATGTGACGGTTATTCGAAATGCCGAAGACCACATTTTTGTAAACAAAGCGGTTGTGAAATGCTTTGTTTTCTGCCATTATCACAACGCCTGGCCACATATTGTTAGCATCTTTGCAGACCCCATGATATAACATGGCACACTTGGTGACTGGCTTGGTGTATTGGTGCAAAACAAATGTACACAAATTAAGTACAATTTTAATACGTAATAAAGAGTACCTGGAATTTCAGGTACTTCTAACTCATCTAAGCATAAAATGGTAAATATTCGTGAGACAATAGAGTACCGAAGTGCGCGGCGTATTCTGTTTCGCGCGCACAGCTTAAGTGTGTTAAGACATAATTGCGTGAACTACAGGGTGAGTAAAAAAAAAACGAAACCCAAATGTCGGGACTACTGTTTTATTGAAGTTCTGCATGTAGCACTTTCAAAATCAAGGATATAAAAGCCCAATTCATCAGCTTTCTTTTAGTACAAAAATCATCCAAATCACTTATGTACTTTTCAAGTTACGGAATTTTAAACACAACCACCGTTTGAAGGTTCTGTCCACGGATCACCAAAAAAGGTGTGTGTTCTTTCAGCAAAACGAAAACAATTCACACACACATCGCTATGCGATTTCTCTTCGTTTTGTTGAAAGAACACTGATCTTTTTTGTGATTCCTGGACAGAACCTTAAAACGGTGGTTGTGTTTAAAATTCTGTAACTTGAAAAGTACATGAGTGATTTGAATGATTCTTGTACTAAAAGAAAGCTTAAGAATTGGGCTTTCATATCCTACATTTTGATAATGCTACATGCAGAACTTCCCTAAAATAATGGTCCCAACATTTGGGTTTCATTTTTTTTACTCACCCTTTAGAGTGAACCAGAACAATGATAGCTGACGTCACACTTCGGCACTCTATTAGAGGAAAATAAACAAATAATGAAGTATGAATGTAAATATCAACATAAATTTAATTTACTTATTATTAAATAGCGGAGCAGATTTACTTCACAAAGATTAACTGCAAAACATCAGCAACTGTCGACAGACTTGGATACTGTATGCAAATGCTGCAAGTATTAAATTACAATTAAATTTACAAATCTTACTATTATAATAAACCGATTTACCGGATATCATATTTGGTCTTAGCATCATGACTTTTTTTGTGGAAATATAACTGGAAATATTTTTTATCAAATACATTTTTTTTTTATTAATGGAAAAATTTTGGGTATCTCAAACCTAGTTTTTGGGTGAAGAGAGGTGCGATCTCTCAAAGAAAATTGGTTTGAACAAGAGTACTTCTCAAATTAGCTGAAGCTAAAATTTGAAAAATACTCACCCTCAGTGGGTTTTATTAATAAGAGTGCCATGAATGTAATGAGTGTTGGAATTAGTTTCATGAAATTTCAAAGAATTTCGAACAATTTTCATATCAAAATTCCCCATGACATTTCATGAAATTTGATCATTCTGCAAATAGCAACTTTACAAAAAAAAATGAAATATACATTCTCAGAAATACATGGCTTGCAATTTTGACCAACACACTCAAATAATTTGCCCTCACAAGAAAATAATAACCAAATTCACTGGATGCAATTTGGATCCAAAATCTTTTCAGGTGGTGTAGAAATACATTGACTTTAATGACTCATTACAGAAGCAGTATAGGCCGACTCTCTGAATGCTCTGCATCAAATATATACTACAATCTTTATTTCCTAAAACACTGCTCTACAGTTTGCATAGATTCACGTTGCATACCAACTCACGTAACACAATGCGGCCCTGAAACAAAAATGGCAGGGAAAAATAAAAGGATACAAAAATTGGAGACTTAGGAAAAGAAGACTCTTTGTACGTAAGCCACGTCGGCGCGACAGACCGGACAGCGGAAGCATTCGGGGGAACAACGCTCGCAGCAGATCATGTGACCACACGGGCAGAAGACAGTGGCCATGTCACGTTCCAGACAGACCTGGCACATGTGGGAGTCGCGAATGTTGGCGAGTTCATCCTGGAGTGAGTTGACCAGCTCAGCCTCAGTGGTATCAGGTCGGCTGGGACCATCGTTACTTCCCTGCAGAAAAGGAGGGTCATAAAAATATAGATATAATAAATAAACTACTGATCATGTAGCAAAGCCATCGCCAGTCAAATCACACTTCAATCACAAGTCTTAAGACTGACTGACTTAAGATGACCTGAATTCAACTCTGATATAACTATGAATCTCAGATTCTTGAATTCACAAATCACAGAATTAATGTTTCATTTTGATGTTTCAGGCCATACCAACACAAACCTCATTAATTCTTTGATCCCAGACCTATTCACCTTATGAATTCCTGCTTTAATCACGCAAAGAAGAAAAAATAAAAATCCCCATGTTCTTGTACGAAAGGAAAAGACTTTGGCATTCAGATGCGCTGTGAAGTGCACGTATTAAACAAAATGGAAATTTCATAACACCCAGATCTAAAAAAAATTCAGCTGACAAAATTAGGAGGGGGGGGGGGGGGGGTTTGAGCGACAGCCCCCCATGAAACCTTGTCGCCCCCCCCCCCCCCAGTTCCCCCCCCCACTGAGATTTTGAGTTTCTAAAACAATTATCATTGATCTACATGATGCCCCCCATGAAATGTTCCAGCCCCCCCCCCCCCCCAGCGCCCCCCCCCCCCCCCAGCGCCCCCCCACTGAAAAATTCCTGGCTACGCCACTGAGAACAAACAAAAAGAAAAGAACAAGCAGATAAGAACAAACAGATAAGAAAAATGAGGGAAACAGAGCAGAGATTGTAGAGGAAGGGGAGATGCATTGATTGGTCTCAAAATCAGGGAATATAAACGAGGACCTACCTTTCTTCTGAGTGTCCCCTCTGGTGTTGTATCGTTTGAATGGTTCACCTCCCTGTGGGATTTGATCGGCAGCAATCTGAGCTCGCTGGCTCTTGAGGGTTGGCGGCTCAGCATGATCTCCTGAGAGTGGGTACTGCGCAGGGTCTGGGTGGAGTAAGGCTGGTGGTTGGCAAGATGAGTATCCAGCTCCACTGAGAAGCGTTGCTGTGAGAAATCAAATCTCTCATGAAAATTGAAGGTTCCTCACAATACTTTAAGAATAAAAACTGACACATTTAATAACACTTTGGCTTCTGGTTGCGTGCATACTCATACCAGGAATTCCGGATTTTGTTACTGCCAATAAAGTATTCACATCATAAATCCAATTACAGTTGTATATCAAACTGACTATGCCACAAATCTGGTATGAACAACTGAAACAATGACGTTCTTGAGAGCATTCTAGCTAAAATATATGTAGTATCATCACAATAGGGTTCTTTATCAAATGCATTAAAAGTGTCATTGCTAGCTACAAATGATTTTCTGTGTAAAACGTGATCAGAGTGTTTTGAATAATCGAACATTCGGTGGAACGCAGTTCCGAGTAATCAAATACTAAATTCTTGCATCCAAAAGCTTACGTCCCTTTTTGGTTGAACTTCACAGATTGAACAATGCTTCTACATTGTGTCAATGATAGGCAAACCCCATTTTCATTGGTTTGGAGATAAAAGCACATTCAATCTTCAGTGGTCATTCGAGATTTCAAAGATGACCAATGGGATCAAGTGACAAAGACGAAAGATAGTATTGAAAAACATTCTAATTAATCATAGAGAAAGAAATCTGTTTGCATTTGGACCTACCGGCGGTGGACTGCTATCATGATGGAGGTAGTGCCAGGCGTTGTCGTACGTCTGTCGGCGTGTCTTGGTGATGTCAAACCGATAGATCTTGCCATAATTGGTGTGAGGTCGGAAGAGAGCTAGGAGTGAGCCCCAACCAGTGTGGGAATGTTGCTGACGTACCACACGCTCAACGTTCTCACACTGTCAAACAGAACAAGAACGTATAGACCATCTTACTACTGAACACCGAGTCAGTACTGTTTTGGAGGTCGCAAGTTCTGCAGCAGTCAATTTCATTGTTCAATCTTATATTGACTAATGAACTGCAGAAGAATGAGATAAATGCACCCACTGTCCCATTCTATAAAGGAAATCATAAGATACTTTGGCACAATTTAAGGGTCGATAGCTCAGTTGGTGGGGCACTGAGACAGAGTGTACGAGAGGTCCTAGGTTCAAATCTAACTTCTGCCAATGTATTCATTCAACGTAATATGTGACCGGTTCCACAAAAAAAGGGTATTATGTCGCAAAACAGTGAAGTTGAGTTATATACATGGCTGGAAAGCCCACAATGTAAGCTTTCATTTGGTATATAATTAATAGAGCTCCATAGCCCCTAAACTTCTGGAGATATAATGTATTTGCTTCACCTCATGGAAAGAAAACTTCCATCGGTCACCTCATGAAATTATTCTTACTATTGCACTCACAAACGTACATTAGGTGAATAATACAGGGCTCAGTGTTCCTTGGAACTTTGTTCAACAACAGTAAATTGGTTTCCTACGGTGGATTTTGCTGGATTTGGGGCGATTGCTGGCAACATGGTTTGGTATTAGGGTTACTATTAACCACAGAATGTGGAGTTTAAAGAGGAGAAAACTTCTCAGACTCACTCGGAAAAATGTATGAGACTCTGTGAAGGCTCTGAAGAGGGCCTGGGCGCTCTTCCTGGAAGTCAGACGGAACTTGTGGATGGACACAACGTCATCCTCATTCACCTCCTCTGAGGGAGAGTAGAAGTGAACGGAGAAACGGTTCTGATGATAGGAGACTTTGCTGATATCCTCAAACTTGATACTAGAGGAAAATGAAAACACAAAACAGATAACACTGATGAGAGATGCATTTCACAAATGTTCCTTCACGGTGCAGCTCTTTAAAAGAATTTCTTTCAAAAGTAAGCGCAAGCTTGGCAAAGCAAAAGACAACAGACATTTTAATTTCTCAATATTTAATTTGTACAGACGTACCAAAACAAACATAACAAGAGTTTCACTAATCACTTTATAATACTATATGTGTCGGGGTGATTTAAATTCAATTTTGGGTTTTGCCCTTCACCAACGTATTTTTATTAACACTGTATACTCAGTGTTGTCCCGAGTGATTGTGAGAAAAATCACTCGGGTGGGACTCAAACCAACAACCTCCTGCTTACTAGTGCAGACGTCTTACCACTTGACCACCGAGCTTGCTGGCTGGTTGGAAACTGATATAGCTGCGGGTCATCATCATGGTGACGTCTGTGCGCGTGCAGCGCAAGGGCGTTGCTCAGTGACTACAATAATAACGCGTTAATTGTTCTTTTCCATTGTTCGGCATTTTGAGTGGTTTGGTGTAGCTGGTTCAGCCAATACCAGCCATCCTCAGAGCATCAGTAAGTTGTTGTTGGTAGGTTTGCATAAGTGCGGCACCTCTACGGTACAGTTCTGTAGGTTGATTCTTTTTGTCCAAGAGCAATGAGAGTGGCACGACGTACCTGGTTGCGTGTTTAATCAGTTGAAGCCGCTGTTTGCAAAGCGTTGTTGATGCTGGTGTGACTTTACTTCGGTAATAAAGTACTGCAACCAAACTATTCATATGATGGATTTTTGCGTCGGCAGTGATTTAAATTCAATAGTAATTTTTTTTCTCACAATCACTTGGGACAACACTGACTATACAGTTTAATAAAAACACATCGGTGAAAGGGCAAAACAGAATATTGAAGTTACTTTTTGGGGTTCTTAAATCCCCCTCCACAAGATTTTGCAACATAAGCAATATCACAACAAGGGCGGATCCAGAACACAATTTGGGGGGGGGGCAAAAAAAAATTTGGTCCCCCAAAAAAGTGGGTCCACAAAATTACGGCGTGGGGTTCGGGGCCCGCTTAAGGGCCCCGAAATTTTTTTGGATTCTAGATGCTCTGTGGTGCGATCTGAGGCAATTTCTGATCACTTTAACCAATGTTTTTTGAGGAAAAGATGGTGGTGTACTCATTGCCTGCCTTTATTGCGATGTCACATAAAAAAAAAAAAAAATTGGTTTCGTTTTGGGGGGGGGGCCATGGCCCCCTTTGGCCCCCCCTGGGTCCGCCCTTGTATCACAAGGGAAAATATTGCCTACACAAAAATACCAGAATTGCCAGAGACAGACTTACACTGATTTAAGAGTGAAAACCACATGAAAATATCTCACAAAAGGAAAGAGTAAAAAATAAGACAAGGCTTTACTTGTTGATGATTTCTCTCTCTTGGCTGAGTATCTGCAGCCCTCCGCTGTGAACCCCAATCACCACCTTGGTCCGGTCCATGGTCTCGGCGGCAAAGTACTCCACGCCGTACCCTGGCAACTTGCTGATCTTATTGATGAACTGAATCTCCGATTGCGACTTGGTCAGCTCCGTCTCAGCATTCTTGTGGGTCTCCTTGACTTGGAGGAGTTTGTGCTCGCTGTGATCGGGGGAGGTCAATGGTCATGGTAATGAAACAAAGGTTTTAACAACTGAAGTCACCAAAATTGTAACTTGGGGAATTAATTCAATTGTCCAAAACAATCTCTCTATCACCAAAAGGTTCATAGCTGCCAGACTGGCTGTTACTTAATCAATGCAAGAAACATCAATATCTGCAATGCAAAACATTCTTGTTGCCTACAAACTAGTCTTTACTCTCAATGATTATCCTGAAAAACACTCTCGCTCCATGATTTTCATACTATTTCTTTAAAACATGTTTAGTAGACATATCAAAGATTACAAATATCAATAAATCTGAAAATTGTTGGGGAAAAAAACCCACTTTTTTTTTTTCATTTTCTGTTACGGCCTGTGCCGAGTTCCTTCTCATTTTGCCAGAAGGCATCACCTATGAAATGATGCCGGTGACAGATAAAACCCAAAATTGAAAACGTGTACATCCGAAGCTCACATCAGTTCACGTAATCATATAATCATGTCAATCACGTCGGTCTGCAGACATAATGGGTAGGCTTTAAATATGGCTCAACGTTTCAACATTTAAACGGTTTTTAAAACATTTGCTAAACGTTTACAATATAAAACGCAAAGTCGCATCCTTAGGTAATATGCGATGATACTGTGAATCTGTGAAGACGTCGTATTTTTGGCCTAATTCTCAATAATCCATCATGATCAATTTTTTAATTTATTGATCTCACCTCAGTTCAGGCAAGATGCACTGATACTGTGAATCCATGATGACGTCATCGTTGCCTAACTCTGCCTGTGCCATTAGGACACACAGCTCAAGCCTCTCAGAATCATCTACTTTGTAATGACTCTGTAGCAGTCGATTCTTCAGTGTCATATAGTACACATGCCTGAAACCAGAAAGGTCAGAATTATTAGACCGAGTAAAGAAACAAATACATGTAGTTTCTCATCCGGGATTTTTGAAAAAAGGGAAAACGAGGCCCTTTTTTTCCCCAACATGGCGGATTATCTATGTGGATTCTTCCAATTTCTTGACACTTTTGCTGATACTTTTGAGTCCAATTGAGCCATAATGCTTTCAGCAGTACATGCCACGCTCGCATGAATGACCATATAAAGAGATTTTTTTAGCACTACCCACACGAGGCACATACCATAGACATGGCCAGAGGGGTGTTTCACAAAACACAAAGTCAAATTGTTGGACAAAATCTTCGAAAATGTTTGAATTTTTGGCTTGTTTTGAATTTTTGACCGAAAGGTATTTATGAGTAGGAATAAATGTATGCCTGGCCGGTATGGGCTCCGTGCGCCAACGAAAGAGGGTGCCCTTTTACCTAGCAACGGCATCCCATGGGTGGGACATTTAGCTGGTTGACGCGCACCGTTCAGCTTGTGTGATGCAGTGGATTTGTACCATGTACACGCAGTGGTGCGGCCGCGCGTTGCCGAAAAATTGCAGTCAGGCAAGATGGCGTCGGTCGGTCACCCCAACCTGTACTTTCTTTGCCGGTGAGGGGGTACTTGTGAATGGAGCGGATTAAACAAGTATGTTGAAAACCGGCTCAGGGCCTGGACGTGGATAACGGCCGTGAGCCAGTTTTAAACGAACTTGTTTAAAACCAGCCAAGCATTTATATTATATTCCCTGAAGAAAACTAGACTTTGAATCCCAATTTATTGGCAATGTGTACCTGCTGATTGTCTGTTGGAGCTCCTGAGGCGAGACAAAGAACTTGACCTGAAGACTGAGTCGATGCGGTGGCTTAGTATTGAGCTGTAGGTTGAGAGGATTGCGCAGGTTCAGCCAGAGTAACTCACCATTCTTAGAACGGTAACGAAGACCGAAATACTCCCTCTCAATCAACCCCACATCATCACATACCTGTGGGGTCAGTAGAAATGAGTCCATTATCTAATTTTTTTTTTGGGGGGGGGGGAGGATGGAGTTGGGGGATGTCAGCGATTACCTTTGAATTGAATTGTAACACAACTCACACAAGGCGGATTAATCTTTTTTGATCTATAAAATGTCATGTATTTCGATACCAAAATGTGCTTTTGCTATACAAAATAATAAAAAGCATGTTGATTTGTTTCACAAATAATAACGACATTGCTCACTGGAAGACTGTGTATTATAGAATTTGGAATCTTGGGATATTGACTGAACATTGGTGCTCGACTTAATCATCCAGTTGCGCCCCCTCTTCTCTTGTACACCCCTCCCCTCCCCCCAGCCCCCTTTTTAAAATTTGAGCCATTGAGACAATTTTACATCGTTCAAAACCAATAGCATGCCCCTCCCAGACAGTCCCACCCAGTGGCCAAGTCAGGGGGTGCAGAGTGGCAGATTACAACGGGATGGAGATTTTACAAGCAAGATCAGAACACTGATATAGAAACAGCATCCTCTCTGCTACACAGTGAACGATACTCCATGATAAATAAACACGTTACTTTTAACAGGAAACAATGTAGTATCCAGTCGCCACTTCTTTGGTTGTGTACAAACAAAGTCCATGGAGAGTCAAGTGCATTTTCAAAGGTCTTTCCTAACAAAATCGGAAAACTTTCTCAGTCCTAGATCATTCACATGTTTGCATAGCCTTTAGTCAAGTCCCACACGCTTACCCGGACATGTGGCGCACCCCGGATGCTGGTATGTAAAAAGACTAGCACGAGTGGCGAAGCCGCGAGGGCCTTTACCATCTCGTTTAGAGTGCTTATGTTTTTCTTTATATTTCTCTACCGATTTGGTAGACACATTTTCATGCATAATGCATGACATGTTGTGAATGCGTGCACGTCTTGTTATTTTAGAACGCGTGTGGTGCGCACGTTTGAGGGCGTGCGTACGTGTCATTACCTCAAAAATGGCTTGTTCGTGGTGATTGGTTCATATATATCCGCATTCAAGTAATATGAATCATGCATGTATGCATGATTCATATTACTTGAAAAAATGAATAATGATTAGCTCCCCTCCACTAGCCCCATAAATGTGGCCTATTTACTGGACTGCCTCCGTAAACATAGGCCACACATCCACATGTACAAAAAACGTGTCGCACTTTGCCAAATTTTGATTTTCACATTTAGGCTTACTTTTTAGATTTTTTTTGCTTTAGAAGCATTCTCACCCTCTATATAGGCTAATCAGAAAGTGCTACCTTTTTCAGATGTTTAATTTTTGTGAAATTTCATGTTGAAATTTTGATACGCAAACGTGTGCAAATGTATCTGGAAATTTCACGAAAAATGGACATCTGAAAAAGGCAGCACTTTCTGATTAGCCTATATAGAGGGTGAGAATGCTTCTAAAGCAAAAAAAACGTAAAAAGTAAGCCTAAATGTGAAAATCAAAATTTGGCTCCGTCGACACGATTTTTGTACATGTGGATGTGTGGCCTATGTTTACGGAGGCAGTCCAGTAAATAGGCCACATTTATGGGGCTAGTGGATGTGTGGCCTATGTTTACGGAGGCAGTCCAGTAAATAGGCCACATTTATGGGGCTATGGCTCCACGAGATGGTAAAGGCGCTCGTGGCTTCGCCTTTCGCACTGGTCTTTTTTTGTGCCAGAATCTGGGGCGTCTTGCATCAGGGGAGTCACGCGCGCCTTGACTAAAGGCTAATTTTTGCAATGACTGACGTTCATTGAGACAATAGGCCTACATGATGAAAAAAGTGGCCTCGGGATGCAACAGTTGGAAAAAATGTTGCAACCTGACGCCACTTCAGCGGTTGTGTACAAAGTCTATGGAGAGTCAAGAAATTTTTGAAGTATTTCGTAACAAAATTGGAAATGTTTCTCAGTCCCAGATTCATTTCTTATCATCATTTTCGCAATGACTGACCTTCATTGAGATGAAAGTGGCGTCAGGTTACAATTTTTTTCCAAACAGGACTTTTTTTATGAGCAAAAACAAAAACATAAATAGAGGTGTCCTAAAAGTAAGGATTACCGAAATACTTTACATTTATCTAACATTCTTTATTTTCATGATACTCCATAGACCATGTAGACCGTGTGTATAATAACAAACATGAAAGAAATAGGCCTACAATCTCAGTTGCAACATTGCAAAGTTTAGTTCATGCATCAGCTGCACGTTACAAATGTTTTTACCTTGTCCATCAAAATTTGTCCATGAGAATGTTTCGGTAGGTGATACTCCCTGACAATGTACGGAGACTCGCTTATGAAACACCACATGGTTACTCATCGCTATACCCAACAATGCAGACGACTAATAAAATGTCATTTGTTATCAGGAAACAGCTGGAACTGCCGTTGTTTTACGAGTTTTCCACAGTCCTCATTTGTACCTTTTTGTACATCATATCTAATCTTAGTCAGATCCTATATTAGTAAAGCGTGCGAACTTAATGATTGCAGTCAGGGGACATGCCCGATACTGCCCATAAATTCCTCCGTGTCCTTGTTCCCAGGGGATAGCCGCTCGTAACAACCAACACAATAGCGAGCATTATGCGCGAAGCAGTTTGTCAAGGCCAAAGACATTTCGAGTTGTTCATTTTTGTTGTTGCATAACTAAAAGAGTGAAGACTGGAGTTGATAAGACAGGCTGTTTTCTTGCCGGGATCTCGAAGTGGGTCCATGGGCGTCGCCAGGATTTTTTTCGCGGGGCAAAGCACATTTCCCCCGGAATCCCCGTACTTTTCCAGCGTATTTTCTCCATTGATAATTTTTCGGAAGGGGGGGGGGGAACATTTACCTTCCCCACAACCCATAAAATTAATAGCAATATGACTCCGCGCCTCTTTTTCTTTCCTTTTCCCCCGTTTTTTTCTCTCCTCCTTTTTTCCAGAGGGGGTAAGTGCCCCCCTTGCCCCCCCCCCCCCCCTCGCGGCGCCCAAGAGTGGGTAACGAGTTTAGCTTGATATTTTGCCGTCTCGGCTGATACGTGAAGTCATTTATAACTCATTATGGGCATCTTTGTCATGCGGTTTCTTTCTATTAGTATGAATAATCAGCCCCTTCCGATTGTTTTGTTTTGAGACATTTTCATTTTGTATGTTTAACCACTTATTGCAATAAAAAACACCTACAATTTCCATTTTGGGCATAGCTAACACTCTTTTGAATTTTTTCTTCACTTTGGCCTTTCAGGTTGCATTAATTTGTGCCAACCGTCCTGACGGCTCCAATGATTCCAACTTTGAATGAGCGATTTTTTTCGTTCGATCTAGTCCCCGAAAATGTCATACTTTGATTATTTACTTAAGTTGTTTCAAAGGTGTTGATGAAAGGAAAAAAGTATATAGTGTACTCGCGTTCCCAAAAAGACGAATCCAGTTATTTACATGCCCCAACCTCGTCCTCGATGCCTACTTTATTTCCAATAGACTAGTAAGCAGGTATAGTGGTGGGCGCGAGCTGCTCAACAACCTGGCAACAAGAATGGGCACACCCATATTCAAGCCGTGTCTAAAACAAAGTGTTATCTTTGGCCCAAAAAAAGTCTCCGGTTTCTGGTAAGCGTGCGCGTCGCCGTAGCCATGCGCGTCGGTGAAATGAAAAAGTTTTTTCTTTCAATGTAAGATGATGTCTCAAAACCGCCAAACTCACTGGTTTGACTGGAATCCTGCTGCTGCACAATTTTAACGTGTTTTTAGAGGGGGTTACGATCGAGTATAAGCTTTATGTGGCATCTCTGGACTCCCATATATTTTGCACTAAATTTAGTCTGGCACCATTAATTTTGCAGTCATCAGCCGACATTTGATGGGAAAAAAAAGTAACCAACCCCCCCCCCCAAAAAAAAAGCCGCGTCACCGCACCACTTTTGGGGCAAGCTCCATACCAGAAACCGGAGACTTTTTTTTTGGCCTTTGCTAATAATGCAGCGTACACACTAGGAGGACCAAATGTTGTCATTTAGCAGAAAAGCAGATTTTACGTTTGGTACAACGAGTTTTTATTTACTTTTCTACTTTTCTGCCAAAATTGAAAAGCCGATTAAACATTTTTGTAAAAAAAAAACATTTTTTCGCCTTTTTTCTGCTTTTCTGATGTTCCTGCTTTTGCTGGCTATCCGAAAAGCAGAAAAGCAGATTGGAAGTTTTCTGACAATGCATTTTTTCTGCTTTAATAAGCCCCTTAAGTCTCCCATGAAGTGTTTTTTTTTCGCACAGTATTATAGCGCGCTGTATAGCCTATACCACGTGACTATAACATTACTGCACAAATCTTGCCTCCATTTACATTTTTTTCATGAACAACTTCACAAATTGTTACGAGTGTGCGCATAAATAAAACAATTCACACACATGTATCCGTATGTGAATTGTGTTCGTTTTGCTAAAAGAACATGCACTTACCTTTTGGTGATCCGTGGACAGAACTTCAAAACAGTTTAAAATTCAGTAACTTGAAAAGTACATGAGTGATTTGAATGATTCTTGTACTAGGCCAAAAAAAAAAAAATATTCGGTCTCTGGTCAGACCACAGTTCCGGAATTGACGCGGCAACGCGGCTTTTTTTCTTCTTCTTCAAGCTTGGATTGTACAGACAAGGTGGGGTACTATTATGCTTTTTTGGTGTCCTCATGTACATTGGTGTCCTCCATAATTTGCCTTGGTGCTCTCGATCATTTGCCATGGTGCAATATCCCATTCCTTGGTGCTCTTTGGTAAAAGAATTGAGGAGGTGCGGCAATAGAGGGCGCTGTTGGAGCTACCGCGGAACATTTTGGAAGAAAAAAACGATTGACGTGCATGGTTAAAATCGACGCGCGAGCTTTTTTTTTGGCCTAAAAGAGAGCTTATGAATTGGGCTTTCATATCCTACATTTTGAAAGAACTACACGCAAAACTTCACTTACACAATAGTCCCGGTTCCCGGGGTTTTTTTTACTCACACTGTATTTTACGTGTTTTCAAATTCATTGTTACTATTACGTCCACACCTTTTCAAAAAATATTCTTTCTTTTCCAATTCGCTCATATTAATATGAAATGAGATACTACATTATTGGCTAGGATGGATATGATTATAATATTTTAACTTTAAAAGATCAATTTATTCTGTTTCTACCCCAGACACACATTCAAACAAACAAAAAAATCGATGTAAAACACAGTTAGGAACTAGACTATACCTTTTTTGCAAGTATCCAAACGTTTTGGATAAGCAAACTTGTGATCCATTACCAGATTGAGTGAGCAGGTAGTGAGCGTACTCCTCGACACCTTAGAACGAGGTTGCCCATGGCCATGTGCGATGAGAGGGTGTGTAGGCCTACTCAAATTTTGAGTTAGAAAATCTAGTTTCAAAATGCTTGTATTTTAACCTTACATAAAACACTTCAATTTGCGACACATCAACACACCTTGGAAATTCCTAGTTTTTTTTAGTAAAATCCATAATTATATCTATTTCGTGATAACCTTGTGGAGGTATTCAACTATAGAAATTACCCTGTGGAGACGTATATGTACAATCTTTTGTTCCCTATACACCACAGTGTACCCTGTATCAGATCACGAGAACAAAGAAATAACTCCATATGGATACAAATTCCAGTATGTGTGTTGCTGATGTGAAAACAAAAGGTCAAGTGCAGTAATACTGTATGTAAAACCAATCTTCAGCCATATTGCAATTTTCCAACCACCGTTAGCTAATGCCAATTTGTACTTTGAATCTTTGCGATAGGCGACGACGCATTGATACATGGTGCCGACGTTTTTCACCATTGTCATATTGTTCCTACGTTAGTTTGTCCGTGTTTTGTTGGCTTTTTGAGTGGTGCGTCTCCGGTTTTAGATTGACAGCTGTTCGAATAACTCTGTTTCCTATTTGAGTGGAGCAACAAGTTTCATCTTTTTGTTTTTTGAGGTCAACGATCAAACAAAACGAAATCACATTTCAGCTAAGTTCTGTGTAATTTTCTCTTGTCTGCGAATGTGCTTCTTGCAGGCTGAACGATTGCTTTTCAAGCCAAACTTTAACTAAGTACAAATATTTTCTCTTTTTTTCTGAAGGAGGCTTTTGCTTGGTCTACATTGTGAAACATGACTTTACCAAAGGGGTTCCTCGTTTTGTTGGGCTTCATCGCAATGACGTGTGTTGTAATAGCACGAGGTACGTATCCAAATCAGAATGATCAAAAGGCGCGATTCAAGGAGGGCATGCAAAGTTTAACCAGCACTGGAATGGCCTCTCACATAATGAAATTACATGAAGAGTGGTAAATGTTTCAGATATTCTTATGCCAATTAGATTTTCTGTTGTTATGTACACATGTACACCCCTTACAAAATATGTACAAGAATTACAAAATGTATTACAAAATTGTGTTGGACATCGCCCACACATATTTTGTTCCCTTACGTGTGTCAAGTGACCCTATAACAGGCGGGGGCTTTCCTATAAGTATATCTGTAGGTTCATTTTTGGTAGCTAATTGCGGCCTTGCGTAACTGTAAGAAGTTTACGGAAACATTGAGTACAACAATTTCTGGAAAATAGTCAAACCTATCTGTTAGGACACTCTACTGGTTGCAGACTTCCAACTTTCTAGACTTTCCAACAGAAAAAGTTTACACAAAGAAGTGGAGACTATCAGGGGTCTAACTTGCATGTCACACCCGGAGTGTCAAGGAGCTCTCGGGATTCAGGAATATGATTAATGCGTACTGCGAGGATTTCCAAGAAGATTGGTACCAAAAAATTCCCCTTTCTGTTGTTTGCTAATTGGGATTCAACGAACAAATCAACTGGTTTTAGTTGGGGTTGGTCTACGGTCATGAGGTGAGGTGAGGGGAGGGGGCCTTTGAAACTCATCAATGAGAGGTTTTTGGCACTGAGGAGGATGAGACCAATCTGCTCGACTGTGTGTCGAACTTCAAGAAGAGGCTGTCCAAAGTATGTTCTGTGGCACAAGACCATCTCAAGGTGTCTCAACGGGTCATGAAGACAAGAGCAGACAAGAAATCAGCTTTAAACCCGGGGAAAAAAAGTATTTTTGCTATTGCGTCTACCTGCAAGGCGAGCCCCTTAAAGAAGTTTATTGGGCCCTAATTTCAATCTGAAAATTTTGACCTTAGAGTGTTCGCCGGAAATGTCTTGCCTGCTAAAGGCAGCTGTCAAGACTGTCGCGTCCCAATTGCACTTAACCGACACTGCATTGTTTCATTAATGATCCTCACAGATTGCCAGGAATGTGTGAATGGTGAAATTCAAGATGAGGACAACTGTAAGTGCGAGTGTCGAGGTTTATACTTCGGAGACCACTGTGATGGTAAGGAAGGTTCAATCAATGCATTACTGTATGGACAAGTGAAACAGCGGTGTAGCCAGGGTTCTCAAAATTAAGGGCGGTTTCTTGAGGTTGGGGCACCTAACT